GGTGAGGAACACGTGTGCAGCTCTGGTCACGGCTGTGGATCATTTCGTGCTTCACTTTGGCCGGTATCCTTTCGAGAGTTACAAGGTCTGCTTTGTCGATGACATGGTCGAGGAAAGCATTTCTCTGTGCGCCTTCTCCATGTGCAGCAATCGACTTCTCTACCCCGAAGAAATTGTGGATACGGAGATCGAGACCACAAGAACACTGGTCTACTCACTCGCAAGCCAATGGTTCGGAGTCAACATCGTGCCGAACATGAAGTCAGATATATGGCTCGTCGTGGGCATCGCATGGTTCATGACGGATTACTTTATGAAGACGCTGTGTGGCAACAACGCCTTCAGATTCCGCGTGAAGACTATGGCAGACCGGCTCGTTGATATCGACATGAGGCGACCTTCTTTACAGGATCTGGGGGAACATCTCTACCTCGGCAGTTTCGAGGTTGACTTCTTGAATCTCAAAGCCCCACTTGTCCTATTCATATTGGATCGCCGCCTTTCAAAATCGTCTGGCTCTGCTGGTATCTCCCGGATAATATCCCGGATGGTCAGCAAAGCCAACACGTCGGGCCAAGCATCTGATGAGGTTCTTGGGTCAGAGGCATTTCGCAAAGCGTGCGAAAAGGTGGGCAGCACGAGGTTGGAGAGCTTCTGGAATCAGTGGGTCGTTGGCTCTGGCTGCCCGAGATTCGACGTTCACCAGCGTTTTAATAAGAAGAGGTTATGCGTCGAAATGACCGTTCGACAAATCCAGGACACTGTTGCCTCCACAACCAGACCCATTAATAAGGATGACTTCTGGAGAGACGTGCGGGAGGATACGCACGCTGTCTACGAGGGCGAGATGCAACATGCCTTCACAGGCCCTATGACGATTAGAATTCATGAAGCCGATGGCACGCCTTACGAACACATAGTCGAAATTCGGGAAGAGTCTGCCAAGACGGTCAAGTTTGAGATACCCTACAACACGAAATACAAGCGGCTTAAGAGGAACCGCCGAAATCGTGAAAGGGCCTTGGCGAACAATTTGAAAGCCAACAACGAAGACGGCGGGAAGGAGCTCTACTACTTGGGCGATGTCATGCAGCAGGCAGACGACGTGGAGGAGTGGGACTTTCGGGAGTGGGACGAAGAGACCGAACACAAGATGGACCAGGAATCCTACGAGTGGATTCGAATGGACGCAGATTTCGAGTGGTTATGCGAGATACAGACGAACCTGCCGCCGTACATGTACGCCTCGCAGTTGCAGCAGGACAGAGATGTTGCTGCTCAACAAGACTCAATGCTCTACCTGCACCGAAGCTACGAGAAATCAGGCCCCCATCCCCTCGTGTCCACCATCCTCTGTCGGACATTACTAGATCCTCGATACTTCTACGGTATTCGCGTCATGGCAGCCGAGGAACTTCCTCGGCATGCGGCCCAGGACCAGGTGGACTGGATAGGACTCAGACACCTCACAAAGGCGTTCCAATATTTCTTCTGCTATCCTGGAACGTATACTCCTCGTCCGAACAACTTCGCGGATAAACGTCAATACATGGTCCAAAGTGCCATCCCAGGAGCCGTGGCTCGCATCCGAGATAACAATGGCAAATGCCCGAAGGAGGCCCGCAGGTTCATACTCGAGCAGCTGCAAGCCAACAACAACACGGAAAACGTCTACTCCGATCAGATGTATATCTGCAAACTAATAAAAGCACTTGCGCTGTGCCAGGTTGCCGACGAGAGTAAGGCAAAGCCACAGATGGCAATGTCGATGTCGTTTGGAGACGGAGATGAGGACGAGCTGATAGCAGAGGCAGAGGCGGTGGACACGGAGCCAGAAGAGTTCACCGAGGCGGCTCTCGCGGAGATCGAACGGTACCGTAGAATGGACGAGTTCTCTCCGTCGTTTCAGAACTGCTTCACCGTCGCTGCTCTGGACGCCTTATGTATCATGATGAAGGCCAAGGTCATCCCCACGGCGCCCGGGACGTTCGTCCAATACTTGCAAGATAGGAACTGCGACGTCGTTCGCATTCAAGCCTGCGAGGCGCTGGTGGAACTTGACTTTCTGGCCCATCCAGCCTTCCTGCGACTCTTCCTGATCTTGGTTGGCACTGACCCTTCGCCATTCGTGCGAGACAAACTCTTCAAGGCATTGTGCCGCGGTCTCGCCAGCATCGCCATTGGCGAGAATGCCGAAGCCGGCAAACAGACGCCACCGGAATCGAACGAGGATGACCTCATTGTCGAGCAGGACAACGAGATAATCGATGCCAGGAAGAAGGCAAAGGCTCGCAAAGAGGATCTCGCTGTCGCCCTTGCAGCCTTGAAGGAAGAAACTACAGATGATGAGCACTTGCAAGAGGCTATCTGGAAGACGATGGACTCGCCTGTTCTCACAGTGGCAGAGCGAATCAATATGCTGGAACTCTGCTCCCTGCTGGTCGAAGAGGACCAGTCGCTGTTGCTGAAGTTCAACTATCCAGTATATTGGACCGCCAGGCGTGGCGAGCGGATCCGAGGTCAGAAGTGTCTTATCCACTTCAACCGACACTTCAGAACGAAACCACGCAAGATCTTCGCCTCCCCACCAGCGCCACCGAAGCCCGAGCCGAAACGAACTATCACTTTAAATCTAAACAGGAATGCAAGCATTAGCAAGATTGTTGTTCCCGTAGCTAGCCAGCCTCTTCCCGCTCCTGCTCCTCTGCCAGCTACGGTGGCAGCAGCAGCCAACCTTCCTGCCAAACCTTCCGTCACTGTTACTGCGCCAAAGCCGGCCCTCATTACGCCGAATCAAGTGGTCATTCCGCCGAGAACATCTGTCTCTGTCGCCAAGCCACGGGCAGCTACCCCTCGAGCAGCCACTCCAGCAGCCTCCCAGGAGAAGGCTGCGGAGAAGACTGTGAAGAAGAGCGAGCCCCACCGCGATAGTATCTCAACTGGGAAGAAGAACAAGAGCGAGTCCCACCGCGACAGCATCTCAGCTGGGAAGAAGAGCGAGTTCCGCCGCAATAGTATCTCAGCTGGGAAGAAGGGTGAGGCTCATCGTGACAATGTTTCGGCTGCCAAGAAGGGTGAGGCCCATCGTGACAGTGTCTCAGCTGTCAAGAGGAGCAGCTCCCACCGGGATAGTCTCTCCGCTGCGAAGAAGGGCGAGCCTCAATGGGACAGCATTTCGGCGGTGAAGAAGAGCGAGACCAACCGGGATAGTATCTCAGTTCAGGGCTCAGTGCGGCCTACCATTGAACTCCAGCAATCGGGATTCAAGCCGTCGCCACCGCCCAAGGTCAACGGCAATGGAAATCTCGCACCCGCCAACTTGTCCCGACCACCGAAGCGGGCGAGCACAGAAAGCGAGGGTCCCCGGCCGACGAAGATGGTCAAGCTCGACACTTCCAAGATTAGAAATCGGTTGCCGAGTCGTCTATCCGGCTCTTCCACGGGACCAAGTAGGAAATTGGTCACTGTTAAGTTCAAGGACTGGGACAAACTCAGGCACCAGAAAGGGACTGTCGGGACTCCAGAGTCAGCTTCGATCAGAGCTACACCCAAACATGCCAAAGCCGAAAAGCCAAGCATCAGCGCTTCGCAACCCACGGCCGCAAGACCTCCTCCCGGGGCTGCAGGATTTGGCCCGGTTTCGTCGTCTCCTATACTGTCTTCGCAGAAGTCATCGACACCAATCCCTGCGTCACAACCGATGGCTCAGCCGCCATCCGGTGGAAGCGGCAAGCCACGAAAACCTCTTCCGGAGATGCGCAAGCCCCTGCCGTCTGCGGGCTCCAATGGCCAGCCCGCACCCACTAATAATCATTCACCTACATCACCACCCGCACCCAAGGCGCCGTCGACAAAGGTGAAGATCAAGGTGAAGACGAAGCCAATTCCTTAGTCTAAAGTGAATGGTTCTCACCCAGTTATCTTCCAGAACCCATACGGGGTCTCCACTCTCCTCGTTTGAGACTTTTGTCAGGGTCCTCCTTTAATACAAGGCTCGATGTGGAACTTGGGCTACTCATTCATGCGCCAGCCCACTCACTACTGGCTTGCTTTATATCTTTCATTTGCATAGCACTGGCGTCCACGGCTTGCGCAATGCGGATTACCACACTGCGTAACGGGTGCGTTTCATCCAGCATGATGGATGATGCGATGCATTAGGTCTGGAGTTCATGGACCACGATGGGAATGGATGGTCTGTCCAGGCACCGACCTTACTCACGACTGTTTGATCGGCGATCGGCGATCGGCGATGCCCAAATTCTGCCGTAGTGGACGCATGCGTGTATAGCATAGGTGTAAGGAGTTCTTTAGTCTAATGAAGAACTTGTCGACATGTAATCTTTTGCATGGCTGGTGAATGTTTCCTTGTCACGAGGTGGCTGCGTTGTGACATACTGCAGCAGTGATTACCTGGAGTGCTTTAACGAACCAGTATCACCAGCACGTGCGAAACTCCAGTCATCACGATGAACTCTGTGTGGTGTGAATACCACTTAATTCTGCCATGTATCATGATGCTGCGCTATACTGAACAAGCAGCCCCATGCCAAGAAGTGACGACTCCAAAATCGCTGGTATGATGATCTATCTCATCCAAGTCCATTCGCTTTTCGCTTTTCGTACCCAATTCCTCTTTTCCAGTCAGCGACATGCTCCTGAAAATGCGAGGGATGTCTCCGATCCTATGTGCGCCCAAAACGCAGCTGCCCAGCTAGCGAACGATCAAGTGGAAGCCTAGCACTCCTATATACCCTCCATCACAACGAAGATGATCCCCATCCAAGGTTCCTAATTTATGACCGTAGCATCCCTGCCACCGTCATCTCCATCATTTTCGCGCTCGCTCTCCAAGGTTCCTAATCAATGACCATGGCATCCCCACCACCAACACCGCTACCTCTATCAGTCTCACTGTCGCTCTGGTCCATACTGTCATGCCCGAGCGTGACCGCGACCGCCCGCCTCCGGGGAGCAGGCGACCCCGAGCGCCAGCCGTCCTACCGCCGTCTCGTCGAGGGGCCTGCTACTGCTGCGTCTCCATTGCCTGATCCGCCCGGTCCGTGATGTCCTCCGCCACCGCCGCCGCCATGGTGGTTCGACGTCGAGGTCACAAACCCCGGCCGTCCGGCGATCCTGATCCGCTCCTCCCGACTTCGCGTCACGCGCGACGGCGCGGGAGGCGGCTCGCTCGCCTGCCGGGACGAGGCGCGCGTGCCTCTTATACCACCTCCCATTCCAGGCGCGGCAGGGGCACTAGGGTTGCTAGTGGTAGTCGTCGTGGTGGGCGTCTGCGCCACTTGCTGCGGGATCTGCGATGCCGAGACGGAGCCCGTGATGCGCTGGTGCTGTGTGCGCGGCGGCGCGGCGTGTGTGTGCGATTGCGATTGCGATTGCGTGTGCGACTGCGATCGCGCATGCCCAGGTCCGTGTGTCTGTGTCTGTGTTTGTGTCTGGGAAGGGCCGTAGCTACGCGAGCCGTACCCGCCGCCCCTCGCCCGCATCTGCTGCATGTACACGGACCGCGCCTGGCCCGGGGAGCCGGCGCGGGCGCCGATGGGGTTGCGCGCCGAGGTCGCCACGAAGGGGTCCGAGTCGTCGTCTTCGTCGTCGTCTTCTTCTTCCTCGTCGGGCGAGGCGTCCGCCATGGCTTCGTCGGCGCCGCTGCTGGTCGAGAGCGACGGCGAGTTTGAGGACGTGTCCATTGCGGTGGCGGTGGCTGTGGCTGGGATAGGCTGCTGCTGGGCTGGGACGGTGTCTGCGAGGGGGTGTTGCGAGAGCGGGCGTTGAGGGCGTGGGTGCGCGAAGAGTTGGATTGGGGCGTGGGAGGCTGGTGGTTGGGATTGCGATGCTGATGCTGAGGCTGATGCGGAGGCGGATTGCGAGGCGTAGCGCCGGTCTTCGTAGGTGGCTATGTCTTCGGCTGTGAGGGTGAGGGTCGTCGGCGGGCGGCGGAGCATCTTGGTGGTTTGGTTTGATTCTTCCGCTGCTCGGGCAATTTGTGTTTATAAGACGATGTTGTGGTGGTGTATGTAAAGATCGTGTGTTGCGTTATAGCTAGTATATTGATGTCGATCCAATGTTCTGGTGCGGGATGTGGCCCTCGAGGTGAAGAGCGTGGATGGAGGTGAGGCTCAACGCGTCTTGACGCGCTTTGTAGGATGGAAGAGCCGGACTTGAATCATTGATGGCGGGGTTGATCAGTGAAGGGAGGCGCCACACTCAGCCCTACTAGATAATAGAGGGGCATCAGGTGCTTTCCTCTTTTGGATGTACGGTCTGATTACAGTGGGGCCCGCTCGGTCCACCAGACGGACAGACAGACGGAGAGAGTGAGTTTCCCAACTCCCACCTCGACGTCCCTAACAGACCAGACTGCCGGACTAGGTAGGTGGAGGAGGCTCACACTTTCCGGGCACGCCAGGTACCATATGGCCATTCCACCGTCCACGACCCATGAGCATTCGATAGGCACATGCAGGTAGCCGTTGTTCCACTTACACTGGCTGTTTGCCTAGTCTCGTTGGTACTGGGCATCTCCTCTGTCGTTCCTGTGCGATGCCACTCCCTCAAGTGGTCCTACACAACGGCGGGTGGCACAGGGCACGCCGGACTGCGAGTTTGCTCTCTCAACCGCTCTATATGTACGTGCCCGAGTAGGTCAACGTTTCAGCATGTTACGACACGGTAATCAATGAGGGGGCTCCAGACGTACGACCTGGAGGCAGTCATGTCCCCAGAGCATCGTCATCTCCGGGACCCATCACGACTTCCCTTTCCTTCTCATCGTTCCCTGGTGCACATGGTCGCCGTGATCCAGGTCATCGACAACATGCATCGTGGGGAGCAGCAACACCGTCAGACGCTGAATAACATATCCGAAGATTGGAGTGAAGAGGGTATCACACCTGACTTGACGGACTTCCCGGACGATCTTCCCCTTATCCAGTTGAGGGGCTCCTCGACTACGCACTCTTCGCCATGCCCCAGCTCGGGTGGTCCTAGATCACAGTCCACACCTGGGACACCAGTTCATCACGACTACGTATCATTGTCACAACTGTATCAGTCGCTACCAGTATCCCCCGAAGACCGGTCGATCAGGCTTCTCGATCTCGATCCCCTGCCAACCCCAAAATCCAGTGATGACGCCGTCCCACTCACAGGCAAGCTCCGGACTGTTTCCTTGAAAAGCAGTCCGCGCTTTGCAGTGCTTTCATACGTCTGGGGCCCTTATTCGGAGCCCACGAGTGACGTCCTCATCATACAGCTTCCTCACGCCTTGGGTGTTTGTGTAAACATCACGATGAACTGCAAGGACGCTTTGCTGGCATTACGGCGGAAATACGGTGCCGTATGCATCTGGATTGATGCAGTTTGTATCAACCAATCTGATTACGTCGAGAAGGCATCGCAGATCCTTCTGATGGAGGAGATTTACACCTGGGCTCATATGGTGTATGTGTGGCTAGGGCCCAGCACCAGTACATCGAAAAGAGTCATTAAAACGCTGTATACAGCATCAGAAGGCTCAGTGTTCCTCGACATCGGCGCCCTCGGCGGCTCCCTGAGTACAAGGAGGAGGTTTGCACAAATGGGCAGTATTTACCTTCGTCTCTGGGGCCATCTCTGGCTCCGTGCATGGCGAAAACAGCTTGATGTCATCGACATATTTCTTACTCCCTTTACTTTTTATAAAGGGGCCAGTTATCTCAAACGTATGTGAGCCCTTACGCTCTTTGATTTGGCGACTGCACCTACTCACCGGCATCCTCACTCAGGCGTGCTTTCTACCTTCGTCCGCGGCGTTGAGATAGCATCACCGTTGCCACGCTGTGGCGAGACCGAACATACGCTCAGGGAGAGGACATATGGTCTGTCTACCACGGATCGCACAGACCTGTTCGGCAGCGCCTGGTTTGGGCGTGGGTGGACATTCCAGGAGATCATCCTTGCCTCCGAAGTCACGATATTATGCGGCTCGGACGCGTTGAAGTGGGACGTTCTTGTTCGCAGCCTGTGCGACTTGCGTTCAATAGACATGCATGATGAGGCGTGGTTTTGTCACACAGGCCGGAGACCCCGGAGGCTGATCGATATCGTCAACGTCTGGAAGCAAGTAGAACGGCCGACGACATGGAATGGCTGGCAGAGGCGACGTGAACGTGCCAGTCAGTCCACCATTGATGGCTACCAGGCCCTTGGCCGATCGTACTTCGGCACTCTTCCATGGCGTATCATTTATCACTTCTTGTTCTATTCATGGTTGCTCACATGGTTTCTACCACGTTTCACTCTGACATTTACGTTCTCCGTACTGTACATCGGCATCCCGATCATATTATCGGACAGGTCACTTTCGGAGGGTGATACACGCTCCAGGATGTTGCACATGTTTACTATCACCTTGGGGGTGAATTACCTGTGCTCTTTATTTTGTGGTGCATATGATGTGTTAACCAGGAGAGTGTCACTCTGGCTCCATGTCAGTTTTTCAGGTCCCGAGAGCACCAATGGGCGGCTTGCTTCATCAATTGATATACTAGAGCACCTTATACGACTTCAAGCTCTTCATCAAGAGCGCCGCAATAACAATGTGTCTGCTTCATCGGATGCTGCAATACAGGACGTTATACAAGCTCTTCGAGAGCCCCAAAATTGCACTGGGTCTGTTTCTTCGGATGCTTCGCTACGGGCGTTATACAAGCTCTTCGAGAGCGCCACACAACCGAAGCCAAGGATCGCTGCGTACGCCGTCCTGTCACGCCTGGAGATGGACCCCCTTTACCCCGATTACTCCAAGCCACTTGGCCAAGTGTATAAAGAGCACTTCGAGACACTTGTTCGACGGAACTCGGGGCTGCTCAACCTCATTATCGATGCTAATGCTGGCACCTCCGTCCCAGGGGCCCCAACTTGGGTTCCTGACTGGAGAGTAGCAGCCGAAAACAACTAGCTTAGCTCGCCCTACCCCTACGACCTGGGTCAGACGGCAAGGTTTCAGGGTGCTGAGCTAGCCGTTGAGGCCCAGTTCTTCGAAAGAACAATTCACTGTTCGGGCGTCTTGGAGCGTTTGATGCCCGAGATGAAAAAACTTCTGGAACTTCCAGGGGACAACCCATTGATAATGGCGTTTCTACGAACAACCCTCGCGTTTGTTCGTTTACTGCGAGCGATAAAGAACAACATCGCCACTACATACCCCTACGATGCACCAACTCCCGAATTATTCGCCAGGGTCATGTGCTTACAGTATCTCGATGATGAAGAACCCAGATTTCATCCGCCGTCACGTGCTACCGAACCAACTGGAGTGGGTGGATACGCTGATGTGGCTTTCGGGGGAGAGCTCTTCGACATGTGGTACCACCGTATCTCGAAAGTGCCTCAAGCAATTATTGACAAAGCAACGAAACTAGAACCGGGGCCGTACAATGATATAGAGAAACAGATCTTTTCCCGATGTGAACCCGGAAACCGCCAGGCAGATGACGCTAATATCGCGATGGTAGCAAAGACGGTAGAGTTCTGCAACCTCATCGCGGGGAAGAGGAACATCTTCGTGACCGAGAAGGGGCACATAGGATCTGGACCCGAGGCGATGCAGGACGGAGATGAGATATATTGGATCACGGGTGTTTCGGTCCCGATGGTATTGCGGCCCACAGGGGAAGCGGCGGAGACCGATGTTGGATCGGGAATGACGGATGATGATGGCCTGTCTAGGTTTACGGTTGTCGGGCCAGCTTTTGTTTACGGGTTCATGAAAACCCATGAGACTGAGGAAAGCAAGCTGGTTTCCGTGACTCTGGTTTAGCGGTCTCACAAGAAACACTCCGTATACCATAGTCGACAGTCGTTTCATTGCTTCACACGCTTTACTGGACGGCCACTTGGAGATGATAGCAATGCTTTATCCCTATATTATCACGCGGACTCTTCATTGCTATGACCATAGAGAACATCCCTTCCGCCACTCCTCATGGTGTGTGGTGAGCACAAAAGTCGCCGTCATACCCTTGAAGACCCGACGACAATTTACAGTCGATGTCAGTGGTCCCCTGAGAGCCGACGAAAAGCAAGCTGTAGGACTAGTCAAGTGGTTCCGGCAGACCCTTATTTCTCTTGATTTCTAGTATATCAAAGTCACATGCAAAGAGTTACTCCGACCTACTAATCCACGGAGATTTCAACAATATAAGTACGCCTTGGAAACATAGGTGAGATGATGGGGGGAGTTCCAAACGCCAGGATCCATGGTGCTGCGCCACAGTCAGACATGGATGTCACGAGTAATCCAAGGACCAAGGGTTCTCCGGGCACGTCTGAGATCCGCTGCCCTCAGTCTATTCTGCCAGCTACACTTATTAGTAATGGCGCTACCTTATCCTCGAACCTCACTCCTGGGTCTCCCGGCCGAGATCCGCCTCGCCATCTACAAGTACGTCCTGGCACCGTGCTCCTTCAAGGACGGGTATTGGCAGTACCTCCGTCGCCGCAACTGCGAGCAGCCGTCTGACAGCCCCGCGGTCATCGAAGTCTTGCTGGTTGGTAGCTTCTCGAACGAAGGCTACGAGGGCCACTACAGATGGAAAGGCGGAGGGGTAGGGGAGCAGTCGAATGCTGGACCTGGTCCTCGAGCTGCTGCTGAGCAAGGAGACCACCGCTACCGGTCGTCGTCGCGTCCGCGCCATCGGAGACCATGGGCTCTCGCGCGTGTCTACCGCACGATGCACACAGAGACGGCGCCGCTACTAGCATCTATCGATCTGCGCGAGGTGCACTTCTCGTTCCACGCCTTCACGGCGGACGACCTGCGTACGTGGACGCGGCGCATGGGCCCGGAGCGGACGGCGCTGCTGTGCAGGTTCAGCTTCGAGGGTTATGGGTGGGACTGTAACGAGGCCGTGCGACGGTATCGGGAGGATGTGTATGTGTACAGCGCAGGTGGGCATTTGATACTGAAGAACCCCTTTGCCTTGACGGATGTCGGATGGTGAGTACCGGTAACACTAACACATATGCCTACCTACCTGTTCCTTTTTTCTGGTGGTTCGAGTTCTGCATGATGGATGACGGACGAGGACTGTCGTTCCGGGGGTAATCTATGATCTAGAGTTAGCTAAAGTCCTGACTGCTTATTAGGACTGCCTGGTATGAGTTAGAGAAGAAGACATGACGGGTTATTGCTACCGCGATGTCGTTGTTGACATGACGCCGGTCAGGGGTGTAGACGACTTCTACGCAGACCTACACACCACGGCTGAGTTCCTGCTGGAGATTTTGCAGCTGGTCATTGGAGGTCACAATGGGGCGCTGGGGATTACCTAGTTTGACCCTCGCGAGGTAGTTGGTGGCATTGCGTATGTTACCTGCAATGGAAGAAGTGCACCCCCCAGCGAAAGCAAGACAACTCCAGATACCTACCTCCGCAGAGTGCACTTCATTTTTTACTTATACGCCTTGGCGATTGAAGACTTGCGCATACGTGGACGGATGCGACATCCTGTCCAGAGCCGAGATTATCTCCAGCAAATAAAAAATAAAACTAAAAACAATCGCAAAGATGCCATTTGAACAGCCGACATCCTGAAAGTATACTACAAAATTGCAAAAAGAACAGCAGGGACAGATGAAGGGTTAGCTCACTTTCATTTATACTGCCGGAAAACCTGTTGGTTTTGTCCTGTCGACTAAGTTGACCAGCGTCCTACAGGAAACTCGATGGAACGTCAGATGCTGATTTTTGCTGACATTTAGATATATATCCCTTTCCATCCCCTTGAGTTCTTGATTGGGCATGCTGCTGTATGCATGACAAGTATAAGAACCTGCGTCGCCGCCTCCTTTCTTTTGGCACGAACACACCACGTCACCACGCACATACACAAGAACGAGCAGTTGAGCAGGACACACTACGCCGCGACGCGGCTGGAACGCGTACCACTTTTACGTCTGCCGTCTTCATCGTTGTTCTGAAGAAGGTATTTCGAACCATCAATGCACGTAAGAAAACCATGTTACCAAGACTTAGTCACTACGAGCAGAGTGGTGAGCACATATTCCGTGGTACGTACTTCTAGTTTTATGTCTGCTTGAAGCAGACAACACAATTTTCTCATGAGATGCATATGCAGGCCATACAGTAAACTCATCCGGACTCCCGTCGTGCAAGCATGATGTTCATCAGTGGTCCAATCTAACAGCCCATACCTCTCTCATCCATATCCGAGCAGCCGTGGTGAGCCCATTAGGCATCCCCACATGCAAACGTGCATTGCTTAAGCCCACATAGCCCTGAACTTGACATTAAACTCCGCGTGCAACTTTTGGAACGCCTTCAGCACATCCTTCAGCCCTTCGTTAGTGCCTCCTGCACTCTCCAACGCAGCGCCGACCTCTGACTCCAGCCTGGCAGCGTTCGCAGCTTTCCGCTCTTCGCGCCGGTCGAGGTCTTCCTCTACGTCGGCGACCTCCTCCCAGCTCTCGGTGTTCCTCGCCTTCTTCGTCGACACCCCCTGGCGCGCCGCTGGTCGCTCGGGCAGCATGGCGACACCGGAGTCTGCTGCGCTAGGTCCCGACATCTCGCTTTGCTCGTCAGGGCCAGCATTCTGATTGTCCTCCGCTTCTTCGTGAGCGTCGAGATCGCCCATGATATCAAGCATGTCCATGTCAGTACCCTCCTTCAGCTTCATGAAGTTGAGCAAGCTGGTGATGATAGTTGCCAACACGAGCGAGAAGTCGTTCAGTAAGAACCAGATATCGGCTCTGCGCACACCGTTGGCCTTCTCGATGGTCATTACGTCGCCATGCTTGAAGAAGTCGAGAAGCCAGGCGTTGAGAGGGAGCTCCGCCTCGTCGGGGTAGACTTCGATATGCGGGATGACGGCTTCTTCCAGGAACACACCATCTCTCGTAGTCTGGCAGAGATCATGGATAGTGTCGAACTCATCACCCGGTCCAGACAGCGCAACAAATGGAGAGCGGATCTTGGCAGCCGGCAGATGCTTTACGCTCTCGGCCTCGCTACCGTGGTCTGCAGAACCAACCTTCGCGCCGGTCAGCGGGAGCTTACTGTCATCGTCGTGGATGTGCTGCTCGACGAAAGTCTCGACGTAGGTCCTGTACACATCCAGCGTCTGCCGGTTGTGCTGCCTCAGGATGTTCGACGCCTTTTCCGGCATAGGCGGCAAGAATACTATCGATGATGACGGCTTTACAACCTTCTGACGGTACTCCTGATCTGCTTGACGACACTGGATCCTGTTGAACAGATGCGCCATGACCAGCATCATAGTCTCGAGAGTACTCTTCTCGTTCTTCTCGTGCCCGGCGCAAAGCTCGTGGAAGTAGCCCTCCTTCATGAGAGCGTGGAAGGCGAACGAGGAGTTCTCGGTGAAGTAGAGATGGCTGACGAGACCAGCGAAGTTCAGCGGCGCGCCGTTCGCTCCAAGAAGATTTTGCCGGCGCAGGTACTCGATGGAGAACCGCAAGTGATGCATTGTCTGCTCCTTGAACGATGCTCCACCCATGTACATTCTTGGCTGGGAGAGCAGGGCGTTGATGGCGCCTACAGCGTACTTGCTGTTCTTCGATTCGTGAAGAAGGGTGAAGAGACGCAAAACCAGCGTTGTTGTAATGGGGAAATGGCCGTTCAGGTCTGGCAGACGACTGCTGATCAGGCGGCAGACCTTTTCGCGAGACACACCCTGGAAGACAACGTTACCCAGCAAGTCAAAGCCACGTCGACCAGCCCGACCAGCGCACTGCCGGTAGTTCAGTGCGGTCAAGAAGACGCTGTCTCCAGAGAACACAACTGTCTTGCAAGGCATGTTTATGCCAAGGGCAAGTGTGCCTGTCGCTATGATGCATCGGAGGAAGCCTTTCCGGAACAAGATCTCGACCACTTGTCGGTACTTCCGATTCATACCGGCATGATGTACGCCAATCCCTCTGGTCATAGCGTCGATCAACCATTGCTGGATGTTACGGCGACCAAGCTGGCGAACATAGATGCCAAGCTCGGAAAGCGGCAGCTTGGTATGATCCGCAAAATGATAGCCCTCGATCGGTGCATCTGGATCGAATGACTCCCACTTGCTGGTCTCTGTCTCGCCAGCATCACGAGCCTGATCAAGCTTGGAGCCTTTATCGTCCTCCTGGCCCTTCGGCTTCTTGACCTTGGAGAGCTTTGCGGCATCCTTCTCCTGTGCTTTTTTCCAAAGCTCCCACCGTTCCAAAGTCTTGGTCCACTTTGGCCCACTCTTCCTCTGCTTGAGCTCGGCATCCTGCAATTGCTGGACGACGGTCTGGCAGATCTTCTCGCACTGGTGGCGATCGTAGTTGAACATGATCGCTGGCAAGGCATCCTGCGCGTTCAAGCGGCAAAGTAGCGGCAGCGTGGTCTGCATGGGATCGTCGGAGATCGTAATAGCAGCTGAGCTATCCTGATCAGCTTCCCCTTGCGTGGTCTGAAGCGGTTCACGCTTGTCATCTCTAAAGGGGCGTTCGAGGTCTTTCACCATTGCTTCGTAAGGAGAAGCGACGTCAGCGATCCACTTCTGCAAGACAACCTTCAAGTCTTTTTCCCACTTCAAGATGTCGGCTTTCCGAGCGACTGCTGGCAGAGCCTTTTCGGGGTCAAGCTCCTTCGGCACCGGAAAGTCGCTGGTCTGGTGCTTGACCATGGCCCTCCAAAGCTCCATGCAGTCGCGTGGCTCCAGCCCGAGATCTTGAGGGATACCGCGAGAGCGGTCTGTCAGACCAGCAACAGGGTGGACATGTTGGAACCCGGTGAGACCTTCTAGACCTAGCGTTCCGAACGAAGACCTCTCAGGGATGCCATGGAATGCGAACTTCTGTGGCGGCACGTAGTAGTACTTCCGGAGATCGGAGTATCTGTATGGATGCTGTACTGTGATCAAGTCAATGCCGATGGCCTTCTGCGTATCAGTAAGCCACTCTCCAAACTCGTGCGGGTTGCCGACGGTCGCAGATAGCGCAATGATTGGGCAAGGAGCCATCAGTAGAAGCTGCTCCCAGACAACACCGTCTTCAGCTTGGCCGATAGAGTGGACCTCGTCGAAAATGATGCGGCGCACTCTGCTTGACCAAGAGTTGGCGTTTGATGGTGCTAGCAGCATAATCTGGAGGACGTGCGGAACTGTGACCAAGACCTGGCACCCGGTCGGACTGTTGATGCGGTAGTCCCTGGTGTGAATGGCCCAGACTGATTTACCGCCGTATTTGAAATTCTTGCTGTATCGGGCTTGGATCTCTGCGGCAATTTGGTTGACCAAGGCCTTGGTAGGGGCGACGTAGATCAACACTCCTTCGTCGTCTGCTTCAAGAACCTTGCGCATAGCGTAGAATGATATGAACGTCTTACCAGCGCTGGTGGGTGCGACCACAAAGACGCTCTTCTGTGCATCAATGCCATCCAGTACCTTTCGCTGCCAGCCGTCCGGGTTGAACTCAACTCTGCTGTCCGGTTTGGAGTCGAAGCTACGCTCGAGGTACGGCCCGCAGTATTCCATTTGGAAGTCCTTCGAGGATAGTTTAACCGCAAGTGAGTCCACCTTGGCAGGCAGGGCGAATGTAAAGCCAAGCTTCCTCTCGGCAGAAGCCTCCGCTTGCGGCACTTCCGGTAAGCTTAACGTCTTGAGCGTGAGGTCCACGGCGGATATGATGTTGTTTGTGAGACCCTTGCTGCGCATGACCTCACGAGCGAGATTCCAGATCATGGCGGTAACTTCAGTCTTGCGCTCTTGCTCTTTGCGACGGCAGGCCTCAATCCAATACTGCAGTACGCAGTTGAGCATGTACAGCCGACACTCGGCCTCGACGACTTCTGTCCAGTCGGACCTCAGGCTACTCAGGTACTGCTTGGCTTTACGGAACTTCGAGCGCGGATCGCTGTCTGCTTCGAAGTTGTTGCAAACCACATGCCAAGCGCTACTGACTTTGTCGCCGGAGGATACATTCTTCTTGGCTTTCGAGGCGGCGATCTGGGCGAGCATAGCCTGCTTTCCAGCGTTCTTCTGGGCCGTTTTGCCACCCCCACCAGCTTTCTTAGCAGGCTTGCCCTTCGCCGAGGACGTCTTGTCATCAGCATCCGAATCGGCCGGAGACTGGCTGGCCCCTTTCTTGGAAGTAGTCTTGACGGTCTCAGTCGGCATCTCTCTACCGCTGGACTTCGTCGCACCAACGATGATAGTCTCCGGGTCAAGGCTTCTGCCAACAGCATTTGTTAAGCTGGCAGCGTAGGTTGCCATCTCAGCCATGAACAGCTGCTCACGCTTGGCCTTCCAGAACTCGTCTTTCTTCTCTTTGGCAGTCTGCGGGCCTCTCCGTATGAGTGGTTTTTTTGCGTTATGCCAGTGTGTCAATTCAACGAAGATACGGTGCGAAGATGCGCTTTGCTGGTCGCCGACCATTTCGTCAATCTTGAGGTGCACAGGTTCCAAGTGCTTGTCGAAGACCGGGTTGGAGAAAGGCAACACGGCAATGTCGCTGTGCTTGCTCTCGCCCTGTGCAGCGTTACCTATCGGCTGGCTACCGGGCGGAGCATCGGCCTTACCAAGCTCAAGCTTCTCATTGCTGAGATGCTGGACCGCATTCAGCAGCTTCACGAACGTTTCTTGTACTTTGCCGGTTGGCGAAGGAGGGGCTTGCGTGAGCTGGAGGAATAGGCGCCCATCGATGTAATCGACGAGATCGTTCTTGGACGCTTGAGCTTCGGAAGCCCTTCCGAGACTGGAACCGCGTAGGATCGCCTCAGAAATGATGGTCAGGCTGCGCAGCGCCTTTTGAGCATCGTTAGCGCCCTTGGTAGTGCTCAGTCGCCGTGCTGAGAGAGGGAGATGCGCTATCAAGGCTTCGTGCAGTAAGAACACGCAGCATAGCTGGGGCAGCAGCTCTGGCTGTTGCAAGCCTGGTGGCGGATGAGCCATGAGCTTACTGACAGCTATGACAGCCAGGCGCTGGCGGTCCGAGAAGTCTTCAGCAAAGGACTGTAACTTGGAGATCTCGCTGGATGCGTCCAGAGTCCGCTCTTCACTTGGAGCTGGCGCCGCAGATCGTTTCATCACCAATCCTCGTTTCTCTAGCACCATCGTCATTATCTTCGTGTCCCGCCACTCCAACCCGTTCACCAATGCTATGTTGTACCCTCGTGAAATGAAGGTAAGAATCATTAGACGAAGGGCCACTCGCTGCGCGCTCGGGCTCGCCTCGCCTACGCCATCACTGACCGCCTTGCCTTTGCGATCTAACGGTAAAGCTCCGTCGTGAATGGCCAGAAAGTAGGGCCCGGTAGCCGTCAGATACCTGTTGAAATCGTCCGAGCCATAGTCCGAGAACACCTTAACAGCTACATCCGGATGCGAGCCAGGTAGGTTTGCCTCGAGGTGGCGAATGATAGCCGTGCGGGCTAGATAGTACTTGCATGCATTCTGCTCGCTTGCAGTCGGTGGCACGCAAACCTTCTTGTTGCTCTCGAAGAAGACGATGTGGAAGTTACACTTGCGCTTGACGAGATTATGCAAGAAATGCTCGACGTTGTAGGCTGCATGGAGCATCTGAAAGCCGTCTTCGAAGTCCAGCTTCGAGTCCGAGAAACACCGTAACAGCATGGAATCGCCTTCGATTAGAAAGAGCTCGTCACCAGCATAGTCGCCCACCAGATCGACTCTTCGTGATTGCAGCTTGCGGTAGGCACTCAGTATTTCGCTCTCCTGGGCTTCGTTCACTTCGCCTCCGGCCGAAGAGTCGTCAGAGTCATCAGAGTCGTCAGAGTCGTCAGAGTCGTCCTCAACATCGTCCTTCTCGTTTCCATCGTTGACACCCTCGGAGCTATCGTCCGAGTCAGCATCCCAGTCGTCAGCCACATCATCTGCCTTTGCTGCTCCGTTGGCAGCATCGTTCGCCGCACTCATCTTGGCGGATTATCTTTCGTTTTGAGATAGAGTTGGAAAACTTCTTAAGCTGGCATAGCTGTTGTGGGTATGCTGCTGCGACTCGTAATGACACTGCGTTCAGTTCGGTTTGTGTGCGGTCTTGTTTAATGTTGCAAGTTCTTGTATTGATGAGAGGATTGATTGAGGGGGCAAACACGGCGTTGGAGAAACTGAGTTTGTGAGTGCGCTGGATCGCGGGGTCGCTGCGCCACACGAGCAATTGGAAGTGAAAGTTTCTAAGATCCAACGGCAATCACACGCCAGAGACAGCACCCCACTAAATTTTTGTCGCTTCAACTTTTTGATATGAAAATGCCGTCTTCTTCCAGATAGCCTACAGCATACCTACCCAACCACAAATTCGCGACTCACTCCTTCTATCCCACTCGCAGCTACCTCCTCTCTCCGCAGCCCCGTTTTCGTCACCAACAATCCCACCGCCAGCGCCCCGGATGGACGCGCACGCCCTCCTCACGGCGCAGGGATGGCGGGGGACAGGCCACTCGCTACACCCGACGAGCGACAGCAACGGGCTGACGCACCACCTGCTGATCAAGCGCAACAACGACGGGCGCGGGCTGGGCAGCCGCAAGGCGGACCACAAGGCGACGGCCTGGTGGCTGAGCGCCTTCGACCAGGCCCTCAAGGGCATCGACACCGGCGGCAGCAACGGCACCATGAGGCAGACCCTGCGGAACGGCGCGCTCGATAAGATTACGGCGCGGTCGGCGGCCAAGTACACGGGCGCCCGGGGCTTGTACGCGTCGTTTGTGCGGGGCGGCGTTATTGAGGGGACGGTGGGGAAGAAGGTTGTGCCCGTTAAGAAGGAGGAGGAGGAGAAGGACGTGAAGAAGGCGAAGCAGGCGAAGGCGCCGCGGCGGCAGAGGGAGCAGTTGGTGACGCCGCCGGATAGTGGTGCGGGTACGCCGCGGGTCGACGACGCTGTGAAGGAGGGCGAGTCGAAAGAAGAGAGGAGAGCGAGGAGGGAGGCGCGCCGGTTGAACAAGGCAGAGAAGCAGGCGCGAAAGGAGGCGGGGGAGCGGGCGGCCAGGAAGGTCGAAAAGAAAAAGGCCAAGAAGGCTGAGCGGAGCACCAAGGTGGTCAACGAGGAGATCGAGGATGAGGTCAGGGAGGAGACCAAGGAGGAGCGTAAGGCGAGGAGAGATGTGAGGCGGAAGCGGAAAGAGGTGAAGCGGCGAGCTACAGCATCTAGTGGATGAAAGCAGATCTGGACAAGGTTTCGCTATTCTCCTGTCGGAGACGCCTCCTTTGGATCGCAAGACGCAACGCACCGGGGGGCCGAACATGAGGCATGCCGGAATGAGCCTACCTCAGCACATGAGGCGACATATTGGGGTATCACGATTCTATTATGTCTGCTTCGGAACCTTGCCCGGCTTGTTCGACAACAGCCACGGCCGCCTGTCCCAGAAGTCGTCTTTGATAATATCTAGATGGTCCACCACCACTCGCGCCTTCGCCCGTCGCTTCTTGTCGGTCTCTTCCTGCGTCTTGGACTGCTGGACTGGCTCGGCCAGATTATCCACCGCGTCCGCCACCCTCTGGCCTGCGGGTTCAACGAGCTCATACTAGCAGCTGTTAGTACAAAATCAAGTCGACGGACTCCTACGATGCTTACATCTCGGAAGACCACAGTGCCCTTCCTGAAGACCTCTGGTTCGTTGTTGTAGTTGATCTTAAACTTCGAAAAGAGAATCTCGTTCTTGTCCGCTGAGAGGGTCGGCTGCATGCCAATCAATTTCGGGCTCTTCCTTGAGGGGTGAGCACTCACCGCGAGGAACTTTTCGGCATCTTTGGCTTCCATACCACCAAGCTGGATCAACGACCAGAACGTGGTGTTGTACAGGTTGTTGATGTGACCTGTTTATTGCCCATGAATATGGCACCGGCTGTTGGGAACGAGGGTGTCACATACAGTCAACCTGCCGCCAGCTCATGTAATCCCGCAGATTCTGGACGCTGGGATAGCAAACAGCCCGTCCGTCAAAACTGGGAAGCGGAGATGATAAAGGCGTGTCGGGGAAGTAGCTGGACCACAGATGGACATAGTATGCAGTGAACGTCGAGGAGATTGTGGTTATCAGTTTACTGTGTCTTATATCAGACTGAATTCTTACTGATGGCACTTCAGCAACTCTTACCTTGATCTCCGTTCAAACAAGGTGCAGCTCTTGTGCAATACGAAGCTAGTATAAGTCGGTCAGTTGGTCACCTCAGCTCAACGATCAAAGATCTACAATGGTGCACACCTATACTCATCACTGACTCCATACGCGATGGTGATGTCTGGCAGCTCGGTCACGACTGCTTTCGCAGCAGCGTTCATGAGGTCGACGGCTCTGCGATCGTTGGGCTTCTCGAAGCCGTACTTGGCGCATAGCCTATGTGAACGTCAAAATTCAAGCAATAAAAAATTGTGATATAGATTTGGGGTAAATCACTTGCTGAACCCCCGCCCGTCGATTCTGATGACTATCCATGTGTTTGGTAGAAGGTATTTGTCGTGCTCAAACTGTTTCACGTATTCGAACCTGGACGGCATGTCAGTCTAGGGCAGCCAAGTCTGATGCCCACTCACCGAGAGTTGGCCATGTTTCCAGTGCTGTTCTGACAGACGGACTTTGCACCAATGTGACAGATTCCTCTAAATTTTCACCAAATGAGGGGTGAAGCAGGAGGCTCGAGCAAACAAGGCCCACGATGAGTTAGAGCTGGCGTTGATTATTAAGTAGATACCTAGGGACGATGATGGCGTCGTTAGGGCAGCGTTGATAGTGGGGGATCAGCGGGGTGGTCCCTGTCCGGACCCCGGAAGATCGCGTCAATCGAACTGCAAGGCTACGACATTGCACATTGTGCTTCGTACCACAGAGCTCGACCCCGATCTGCAAGTTTGCCCAAGTTTCCCCAAGGCCCCAAGCAGACACTCGCAGGCGTCGTGCGCCGTCGCAAACCAATTCTATCCTCCTGCAAACCAGATATGCATGCGCTACCATGAATCTGCTACTCTCCGACGACTACCTGCTCCAGGACTACCCCGAGAACATCACCAACACCATCCGATCCGGCCACACGACATGTCTGCGCTTCAACCGCAAGGGCGACCACCTCGCCTCGGGGCGCGTGGACGGCACCGTTGTCGTGTGGGACCTGGAGACGATGGGTGTCGCGCGCAAGCTGAGGGGCCATAGGTCGGCCATCACTTCGTTGAGCTGGTCGCGGTGCGGACAGTACCTGCTCTCCGCCTGCCAGGGCTGGAGGGCGGTGCTATGGGACCTGCAGCATGGGACGAGGTTTAGAGAGGTGCGCTTTCGGGCGCCTATCTACACAGCCGAGTTGCATCCCTGGAATCAGTAAGGGCTGCCCTTTGGTGCAATAGATTGAACGATGGGCCACTGTGACTAATTCGAAGGTGTCTAGTAAACTGTTCGTCGCTTCCATCTTTGACGAACCCCCGTCGCTGGTTGACTTCAGCGGCTCGGGCGACATCAAGCACACCCTACCCTCGGCGCCGAAACGAACGAACGCCGATGCCGACGCAGCGACAAAGGAGAAGCAGGCAAAAGAGGACGCGAAGCAGATGACGACAGCGACGTTATGGACTGTCACCGGGGACCACATACTTGCCGGCACGAACAAGGGTCGGATCAACATCATAGACGCCAACACCCGCGAAATCATATGGTCTGAGAAGATATGCAGCTCGGTAGTGACGACATTACGGTTGACTGGGTCAGGAAGAGAACTACTGGTTAATTCCCAGGATCGCATTATCCGGACATTCCATGTGCCCAACCTATCGGCAGAGAACCTCGACCTGGATACGATACAGATGCCACTAGAGCACAAGTTCCAGGACGTGGTCAACAGACTCTCCTGGAACCATGTCACATTCAGCGCGACAGGGGAATATGTAGCAGCATCCACATATAACAATCACGAGCTATACATATGGGAGCGGAATCACGGTAGTCTGGTCAGGATGCTGGAAGGGCCCAAAGAGGAGCAAGGCGTCATCGAGTGGCATCCACATCGAGCGGTGCTGGCTGCCTGCGGGCTAGAAACAGGCCGCATCTACATCTGGTCAGTGACAAGCCCACAGCGGTGGTCGGCCTTGGCACCCGACTTCGTGGAGGTCGAGGAGAACGTGGAGTATATAGAGAGGGAGGACGAGTTCGACATTCATCCGCAGGAGGAGATCAACAAGCGCCGGCTAGATCTGGAGGACGAGGACATCGATGTGCTGACTCTGGACCCGAGCAAAGGGTATGATGAGGACATCGAGGGCACGGGTTTTCAAATGCCGGTGTTGTACAACCTGGGCGAAAGCGACAGCGAGGAGGAGTTCGTTGCGGTATCGACAGGCACGGTCAGACGGAGAAGCATGGGCCAGGAGGGCGAGGTTCCAGTCGAGGAAGAGAAGACCGTTGCGGCCAAAAAGGCACCTGGTAGAGCAGGGGGTAAGAAGAAGTGATACGGCTCTTCATATATATAAATACCTGAGGTGCCACCAACCAAATCCGCCACGAAATAAAAAATACTCCGATGATCGTACCTCCTATCGCCTATGCGTGCACAAATAGCCTTCCATCCAATGAATGGGTAGACGTCATTCTATGCTGTGACAATAGAACATTGAGGGTAAAGAATGGAAAGGACTTGGAACTGCGTGACCAAGTGGTGATACCCAAACTCCAAATTATCCTCCAGGTGTAATTCGTTGAACGTGGCGGTGCATCCATTCGAGGCGACTTTGACCTTGACAGCTTGACTCACCAGCGAGGATCAATCCCGGTCTTGCAGCGGGGCACGGGACTGCAGCGCACTGACCATGTAATGTACTTAGATACTTAAAGCTGGCCCAGGGCACCGCCATTTACCAAGTACTGATACTTAAGTCGCGGCTGCACGGAACAAAGCTCTTCCAGTGAAGACCCATTTTACCCATTGGCCGAACGAGGACTAGCGCTTTCCTGTGGCGGCTTCTGCCTCATTTCTTGGTGATCTCTCAACGCCCTTGAGTGCAGGCCATCCTCTCCCATAACAACTATCTTCACGATTGACGAAGCATCACCAACACGCGTCGGATCACGCGCCTGACTTCCTCCTGCGAGTATTCGACATCGAGGCAGTCATCAGAACTGTGATTTCCATCGCCGCGACGCATCGCTCGACTCGCGCGCCTTGGTGAAAATCTGACTCTCAACCTCAGGCACCTCAGGCCGCTTGGCCTGGCTGGCAGCGCCTCCAGTGCTATCACGCTGACCGCAATCCGCGGTCCCTTCCCATTATTGATCGCCGCACTTCGAGCAGCGTCCCGCGCTATATAAATCAGTACGCCAGTCTTTGCGGTTGCTGGTTTTCTTTTCGCGAGACACGAATCACGAAATCCGACATCCCCCAAATTCTCACCCGACTGTCACCTCGACTCATTCTCCTCCCCCGCAACCATCATTCAAGATGGCGAACCTCCACTTTGCGCACTCGGATGCGCCCCTGAAGATCGTAGAGGAGATCCAGTTTGGTCTTCTCTCGCCTGAGGAAATCAAGAACATGAGTTGCGCCCACATCATGTATCCCGAGACGATGGATGAGACTCGAACAAAGCCGCGTCAGAATGGATTGAACGACCCTCGCTTAGGCTCTGTGGATCGTCAATTCAAATGTGGCACTTGCTTGGAGGACATGAATGTGTGTCCCGGTCACTTTGGTCACATTGAGCTGGCAAAGCCTGTCTACCATCCCGGGTTCATCAAGAAGGTCAAGAAGATCCTGGAGATGGTCTGCCATAATTGCAGCAGGGTCTTGGATGATAGAGTCAGTTTCCTGCTCTGGCTTCCTGACTAGTCTGGATCTTGTTGATGCTAATTGAGCTACGGTAGGAAACACCAGAGTTTGCGGCCGCAGTTGCCACTCGAGATCCTAAGGCTCGATTCCAACGCGTTTGGAACTGCTGCAAGCAGAAGAGGCAATGTAGCAACGAGATCCCCAAAGACGAGAACCAGGAGTACGAACCCGGTAACAAGCCCAAGACCATGGGTCACGGTGGTTGTGGCAACATCCAACCTCAAGTTCGGCACTCTGCGCTCAGACTTACCGCTCAGACCGAGACGCGGGATGAGAGCGGCGCCAAGGGTAAGGAACAGCGGATCATTACGCCTGAGATGGCCCTCAACATCCTGAAGCACATCTCCGATGAAGATCTTCGGGATATGGGTTTGAACAAGGATTACGCTCGTCCGGAATGGATGATCATCACTGTTCTCGCCGTCCCTCCGCCTCCGGTCCGCCCCAGTATTTCGATGGACGGAACTGGTCAGGGCCTCAGAAACGAGGATGATCTGACGTACAAGCTGGGAGATATCCTCCGTGCCAACATTAATGTCCGCCAAGCCATTCAGGAAGGTTCCCCTGCTCACATCGCTTCGGAGTTCGAGCAGCTCCTGCAGTACCATGTTGCTACCTTGATGGACAATGACATTGCTGGTCAACCTCAAGCTCTGCAGAAGAGCGGCAGGCCAGTCAAGTCAATTCGATCACGTCTTAAGGGAAAGGATGGTCGACTCCGTGGAAACTTGATGGGCAAACGTGTCGATTTCTCTGCGCGTACAGTCATCACTGGTGATCCCAACATATCTCTCGATGAAGTTGGTGTGCCCCGAAGTATCGCGAGAACCTTGACGTATCCCGAGACCGTCACGCCATACAACATTTCTCGGCTTCACAAGCTCGTGCAGAACGGCCCCAACGAGCATCCGGGTGCCAAGTATGTTGTTCGCTCAGACGGAACCAGAATCGATCTCCGACACCACAAGCGCGCTGGACAAATCTCTTTGGAGTATGGCTGGAAGGTCGAACGTCATCTCCAAGACGGTGACTACATCATCTTCAACCGTCAGCCATCTCTTCACAAAGAGTCCATGATGGGTCATCGTGTCAAGGTGATGCCTTATTCTACGTTCCGACTGAACCTGTCGGTCACCTCTCCGTACAACGCAGATTTCGACGGAGACGAGATGAATCTCCACGTACCGCAGACCGAGGAAACTCGTGCCGAAGTCCGCGAGCTGTGCATGGTACCTCTCAACATTGTTTCCCCGCAGCGAAATGGTCCGTTGATGGGTATCGTTCAAGACACCCTCGCTGGTGTCTACAAGATATGTCGGCGCGACGTATTCTTGACTAAGGAGGAAGTCATGAACATCATGCTCTGGGTCCCGAACTGGGATGGCATCATTCCTAAACCTGCCATTTACAAACCCAGACCCCGGTGGACAGGAAAGCAGATCGCCAGCCTGGTCATCCCACGGGAGATCAGCTCGTACGTTCCCGGCACGGGTAACCCATGGTGCCCTCTCACGGACGATGGCTACCTGATCCAGTCGGGCCAACTCATTTTTGGTCTGCTAACCAAGAAGAACGTTGGTGCCTCTTCTGGTGGTATTATTCATCTCTGCTACAACGAGCTCGGTTCTGACGGTGCGATGGCTTTCATTAACGGATGCCAGCGTGTCATCAACTACTGGCTTCTTCACAATGGTTTCAGTATTGGTATCGGAGACACAATCCCTGACAAGATTACCATCGAGAAAGTACAGGAGAACATCGACGAGCAGAAGAATATCGTCGCGGATCTGACTGCCCAAGCCACTGCAAACCAGTTGGATGCACTCCCGGGTATGAACATCAGAGAAACGTTTGAGAGCAAAGTCTCCAAGGCTCTGAACTCTGCCCGTGACAAGGCAGGTACTACGACAGAGAACAGTCTGAAGGACATCAACAATGCCGTGGTCATGGCCAGGTCTGGTTCCAAGGGTTCATCCATCAACATCTCCCAGATGACTGCTTTGGTCGGTCAGCAGATTGTCGAAGGAAAGCGTATTCCCTTCGGCTTCAAGTACAGGACTCTGCCCCATTTCTCCAAAGATGATTATTCACCGGAGGCGCGTGGCTTTGTCGAGAACTCGTACTTGCGAGGGTTGACTCCTTCCGAGTTCTACTTCCACGCCATGGCTGGTCGCGAAGGTCTCATTGATACCGCGGTCAAGACTGCCGAGACGGGTTACATTCAGCGACGTCTCGTGAAAGCACTCGAAGACGTCAGCGCCAGATACGACGGCACTGTTCGCAACTCCCTTGGCGATATCATCCAGTTTGTCTACGGTGAAGATGGTCTCGATGGTATGCACATCGAGAAGCAAGACATGGGACACTGGCTCCTGAAAACGGCCGACTTCGAAAAGGATTACCGCCTGGATGTTATGGAGGACATCCGCCCTGCCGACCTGAAGGCTCTGGAGTATGCTCAGGACATTACTGGTGATCCGCAAACGCAAGAGCTGCTGGACGCCGAATACGAGGCAATCTGCCAAGATCGCGCGTTTATTCGCGAGATCAAGATGAACTCGGAGAAGCTAGAGTCGCAGTTTCAGCTTCCCTTGAATATCAACCGCATGATTGACACGACCAAGCGTCTACTCAAGGTTGAGGAGAATAAGCGAAGCAGCCTTACGCCTCAGGATGTCATTCCCGTTGTGAAGCAGCTCCTAGATGGAATGGTTGTGGTTCATGGCTCTGACGAAATCTCGAAAGAAGCCGATCTCAACTCCTCCCGTCTTTTCAAGGCGTTACTCCGCGCGCGACTTTCCTTCAAGAAGCTTGCATGCCGTGACCGCCTGGATAAGATGGCTTTCCAGCACATCATCGGAGAGCTTGAAAGTCGCTGGCGCCGATCAATGGTCAGCCCCGGCGAAATGGTGGGCGTGTTGGCCGCTCAATCAATCGGTGAGCCTGCCACGCAGATGACACTGAACACTTTCCATTTCACTGGTATCGCTGCCAAGAATGTCACGCTCGGTGTTCCACGTCTGAAGGAAATTCTCAACGTGGCCAGCAATATCAAGACGCCATCAATGATGGTGTATTTGGAGAGGGGTGAGGGTTCCCAGGACCACGCGAAGAAGCTTCGGAGTGCGGTTGAACACACCAACCTACGTGATGTCACAGCCGTCGCCGAGATCTACTACGACCCCAACATTGAGACGACCACTATTCCGGAAGATGTTGATATCGTGGAGTCGTATTTCCTCTTACCAGACGAGACGCACGCGCCCGTTGAAAGACAGTCGCGATGGTTACTTCGTTTCGTTCTTGACCGACAGAAGATGTTGGACAAAGAACTGACGATCGAAGACGTCGCTACGCGGCTCAAGGAAGACTATGCTAACGACCTGGCACTCGTGTACAGTGACGACAACAGTCCACAGCAGGTGATCCGTATCCGTCCGATGCCCGAAGATAAGGAGGATTCGGACAAAGGTATGGAGGACGACGTGATGCTCAAGCGGCTATCGGATCATCTCCTTGAGAACTTGACACTACGTGGTGTCAAGGGTATCGATCGAGCTTTCATGACCAAAGGCAACCGTGTTGCCGAGACTCGTGAAGGTGCCCTGGTCCAGACGAAGGATGACCCTCTTTGTGATGAGTGGTATCTTGATACGTCTGGTACAGCTCTACGTCAAGTCCTCTCAGTCCCCGGTGTGGATTACCGGCGCACAATCACCAACGACTTGTGGCAGACCGTCGAAGTCTTTGGTATCGAAGCTGCTCGGAGTGCCCTCCTGAACGAGCTGCGACGAGTGCTGGCCTTCGACGGTTCGTATGTCAACGAGCGTCATCTGTCTCTCCTGGTTGACGTCATGACATATCGAGGAAGCATTGCTGCTGTTACCCGTCACGGTATCAACAGAGCAGACACTGGTGCCCTGATGCGATGTTCGTTTGAGGAGACAGTCGAGATTCTCCTGGAAGCTGCCGCCATAGGTGAACTGGATGACTGCAGAGGTATCTCCGAGAACGTCATGCTGGGCCAACTTGCCCCAATGGGCACCGGACACTTCCAGGTCTTCTTGGATCCGAAGATGCTCGACACGGTCATCTCCGACAACTCTAGGATGGGTCTCATGCCCGGCATGACGGTCAAGGGTAACCAGGTTGATGGTGCTGCGACACCGTACGATACTGGCTCGCCCATGGCAGACTCGGGTTACGGAATGTCTCTCGCATCGCCGTCCATGGGTATGGGTAACTTCTCGCCTATTGTTGGAGCAGGCTCCGACACGCCGACAGGATTTGGTACCGAGTATGGCGGCTGGGGTAGTGCTAGTCCTTACGGGGGACGCAGTCCCGGAGCTACTAGCCCGTTCTCCGGTGGCACTTCGCCGACATCACCTTTCGGCAGCTATGGTGGTGGTAGCTACTCGCCAACATCTCCAGGTGGTGGCTACTCGCCGACGTCTCCCATGATGGGTGGTGGTCGTTTCGCCAGTTCGCCGCACTTCAGCCCGACCTCGCCCTCATTCTCTCCCAGTTCACCTGGGTTCCGAGGCCCGAGCCCCACGAGTCCCAGCTATAGCCCGACGTCCCCGAGCTATTCTCCCACGTCTCCGACGTCCCCGAGACACTACTCGCCAACGTCGCCAGCGATGGGGTCGCCCACCTCGCCGAGCTACTCTCCTACGAGCCCGAACTACAGCCCCACCTCGCCCAATCTCCATGCGGGCGCTACTTCGCCTACGTACTCGCCTGTCTCGCCCAACTACTCCCCGACCTCTCCCGCTGCATACTCACCGACGAGCCCGACTTACAGAGCGTCGGGAACTCAGCAGTCCCCAACGAGTCCTGGGTACTCACCGACAGTTTGTCTTCCCATCCGGTCTTCCCGTTGATATTATGCTAATAACGGAATCTAGTCTCCCAAGTACGCTCCTGGAACTCCCCATGGTGGTGCCTCTAGTTCTAAGTTGTACGTTCCTTCCTACCCTGTTTCTACACATAGCGCTAACAAATCTGTTAGCTCTCCTACCTCCCCCAAGAACGACTAGTCGCGACATCTCACCAAGCCATGCACTCGGTTGTTTGAATACTACACATCAAGGCGTCTGGCGAATTCATTGCACTTCAACGCGGAGTTTTCAGGAGTTTCCCGTACTGCTTTCATTCCTTCTTAATAGCCTCTGATCGGGGTCACCGCATTTTAGAGGAGTGTCGTTCTCCCGGTAGCGAGGCGAGACTAAAGGAGACCAAAAGTTTTCGAGTCTTCTGGGAGCACAAAGGAGAAAAAAAATATCTGTTTGGAGTATATTGTACGAGTAGACGAGCAAGAGCAGAGAGGCAAGCTCGTGCTCCTGCAAAATCGACGAGATGGCGGCAGATTGCTTTTCCCGCGAGCGGAAGGACTGTTATAGGTGGGCAAGTTATGCCTGCTTTCGTACGGTGCGTCAGCGGTACAAGCTGACGAGCACAGTCCGAGGCAGGCGAGCGACGAGAAAGATGAAGACACGATGTGCGGTACGGTCTGGTATGGCATTGGCAGATTGTGCCAGACTTCAGGCACCACACTACGCGCAACAGTCTCTCCGGCATTCTGCTTATTCTGTGGAATTAGTGGAATCCGGTTTTGTCGGTTGGTAGGTAGTTAGTCCTAGGTAGTGCTCGTCAATGGATGACATCAGACCACTTTCTTCCTGTGATCCTTCGTGCCTGTGATACTGTGATTGAAGTCCGTGAAAGTCCTAGGCGGTGAAGTCCTGAGTCCTAGCGGTGAAGTTGGACACAACCAGCTGAGCAGGATCAACCAAAGAACTAACAGCTTAGGTCCTATCACGGGCACGCGGACTCGCCAGCCCGATGCTCCGTTCACCGATAGTCGCACCAGATCTCTGACCACCTGGGTAATGTACAGGCTGTCTGGGCATTAAAAATGTGATAGGATCCAGACGTAGCATCCGGGCCACACCGGCTGACAGACCGCCGGCCTTCCTCCGGGGATTGTCTGCCCGCTGCGATCTGCAGCGACGGGGCCAACATGGCGGGCCAGCGTTACTTCGATCCTTACTGGGTTACAGCTGAGCTGGTAAAGATAGCTCTTCCCCGGCCTCATGAGACAGGTAGGTTGTTTGTCATCACCGCGCACGTCGCACGTGTTGGTTCACGTGAGTTTCGTTCAATGTTTCAAGATGGGAATCCTACGTTTACGACACCTAACATACCCATCTATCTATGGTGACTCGAGGCCAGCAATGGCAGGTGGAGGCGAACAGTACCAGAATATGGTGCATACATAGACACAGCAACGGGTGTCTTTCTAGCCGCCTGACTGACCTATCTGAGTCAGACTCCTTCTTCCGTGCCCTTTCTGCCGGTGTGCTCACCAAGGCCACGTGGTGAGGACTAGATCGAGCTCCATTTGCCAACGTATATCCTGCACGTTTCCCAGACCCCGGCGGCGTAGGGCTGTGGCCCCATGCCATGTGGTTGGCAGCTGAATGAAGGAGGCTGGCCGTAGGCCACGTTATTGGGTTAGGGCTGAGAAGTGCCGGGCGGCTATCGCGTGGCTGTGGGCGCTGGGGGCAGAAGAGATCGAGCTTACCTGATGAACCTACCCCATGTGACCTCATCCAGCTCAGTAAAAGTGACGGATTTGGATATTCCGGTTGCTTTCAAATACAACGTGGAAGGAAGCGCAGGATCGACCCGCGCTAGTACTTCTACTGAGTCTGATAGAGGCGGTGGCATATCCAGCGGCCGTGGTATGTAGGTCGCCAAAGAGGCCTAACTAGGTCGGTGGGAAATGACGAGGGAGGATTCGAATTCTGCCTGGGTCTCGCCCGATCCCCCAATGCTTCCCAATCAGGTAGCTCTTCGGGGCCGAGCGCGAATGATGGAGAGCTTTCCTACGACAGTGAGTCGTATCGCGTTGAATTGGCGTGGTTTCATAGGGGCGGCGAATGGTCTCATCAGACTGGAGGAAGTAAAAGGACCATGCATTTGAAGCTTTGCTCGGGTTGAAGCACCTCTGCGGCGTTCCGGCTGGCGATCTGTTCCGCGAACTGGTCTCGACATGGATTGTTGTTGCACAGCATCTTGGGTCAGGTTGCAGTGGGGATCGGAGTACATGGGCTGCAATATCGTGTCTTCATCGAACTGCTTTTGTGCTTTCACGCACAGTAAGTAGATGCTAGCACTTACTCCCCAACTTGCACGTGTGTCGGTGGAGGTCAACGTGGTGGTGAGGCCACAGAACCCACCACAACGCTCCTGGTCGTCTACCTAATTCCGGGACTGGCGAAAGCTCAGCTGTCAGACTGCGCGACACAAATTTGGAAGAATATCTCAACTTACTGCATCCTTTGACTGGGTAAGGTGCAGTGCTTTCGCGGCACTTCTTCATGTCATAAAGGCGCTTCCGCTTGCGCAAGTAGGCGGTGAGACGATCCACCCAAAAGACGTGAGAAAAGAGGTGCCTGCCAAAATCAGTTTCATGAAAGTGTGCAAACTGTGTCGAGGTCGGCGTGAGAAATGCAAACCAGGCGTAATTATAGCATCACTGGTCAGCGAGCAATAGAACCCGCAGAGATGAGCCTAGATCCCCCTGGTCCTTTCATCACATTCTCAAGGCGGCCTTAGACGCTCATCAAGCGCGTGGCCCCATTGCAATCGCCTAAGAAGCGCGAAAAATGACCAACGTCAGCCGATAGCGCCGCTTCGGATATACGCGCGTTGCCGAGCCGCGGCTATGTCACCCGCAGAGCATCAATTGGGGGCCTTCGCAGGAGTTCGTCGTCGTAAGCGAGTGCGCAAAGTACTGAAAGGCTCCAGAATTAGTAGACAGTTGGTTGCATCATTTTCCTCCGAATCGTATGTAGCAGAGGCCACATGGGGGCTATTGGAAGTTGAGACGTTGTAGACACAGAGGGATTGTACCTCGAACCCCTGTCAGGATCATGTACAGGTTCGTGTACGAATGCGAAGTTTAAAGGAGCTTCACGGCACAAGTCGGAACAGATCGCGGCTCATAGTCCTAGCCTCCAAAGAAGTGATTGCCGACAGCCCTGTGGAGTTGTCACAAGGTCATCCTCGTCTGCATGAACTTACCTGAGGCAAGTGCCGCTAAGCAGCAGATGACAAGAGAATGTGTCTATCCTTGCTCTTTCGAGATCGATGGGCCCAACAGAACAAGTCGAATGCAGGCAGCGATAGCCACGAGCCAGGCAGTCATGGTGAAGTCCCGGCTCCGGCCACACCGTCTTCTGTCCTGCTCCTGGCACGTGCTTATAAGCTTGCGCAAGCTCGGTAGAGCATGCTCGCATGTCTCCTGACCATAGTATGGCAACATCGATCGGCTGGCTTGAAGTTCTGTGGATGCTGTTGATGCACGTTTCCTCAGGCCTAAGTTGACTTGTCTCCTCTTTCAGAATTTTTCAGTATCTGCTCCGCACAGTACGGTACCAATTCGACTTGGGGCAGCCACTCATTGGGATGCTGATAAGTCTCGAAGACTAGAGTTGAATTAATAGCAGGGTGTAGGGGTTGATATTGTCCTATCGCAAGCGGGAAGAGGTCATACAATCTCTTGCTGGACGAGACTAAGGTTGCTCCTGAAGATCGGTGACTACCAACATGGTGTCATCTTCAGACTTCGGTCATCAAGTTCCACTGCGGGCCGGTCCCATTGGTCGGAAGCAAAAGGACGGCGTGGCAACCGAAATGTCGAGGAACGGGTTCGGCACGGAGAGGGCGACGTTGCGTCGAAGCCTAGAAGTCTGTGTTTCTGTCGAGTACCGAGTGTTGTTGCTTCGACCCCTTTCTTGTATATACGCCCTGCTGGGGGTACCACCATCACCCTGCGCCACGGAGATACTATGATTGGATGACGTGAGAATATTTCAAACAGTTGGGGGCCGTCTCGTGCAGACATCTCTGCCCCCTTTGCTTCCTCGATCCCTGCACGGCCGCATAGGCCAACGGGCTGCTTGCAAGGGTCCCTGAGAAGATCATCAACGTAGTCACAAGTACCTTTCTGGTCGAGCCGTGCCGCAACGACCAACGTCGAATACGGCTGACATGCCAGGGATTGGAATCGAAGGTCATCAGACCAAAGCCTAATGCGACGCAGGTCTTGCGACGCAACCAATCTCGTCACGTTCGCAAGTCGGTTCCATTCTCCAGCTGGCTTTGCCAGGCCAAAGCTCATTTCGGGATCGACGAATGCTTCCTGGTCCCTGGAGTCGACATGAGCTATGCAAGATCAACCAGAAGCTTCCACATATATGTATGTTGGGCCGGCTGCCGCTGCAGACGCCTCTGTGATGTCTCTTGATTGGTGGCTGCGTCACTTTAGCCGCCGTACCGCTGAGATCGTCAAGCGAATGCAGGGGCCGGCCATAAGATGTGATAACCACGAGGAATACCTAAGCGCCAGTTGACGTCGGTGTTGGAAGGTACCAGCTTTGATGACAGAGCAGCCTCGTCCATGGGTACATGAGTCTGACGGTAATAGCCGATATTGGTGTAGCAGTTGAGTATTTCATTGGAGGAGCCAGAAGGGTGTTGGTTGGTCACGCAATGCCGGCGAACCTCCACATGGATGTTTGCTTCGATGGCGCGGCTCTTCTTGCTGCGGCTGCTATTTCCGACTGCCAGCAGGCAGGGCCCGCGGTCAAGCCAGCTTAGAGTACTCATTCAGGCCATGTAAATACAAGAGGTGGTGACTACTTTAGGCTGTGGCATTGGCTTGGTGACCTGTCGAGTGTTGGTTTGCGGGTCTACCGTGAGCTACCTAACGGACAGTGCATGCTGTTGGATGGCCTCTCGTATGTTCGGCAAGCGCGTCGCACGATTGGAAGCGTAAACGCAGCTGTCCGTTAAATCACGGCTCTTCCAGCGTGCCGGGTCAACGCGTGGTCGGTGAGCAGCATCTAGACTGTATGACGAACGGCGTGACTCAGGGGAACACAAGGTTGGCGACATGAATGTTACCTCACAGCGCGGAAAAAACGGTCGTAAACTGTCGTGTGACGGATGTCCTCCAGCTGTTGCCAGTGGGGAGCTGGAAGGCTGGAAGTGTAGTATCGTGGACGTCGTATCTGCCGGTGGCAAGGCGCTAGGCCGGGTTTTCGGGTCAACACCGACATTAGTCGCGCGTCTTGGGCGCTTAAGCGGCCGCGAGTGGCTGGCTGTCGTTGCGGTTCACCGAGAGAGCAGGAGGGAGAAAAGGGGAAGAGTCACGTCGAATGTGGAGCGTGATGATATGACCGAGGAGGATCCATAAGATATGCGTTGACATTAGACGCGAGGCGACGACGGTGCCCGTTGGGAGGCGACTGCCTCCGTCTATGCAGCTAGACGAGCCGCGTCGCGAATTGCCGCCGTTCAACAGGGGATCAGCAAGCCTCAAGGGCAGAAGGTGTATTATAATGTAACTCTTAGGGTGCCAAGATGGCGGGTGAGATGAACAATGCAAAAGTGACCAGTCACCCAAGGACTCAGGAGGAGCGATAGGCTATGCCTGTCAGACTACCTTAGCATCGTGGGCTTTGTGGGGGAGACGGGCCGGTCAACGGGAGTGGATCAAACTGTGGACGAAAGCGGGGTGGAGTTCGAGGTGGAGGTGAGCCTAGAGCTTCCCCGGCGCGCTTTCCCCAACTCGCTCCCGGCGGATCCGCTTGTCTAGCCGCAAACTACCTAGCGTCCCTCCTCTGAACAGGCCACCAGCCCGTTCGGACTGGTAGAGCGTCTCTAGCTTGCCTGATCAGGACGTGGTCGCAGTATTGATGCATCGTCGTCGATCCTTCCTCCCTGTTCGCTTCTCCCTCCCAAGCAAAAGACCATAAGTGGGAATGTACGGTAGAAATAGACAATTGGGCCTCGACACGATCACATGATGAAAATTTGATGCGCCGCCTTGCAGTCTAGCTGCACATCAATCTCCTAATGCCCAAGAGGCAGCAGCATGCTTATCGTGCGGCGAACCATCCTGCAACCTCAGCTCATGCCCTGCGCTTATGGTGGCCATCGAATGCAACCGTTCCGATTGATGTTGGTGCCACTGTGGATGGGTTTTGACACCCGCATAGCCGCCCAACCAACCGACGGCGTCGGTTGTACAGAGCATGGCATATGACATATTTTCTCATGCATTCATACCCAGGCTGCCAGGCTGCTTTCTCCCCCTCAAATGAGCCTTCGGGAAGCCTGTTTGCCAAAGGCTGCGGAAACGGCCGCCGCGCATGCACCCTTGCGTTCCGCATGCTAGGTTGTGTAACATCCCACTACTGCAGCACGGCATTTCTGACAGGTTGGACAGCGTCTTCGGGCATGCAGCTTGCCGTTGTTTTTGCTCTCTGAAAGAATGCAGTTGTTGTGTGTGTGTGTGTGTGTGTGTGTGGTGAGGTATCAGGTATTGGCAGAAACAGATGTATTTGATAATAGACCAAAGGCTCGCTGAGAAAAGAGCAGTCTGACGGAGACTCCAGAGTACAACATGTGAAGCGAACTCCTTCTTCCAAATCCCAAACATTAGCCACTTGTTTCGTAGCCGTCGAACCAAAATCCCAGCAGCCGCGAGGCATATGGAGAGAACAGACAGGTAGTCCAACCTTCTAGAAAGTAATGAAAGAATGAAATGCTCGAACGTTGGCGCCTGAGTAGGCAACTCGCAGCTCGTCGAGTAGGAAAGAACACAATGGTATCAAAAAGGTCGCGATCGCTCGCAGGCATGTCTTCGACCCGGCAACGTCCCCACCCATCTGCCTTCATGAACAGCAACCCTCTAACCAACTTGGCTCTGGACGCCAATGCCGAACAAGCGCCACATTGCCTGGAAGACGGTCAGCCCGAAACATGAAGTGTGCGCAACACTCGTACTTGCCATTAGCCATTTCTTGCGGCTGCATCTTGACACTTAGGACAATCGGTATACTCGTTGGTGTCCGACTCTCTGACGCCATCATCGCTATGGCAAGTGTAACCATCGCCTGCCGAGCACGGCACTCGGTCACTCGTCTCGCACCCGCAAGTCCACTTTCTATTGTAGACGCGACACATGGTGAATGCGGACCCCGGGATATGGTGTAGAATGTATGTCTTCCGCGTTCACGGCAGGTTCTGTTTGCTTCAGCAAGTCTGTCAGTGTCGTACGTGACTGCCTCCAAGGGGCAACATACGGGCAATGGTGGTTGGTTGGACGGAGAGAAAAGCGTGAGGCTTCGAACAGGATATTGACAGAGTGCTCGGAGCGACGGCTTGCAATGGGCATAAGCTAGAGGAAGCTGAGGATTGTCTGGCCGATGGAGCTTTAGGACGGATGGCGATGACAAACGAATTCAACTTGACTTCGGAAGCGGGAGAGATGGGGACTTTATAGAGAATGTGACACGAGCTTGCGGGCCAATCTCGACGGAAGGGCTTGTGATGACTTGTTTGCCTGATTCGGGTACGGTGGCCTTCCAGGTGCGTAGGTGATGGGAGTTGCAGTTGGTTGTCTGCCTGGAGATATTCGCCAGTGTAGCAGTCGTGTGTTAGCCGGCGACAGGATGTCATCGTTAACCATAACAGCATGTGGCGCAGAGGGTGAGAACCAGCACCAGGCCATCAAGTAGGTCACCTCAAGATCCCGAACACGTACCTAGGATTCCGAGTGACTTGATGAGAACAAGCCGAGAGGGTAAGTGCAGCAGCTGCAGTTGGGTTGGTCGAAGGTGCAGCCATCAACTTCGAAACTGGCAGATTACCTAGGTGCATGGTCCTGGCCAGCGATGCACAATCTGGGGCCAGGGTCTTCCGAGATGCATCAAACGTCATTAGCTAGCCGGGACAGACACGCTCACTGGTGTCGCCGCACTCGATAGAGTGCCCGCTCCTGTAAGGGACACACGATGGCACACAAGGTATGGACCGCCTGGGTTTGGGGCAGCAGGGGCCCTAGCTGTCCTGATGAAGATAAGTAGGACCGTACATGTGTGATAACAGAGGGACCATTCGATCGCCCTGGGGTGAGCTGAGCAGTCAGAGGGTTGGGCCAGGGATGCAGCGGGAAGGGAGTCGTTCCGACCACGGGCCAAGTCTGGCTCAGGCTCATGGGGCTCCAATCCTCCAAGGCCACTCAGGTCACGGGTGCCGGGAATGGCCCGTGAAGAAGTACGGTAGGTGTCTGGCGCAGGGACTGCGGGATTGTTGGTCGAGTCTGACAGCCATCCCGGAAGGTGGTGTTGTTGTCTAGGTATGGATGAGGCGTGGTCATTGGCCACCGGCCACATCGTTGCTCATTATAGCTTTCATCATGTGTCACCGGCGTGGGCTCTTGAAGCTGAGTTGCTGTAGCTCCATGGAGCAGCTGCGGGATGCCTGGCAGAGCAGCCCGAGGGGTTCAATGGTTCAATGGTTCAACCATACAACGGGTCTTGGGCCACAATTTTGGGTAGGTTGGACAGTCCCGAGCGCCACACTGGCTGGGAGGCCAAGTGTTTGCTCGCCGCCGGCCGTGGTGTCTCATTGGTGGGAGCCAGGACTGGGCCGACTGGCAGCTATGGAGATACCCGATACCTACGCAAGAACTGGCGGGTATCCGATTTGCCTGGCTTTGGACTGGGTGTGGGCCGTGTTCTGACGAGGGATGGCGGTCCGTCGATGGGAGTGTTCGGGACGTCCATGGTAGCAATGCAGCATGGACCATGAGTGCAAGAACAGTTAGAACCTGAAGATTGGGCACATGCAGTGAGGAGGGAATTGGAATAGCGGGCGATCTTTCTGGGGGACGACAGACCCTTGAGGCTTGAGGCTTGGTAAGGGGGGCCTTGGGGCTTGGGGGTTTGACCCATGTTCAAGCACAGGCCGGGTTCCAAAATGGCAAAATCGAAGTGTGTGTGATGGCGCCGATGAGGGCACAGCTTGAAGCTCTGAATGCCGAAGATGCCACGATAGAAGCACATGCGGGCAGCAGAGAGGCCTGGAGACCAGCGAACAGCCCCCACTGCCCAGCCAAATGTAATAAGCAACATCGAAGGTAAGGTACACTTGGTAGCCCCTGCCTCCAGGTCTTGACAATTGCCCACCGCCTGCAGGCACAAGTCGACGATGTACATATGTAGGTGTGGCTTTAGTGATACATACAAGTACATCCATACATGCATATATGCGGCAATGCGGCAATGCGGCAGGCGATAGGTACCTCGCATAGAAACCAATCTACCTCAAGCTGTATCCTGGGGGCGCAAACCTCCTGCCTTCCCTCTTCCACCTGCTCGGGTGGACACCCATCCAAATTGGATCACATTCAAACCCCAACGCAACCTTATAGGGAACGCACCCTGGCAATAGTCTCTTTCAGGCAGGCGTCCACCTCCACCAGCAATCAGACGCGGCAATGTCGCATCAGGGACTTGCGCAGAAGCGAATCCCGACGACGACGACGACGACGACGACGACATACCACCGTGTGTGACAGCAGGTTGCCACAATCACACCTACGGCCACATGGGCCTATCGCACCCCCAACTACATGCAGAGTGCCACCTCGCCCACCGTGACACAACCACATGGCACTCGTAAAGCCCGGTCACACGCGAATGGTAGATTGCAGGACCAGCTCGATACAGAGCCCTCGCCGCCAAGCATCGTCTCTATGGGTGACTGCGCGTCCATCCCCTAGCCAGCATGTTTCTTCCCGCGGAAGGACAGCAGCCTGGAGTATGGCAGCAGCTCATGCATCACAATGCTTCACATATCGAGGCTTGCAGACTCGCTGGACCTGAAGCACACGGCAGTTCATGCGCGATCCACATGGCAGTTCACCTCTGTCGGCTTCCTTCTCAGACGCCTTCTAGAACGTGTCGATGAACACCTTCTCGATCAATACGGGTAACCAGGTGGTATCCGCAGCATCTCCTAGCCTCTCGAGTTTATTAACAGTTCGGCAACAAGTCAAGTACCACCTAGTTGTCTACATTTACCGCACGCCGAAAACGCGTCCAACTGACCATGAATGACAGAATGGCGTCCGTTCCGTTCTTCGCATGGGGCGACCAGGTTTCCAATATCCTACACCTCAAATCACCAGGCCCAGGGCGGGTATGCAAGAGGAGGCAACATCAGCTTCAAAATGACCTCATTTTCTTTCACCGACAGTTCGCGATGCCTAGACTGTGTGTCCGGATATTGACATGAGAGGCACAGGATTGCGTGTAGTCGAATAGGATACAATGCCGCCAGTGTATCGATCGGAATGACACCACTGAACCATCACAATGCTTCGCCGCCTATCAATCACGCTGAGACCTGTGATCAACTGTAAAATCATTTAATAACTGCTCTCGGCGCTGCCCTCGGTCTTCGTGTCGCCTTGAAATGGAGAGCCGACACTAGGGATAGAGGTGCAGGCACACACAAACTGCGAGTCAGCCTCAGCAACAGTCTCTTCTTCTCTCCTTGCAAGATCGCTGGCAATGCTACACTGCGCGTTGGCTACGGAGGGGCCAGTTACACAGTAGCTGAGTCCATATAAGTCTTCTGCCACTCACGTTCGAAGTCACGGATGAAGTTCTCCGGTATACTGCGTACAGATTTGTGCGCTAAATCTATCAACAGAAGGTGATCAGACCATTTGATCCGGTCAAACGAACTACCCTGGAGAGACGCATTTGTACTTGGTCGTGACCAAGAACCTAGTCACAGCGCACTCAGCCTTACGGGCCTCCTTTCCGGCCTCTCGGTGGGTCGGCCGCATCGCAGGCCACCCTCCCCAAGCAAACGATTCGCCGCCTTGCGAGATTATGGCCTTTCCGCGACTTATGTCATTCAATTGCCTGTGGGAGGGCTCCGATACCATGGTGCTGCTTCTTGCGACACACAGCTTCACGCTATCAAGTGACCACGAGGCTACCCGACAGAGCCTACCTCCAGGGGCAGTGATCAGGCCCAATCTGCGACCCCGATGACGGTTCATGCAACCTAAAGGGGCTTGAGGAGGGCATTCCAAGTACCACTTGGCGGATATTGGGGTGCTCAGATTGTCCAACAAGCTGCGCTTGCCGCGACAACAGCACCTGGGTGAGGGCCGGGCTAGGCAGCTCAATCATAGCCCATCTCCAGCAACCCTCCAGAAGCAGAAGCAAGTCTTGGCCAACCACATGCGTTTCTCATCAACAAAATGGTCTCTGAGTGGGCGTCTCGTGGTAGGGACAGTCACTCTATGAAAGTAAACTACTCGCACACTAACTAGAGTTATGAAGTTCACTGCCAAGGGCAACTCGCATCGCTCCATCACTCCAAGGTAACGTTAAAAGGGCGGTTGGCTGCAGTATCTCACTAATTATAAGGGCGTCATACTTTGACTTCATTGTCTGTTGGACACTGCTTCGCTACGGGCGTCTGCAAGGGGACAAGTTCGCCCTTGGCTTTCCTGTCGTGCTATCTGAGGAGATTTGGGCACAGGAGTACATCATCGTCACAATTAAGAATAATCATCGTCACAATCAAGGATACCAAAGACACCGGATTATGGGCCCCTGGCATGAGCTTGCGGGCCTTCGCGTTTCTCGCGGCAGAACGGAGCGGGATGGATCTTTGCCGCTGTAGATCGCCTGGGTCCAGAGCAACCAACTCTCGCCAACACAATTCTTTCGATCCCTTCGGGTCTCCCTTTTTGCTTTGGTACATGGGATACTGTTGGATACCCAGAGTTAATCGCGAAGCAGAGCGTGAAAGTACCAGGACGACCAATGGCAGTGCCGCGCGGGCTCTGAAATTAAGCGCCGATGCCATCCTGTCGGGTCTACACAACGTCGACGGGCTACAAATCTGAGAAGTCGCTGCGTCTAACACTGTTAGCCGACCCAGGTACATGTTGGAACTACTCGCAACGAGTTGGTCGTGGCCAGTCGGTCAGAAGGCTCGCGGATCCAATGCCAACAGTCCCGGCTCACGATCAAACTAGGCAAGTACCAGACCGCCAGTGAGCTTGGCACCCAAAGACTCTTGGATCGACGAATGGGTAGACACAGATGAGCAAGGTAGATGCTGTAACGGTAGAGTCATAGGTTCAGCAATGACCTCCCAGAACGAGTGGCGTGACCCTCGTGGTCTACTTGAGGGCACACACTTGACCCGAGCCAGTCTTGCTCTCCAGACTCATCACCAACACTCTCACGCACCGCCTTGGTCAGGGCATCCATCCACTACCCACCCCCTTTCGGCCCGGTCCATATGCATACACCCTCGCTCATGGCGACAAGTCTCTCACACGACGAGTGACTTCGGACGACAACTTCTAATAATCATTCGGCACCGACCTTTAGGTGACGAGGGAAGGGGGAACAGTCCACCTGCTACTTCCTCAACCCCGCACGTTTTGCTGCCTGACCCTAAGGTATTTCAAACGCGCAGGTATACCTGGTATCGATAATCTCGAGGCAATAGTCATGTAGCCCACGCTTTCACGCATCTGCCGTCACAGTGGATTTTCGCCAGAATTAGCCTTGCAACCCACGCTTTTCTAAGAACCCGCCCCTTTTGCAACACTACTAGCAGTTCTATGTACCAGAGCTGTGTGATTTGTCGCAGCATGAGTGAATTTGGGGCCCCTCCCACATGGGACCTAGGGGTAGCACAGGATCCTTCGAATGTGTGATTTGGGCGGGCACACCTCAACAGAGTCGGAGCTCGCAGCTCGCCGTTCGTTCTCGGTAGGGTGTTCGGGGGCCAATCCTCACAAGTATCATCAGTCTTGCTTTGCCGTTAGCAGGCACATGGCAGGAGTTGATCTTCACGCATGGGACTTCATGCCCTTGCGTCGTACGACAGCATGTGCTCACTGCCACTGGGATGATAGCTTAAGCTTCCGGGTTCCTCGCCGACATAGGCCATACACGCACGTACGCGTCGGAATTGTTCATCCGGGAGCGGCGCAAGCCCCTCGCGACGGGATGTAGGTCGGCAACTCCAGCAGCACCGAGCACGCCTGGGTACCGACGTTTCTTGACATCCTCTGAAGTGGTGCTGTTCATCTCTTACAATCAGGCACGCAACAGAGTCCATGGACTGGCCCATGAAGACTGCTGCTGCTCTATTGACAAGCTGACGCATCGGCATTCCAGGACACGCAGGCTTTACAGCCACCACTACGAGTGCCGCGAACACACGCTCCTGTCTTCATCCTGATCTTCAGCTTCTTATTTTCTTTCTTCTTCGAAAGCCACAGACACGTGCTGCAACTGACCTCTACGTCTTTTTAGCTCTGCTGCCCCTGGCCTGGTTTGGTCTGCTGCGTTGGCCTCACGAACGATATGGTGTATCCGTAGTACTCGCCGTCTACCGCGTACTTGAGCCGTTCCCCGTTTCGCAACGGACAAACCATAAGCTATACACACAGCTCGGCCACGATGGCAAGGTACGCATCCATCCGTCTCTGCCGAACGATGCGGGTGTTGGGAAGTGCCCAGTTGTGCGAGCCATATGTTAAATAACCACGACGAGAAGCGGAGAGGTGAAGAGTGCAGGTAGGATAAGGCAGGGACGGTTACGAGTTGCACGCGTTAAGATCTGGTCATGGCAATGGCGTTGTTGGCTGGGCAGTACACGATGCACCTCAATGGGTACGTAAATGACTACTATACTGTCGTATGCTTGCCTTTCATGACCGCCCGGACGCCCTTCGACTCCAACTTCGGATGACTAATCTGCATATCGATCGTACTTGTCCCTGATATCGCTCCCATCTGCCTCGAACAGCTGCATATCATACTCCGCCACGGCTGCAAGAGCCGAGCTCAACGCCGCGTTTGCCAGGTTGATGCCCAAGCACCGTCGGTGCCCCTTGCCGAGAGCATGTTACCTGTTCACTTCTTCGCCGCTCCCACGCCAGCAGTCGGGACCGAAGCACCACGGGTCTGGGGAGACTGGCTCGTTCGTGGCGTACGGAGCGTGACTGTACTCATGCGCGTGCCGGACGGGAGGACGTAGGTCGCGCGTGTGTTCGGGCCGTACGATGCTGTGTATGTCAAGGTCTCTGTGGGAGAGTGGCGCATGGTGCGCCAAGTGACGCCGAAGGAGAGGCGGTTTGCTTCGTGGATAACGGCGGCCAGGTACCGGACCGCGAGTAGAGTGCTCCAAGCTAGCGGCTTGCCTTCACCAGACTGCTTCGTGGTGTCAGCGAGCTCGTGACATCCGGAAGCCGAAGCAGATAGAACATAGCAATGCCGAGCGTCTTCGCCGTAGACTCCCGTCCCGACCATGACAAGTAGCATGGCCTCATCTTGCAGCCGATCCGCCGTCTTCTTCTCGCCGGCAGCGTTGGCTCAACTTAATACGGAAAGAGAAGGGGAGAGAGGTGAGTTCGGGTGGGGAGGGACAAAAAAAAGAGAAGACATTTCAACCGCTAGAGGAATCGAACCGCTGTGCCTAAGAATACCTTTCTAAGAATACTTTGTAAGGATATTTCGCTAGGCCGTACCAACCCGGCTACCAGACAAGCCTTTTAAACAGACCTATATACCCTATACGGCGGTGGGCGTGTGTAGAAAAGAACGGGTAGACATGTGTAAAAAATCGCGCAAGGTGGCTTAACTCTATACGCAAAGTCAAAAGGGAGAGAGAGTACCTTGTTGGGTAAGGACGGTTAAAAAGGGAAAAAAAGAATGTTTCAACGGCTAGAGGAATCGAACCGCTGTGCCTAAGAATATAGAAAGAATACTCCGCTATTCGCTAGGCCGTACCAACCCGGCTACCAGATAAACCAGATAAACCAGATAACCCAGATAAACCAGATAAACCAGATAAACCAGATAAACCAGATAAACCAGATAAACCAGATAAACCAGATAAACCAGATAAACCAGATAAACCTGATAAACTCGTTTATATATCCTGTACCGTTGTGGGTGGGATAGGGGGCTGGGCTATAAGGTTTGAGGCGTGGGAGTCAAACCATACCTACCTATCCTCAGGCCATGTGCCACAGCCTAAGTACCTGTGTCTCGATTACACTGAGTATGTAGACCCTTCCGGTCGTTCGCCTTGTCCGCCAATATAGCGTCGATATCCTGTCGGACGGTGCGGTGGAAAGCTCGCATGTTGCGCAGTCCAGCAGGCAGAGCTTCTCGCCCTTTGATCGTGGTCGCCACGGCGGAGAGCGCCTTTACGACGGGTCCAAAGTGCCTGGTAAATGGTAAGCCGCGCGACAAGCTGGCCAAATCCTCTCGCTGATGATGCACTTCATGTAGATAGTCCACTGAAGCGGCGCCGAGCTGCAGTTGCGAGAGTATCTACAAGCCATCAGTCTGCTGATCAGTTGCGATATCATCATGCTTTCAGACGTCTCCAGCGCACGACAAGACTCCAGCAAGCAGAATGAAAGGCACTCTCCAGGGGTCATCGGATCCAAAGCAGAACGATCTGAGGATGTCGTTGGAGAAAGGGAAACAGGCGATGAAGCGCGTAGTCCTCCGTCATGCCGTTGATGCTGTCGCGAGTTGCGTAGATCGTGTCCCTTCGCCAGGGACAAGGCGAATGATCGGTCCATACCGCTCATGGAGGTCCTTGGGGTTGAAAGGGTACTGTCTGCCGCCATCCTTGAAGCAGTCGACGTAGGTCGCGTACCAATTCTGCCGCTGCCGCGAGCCATGGTCCGGGTATCTTGGCTAGTGGGTGGAAGAAGAGATGGTAGACGACCGTGTAGACAAGCCAAGCGGCCAAGACACGCTGGCGTGAGAAACAACGAGTACTGCAAAGCTAAAGCTCTACAGCCGTTTGGCATTGAGATATATGGAGGGTCAAGCTAAGAATGCAGTACGCGAGAAGCATGGTCTTTGGTTGTCAGCTCGAAGATTCGGTATTTGGCGTCTTTTGAACGTGTAAGTTCATCTCCTGAACCTCCCACCAGGACAACTGTACAATTTCACGCCGAGACCGAACGCGAACCCGTCTTTAAAGAAGCTGGGATGCGCCATGCTCTGCCAGCTGGGATAGATCACACATCGGGTCGTAGTCTTGTAGACTGTCCTGTAATAATAAACGGCAACCGAAGCGCGATGGCGTGTGAATACCGCAAACCATCGCGAAGCGCCTGGCATACAACCTGTCTGCCTGGCTGCGAAGATTGTTGCTATCGCCATGCGGAATCCCATGAGTCATTCCGCATGTCGGGGTTGCTCCGGATGTTGCTTGCTCCTGGTTCTCATCATGGCTTCCCACTATAACCATGATATCGGCAAGCCCTGAATGGTGGCATTGCACGTCGGTGCAATATCGAAGGTCGAGATGGAGAGATCAGCTGGCGTGAGGTCTTGGAGGTGAGGAGCGGGGGCAGGTGTCTTGCTGGTCGCAGTGACAGCAATGCTTCGCCGTCATCCATCTTCATCCGACCCCTTTTCTGGTGAGTCCATCACCAGTTCACGACCCTGCCCTCGACTGAGGTTATTATATCCGCCTATCTCCGCGATGACACTGCAAAACCACGCGACCTGCCGCAAAAGGATGGAGATCTGGATCTCTCAAAGCCTCTCCGAAGAATTCTCGTTAGCGGCTTGGCCCCAGCCAATCGCGGCGAGCTCGTCGCCCGAGGTCTGCTCATTCAGGTTGTTGGAGTCCCAGTTGGAGCCGGGAGTTCGCGAGGTTTCATGAAGTTAAAAAAAGGGGAGCCGCATTCGCTTCTCCACACTCCTGTTGATATAAATCAACGTCGTCGGTCCTGTCGACGGTCAGGCCTCGAGGACGGGTTTCCGGCTGTTCTAACTGCTCTGGCCGGTGTGCGCGTACCTCGTACCTGCAACACGACCTACGTCACCCCACCATTGACCTGCCCTGCTGACCAAGCCACTGTGTACCTTTGTACCTTTGATCCTGCCCCTCGAGTGGGCGGTCAGTGGCCGACCTCTTCTTTGACGGAATGACGGCAATGGCTGGACAGAGGCGCAAAAAGCGGAATGCCAGATAACGATAACACGAGGGCGGCGGGCGGCGGGCAATCGGCAATGGGGCTCTTTGCCCTGTGCGAGGGATGATTGCTTTGTGCTTCAGAGTGGCTATTCATTCGTCTGCCAATTGCCAATTGATGACCCCACGTGCGCCAGGTAGGCGTGGTCATGCTTTGGCGCAGCAAAGAGAGAAGGCGGGACCTGGGCAACCTGGTGGGAGGCGAAGACGAGGGCAAGGGCGAGAATGAGGGTGACGGCGAGGGCGAGGGCGAGGGCAAGAGCGGAATCCCGTCTCTGCTGTGCTGTCATCACCCACCTACCCTCCATCTTTCACCATCCACCATCCACCATCCTGAAGCCCAGCCCAATCCACCACAAGCCCCGGACCAATCCTGCCCTCTGCCTTCTGCCATCTGTCTCCCGCGCAGGCGCTGAGCAGCGCAGGCAGCCCAGGTTGTGATCCACGATTTTATGGGTCTGGCCAGCTTACTGAAACCGCGCAACCTGCGGCACACTGATAACAGCAGGATAACACGCATACACAGTACTATTCTGGTAGGTCTTGGCGACTCAACTGCCTGACACTTCAACACAATGGACGATCCGAGCCAAACCTTGCAGAGGTGCGCCATATCTTTGTAAACTTTGGTGGGGGTTTCTGCCTCTGGTCCGTGTCATCAGCCATTACCACCGCGACCACCTATCTATATAAAGAGGCACCCTCAGACCCTCTGACCCTCTTCTCGACGTCTTTGTCCTCTAACACCACATACCCACAAACCACTCAACCTTCTCAAGCAAGCTCTCTCCGAAAGAAGTATTACCAGCTCGACTACCTAACAAGTCAGATCCCACACAACCAAACACTCTCCACGACCGACAAACACACCCATCCAACAGGCAAGATGTCTTCCGCCAACCAGTCCCGCACCACCACCCAGAGCGTCGTCCAGACGCACATGGAGCGCCGGCCCTCGACCTTCCTCTCTCTGGCCCCCGAGACCTCTGCCTCGTACCCCACCACCCAGAGCACCGCGCCAGGCCTTGCCCGCCGCAGCTCCAGCCTCGGCAGCCAGAGCAGCGCCGGCAGCCTGCGTTTCCTCAAGCTCGGCCCCGTCCACTGGGGTGAGCACCAGGGCGAGCACAAGGACGACTTCCACGAGGTCGCCGTCGAGTAGATCCGATCTCGACAGAACCCGAATGAATCTTCACGACTTTCATCTACTACCTCGTTTCCTACACATCTACCCTAGACTACGTACATGACCACTAAAAACAACCATGACCGGGGGCGGCGACGCGGCCGGCGTTACGACATATCATCACCAGCAAACATGGAATTACCTACGAGTGGCAGACCTTGTGCGGAGTTCATTCTTTCCGGGAAATGGGGGAAAGTGCACAAGTACTGTTTCTGCAGGCGTTCGGAGGGCTGACGGCGCGACACACAAACACACATAGACTATGGATCTGCGCGCACTGCGATGCTGCATGCGCTGGTGGGCAGGTTGGGCAGGAAAGGGGATACTGGGACTTGGCGGGGTTTCCAGCAGGGCGGAGCTATTCTCGTTTTCATCGCGTTGTTTCCTATCGGAAAACCCATAGCAAACCCACATACATACCTCCTCAACCCAATGGAACATATCCAAAAATGCCGTGGGCAATCCACAGTCTTCTCTCGTCTAATATCAGTGATCACGACCCCTCCTTTACTCTGACCATCAGCCAACCCCACCACAACCACCACCCCCATCACCACCACAAGTGACAGGTGATAGACAGCCCTTGCGTGAATAAACATGGAGAGACATCCAGCAGAGCCTACGCCATACAGCACCCACCAGGTTGTGCAGACTGACAGACCGCAGCGCGCTAGAGCAGGTCGACGGCGCCCGTCACATCTTTCGACGCGTGCGTGCCATCCATCCCATCCCCAGCAGCGTGGGTCGCGTGCAACAGCCGCATCTGGTAATTGCTGAGCGCCGTAAAGGGCCTCGAGAGCCGACATAAGCCAAGCCTATCCCGCGACGTCGACGGGCACACACACACCCATCCCATCCCTCGGGTTGCGAAAGCTGCTTCTAGGTAGGCAGGCAGGCTTTTACGATTGCGGTTCTCGATGTTTATGCTTCTGGCTGTGCCTACTGCTTCGGGGTATGCTATGCGACGGCATACCTGAGCATGGCTAATCATGCGCTTCTTCGAGCTCTTGCTTCTACATACATTACTAATCAGGCCTCTTCACTGCTACTCTACTGTACAAGACATACGCCCAGACCGAGGAGGGATCGTCAGAGCCCACGTAGACTTGGAAAACGCCAGCTCATTATCATTTCGAAGTCCTAACACATAGAGAACATTGGCGGCGGCAGCCAAGAACGTCCAGGAGCGTTCCAAGAATACCAAGCCGGGAGTGACAAAGGATCGTCGTCGACCTGACTGCGTGGGTGTTGTTGATATTATTAGAAAAATACTGACCGACGAAGGATCTTGTCGCCTGTCTCGCTTGCTAATATCGCATCCCACTGAACAGATGCCATATTGTAGTCTTGGTGGTGTACATACTGGTGACTGCCCCCGTCCTGTCTCCTGAAGATCGCTCCCCCGCTATATCCTCCTCCACACGAGTGCCAAGGGCCAAGGCAACGGCTTATCCCGAGGTCCACCTGTGTCCTTATCTGAGACCCAGGACCCTAAAATCATAGCTGACGTAGGGTCGGTAGGCTGCCCAGGTGGTAGGTAGGCGCAGAATGATAAGAAGAAGAATAAAACGAAGACGGTGAGGAGGAGGGACAAGCCTCATCACTACCGTATTGTCACGCCGTCGTACTGCCATCCGTCAGAACTGGACACATACATGATACGGTAGATGATGCGCTGGCCCTGGCTGCCTACCTACCCCCTAGGTAATCCGACCGTGCGGCATCGACGCCGATCCCAAGTGATGCGCCAAGCCGTTAGTGACGGTTACCAAGCCGGGTCCTACTAGTCCTACGGTAGGTATCACAAGCCAGTGCCTAAAAGACTGTGAAGTTGAAACTGATGCTGGAGTTTTGTTTCAGGTGCTGCCTGCCTGCCGACTCCTCACTTGACACTCGCTGACAATGCCTACCTACCTTACGTATCACAGTCTCGTCATCCACATAGCTGGTGGTAGGTTGGCGAGCTGGTGGTAGGTTGGCGGGCTGGCTGACGCCCCCAGACAACCCCCCCGCTGGTGTCAGAGACTGGCTGGATTCCTACAACTGCGACCTGTCTTGCCGAAGCACATGCTGATCTTGCAACCACGTCGGTGCTGGCGAGTTCGAGGAGAGAGAAGCGTTCGCACGCACACAAGTCGGACGAGATGTTGCGTGATCAATCCTCGTACCGTAGTACGCTGGGCACGCCACCCACATGAACGCGCCGACTTGTTGTTGTACCTGCAAAGAGCACGCAACGGCAACGCAGGGCACCTGGGCACGGACACCAGCTGCGATGGACGTAATTACGGCGTGGGCTCCGGACGGCCACGCGCGTGCCGCGCCGTGTCGTTTACTTCAGGTAACAGCTTTCAGAAAATCGGATCTGACACCTCCCAGCCATGATCCAGATGATCGCGGGGCGATGACGGTGTAGGGCCAAGTACATAACATACACACCGAGATCCCAAAGATATCCCAAGGCTCGCCACCTGGAATGCAGAAAAAGCAGCGAGGCCGTCCGCGTAATCCCACCACGCACCCGTCTTGGGTCTTGGCGTACGTGGGTATGCATGTTCCTTCGGGATCGCAGCCGAAATGTCGCACAGCTCAATTCCTCCTCGGGGATTGTGAGGGCTTACAAGATACAAGATTAGGTTGTCAGGTTTGTGAGATAGATTAGGTACCTAGGGTTAGATCAGAGTCACCCTGCCTGTCAGAACGAGGAGGGGTTTCATACTCGCGAAACCCCGGACTATGACGCAGTAAGGCTGAGTTTCTGCCCCGATTCCTGTCTGTCTGGTATTGTAATTACCTAGGTAGCGAGGGACAGATTGCATGGAGAAGTGGCAACGTGACTTCACACCGCTCGGTCAACACATATGGTGTATTGTTGTTATTATCAGCGTGGCAAAATCCTGGTGTTTCTATTCCTAGGCCTGAGCCGTGAAAGCGAGGACGGTTGCTCATTCTATTTCCGCATGTTTCTGAATCAAACACTCTGTGCTTGACCCATTGACCCCATAAGGTACGCAGTATGGCCTGCTCACCGCTCGTCAGCTCTGCCCGCGCCAAGGCTTACCAAGGCGGCACCATGCAAGTCATCAGAAGCCTCGACCCTTGGCTGTGCTTCATTGCGATGTCTGCCCAGCTTGCTCAGCATTCTGGGAGGTCTTCCTTATTACCAATAGCAGTCACGTCTCTAAACAGCAGTGCCAAGAGACGTTTTATATGAGTTCAAGTAGCCAACACCTCTTCGCGACTCTCCCATAATCTCATCTACTGTTGCGCAGCCAGGGCTCCCGGATACTCGGATGTATACTCGGGGTCCGAACAAGCATTTCTGCCGCCAACCCAGCACCTAGACAGTCTCATAGGCGCCATAAAACGCCAGCCAAGATGCGAGTATCGCCAAGAGTAAGCAGCCCGGCGAGGGGCCCGACTTGGCGCTGCGGTGCACGGCGCGGTAAGATCGCGCGTATCCCCAGCCCGGCCAGACATAGGAGAGCACCGCTCTGTCGAGACGCATGATGACAAGACGAGACTGTGTCTTGGCCCATGGCTACGGGAGTACCGGTGCTAGAAGGCTCGGGAAACAGCTTGGCTTACTTGGCTGCAGACGAAAGCCTCAGGTTGTTCCTTGGCGGCACCGGCCCGTGGGAAACTGGCGAGTTGCACGTTCGACCTAAGCTCTAACTCTTTTCCTTGGTGAGTCTTCGGGGCAAGAAAGGCACGTCCGTGCTGTATCGGTATAGGGTCTGGGCGTCATGGTGAGCGGGGTTTCCCGCGAACTAGATTGTGACTCGTGAGGCTATGGTGCCTCGCCTTGGTGAAGTTTGATGTATGTGTTTGCCCACAAGAGTGTGCTCGTTACACATCGTACAGCGTAAGACCAGCTGATCTCCACTCGCCAAGTCGGCCAAGTTCTCGTCGAGATTATGTACGAGAGATCGAGCGGTCTTCATCGATTGTGAATGTAAACTCTCAAAGAGAATCATGTGGCGCTTCGTCTGGTCTTCACGTTGCTCGCCTTGATTGGCTTGTAGTTGAACCCTCCAGCCAGCAGTTCAATGTGCGCGGATTGCTTCCGCGGTCCCTTGAGGGCAGTTTGCCAGTGGCCCATCCGAGCTAGAAGCCTCTTTCTCCGATTCTGACAATCTGCTGCCCAGTGCCGAGCGATGCCACCATACTCTTCCAATCCACAGGCACCCATTCTGGACCTTGCCGTACTGTAGCCAGACCAAGGTCATCTACAGATTCACTGTTGGGACCCTCGCCAGTTAAATTGTCTCCCTTGCGATGAAACGGGCATAGGAAAGCCCAATGCACCTTCCATACCAGCAGCTCGACGACTTCCAGGTACGGATCCGATAGCAGTCGCAGAAGCGCTTGGAACGGTGGCCTCTGTACTAGGTCCATGTCTGACGTCCTCGAGGGGTGGAGGCTCGGAGGCGCTCCAATGCATAGCTTGAGCTCGCGCAGACTGCCGCACAAGACCATATCGGAGAGCGCAGGACCCAGTACGTCCCCGAACTCGCCGCCAACGCGGGACAGGAACAGAGTGATGCCATGGACTCGTCTCCTTGCGTCCTGGCCCTGCGGACTGAGAAAGCCTCCTGGGCTAGTGAGATGGGAAGGTAGGCGGTGACTCTGCGCATTCAGGATGAAGCGGTTTTGCGTGTAGAAGATGGCCGACGCCTCCTGATACATCTGCATGCAGACCACGAATACGTTCAATGCCGACTGTAGATTTCCAAAAGGCAGGCGGGACGACGTCTCGCTGCGCAAGATGATACCGCAATCTGAGACGAGGATATGTTCGAGGATGGCGCTCCGCAGCTCAGCGGGTAGATCGAAGAAGCGGAACATGGTAGCGGGTGCCTTGGTAGAGGTCTCTGCACGTAGTCTTTGATCGTTTGGACAGCTGACTCTCGGGTTCACTGGCCTGCCTATTTGATCTTATGGGTAATGCGAGAGTCCTTGGGCAGATATCAGATCAGCTGGTTTCGGGGGATTCCGGCGAATGAGGCGTGTGAATTCAACGACATATCTCCACTATCTGCCCATCATGACGAACTGTACATGCGGAATGCCGTGGCTTTTTCTCAGAACAAAAAACCGGGCAAAAGGCTGTCAGGAGACTCTGTCCTTGCATCTGGGCCACTATTTCGAATTGCTATGACGAAATCGAGACGCCTTGAAGAGTCGACAGGGACAATGTGATTGTGGTGAGTCCGGGTGGTCAATACATGCTACCGGTAGTCTGATATCGGCTTTCGTGCATATCACGGTTAATGGGCATATACAACAGCACAACGTCTCAGGTTGGAAGCTGAGCCATCAATCGGCTTGGCCATGAATCTGGAGCATAATCTTGAGTGAGGATTGAGTTATTAAGAAATAAGGAGTTGGTCTGAAGGCCAGGATCTGGAACGTGAAGCTTCATGGTAGTGGCAATCGCAGACAAAACACGCTTAAATGAATACGTATACCGATCTTCCTAGCGCACTCCTTTTATGCATAGCTCCAGCTCCAGCAAGGTTCAACGCGCGCGGCGTTGCAGGCAGTTGGAGCTTCAACGCTACGAATTCCAACCTTTGCGCGCGGTGCTTCTCCTCTTTAGCAACAGTCCCTTCACTACTTCGCCAATTGGTATCTTGAGATGCGGCAGACAGGCTCAACATGCAGTGCTACACGGAGCTGACGCCTCCTACGGCAGTCACACACTCCCTATCGTTACCCTTCACCTCGGCGCAAAGCAGCAACCTCGTTGTCGCAAGGGCCTCCCTTCTGCAGATCTTCACCACCAAGTCAGTATCCGCCGAGCTCGACAATGCCCAGAACGCCCAGCTACAACCCTCCGCCGCGAATCAACCCTACGATGCGAGAGTCAATGACGACGACGGCCTCGAGGCCTCCTTCCTCGGTGGTGACGCCGCCCTCGTCCGATCGGATCGCTCCCAATACACGAAGCTGGTGCTTGTGGCAGAGTTCTCGCTCGCTGGCACCGTGACAGGACTCACGCGCATCAAATGCCAGACATCCGCCTCTGGGGGTGAAGCTCTGCTGCTGGCCTTCAAAGATGCCAAACTTAGCATGGTCGAGTGGGATCCCGTGAAGCATACCATACAGACTACGTCCATTCATTACTATGAGCAGGATGAACTCCAAGGGAGCCCATGGGCTGCTCCGCTGAGCGATTATGTCAATTTCTTGGCTGCAGATCCCGGCAGTAGATGCGCTGCTCTGAAGTTCGGGGCGCGGAGTCTGGCTATCCTCCAGTTCAAGTCTGCCGAGGAAGACATAGAGATGGAAGACTGGGATGAGGAGCTGGATGGGCCACGTCCAGTAAAGGAGCTACACACCACGCTCGCAAATGGAACTAGCAGCAATGAAGAGACTCCATTTTCAACCTCATTTGTCCTCCGACTCCCCAATCTAGACCCTAGTCTCATCCACCCAGTGCATATTGCCTTCCTCCATGAGTACAGAGAGCCAACCTTCGGCATACTCTCGTCGACCTCGTCGCCGTCTGCGGTCCTGGGTCGGAAGGATCAGCTTTCTTACATGATATTCACGCTCGACCTCCAGCAAAAGGCCTCTACAACTATCCTAGCGGTGAATGGCCTCCCTCAAGATCTCTACCGCGTACTGGCATTACCACCACCAGTCGGTGGTGCTCTCCTGATCGGTACAAATGAATTGATACACATCGACCAGTCTGGGAAACCCCATGGCGTCGGCGTCAATTCTTTTGCGAAACAAGCAACTTCGTTCAGCCTAGTCGATCAGTCCGAACTTGATCTAAGGTTAGAGGGATGCGAATTCGAGTTCCTCTCCCCTGATACCGGGGAGCTCCTGATGGTGCTCAATGATGGACGCCTGACACTGGTCAATTTCCGAATCGACGGCAGGACAGTGTCGGGGCTGAGCGTTCGGATAGTTACGCCAGAAGCTGGTGGGGCCATTCTTCCCACTCGCGTCACAACGATCAGCAAACTTGGAAGAACATCGCTGTTTGTGGGCAGTGAAGAGGCGGATTCTCTAGTTATTGGCTGGACGCGAAAACAAAGCCAAACTGGGAAGAGGAAACATCGGCTGCATGACGCCTCGCTGGACCTTGACATAAGCGACGAGGATTTGGAAGACATGGACGATGACGACGATTTGTACGGGGACGACTCTGCACCGGCGAAAGACTCGAGTGCAGGTGGCGGCTCTGGTGGGAAGATCGGAGAGCACGTTTTCCGCATACACGACCGTCTTGTCAGTATCGCTCCTATAAGAGACTTTACCCTCGGGAAATCCTCAGTCTCCGAGGACGATGCTCAGATGAACGAGGCAGGGGTCAGTAGCGACCTGAGTCTCGTGTGCGTGGTTGGAAGAGGTAACTCTGGCTCTATTGCCATCATGAATCGAGCGATCCAACCGAAAGTCATTGGTCGGTTTGAATTTCCCGAAGCGAGGGGCTTCTGGACAGTGGCTGCTCAGAAGCCAATACCGAAATCTTTACAGGGTGACAAGGGGGCTGCATCATTGGGTGCTGACTACGAATCGTCAGCCCAGTGTGACAAGTTCATGATTGTCTCCAAGGTGGACCTGGATGGTTACGAGACCTCCGATGTCTACGCATTGACCGGAGCAGGGTTTGAGGCTTTGACTGGCACCGAATTTGATCCAGCTGCTGGCTTCACTATCGAGGCTGGAACCATGGGCAAGCATATGCGAGTCATACAAGTACTCAAGACAGCTGTCCACTGTTATGACGGAGGTAAGACACCCACGAACATATCTGAAGCCATGACTGGATTAGCGAGACTAACGCAACTGGCCAGACTTTGGACTCAGTCAGATTCTCCCTATGCTGGACGACGAGACTGGTGCCGAACCTAGGATCGACAGTGCCAGTATAGCCGATCCATATCTCCTGCTGGTAAGAGAAGACGCAAGTATTTACCTCGCCGGAATCGATAAAAGCTTCGAACTGGATGAAGTCGAGAAAGAAGACGATAGGCTTTCCTCTACGAAATGGGTTACTGGCTGTCTATACGAGGATGCTGCTGGTATCTTCGCCCAGGTTCAAAGCGACAAGGGCACCAAACCAGGTCACGACGTAGTAATGTTCTTGCTCAGCAAGACAGGAGCTCTATATGTAGGTTGAACAGCCCTTCGGGCATTAGTCCGTACTAACAAGCCACAGATTTATGCTCTACCCGATTTGTCGAAGCCCATCTACGTAGCCGAAGGCTTGTCGTTTGCACCTCCTATACTTTCAGCAGACTATGCAGCTAGACGAGGGACAGCACGCGAGACTTTTAAGGAAATCTTGGTTGCCGATCTCGGAGACAGTACATCTACATACCCATATCTGATTGTGAGTACCTTTGAGGCTTGTAGGTATCACATTGCTCACGATTCGCAGGCTCGAGATAACAATGACGACGTCGTGGTATATGAACCCTTCCGGACACCATCGGAAGCTACCTCTCAACTATCCCAGTCGCTTCATTTCAAAAAGCTACCCAACACGTCTTTTGCTGAGAGCTTGGAAGTTGCGACAGATGATGAGGTTGAGCAACAACGAACTTGTCCCATGCGCCAATGCCAGAATGTAGCTGGATACAGGACGGTGTTCTTGCCTGGAGATTCGCCTAGGTTCGTTATGAGATCTTCTAGGACCGTACCAAAAGTTGTCGGACTTCAGGGCCCTGGTGTTCGCGGCATGAGCCCGTTCCATACTGCTGGATGTGAGAGAGGTTTCATTTATGCGGACTCACAGGGTATTGCACGGGTCTCTCAGATACCAACAATCGGTACTACCTACGCAGAGATTGGCATGTCTCTGAGGAAACTTCCACTAAATATCGACGCCCATTCCATCACCCACCATCCGCCTACTGGGACTTTTGTCGTGGGTTGCGATACGTTCGAGCCGTTCGAGCTACCAAAGGATGATGACTACCGCAAAGAGTGGCATTTGGAGAAGGACCTTACCTTCAAGCCGACTATCGAACGCGGGCAGATCAAGCTGATCAGCCCTATTACCTGGACGGTCATCGACACTATTGAGATGGAACCATGCGAAATCGTCATGTGCGTCGAGACTATCAATTTGGAAGTGTCCGAGTCTACGAATGAGCGGAAACACCTGATCGCTGTAGGCACGGCCATCTCCAAGGGAGAAGACCTACCTGTCAGAGGCCGGGTTTTCGTATATGATATCGTGACAGTCATCCCCGAGCCAGGGCGACCGGAAACGAACAAGAGGTTGAAACTGGTTGCGAAAGAGGACATTCCCCGTGGCGCGGTCACGGCTCTCTCCGAGGTTGGTACTCAGGGGCTGATGCTAGTCGCCCAAGGGCAGAAATGCATGGTCCGTGGTCTGAAGGAAGACGGGACTTTGCTACCTGTCGCGTTCATGGATATGAACTGCTACGTGACGGCCGTCCGTGAGCTCAAGGGAACCGGGCTTTGCCTCATGGCTGATGCAGTGAAGGGTGTCTGGTTCACGGGTTACACCGAGGAGCCTTATAAGATGATGTTGTTTGGAAAGAGTTCGACCAAGCTGGAGGTCTTGACGGTCGACTTTCTCCCGGACGGACACGAACTCCTCATTGTGGTCTGTGACTCCGATGGCGGCATTCATGTGCTGCAATTCGACCCCGAGCGTAAGTTTCACACTTCGTGCTCCCGACTACTTGGCGAACACAGGTGCTAAAAGAACAGATCCCAAATCCCTTCAAGGCCACCTCCTCCTGCATCGCACCACATTCTCAACTGGCGGAAATCTACCAACCCGCAGCATGCTCGTCCCGCGCACCCTGCCCGCAACATCCGATTACCTAGCCCCAGACCCCGAAACCAACGGCACGACCACCAACGGCGCGACCGGCAGCAGCAGCGACCAGCCCCCAGCGCCGCCTTCCACCATCCTCCTCGCCGCACCCACGGGCGTCCTCGCGACTCTCTCCCCGCTTGCGGAGCCGCAGTACCGGCGGCTCTCGTTCCTGACGGGCCAGCTGCTCTCGTCGCTGCCGCACCACGCGGGCCTGAACCCGCGCGACTACCGCGCGCCCGTGTCGACGGGCGCCATGGGCCGCTTCCCGCCGGGCGTCGACGCGGGCATGGGCCGCAGCATCGTCGATGGCGCGCTGCTGGCGCGCTGGAACGAGCTGGGTGCCGGACGGCGCGCCGAGATCGCGGGGCGCGTGGGGTTTGCGGGCGTGGGCGAGATTCGGGAGGTGCTGCGGGAGGTGTTGGGAGCGGGTGGGTTGGGGTATTTGTGAGGAGGAGGAGACCGCGACGTGGGGAAGAGGAGGTGGAAAGGCAGGCAGTGCGATGGATGGCTGCGCTGGACTCTTTTGTTGCTTCCAGATCTCAAGCTCCTAGAAGAGCGGACAAGCCGGGCGTAGTCTCACTGGATCTGGTCTACTTCAGGGGGGAGAGCTAGAGGACGGATGGCAGACTTGACTTTCTTTTCTCCTTGGTCCTTGGTAGAGTACGGGCAGCAGCTACCCACCTTAAGAGTAGGTAGGTAATTTGGTAGCTAGGAGCAGCAGCTGTTCGGACTGTACAACTAAGATTTCCTTTCTGACGTTCTTTTCCTCGAGAGGTATCCTTGCTGAGTGAATGTGATTTGTTTACTTGCTCTTGTCCGTTGCTGTTGACTTTAGGGAATAGGTACACCTCGTGAGTGGCATAAATCTGTTCCATCTCCAAGACCCGAGAAGCCCGGATCCGACTGAATCATGACTTGATTCGATGAGGCCTTTGCTTCTTTTCTTCCTGTTTTGTTTTCTTCGGGCTGAACATCCTACTTTGCGGATAGTAAAGAATCTCAAGGTTTGCCAGAAGGGAAGGGAAAGAAAGAACTGTCGGTAAATTTTTTCACTAAGCTCCCAGAAAATCTCGTTCCCGAGCTGCCATAGTTCGGGAACTCAAGGATGACGATGCTTGATCGAGGCCGGTGCTAAGTGGCATTGCGCTCCTCCCAGCCACCAGCGATAGATCACCATCTTGAAGCACTTGCGGTAATAGCGCTGATCTACCTGTGCGTTTAGGGGCAGAGACCACGATCAGAACGTCGACGACTCCAGGGGCTGCAAAGCTGTTCTTTTTACATTCATCCGACTGGTGCCTGACTCTTTACGGTAATATGTACACCGATATTTATTACGACGTTGTCGATCTATATCTCCCCTGGATCCCGTGATATGTCTACGAGTGATCCCGTCATCCCCCCATCTCTTTAGATTCTAGGCCATCGCCTACCACCTAACTACCCCCAGCCCACCAGGCGGGCCAGAACACCAGAACATAACCGTGATTCGTACCCGTAGATGGGTGTCTAGTAATACAGGGTTTCAAGAACATATGCAACGCAAAAAAGGAGTCTGTACATATCGAAGAATCGGCGTCGGATCAGATCAACGAGTCCTCATTGCTGTTGCTGTGCTTGTGGTGGCGGCGGATGGAGCCGAACCGTTGTTTCACTGGATCACGGCGTCAGTACACACATTAAAATCAATGGAAGAACTGGGAGAAACTCACAGCCGCCACTCAACCTCTTACCCGAAGAAGTATTGCTGCGCCCAACACTCGCCGACGGCGGGCTCGACGGCCCCGCCGCCGCGCTGTCCGTGCTATACCTGCGCTGGCGGACCGTCGCGACACCGCCGTCCTTCCCCGTGCTAGTGCTGCTGTCCTCGCGACGGTGTCCTGTGGGCTGCATCTCGTAGACGGCCGTGTTGTTGCCGTTGCCGTTCGTTCCGCTCGACATGGACTTCTGGTGGCGCTTGCGCTCTTTCAGGTCCCGCTCTATTGTGTAGGAGGGCTCGCCCTTGCCCTTGAGGTCGTCGGGGTGGTATTGCTAGCAGGTGGGAGCGCGATGTCAGTATGTTTTTTCGTTCATCTTGCAATCCTGAAATCGATTGGCGCATTGATAGATGACAGAGTACTTACGACATGTTCGTACCGCCCCAGCGCACCCCCGTACGCGTCCGACTCGCGCATGACGTCAACGCCCTCCTCGTACTCCATCGGCAGGCCGCGCAGGTCGGGCATGCCGGGCGGGATCGTCGACGTGCCCTGCAGCGGCATGTGCTTGCGCAACGAGTCCTGGATGTGCTCGTAGGGCGTCGCACGCAGGGCCTCCATGTTGGTCGTCTTGACGGCGGCGACGGGTGCGAACCGCTCGTCCTTGTTGCGGCTCGCCAGGGTCGCGTCGTAGGGGCCTTCGTGGTGGTATGCGCCACCGATACCGATGTTGTCCAGCGAGTCGATCAGGTCGGTGCCCGTCAGGTTGTGCTTGCGCAGGTGCGGCGCGCGGTAGGCGACTTTCGTCTCGCGCTTGATCTGTTCGAGGGGTCGCACTGCCGACATCTTGACGGTAATACTACTACTGAAATCCTTCTACAACTTTGTAGGTAAGGTAATAAGTATTGAACCCTAGGAGAGTCTGAAGGGATCACGGGGTCTTGGCGTGGGATGATGGTCGGCGCTCCTTGTTTGTTTCTGGGGGGATGGGATCATGGGAATGCAGGAGGGAGGTACCCGGCGACTTCGGAAGGACTTGGGTTATGTATCAGACAGGTTTTCACTCTCACTGATAACCTGCCTGTCAGACTGTCGGTTTGGCTGGTGATCATGGAGGACTATGATGTAATTGGGCAGGGTCATCCATGCCAGCCACCCCGGCCCCGGCCACCGAAGACGGGTCGTTCCACCCACCGAAAGAGTCGCTGTCTCCGGGCCTATGAGCTTCGACTCTCGAGAACCGCTGGTGATTTCGGCTACCAATTTAGACCGACAGTGTCCCCACACATGCACGCGGCCAGGCGGCTTCAACGGCTTCCCAAGCGGTGACGCAAGTCGTGACAGGGATTGAGCTTCAATCCCGTCCGATCCATCGGATGAACATTTGACTTATTAAATCTGATGTCTTCTCGAACGACAACACAAGGCCACCAATCGAAGGAGACATATGTATGCCTTGAACGCCAGGTTGCCACGAGCCGACATCCACGACTCGGGCTGTGCTCGACTTCTGACATGGGACGCGCAATAGGTAGTCATGATGATTACGAAGCTCTCTTAAAACCACGCCAATTCAGCCTTGTTAAAGTACTTTACCAAGCTTAATGTAGCTCATCACCCGAGTCGCCGAGTTGACTAGGTCCGAACCAAGCCGACACCAATGCGATCCGGCCGTCCCGTACAACGACAGCCACCACGTTCGCAAGCATCGGCGCATCGGCGCATCGCAGCTTAAGCTTCGGATCAGGACTGGCTGGTGTCGAGCTATCGGCCTCGGGCGACTACTTCAGCCCGGCCAACAGCAAAATCTACTGCCCGACTCTTGACCTCAGACTCGACTCGATCCTCATGGTACAAGTGTAGCGCCAGAGCTATCATCCTCTCCGGGATATCCGCTCGTCGTGGTGGTCTTCTACAGAGACGACTTCCTAGCGAAACGAGGCTATGGGTTCGTTCGTCTTCCAAGAGCTGTTAGGCACCCTCAATGATGTTGTAGTAGACTTCCCGCAAAACTTTGTACCCTGGTGTGCTGCTGGTGTAACGCGCAAGTCTTACAGAGATATCAAAGTCGGATCATGCAGCCAGAGATTCCTGAACGACCCGAGTTACCCCATGGGGTACACCCATTTGCAACCATGCCCTTTGATCATGTAAGATACCACCCTGGAAGTGACTTCACCCCTAACTACAGCCTTTGACTGCATGCATGTATCACTTTGAGCATGCAAGCTGTCAACGTTCCTGTTGCGGGCGCTGGCTTTCCAGTGAAGCCGATGAAGGGGTTATGCCCCTTTCACAGGACACATCCTTTGACAGCATTCCAGATGTCATCACTCGCCTGAGCGTGAAGGCGTTTGGCTGCCTGGAGCCCTGAAATGCATGGACTATGGTGGCTATCTATTCAAAATGCTGAATCACCGGTTACTAGAGGAGTCTTTGTTGCTGACAGCAACCGGTTGCCTGATCTAACCTTTCACATTCGGGCAACCGTTTGCTTGTCCGCGTGCTGACGTGCTATATATAGCTATATTGCTCTTAAACCTCCCAGAGAGGCCGCTTTCCGACTCTATTCATGAGACAATCGCACTGCTCTCCTGACCGATACGCCGCGTACCCATTTCGCGCGCTCGTCGGATCTCAACCTGGAGGGACATCAATCCTTCATCCACCCTCGTGACGCAGCATCCATGTCACAGACAGTCGACTTCCCGCAGTTCTCCCAGCTTCCCAAGGAGCTCCGCCTCGCTGTATGGGGCTTCTTTGCGTTACCCAGAGGCCCTGCCGTACATTCCATCTGGAATGGCGTATCCTTTCCACCACGATACCTGGCTACTAACCCCTTCGTTACTCCGAGTTGCATATCGGCGGTGAGATCTCTCATGCAGGTCAACCATGAAGCACGAGAGGAGGTCCTACAGGGTCGCGAGCTCGTGAGACATCGCCCCGACTCGGCCGGCACCTTCTCCAACGCTCGTTGGTGCCTTGAAAACATCGAGGACGGCAAGGCCATACAGCAACCGTACTCTTTCATCAACTGGGACCTGGACTTGTTCTACTTCACCTCTCCACTGCAGTCCACGATGATGCGCTTTCTCGACGAGGCGTCTCTGCAGAAGATCAGATTCATTGCTGTCGAGACGACAAGATTCATAGTTCATTTTCATGAGAATGTCTTTCGGCCGTCGTGTTATCCGCTGTTCCCCATACACTATCCCACGTCCGGAGAGCTGCTGCTCTCACTCGAGCGAGTATTTGTTGTGTTGCCGCACTATACTTTGAAAAGCTTCATATATAAGAGCCGGTTTCCCGATGGCCAGCCGCGCACCTTTGGGTGGGAGAGCGAAGAGGCCAAAGTCGAGCACTCGGTGCACCGTTTTGATGAAATGCGCATGTCGTTGCCCCGAAACGAGTTCGACTTTCACCCCGTTGACTGCGAGTCGTACGACTATGCCATTAACGATGCGCCCTGGACTGGATATGAACGGGATGCATTGATCGGAATCACGTTCCAGGAATTGATCGACAAGACGACGGAACAAGTGGAAAAGGAAATCATGGAGTTCGGTGGACGCCATGTTGGTACCGAAGTCATGATAGGTGTCCTGGAATGTGCCAACAACAAATTGCTCTGCTACAGGTTGCTGGCCACGTACATTCGGATCGTCTTGTCCAGTAACGCCGTTGCACGATGACATCCACCGCGCGAACATCTTCATCGAGCCAGCAAAGGATCCTAGGACTGCGATACTTCCGTCTCGCACATTGCAGATTATCTCCTGGTGCAGAGAACGATGTCAACTGAGTGCTCTAGCTATCGTTCTTTTCGGGAAGAGCCGAAGTATTCTAATAGATCCAGACATCGTGAACTACCTTGCTAAATGAGTCATGTCATTTGAAGTGTTGTGTAAGTTGCATACGCCCGGAGATCAGACCAGAGATGAGAGCCCCGGCCTTGCTGCTACTCCAGAACAGTAGGGAACAAAGCACAATCAAGCAAACACTGAATGCGTTGGTATTAGCAGTAGCTCATATGCAGTAGTCATATGTGAAATGCACCCTCTTCGAAAGCTGTATATAAAAGTATAGGGGAAGTGAAGCTGCGATCCAGAAAAATGGAAGTCGACATCCTACCTTATGTATGGGACGTGCGCAGGGCAGCTCCACCAAATCTCCACCATCACCTAGAGATCCCCCATCTCCAACATCACCGCAAAACACTACACCCCAACTGCAGAGCTCTGGCTATCAAAGCAATGCCTCTCGTCGACTACTCCTCGTCTGATTCCGAGTCGGCCGCAGAATCTAGTGCTCTACCACCTACGGCGAAGAAGCAAAAGACAGCACATAATGCCGGAACCCCATCATCCAATAGGCAGGCCCAGCAGACAGCTCTGCCGCCCCTGCCCTCGGCCTTCCACGACTTATACGCGTCGACCGTGCGGGTGAGCACCAGCGATGATCCGGCGCTTCACCAGGGCCGCAAGCGGGTGCATCCGCATAAGGCGGGTCACTGGCCGACTCATCTGTATATCGAATGTGAGTCTCCCTCATCACTTTCAAGTCATTTCATTTCATCTCGTCTCATCTCATCCCACGACAAGTGAGAATTCTCGAAGTAAATATGAGCGGGCTACCCGCTCCCCTGTCCATCACATCCGACAACACACACTTCGCACATGCACATGTTTCTCACAAGTATGTAGTGACCGACTGACAATATCCAACAGGGCACCCAACCAACCCCGAACGCACGCACCTGAGCACCCTCCTCACCACCATCCAGACCGCCATCTCATCCCTAACCACCACTTCCTCCAACACCACCACCAATCCCATCACGCTCTCCCCCTTCCTAACCTCAGACCTCGGCGCCCCGCAGCCTCTTCACATCAGCCTCTCGCGCCCCCTCGCGCTGACGACGGCGCAGAGGGACGCCTTCCTGTCGCAGCTGCGGGCCAGCATCGGCAGCAGCGGCGTGCAGCCCTTCGCACTGGCGCCGCTGGCGCTGGAGTGGCACCGCACGCGTGAGAGCGAGCGGTCGTTTTTGGTGCTGCGGGTCGGGAGTGTTGTGGATGATGCCGCTTCTGCTTCTACGCTTGCTTCGGGTTCAGCATCTGCTTTCGCTTCTGAGCAAGATGGAGCCTTTGGTAGAGACCAGCCTCGGGGCAGCAAGAGGAAGGCGACGGAGAACGGCGATAGAGGGCACAGAGGAGGAGATGCTACAAACCCAAACCCAAACCCAAACCCAAATCCCGACCTCACAGCCCTCCTAACCCGCAGCAACGCCCTATCGACGTCTTTCGACCAGCCAGCACTATACGCTTTCAAGTCCCCCTCAAACACCTCCCACACCCCCAACACAGCCAACACCCCAAAGAACCCCCCATCCACATCCACAGACTCACCCAACCCCTCACAAACCTCCGACTGGGCCAGCACAGCCTTCCACATCTCCCTAGCCTGGTCCTTCGCGCCGCCGACCCCGGCCCTGCGCCGCGCCACAGCCGACGCCTTTGACGCCTTCGACACACCAGGGAAAAAAACGGGGACAGAAACAACAGAACCAAGAACGGGGACGCGCGATGCGGTCCTGGCGATGCGGATCCGCGTCGATGGCCTCAAGGCCAAGATCGGGAATGTGGTTACGCATGTGCCGCTGCCGGTCAGGGGGAAGAGCTTTACGGGTAGGGATAGGGGTGGTGGTGGTGGGAAGGGGTTGTTTGGAGTCTGAGTGGGCGTGAGTCTGTATGTGTTCGGAGACTGAACTTGGAGGTTTGGAAGTTTAGAGGGGAGGAAGATAGGGGGGATCGAGGCTCGTTATAAAGAGAGCGAGCCCGTCAGTCTGTTGACTACGGGGACATCTTGATTCGCCTGTGTGAATTCGCCTGTCCCTAGTACTGACAAGCGACAAAATAATTCGAACACAGGCAAAAATGGCACAGTATGTAGGGTTGCGAAAATCGAGAAATCGCGCCATATGTACATATAGCACGTAGCACCCAATGTCCCGTCCCCGAGGGACCATGAGTTCCCCAAATAAATCACGCCGCAAACTCCCGTGTCCATGATTTTTCATATGATGCTCGCGAACGAAAAAAAGATAGCCCTCGAAAAGAACGCCTAGTGGCCTGGGAAGTCCTCGACCTGATGATCTCGCTTACTTTCTACATAATCCAGATATGTACACAATGAGCATGCCTATGTAAAGGCACAAAGGCAAAGTGAGGCAAACAGCAGCTCTATAGCTCATCTAAACTCGGCCGCGCAAAACTCCAATTCCGCGGCGTCACCGGCAGACCGATGTAGAACTCCCAGAGACGGTTTAGCTCGGATATCAATATGAAAAACCTGCATCGCCATATTAGTTTCAACTCGTCAGACGCGATTGTTGCCGGCAGCGTAGCAACTCACAGTGTCTTTGGGAAGCTGGCCCAGCTTCTGAAGACTACCTTGACTGCCTTCCACACCAGGTCTAGCTCCTGCCAGAAGGCCTCGCTGGTAGTCTCAGGAGGGGGGCGGTTCTTCTTGGATGGTGATTCTTGTTCTTCCTCGTCATCCCAATCGTCATCGGAGTCCTCTATATGGGCATCTGCAGTTGTCTCTTCAGGTGAACGCGGTGCCATACCGACAGCGTGGGGCTTCTTCGCCCGATCAGGGATGGGTGAGAAACTGGCTTTGCCGGATTGCCCCTCCTCCTCCTCCTCCACCATGCTTCTGAAATTACTGACGGCTTGCATCGAGCTGCTGAGCCTGGCGTAGGTGTTGAAGAGTGCCACGAGTTCCGTTCGCTTAAGCTCGGGAATCTCGCCGCTGTCGTTGTCGAACTCGAACAAGACCTTCAAGGCCGCGCCGTATCCAGCTGTCTGGACCTTTCCCCAGAGACGGCACTTGTCGCATCCTACGCAGTCCATTATCCGGCTGACGTTGCGGAAACGGTTCCTGAAGTCCTCTTTCAGAGAGGGACCCTCACCGTTCTGAAACATGAGACTCTCATCAAAGATCTGAGGTACCGACATTGCCCCATCTGTAACTGCGAGAACCTTCGCCTTGGTCTCTGCGTCCTGTTCGGGATCACCGGTACAGAAAGTGTAGTCTTGCAGGTGTGGGCCGAGTTTCGCGATGGCGCGGGTGACCATCGCATAGTTGAAGTACAGATTCGAGATGCGCTCGGGATGTGTGTGCAGTCTCTCAGTGTAGCACTTCAAGTTGGGCTGCCACTCGCCGGTGGTCTGGTTCAGGAAATCCCAGCAGAGATGGCTGCTAATGCTCGCGTGCATGCCCGATATGACGCGATAGAACACGCGCTTCTCGAGGCATTCGTCCTCGTTCTCCAGTCCCGTCTGCGCGAAGGACGTGCTTGGGTTCTGGTGGTGCTGCTGCTGCAACTGCTGCCGTTCCATCTTCTGGAGCACATTGCGGAAGTCTTGGGCTGCCGATCCCTGACGGGATGATTGTCCACCGAGTGAGGCGGAATGCGGGAACGACGACTTCTGGAAGCAGTTCTCCCGGTAGATGGCATCCCATACCATCTTGGCCCCCTCGCCCGCGAACCCAGTGAATCGTTCGGGGTTGTGAACCAAACTCACGTAGTCGCCCTTGGCACTCGCGCTCTCGTCCTCTGGCACACAGTAATCTCGCTCGTCGCAGTCGTCGTCGTACTCTACCACACAGCTCTCACCGACATTCTCTCCTAGCAAGCCTTGTAGAGGTCTTTGTGGTCTTTCTTTCTGTACCTTCTTGGCGGGATGTTTCGCTGAGGGACCCTCCAGCTTGCCCAGCTCGCTTGCTCTCCATATTTTGGGTATATCCTCCTCGTTGTCTATCGTATCCACAGCACAGGCGATGTTGCCGCACATGCCATTCTCGTCGTTCCAGAAGGGACATGCTTTGTTGAAGAGGTTGAGTCGGTAGTAGGAGAAGAAGTCGGTCTCCTTGGTCAGGTCGTCGACGGCGGGCTTGACCTTGCGGTTGAGGCGCTCGAGGGTGGAGTAGGAGGCGCAAGCATCGTTGACGATGGACTTGGGCGATATCTGGTAGGTGGCATTATTAGAGAGGGAGAACTGGTAATGCGACGGCGTGGCAGAGGTCGACACGGCCAGCGCACTGGCTATAAGACAAAAAGAGGTAATAATGGACATACTGCGCAATCGTCATCACGGGCTCCGTTGGTCTCGCATTGCACAGGTGTTCCCCAAAGCGCAAACAGAGACAGGAAGAAGAGCTTGCCAGCGGACGGCATGTCGACAGATGGCTACGTGTTGTATTGTTGAAGATAGGTATGAGACGTCGGTCCAGACCCTCCCGGTCAACGGAGGATCACCCGAAGAGCAGGAGTGGATAAATGGGGAACCCTCCCTGAACCTGTGCCTATGCCTGTGCCTGTGACTCGGCGAATTGGAGACAATGGGGGCAATCAATCATCCATTCATGGAAGAAACATGGAAGAAATGGGCGAGGTGTCGGAATTAGGTATGGATTTTAGCCAGATTTAGAATCCGAGCAGCGGGAATGCCTGCATGCAGCCACTTTCCGATTTCGAGTGCCACGGAAGAAGCTAGTAAATCCTGTAAGGCGCTGGTGTCGGTGAAGGACGGATGACGGATGACGGATAGGCAACGTGGTCGCAAAGGTAGATGTTGTACAAGTTGTACCACAGAAGAAGGACCAGAATAGAGACCGGAGGATGAGCTATGTATGAGGTTCTTCAGGACAGACTGACAATGGCTGACTCGAGTGGAGGAAGGTTCTCGCCTTGATGTGGCAAGACAACGTGCAAGTGAACTGGATGGATACCTCACCGTCAAATGTGTCTGCAGTAATTACAACGTGTTCTCTTTGAAGTTTGAGGTTTCTCGATTACCAACCGTAGGAACCTGGAACACCGGGCAAGTTCCGACGTCATACGATAATGGGCAGGTAGTACCTACCTGTAGGCTGTACATAAAATAAGCTACAAACGTGCACCTTAATTTTATTCTTAGTGACATTCAACGTCCGCCCTAGCGCCCCGAGCGGGAGATCTTGATCCTTCTCAGCCTCTCAGGGTCCGGCCGATCACATCACCGGGCAGGAACAAACCCTAGTGCGGGATGCTGTTGAGATTCATGACCATTGACCATTGACCATTGACCATTGACCACCGACCACAACTTCGGACTGCCGTGACATTCAACGACTGCGCGACTCCGTGCGGGTATATTAGATACTAAAATGGTAATTAATACTGGAAACGTGTCCAGTCCTGGCGGTTGGCATTCCTGCTCATAGCAAATAAACCCATCGAACCATAGGTAGCCATCCCATGAAGTGTAGTTCAAATGGTGCATGTCGACAGGTTCTTTGTTTAACAACGGCTAACCTAGTACATTCCTCAGCTGTTTTGCTCGCTGAACAGCGAGGCAGCATCAAAAAGCAATCGTCATCATGCCAGCAATAGTAGAAGACACATATTGAAGAGCGGTCCGTCTTCCCATTGGTCGATGATTCAATGTCACGGCATCAGAACCTGATGTGATGCCCCGGAGAACTCCGTCAACTCGCAAGCTGTAGGTATTGTTGCCAAGAAATGGAATACGCAGACACAAACACCGGTGATTTCATTATACGTTGTCTCATTCACGTTGTTCCTATGGACCTCTTATAAGCCAAAGGCAGGTATACCGAACTTCGTCAGACGTAGACGGGGCTGCTGGTGTCCACACACTCAACCACTACCATTACTGAAATCGGCTCTCGCGACTCGAACCAATCGGATGAATGCCCTCGCGCATCTTCACGCGCTCTTACTGCTTCTCGAGGGCAACCCTGAAATAACGACTATTCCTTCCAGCATATGCAAATACTAAACAGCCCAAAGGCCATAAAATAGCTGGTTTATGGTCCGGTATCGGCCAGCAGCCGCCAACGCCAAACATGTGCACATCTCGAGTCGGTCAAGCTGAGTCGAGACGACTAGAGCAGTGTAGAGGTGAACGAGGTCGATGGACTGAAACGGTCGTAAATCGTCGGATCCCAACTATACCCCATACAAAATGCAGATGTCGCTATGCAGTAGTGAGGCAGATATAGTGTAATCTACACCGGTGTGTCGGCCCAGTGGGCCAGGTAGGTCTTCGCGTTCCTCTTGATGCTCGGAGATCATTGAGGTGGCTGGTAGTTGAGTGGTCGCCTAGCAAGAGCATGTTAGCATGGCCGGGCTAATTGCAATGGCAGGAAAGGAGGCTCACTTGAAGAGGAGAATGTGCGGCTCGGGCTCGTGGACCTCATAGTGCTCCCAGCCCAAGCTCTATAATAATCACATGTTGTCAGCACTACTTCCAGTCTTTGCTTCCAGTCTCTCTGTTGTGCGCGGAAAGTTGCAGATACTTACCTGGGTGATGCCAATTGCGCGCCATTCGTCTTCCCACAGCAGCTTCAATGTGCCCTTGGATGGGTCGTGGTAGTCTTTGGGGATTGCCTTCAGCATGGCTTTGGGGAGCTGGACGTGTCGGTATTCGTATTCATCATCCGAGTAGCTATACCTCCTGGTTAGCATGTCCAGCGGCACGAGGCGGGACGAGGCGGCATGGAGTTCGTAGACGTACCGAGCAGAATAGTGGATCGAGTCAATGAACTCTTCCAACCGCGCCCGCTCGGCATCCCGCAAAGGCCGCGGGGCCTTATTACGACGCGACGTGTCGATATCCATGATCGAGAGGTCGGTAGGGCGAGATATGGTGCGTTGCAACAGTTGACAGCCTCCTCGGCGCGAGCCTACTTCTTGATCGGAGGGGCGTGGGTGGTATTCAGTCCGAAGTACTTGAGCAGCGAGCGAATAGAGAGGCTCCGCCGGTGTGAGGCAAGATAAAGGGATTGAGGTGGTTGGTAAAGGCTTGGTGGGACTCCCGATGGCGGCAGAGAAATCTAGACGTTCCGGGTCGCGTGAGTTGAGGGAGGAGGGGTAGCTGGAGGTGGCCGGGTCCAGTGCAGGTGGCCACTCTGCGAGTTGCGATGCCGGCAACGGGCTTCAATGTTGCTGTGCCAAAGTGAAACAAACAAATACCACTGGGGCCGTTTAAGAGCTCACTAGTGCAGCTTGAAGAGCCTCGTATAATAGAAAGAAGAAGGAAGAAATCAGGGCAACCAGAGGGAGGTTGACTATGTTGGTTGTTGCTGGTTATCGCCCTGGGGAGAGGGAAAAGAAGGCGCGTGGGGAACTGAGGTTTGGAAGTTCCTGCGGTCTCTCCAAATTCTGGCGGCGTGTGGTGGAGTCGGTAAACAATGCTGAATCGCCAGACAAAGGTACAAGGTGGGGGAAGGGCAGCTAAGGTGGGGCAAGCACGGGCCATACCGTTGATCTAGCTAGGGCTCTTATCGATAAGATACATTGGCCCACCTGCCCAGTCACCCAGTCTACCAGTTGCCCAGCCACTGTGGCGCAATACCTCCTAGCTACCTTACTAACTAAGGTACCAGCCAAATTGAAGTTGGTGCCCAGGCAGCTGAGGCGCGTTCTTGGTTCACGCACTCGGCACATGCGTGCACACACCACTGCCCACTCACACGCACCTCGCACCTGATCTTCCAGTCTCGCCGCCTTCGCCAATATTTGCGACGATACTGTACTTTACGAACGTCCACGGTACTGTTGCTGCAGTGCATCCGCTCGAGGCACCGGATACCCATACATGCGCCTAAACACTTCAGGTTGAGTTGCAAGCCGAACCTAAGGTACCAATTCCTACGACGGCCTGTGCCTGCGGAGGAGCTTAGGCCTACCTACCTGCCACGGCCTGCAACCAACATCACCACACCTCGCATCCCACCCTCAAGTAAACCAAACCATTGTTGCTGCGACTGCCCTCCCTTGGGTAACTTCCCGTCGCCGCGCAATCACCTCTGGCGACAAAGCAACGCAACAAACTCCCTACCGATTGCCACAGCGCATGCGCTTAACCCGACCGTGTCGAATTTTGGCGGGCAGCAATGGATAACAAGCGGAAGGCCAGTGGTGCGAATGGTCCCGATGCTGGCGCCGACGCTGCTGATCGAGTCGCCAAGCGTCGCAAACTGATAGAGGTGAGTCTATACCATTTTCATGCAATTCCTCGTCGGCCATGGCGTGCGCGCATGCTCTGCGACCGCTGTGTTGGGTGCGACGCGCACGCGCAACGTGTCGCTTGAGAAGTTCTGGTTGAGGAGAGGTGAGAGTTGTAGTTGCAACTGCAGCTCGCCAGGATTGGAGCTTTTGGAGCGGAGCTACTAAGGCAACGAATGTGCATTGCGAGGGCCAGTGTCCTCCATCCACCAAAAAAGAGACCCAGATCCAACCGCCTATATCCTCGAAGCTTGAGCCTCGAGGTTTGAAACCGTCAGCCAGCCGTCTGCTGCCTCCTACATCATTCCACAATGCCACCTCTGCTAACCTCAACGCCCCCTTGCAGGAGTTTGGCGACCTTGCAAACGGCGAGTCTCCTCAGTCGACCACCGCCTATGGATTGAACATCCTCGAATCAATCAGAGCAACTACCGATAAGAAGTAAGCTTTCATATCGAACCATGGCTGTTGTTTTCCTCTTGCACTTAGCCCATCCCATTAAACCCGACTACTCGTTCACCGGCATCTATGTCATGGCATTGAATGGACTTGTCACCAGCATCACTAACCAACACTTCTCTTTGCAGTGGCCGTGCAGTCTCGCCCTTCTTCGAGCGCATCCCCACACGTAGTCAGGACCCTCAATATTACAAGACTATACGACTCCCGCTGTCCCTCGAGATCATCGAGCGCAAGCTAAAGAATCATCAATATGCCAACCTCACTGCCCTTGAGAGTGACTTCAAGCGCCTTGTATCCAATGCGAAGGAAGTCACTGATCGTAACTCGGTCAATTTCGGTGATGCAGAGCGCATTCGCAAGGCTGTCAGCAACCTGATGGTCAAGCAGAATCCTGCATACAAGTTGGGCAATTATCAAGCGACTGCTACTCCGTTGCCTCCCAGTCCCGGCCCCGAGGACCTCGAAGAAGAAGATGCAGAGGGCGAGGAGGATCCAGAGATGCCGGACTCCACTACTGGCGATGAGCCTAATACTGCAGAGGCTCAAGACGAGAACGAAGAGGACGAAGGTGACGAAGATAACAATGATGATGAAAACGACGAGGAGAACGACGAGGATGGCGAGGGAGGTGACGAGGAAGATGACGAGGAAGAAGAGGAAGATGCTGGGGAGGACGATGAGCGCCCCGAGCCTAAACGACGTGGTGGTAGGAGTCAGGCACCACCGAGCCGACAAGCCAGAAACTCCTCAGTCACGCAACCTCAACGAGGAGCGCCTCGCGGTCCACGCCCTGGCAAGGCCGGGCACCACTATGAGGGCGTACCATTCAAGGGCCTTGGTTTCCAGCAGGCACAAGAGAAGGTCGTAGAAGAAATCATCCGCAAGAAGGATGACGCGTAAGTGTTCTCTGACTACTCATATAAGTTGGGATAGGGCTGATCTAGAAATCGTAGTGAGTATCCCTACTTTGATGCGTTCATCAATCTACCGCCTCGAACGCTGAAAGATTACTACGAGGTGATTGCCGAGCCGTTATCTCTCAATCAACTCCGGAAGCAGGTACGGGGTCAGCATGGCAGGGGAGAAGCCACCTACATCAGCGATTTCAAGACTTGGGCTGCCCTCGAGGACCAAGCGAGCCTAATCTGGAAGAATGCCTACCACTATAACGAGGACGGTAGTGAGATATCGCTCATGGCCAAAGAGCTAGAGGTCAGTTGCCCCACGCTGCCTTGTCTTAGATTCTCAACTGACTAGCATAGGATATGTTCACTGAACTGGTAAAAGAGGCCAAGCAACATGTGCAAGAGCCCCCTCAGCAACCGAAAATCAAGCTGAAGTTGCCGCAAAGCTCGGAAACACCTGGACATCCTAAGAAGATCACGATCCATGTGGGTGGCAAGGCCAGCGCAACGGGATCACCGGCTCCGGTTACGGGCCAGTCAGCGGACGGCGAAGCGACTCGCAACGGCACGCCCATTGGAAGAAACCCCTTTGGTGGTGTTGGCTCGACAGGAACATCGATCAGCCTCAGTCAGCTTGAGAAGGCACGAAGTATGTCAACGTCTGCCGGTCCGCCTAGCCCTTCTGCGATAGGAATGGCGAAAGCTGAGGAGGCTGCCCGTCCGATACGACCGTCGCCAGCCATAACGCCGCAACCTGCAGGAATAACGTTCCAACAATTCGCACCGCCGGTCATGCATCACCCTCAGGGCTTGGGCTCAATGCCAATGCCAAATGGCCCTAATTATATGGCTCCTCATCCGCCCCCGCAGCAGCGGCAGCAGCAGCAGCCGCCTCCTCCCCCGAGAAGGACTGCGGCGGACATTCTCGAGGCCCAAAAGTACAGGACGACACCCCTCCAAAGTAAGGTTCCTCAAGCGAAACGCATGAACCACTGCTAATTATCGTTCGCAGAGGAAACCGAGGCTCTGATGCCCAAATTTGTCATTACCTCGCACCCGGCCCTTCAGCTGGAGAATCGATTATCCATCACCATCCCTGCGAGCCTGACTGAAATTCAACAGGAGCTTATCCTCAATGCGCCTTCTAGCCATTTCCGTTTACAGCTGAGACCGCAGGTATCTACGTTCCTGGAGGCACAGCAGCGGGAGTGGAGGCTGAACGTATTTCACGATGGAGTGCGTCTACATCCATCAGCGGTTTCTTTTGAGAGACGCGGGGAGCCAGTCTTTGATGTCAGCTTGCGGTACGGTACCAATCGGCTCGAGGCATCGCTTGTTGCGGCGCTGCCGAAAGGACAAATCGGTCCGCACAGTCTGAACATGGAGTTGGAGAAGTTCGTGGTGCTTTTCAACTTGCTCAGACACCAATGAGTACACCTCGCTGGTTATTGTGGCTTCTCTTCTTTTGGAACGGGGAGTCCGCGAAGTCGCAAACCATTTTCTGGTCCAAAGGTTTCAAGACAGCTAAGTTGTCGTATTTTCTGGAACCTGGGCTTGAACAGTTTGCAATGGACTGGACAGGTTACCACGTGTCTCTTCTCGATGATGCATCGACCGCTGGTAGGCTACCCTGCCCGCCAAGCGACACTGGCAGATGAGCGGCATCCGAAACAAGTGGTGAGCTGGTAGGATGCCACAAATCTCCAGGTTTGCTCAGGTATGAACTTGACGCGAACCTTGGTATAAAACGAGGACAGATGAACGGACGTTGGTCTGTTCACCCGGTACATGTAAGTTAGTCATTGATAAGCTACTTACTTCGGTAGCCATGTATGAATAGAGATCCATTGTAGGCCAATTTCACACATAAACCTGAAAGTGGTGTCCGTAGAGTTTTCTGTTTTCATTATTTGTAGGGATCGTCTGAACTTGACAGCAGATGGTTCTTTATGTTGATGAATGCCAACGTGGTGATCTCAACTACTGGAATCATATTGCACTACAGGTATACCAGTAAAATGTAGTTGTCACCACAGACACGATATCGTCTTGTGCCAGAACCTGGTGATATGCCCCAACCATTCCTGACCCTACAGAAGTCACCTGAAAAAGACCATAAACCCATTCTTGCTGCCACATGAGTTGAAGTGCCTTGTCGAGTCAGTAGAAGACCGGAGACCTTGGCTTGCTGGTTTTGGCAGGTGACCATCTGATTGGCCGAATGTGGAGGCTGGGGGAGAGAAGGTTGTGGATCCTGAATCGGGATAGGCGGGTCCACCATACAAAGCCCAATCACGGAAGGGGAGCGGGGCTTCGGCTTACCTAATTAGAGGTGGGGTTTCTCTTCTCACCGCTGGCCGCTTGGGGGGCAGAATTTTTTTTCCATTCCTGCACAAACCGGACGGATTCAAAAATCGCACCCTGCCCGCCTGCCGTCAGTTCGTCCCTTGAAAATCCTCAACTTCGGCTGCCCGACTTTCCCACCCATACTCCCCCAAACACCAACCGCAAAAATGGCCGATGAAGTCTACGATGGTGCCATCGGCATCGACTTGGGTAAGTTATGCCGTGTCCTGGGATCGTCATCTGGCATTGAGACTGAACTGCCATGACGGGTCTGGTTCGCTCCCTCGCTAACGTATCCCGCCTTGCTGCGGTCAACAGGAACCACCTACTCCTGTGTCGCCACCTACGAGGGAAACAATGTCGAGATCATTGCCAACGAGCAGGGTAGCTTTACCACCCCGTCATACGTCTCTTTCAACGAGAAGGAGCGTTTGATCGGTGAGGCTGCCAAGAACCAGGCCGCCATGAACCCGCGCAACACAGTTTTTGATGTCAAGTAGGCTTGCTCCAAGTGATGTGCATTGGTCGTTGAGCACACCAGACTGACCTGAATCCCGATAGGCGATTGATTGGCCGACCTTTCAGTGACCCCATCGTCAAGAAAGACATTGAATCATGGCCCTTCAAGGTTGTCGAGCAGGGCAGCAACCCCATGGTTCAGGTCGAGTACCTGGGAGAGACAAAGACTTTCTCGCCCCAGGAGATCTCCGCCATGGTCCTCACCAAGGTAAATAGTCCCGCAGCTGCGCTTGCCGGGTCAATTGCGTCTGACACAATTCCTTTCCTACAGATGAAGGAGATCGCCGAGGTCAAGCTCGGAAAGAAGGTCGAGAAGGCTGTCATCACCGTCCCCGCCTACTTCAACGACAACCAGCGTCAAGCCACCAAGGATGCTGGTGCCATCTCCGGTCTCAACGTCCTCCGTATCATCAACGAACCTACCGCCGCCGCTATCGCCTACGGTCTTGGCTCCAACAAGAGCAACAAGGAGCGCAACGTCATGATCTACGATCTGGGTGGTGGTACTTTCGATGTCTCCCTCCTGAACATCCAAGGTGGTGTCTTCACCGTCAAGGCTACTGCTGGTGATACCCATCTTGGTGGTCAAGATTTCGACACCAACCTCCTCGACCACTGCAAGAAGGAGTTCCAAAAGAAGAACAAGAAGGACATCTCTGGCGACCCCCGAGCTCTGCGCAGACTGCGGACTGCTTGCGAGCGTGCCAAGAGAACTCTGTCCAACGGTGCCCAGACCACAATCGAGATCGACTCGCTTTTCGATGGCGAGGACTTTTTCCTCCAGATCACCCGTGCCCGTTTCGAGGACCTGAACGCCAGGGCTTTCAGCGGTACTCTGGACCCTGTTGCCCAGGTCCTCAAGGATGCCGGTTGTGAGAAGAGCGCTGTTGACGAGATTGTCCTTGTTGGTGGTTCCACCCGTATCCCCAAGATCCAGAAGCTGCTTAGCGACTTCTTCAACGGAAAGAAGCTCGAGAAGAGCATCAACCCCGACGAGGCCGTTGCCTACGGTGCTGCCGTTCAGGCTGGTATCCTTTCCGGCAAGGCCACCTCCGCCGACACCTCTGACCTGCTGTTGCTGGATGTCGTTCCTCTGTCTCTTGGTGTCGCCATGGAGGGTAACATCTTCGCTCCTGTCGTCCCCCGTGGCAACACTGTGCCGACTCTCAAGAAGCGGTAAGCTTATTCCCACCCCTCGTCGAAGGCAAGAAGACCACGAGATCCATGACTAACTCTTTACTCAACAGTACGTTCACCACGGTTGCCGACAACCAACAAACAGTCCAGTTCCCCGTCTTCCAGGGTGAGCGTGTCAACTGCGAGGACAACACATCCCTCGGAGAGTTCACTCTGGCTCCCATTCCCCCCATGCGGGCTGGAGAGGCCGTCCTCGAAGTTGTCTTCGAGGTTGACGTCAACGGTATCCTCAAGGTCACTGCCACCGAGAAGACCTCGGGCCGCAGTGCCAACATCACTATCTCCAACTCCGTCGGCAAGCTTTCATCTTCCGAGATTGAGAACATGATCAACGGTAAGCCCTGAAAAGTAGATCATTGATCCGGACTACGACTGACATGACTTCTAGATGCCGAGAAGTTCAAGAGCAGCGACGATGCTTTCAGCAAGAAGTTCGAGGCCAAGCAGCAACTCGAGTCCTACATTGGCCGCGTCGAGGAGATCATCTCTGACCCGACCATGTCCCTGAAGCTGAAGCGTGGCCAGAAGGACAAGATTGAGCAGTCCCTCAGCGACGCCATGGGTCAGCTCGAGCTTGAGGACTCAAGCGCTGATGACTTGAAGAAGAAGGAGCTGGCTCTGAAGAGACTGGTAACGAAAGCCATGTCCTCCAGATAAGCGTCTCTATCTTTTCGGTTTCTAGCCTTGGGATATAGATGGACAGCTGCTAGCATGACGGGAGGCTAGCTTATGATATCATGCTCACCCGCGCGAATGATGGACATCAGCAACTCGAGGGAGGTGGTTTTCACTCCCACTCGATTTGGTGATGTATGAGGTTAACCCAAAAGTCTTCGGGATGGTTTTCCATCCTCTCCTCCGAACCCTTATACTCCCTTGATCTTCCGGACCTCTCACGGTTCACGGCGCATTGCATGTAGACTAGGAAGAAAGAATCCGGGGACAGAGGGTACTGAATGATATTTGACGATTGAGACACCGCATTCACGTGACTCGATGGGTGAAGATACATTGTTCTTCTGTGAAATCATGCGCACAATGCAATCAGGTGATGCAAAATCTGAAGTGACAAGCGAAATGATGAACTCACTCTGGTGCAGTATGCAGACATCCAGGTACTGTACTCATGCTCCTCTCAGATACTCCAGATCTCTAACAAGCCTCCAGTGGCGTCACTTGACAGGTTTCAGTCACCAGATGCTAGGAAAGGAGTCAATGACGAGCAACAGGTGAGTGGGTCTTTGCTAGCCAGTAAGTATTTGGGTTACCATTTGGGTCGTACCTCGTCCATAAGCGCTTGTTGAACCTGCTACTGGCAAGTCTCTATCACTCGCCCCTAGGGTTGCTTGTCGTTGACTTCATTATCTGATCATGGTCGAACGAAATAGTCTGCAGTGGGACAAGCAGCCATGGACGGCAGTTCGGCAGTAGCAGCATATTCTCATCACCTCCCCTTGTCACATTGTTCTGCAACGCGTCTGGGGTGGTATGCATCTAGATGCTGTTGGTTACGAGCTTTCGACATCTCGCATTATGCCAGGGCTTGCCATTCGTCTACCCTCAAACACCCCCGGCACGCAATCCTCTCCCGGCCCGAACCCACCAGATGCTGAATGAGGCCGCAGACATGATTCTCATTAGAAGACCAGTAGCCAGATAATGGATACTTCTTATGTCGTCTGCCATAACGATTGACCTTTTGATTTGAATATCATCAGCGTCTCCAAGGTGTCATATCCAGACCTCTTCCACCAGATGACGTAACTTATAAGCGCCTTGCCCCCAGCTCCGAGTAGGTCACACACTCATCCATGGGAGGCCGCCCGTTATCGTCCTGGCGCCTCTGCTGCTCCTCCGAGGTTTCATTGGGTGTGCTTATCCGAATGTACGGAACCCGGAACGACCACGTCTGCTGGCCTACGGCGTGCGGCCATGTTATATATAGCTACCTACGGTATATGCCTTTCAAGCCTCTATGTTCCCCGCACCTCGAGGCTCCTTGAGTGAAATGGCGCAGTAACCAACATACACCAGCTGAGCAACAGCCTTGAGATGACTCGGTCCTTCTTGCGGCGTGGGAGGAAGAAGACAGTTACTTTAGAGAAGCAAGGCGAGGAGAGAGCCTCATTGACCACCGCCTACGATGCCACGGACCCCCTGGTCGAGTAAGCTGGAACCTTCCTCCCGCCCGCTGGGCTGTACGTGACGTACCCTGGATAGCTAATCCCGTCCTCCGCTGCTTAGTATCGTCGCCGTACACGGACTGAACGGTGATGCGCGCAAAACGTTCACCGACCAGAACTCAGGAACGTTTTGGCTAGGAGACGAAGAGATGCTTCCCCGCGACCTGAGGGGACGGTGTCGCGTGCTTACGTATGGCTACCCTTCGTCTGTTGCCTCTATCCTGGGCAAGACGTCGTCGGACCGGATATTGCAGCATGCGACGACTCTCGTCGCCGAGCTAGTGGCGGACCGAGAGGTATGCGGAATGATCCTGCCCTAAGATGTCGCGCGCGCGAAGAGCTGAGATTGTCTTACAGTTGGAGGACGCGCAGGAGAGGCCGATCATATTCTTGTGTCACTCGCTGGGCGGCATCATAGTCAAGAGGGTAGGTGTCTGTTGCGTCAAGCAGGCCGAGCTCACTCTAAAGACTCGCTGACACGACTTCCGATAGGCACTTGTCTATTCGGCGCATCGAACAGGTAGGATGGTGGAGCATTTACACTCGATATACACCTCGACATACGGCATCATGTTCTTCGGCACGCCGCACCAAGGCAGCGCCTCGGCGAGCCTGGGCATGGCCGCCCAGCGCATGATCGAGGCGCTCGTGCCCTCCAAGCTCATCGACACGAACGGGCAGCTGCTGTCGGCCTTGCGGGAGGGCTCGGAAGTGCTTCAGGACATCACTGACAACTTCACGCCGCTGATACAGCGCTTCCGGGTCTACTTTTTCTGGGAGCAGGAGAAGACGGATTTCGGAGTCAAGTATGATTATGTGAGTAGCGGCCTTCTACCTGCAGTGATATCAAGATACTGGTCTAACACGCCTCGCCACAGGTTGTGACCGAGAGCTCTGCCGCGCCCATACTGGACAACACCGACCGGGCTGGGCTGCGGATCGACCACCGCAACATGCTCAAATTCGCGTCGCGGAACTCGCCAGGCTACAAGCTCATCGTGGCCAACATTCTTCGCTACTCGCGGGAAGCACCAGCAACGATTTCGCGTAGGTGGATAAGCGAAAAGGAGCTGATGAACTCGATACGCAGAAATGAGTCTATGGAAGCACATCCTATTATCATGCAGGGCGAGGACATTGGTATGAAGGAGAAAAGCTAGTGTGTTAACAGCAGCGGCATGATAGCTCTCACTGTAATTCGACTTTGCAGCCCTCTCCGATCTGTAGTACTAGTGTCATTGTCTGTTTCTCAACGCCAGTGAGTTCGACAGTTTCTCCTGCGGGTAACTTGATCGTTGGGTATCGTTGGAGGATTCGAACGATCGTGTACGCTGCTTGTGTTTGGGCGAAGTCCACTGAGAACTGTTTAGCCGGTTGTCTGTGTTTGACCCAAAATAAGAAGGCTGACTTACTTCCTAGACACAGCCTTGGGCCGCCGCTGAAAGGCAGGTATCCCCATCTCTGGGTTATGGGGTCCTTATCCAGAGGCATCTCTTCCTCCCAGCGCTCGGGGCGGAATACCTCGGCATCCATGCCGTACAGGTCAGGCCGCCGATGCATGGTGTAGACGCTATAGGCAACGGCTGATCCCTTAGGGATGAAGACGGGGGATTTCCTGTCAGGCCCGCCCCCGGTGGGCAGTACTGTGTCTGTGGTCGACGTCCTGGTGTTCACTGGCACAGAAGGGTATAATCGAAGAACTGGTAATGTCAGTTACAAACGTCCATATACGACCTACCGATGTGTTAGTTATGCGGGATCGTTGGCTCACTTTCTTTCATAACGTTCTGGAGATACTTCAGGTTCTTCAGGTCGGTGCGCGTAATCGGTCCATCGACTCCGCTTGGCAGCTCAGCAATCTCCGCTTGGAGTTTTGCCATGACACTCGGGTGTCTGACTAGATGGAAGCTACGAGTCCAGTTAGCCTCCTCGACATCTAAGGAGACGAAAGGAGCTAGGAGACCATACAATGTCCAGGACAACGCGCAAGCTGTTGTGTCTCTGCCGGCAGTCAGGATGTTGATGATTTGACCGCGGAGAGCGGCACGGTCATCAGACTGCTCGTCCACATGCTTGAGAAACACATATCGCATATCGCTCTCGTCGGTCGCCTTCTCCTTCTGTAGGTTCTGCTCAATGATCTCGTCGGCGAACCGGTGTATGTGGTTGCAGGCCTGGTAGAACTCCCTGCCGCCGATGAGCCAATAAAGATCCAGCAAGCGGAATCGCTTGGTGACCCATTTCTGCGCCGTATCGAACGCACTGGCAAAGGTCACCTTGGTAGCATCCTCGGAAGCCTTCAAACTGCGAATGGACTCGCCGAACAAGAAGGCCGTGGTGACATCGAGGGTATAGCGGAAGAATAAGGGCTGTAGGTCAACGACGCCACCACCCGTAGGCAAGACTTCAAGGAGATCATCCATAGGCTGCCGGAAGACAGAGAGGTCTTCATACTGCCGGTGGACAAGTTGAGGTTGTAGCATCTTCCTTGAGTGCCTCCACGCCTCACCATCCTGCGTGAAGATACCGTCGCCAAACATCGGAAAGGTGATGGCACGGCGAGGGCCGTTCGAGAAATCTGCGTGCCCTCAGTCAATGAGGTGATCCATGAGCCAGTGGTTAGGGTAACCCACCGTTGAACCTGGAGTTCAACATAGCTTCTAGGTTGGCGGGATCAACGGTCCCATAAGCCGGCGTCCCTAAGAAGCACTGCTTCAATGTGTAACCCGTCTGACGGAAATGGAACAGGAACAGCTCCATCAGTCTCGATTCAGCGTCGGCGCGAAAGATCTGCTCGAGTCGATCAACCCCAAATGGACGCTGGTTCTGAAGGAGCGGCGGAGGACGGCAACCATGCTGTTTAATGAGAGCATCGTGAACCTGGATGAGTCAGTCATCAATGTTCACTTTGAATCATTCCTTGTTCGAAAGACAATCGTACCCGACGTGTTCTTGAGGTCTTGACCCAGTGCCTAACGTAAAGCGCCAGCAAGGCACCCGCGATGTAGAGCCATGTACGCATGGCGATATAGTCAACCTTCAGTTGTCGACGTACTGGTAGTAACGCGTGCGGAACCCAGAGACTCTCGTATAATTATGCGAAAGAGTTGCGGTTTATTGACCGAGGCAGCTGAAAATGGGTTGAAGTGTCAAATCGAATAGCAGACTCACACTTGTCAAGACGTCAGGGCAGAAGGCTCTACAAGAACCCTGTATATGTGCTGCTGGTTCTCCATTGCAGGAGGCTGGCCCTGTCGATGGATGTACTTCTGAAGCGCCCGGATGCATATCTCCGCATGCGAGAACCAGACACAATGTCACCTTGGTATCTTAAGAGCCAATCATAGGAGGGGCTTCGCCATGGGTATTACAGGGGGCGGCGGCGTCACGGTGAAAGACAGAGAATGTTGCTCTGAGACGTGACAGGCTGACAGCTCACAGGTCGATTGTGTCCAGCCCATTCACACAGCGCCGTGGCTCATCTTAGACTTGTCCACAGCAGCAGCGCTCCCAACAGAATGATGCATTAACAAGCGGCCCAAAGCTCGACCATGACCATCAGGCCAACATCTCCCTAGATTCGTCTTGCTTCAGCCGTCCGTTTACGCACTTCTCAACAGACCTCGGGGTCACGCTCATCGGGAATTGCCAAGCGCCGGCAGTATTCGAGAAGTCAAGGCCCCATTCAACCATCGCACTCGTCCATGCCAGGGTGTCTACCACGGCGGGCGTGACACCATGCTGGCCTCGTGCTTGCGCTCATTGACAGATTACCAAAGGCCAGGAGTAATGACCATTACTCGGCACGATAGGCCGGTCACTAACGATGGGTCTCCTTGACCTCACCGCGTCAGAGAGCCTCGCCGAGCCAGGCCGTGACTTCAATGTCGAGTGAGTGGTGGCTCCACTGCATAGTTGTGATATTGCTCATACCCACTGCAGTCTTGTCTTCATCCATGGCCTCTACGAGAGGGGTGTCAAAGCATGGACACAGGAAAGAGCCGACACTCTTTGGGTGCGAGATATTTTCCCGCACCAAAAGTACCAGGCTCGCATCCTGTTCTACGACTACGACGTGGAGACCCTGACTGCTCCGGGTGGCCCGGCAGCGACGGGTATCTACGACGAAGCTGTCAACCTTGTGAACGAGTTGCAGGCAGATAGATATATTCAGGAAGCCGACCGACGCCCGATAATATTCATCTGCCATGGCGTAGGAGGCCTGCTGGTAAAGCGCGCATTGGCCTTCTCAAACTCCAGGAAGGACGTCAAGGTCGACCATCTGCGATCGACGTTTCGGTCTACCGTTGGTCTCCTATTCATGGCAACTCCTCATCAGGGTCTGAAGAAGGCGTCCATATCTTTCGGAAATCTCGAGAAGCATGGCGGGCCTGGCCAGTTCATGCTTGGTTTGCTCGAGGGCTCAGAGACGATACAGGAGATCACCGATCAGTTCGCGCCGCTGATGAAACATTTTCTTATCTACAACTTCTGGGAGAAGATCGAGACACGGATTGGCAAAACCAAAACCTTCATTGTGGACAGATCCTCCGCCGCCCCAGGCTGGTATGAGGTTGACCAGCATGGGATTTATGCGACGCATTCCAACATAAATAAATTCAGCAGTACTGCCTCACCGGGCTATCGAGTTGTGCTAGCTACGCTCGATAGATATCTACGAACGGCAGCTACCAATATCGAACGCCGATGGCAGCAGGACCTGGAACTCATACACATGGAACGCGTCAATGACTTGCAACCTGTCCTTGGGACCAGCTTGAATGTGGATAGCTCGACGTCACTAAGATCTTCATCCTCCGCAGCGTCTTCGACTTTGCTGGACCAACCTACTACCCCTGGTGACTCGGACTCAGAAGGCCGTTCAGATGGCACTTCGACGCCCTCGATCAACGTACATACCATGGTAAACCGCCGTTCCGAGTATTTCGTTGGCAGGCAAGCGCAGGCTCAGCTTCTGGCCAAGGCCTTTGGGACTATTCAACGCAAGCGAGGGAGGAAACCCAAGACTTTCGTAATCTATGGCCTACCAGGAAGCGGCAAGACGCAGTTCTGTCTACGCTATTTGGAAGATAATCGCCACAGGTACGTATCCGATTGGAAACTTCCGGGTCGCCCTGCTGATCGAGAGACCACTAGGTACTGGGGTGTCTTCTGGATAGACTGTACCACCGAGGTCACCGCTGAGGCTGGGTTCGCCACATTGGGCCAAAGAGCAGGCAAAGGGCAGGAGATTGGAGCAGGACAAGACTGGCTGTCTCGCTCGCCTGACCCATGGCTGCTCATCTTGGACAACGCCAACGATCCCGAGATGGAGCTGGCAAACTTCATACCCCCGACTGGCAATGGCCACATATTGATCACCACCCGGAACCCTAACGCCAAGATTTACAGCACGCTTGGCTCACTACACTTCAAAGGCATGGATCCTGAAGAAGCCATCACACTCTTCCTCAGGTTGGCGTACCCGGACAGCGCCCCGAATACAGCCAGCCAAGACTCACGAAGGCATGCAGAACTCATCGCCTCCGAGCTGGGCTATCTGGCGCTGGCCCTCATACAGGCGGCCTACACCATTCGTCGACAGTTGTTGCCATTGGAGAGGTATCTGGGGTCCTTGCTTGGCTGTCGCAAAGCATTGCTCAGCAGCCCGATCATCAGGTCTTCGGCAGATGCTAATATCGTAGCCACATGGGAACTACCGTTCACCGGGATTTCCAATGGCCGGACCCAAGAGTATCGGGATGCTGTAGATCTCATTCATATCTTTGCGTTCGTGCACTTTAATGCCATCCCTGGCTCTTTGTTCTCCCGCTCGTCGGACGGGGTGAAGCAGGCGAAACGGCTCCGCACTCGGCCTGCGTGTATTGTCGAGCCCGACTCGATGGAAGGTGTCCAAGACCGCGTGCTTGCGGCGGCCCGCGTGCTCTATGAGCACTCCATCATCTCAGTCGTGGACCTTGATTCCATTGCAACAGGCGAGGCGCGGTTTACGCGGTCACGGAAGCAACTCATTTCGCTGCACCCAGCAATCCATCAATGGGCCAGGGAGAGACTAGACGGGACCGAGCACCGCGACTGGCTCGACTGCACCGCCTCGGTCCTCTCACACTCGATCTCATCGAATCTGGAGAACTCGGGCAGATCGTTCAGACGGCTTCTCCTATCACATGTCGAATCGTGTCTCTCTGCTTTGGAAACAGTGTATCCGAATATGCCGGTCGACCAAGACCAAGCTTTCAACCTCGAGAAATTCGGTCTCGTCTACGCAGAGAACGGCTTGTGGAGGCGGGCAAGATCTCTGCAGGTCAAAGTCGTAGACTTTAGGAAGCGGAGGCTCGGAAGATTCCATACCGATACTATCAGCGCTCAGCAAGGTCTGGCAAATACGTATTGGAATCTGTTCGAAATCGAGAAGTGTCTGAACGTACAGCAACAAGTCTGGACGGCTAGATTCTGGTCACGTCCCAGTCTTTTAGATTGGCTCACCTGGCCACCATGGAAGCCGAACACTGTGCCATATTGCATAGCACTAGATGATCTGACGCGGTCCCTGTGGCTCGCTGGCCGTCGCGACTTATCGAAGAGAGCCGGAGAACGAGCACTCCAGGGACTTATGCAGAAGCTGGGACCAGACGATCCATTGACCCTCAGCGCGATGTTCAACCTATCCCGGACTTACTTACACGTTGGCGACCTCGACAAGAGCTATGAGCTACTTGTTGAGGTCCACCGTAAGCGAAAACACTACTTTGGGTATGAGCATCCTGATACACTGATGACCAGAAACGAGCTTGGCGTGAACCTGTGTGCGCAGAGGACACGCCTCGACGAAGCAGAGGAGCTCGTACGAGGCGCACTAGAGTCGCGCAAGAGGGTTTTGGGAGAGGAACATGCATATACCCTCTGGTCGGTCAACGACCTCTCAAAAATCTACTGCGAACTCCGACGATTCGCCGAGGCCACTGACATCCTGGAAGAGATCATTCCAATCGTCAAGCGTACGCTAGGCAACGACCATGCCGGCATGTTCATGACCAAGTCGAATCTGACGCGTGCGTACATCCTACGCCAGAAGTGGAAGGAGGCCCGGGAACTGCTTGTCGAGCTACGTGAGGTCGTCCCGAGCGACCATCCGGACAGGTTGCACGCAGAGTACGGCTACGCGTTCGTGCTATACCATGAGGGCGAGCTGGAAGAGGCGGAGGAGTGTTGTAAGAGACTCCTGAAGAACGTGGAAGAGACGAACGTCTTGGGGTCCGACAGCGCGCGCGTCATTGCCACGGTGGAGATTTTGTCGGAGATATACCTCGCAGATCAACGGGATGAAGAGCTGGTGGAGCTGAGGCTGAGATACCCACGTGTCGACGGGAATGATGGGCGAGGATCTATTGATATCACTCCGTTGGGTCCACTTAAGCGTAGGAGGCCGCGGACACAGGCGGATACAAATGACTAGGGCATTGAGGACCCGGAGAATCAGGAGCAACATGCATTTTTTACCTCGATGGATGTCAAGGGTAAAAGAAAAACATTACTCTAGAATAACCACAGCACCAGTCACGCCGGCGAAGAACACTTTTATACACGGGGCGTAGGGGCAACGATGCTTGGCGTGACGATGACACTATGAACACAAAGTCACAAGCTATACGTCAGGTACAGTGAAGGCATTATATTGCATTGGAATGGGCGTGGCAAAGCACAATATTGTCAGAACTGAAGCTCATTCAAGTTGACACGAAATTGCCCCCAAGGCCACGACCATCAGCAAGTTATTGTAGACCACCAGAGCAACAGAGGCAGAACGAGTGCCGGCAATATGTACAACCATACAAACACTCCTTCTCGATGACTCTCAGCAACTCCCTGTACTCCAAAGCGCTCATCAACAAGCCTTAACCGCCTAATACTCCTCAAACCCACCCCCTCCATATCAACACCAAGCGCAACAGTGTCCCGAGCCCCCCAAGTTAGGAACCTCCGCCCAGCCATCACGCCGGGCCCATCCTACTCGAGCCCCAGCCGCCGCCGCATCACACCACCACCACCACCACCACCTGGCGTCTTCCCATGCAGCCTCTGTTACTCCTCCTTATAAAACTCCGCCGCTCTGTTCTCCGCCACAGCGCGCTCCAGCCTCCGCGGCGTCGCCTCCTCCGGCAGGCCCCTGTTCCTTGCCGCCCAGCGGCCCATCTGCGCGACATCGAGGTCGAGGACCCTCTGCTTCGCGTTGGCGACGGCCTCTGATGACCCGTTCTCATTCTGAGCCTCCATTTCCGTTTTCGAATTCCGCCTCTATGGCTGGTTGTTGATGTTGATGTTGCTGCTGTACAGCGCCGAGCTCGCAGTCCGCGAACCATGCCGCGCTGCCGACGGCTCAGCCGCCTTGTCGCGACCGCGGCGGCGGTGTAGAGCTGGCGCCTGTCGATGCCCGCGGTGGCGCGCTGGGCCCGGTCGATTTTCGTCCTGGCTCTTGATGAGTTTCTTGGGTGTGGTTTCGGGCTTCGCGTTCTCAACCCAGCAGATTGAGAGATGGGTATTGATGTTGTGGAATCAATTCAGGCTCTGTCGTAACCTTGAGCAAATCAACGGAAAAAAAATTTGGTGGCTCATGGCTGAACTCTGTTCGTCTTCTCCCTCAACCTCAACGCCATGTGGGTTCGGGTCTGGGGTCGGTGGCGTTGTTCCTTGTGAGTTGTCTTGACGAATATGACGGCGCCGGAATTGTCCTCTGCGATTCGGGGCGTGTTTGGAAGATCGCTGTCATCGTCGTCGTGATCAGCGTCCTCGATGGAAGCCGCCCCAGGAGGACGCCGACCGCCGGGCCGCGGCTACTGCCTTGCGCTGGAACAGGTGGTACGCCTTCATGATATTGACATGGCGATGCCTATTCTTCTTCATTTGGCCCTTGGAGTTGTCGTTGTTGTCGTTGTTGCGTTTCACACTCTTTGCAGCCTGCCCCAGAAAAGCCCCCGGGTTAGCCTCGCGGAAGGCAATCTCCCACCTCGCACGCTTGGCGGCGTCGGCCAGCACCGTGACGGCCTCGCGGAGCGCCTGAAGCTCCTCCGTGGTGCTGGCGTCTAGGTTCTGGTCTGGATGGGTCTTGAGGGCGAGGGCGCGGACGTGGAATGCATCCTTGATGTCCTGCTTCTTGCTGGCTGTGCCGACGCCGAGCACCTCGTAGTAGTTTGTAAGAGCCATTTTGTCTGTCTGACTGTTCAGGCCTATTGTTTGATTATGTGGCTGAGTTGAATGAATGTCCAGCTAGACTGAGGTTGCTGTGAATATGTTGTGGTTGCGAATACGTTGTTGTGAGAATTGGTGTTTAGGATTTCTCAGTCATCTGAAGAGAATTGAGTAGGAGTAAGAGTTTAAGAGATGACTCTGGGCACCCAGATGATTGGAGGCTATTTGTATAGACTGTAAAAGGTATCGGAGATGGGTTTTTGACTTGGAGGCGCTGGGGCGGCGGCTTGAAGAAAGTATAACTCACGCCCAGCACGGGTTCGCATTTGAAACTCGCTCAAAGACAGTGCAACGAGCATCGGAAACGTGAGAAACGTAAAGTCTATTTGATTGCGTCTGTAACCAACCAAGGAAACGTCTCAAGATCTTCGCCCGGGTCCGAAAACCACTCGGTCTTTACACGGCAATGATCTTTGGAGCAGTACCTACTTAGTCAGGTGTTGAGCAGATGAATAAAGAAGCAGTGCAATGGGATGATTATACAAACAGTATTAGTAGCTATCGGAATGTTGTCGCTGGGTCAGGCTCAAGCCGACCCTGGTGTCTTCCTAGTATACAGCAGAGTAAAGCTATACTGCAAGCCATCCAGAAGCTTTGCGCATACTCTATCTCTCAAGTGGTTAAACTTTCGTCAGGATGAACCTTGACTGTGCAAACTCACTCTCATCATTCGCCACATCGAGCTGCTTAGGTTCTGGGCCCGAGCACGCCGAATCATCCTAGTCATCGTACCTTGCTGGCCGGCGTCTTCGTCTTCGCCCTGCCGGAAAGGAGTCATCGTCGGTATCCTCCCCTCCGCCATGGTGTCTAACACCGTCACTATCGCTCCAGCTGTTCCCATTATATTCGTCATCGCCGCTCCTACTTTTCTTCTTGCGACCTGGCCTAGGCGTATACGCGTCTTCGGAGTCAGAGATCTCGGCTCCCGCCCCCCGATAATGAAGCGCCGAGTCAGGTGTTGAGAGTGGACTAGAGTCTAACACCTCCTTGGCGTGACGGCGAGCCTTGGTGCGAGATGGAGTATCCTCACCGGCGGCCGACTCGGTATTCAGTTCCAGGCGAGCCTGCGTGTGTCTGAAATAGCTACTACCCTGGGCACTCCCTCGAGTACTGCTTCGGCGGCTCCCTGGGACTGAGGTCGCTTTCTCCTCCTTTGCTTGAGCCTCGAGACGTTCCTTCTCCTTGAGGTAATTTGGCTTTCTACCTCGGCGTTTCGGTGTTGCCGCCGGTTGAGCTCCTGCAGCCCCTGCATTCTCGGATGGGCCCCGGGTGGAAGCTTCGTCGACTAGCTTTCGTGCCTTCTTACCACGACGCTTGGGTGTTAAGTCAACATCGTCCTCACCATCCTGGTCTAGGTATATATTACTCGTAGCCCCGTTCAGGATGGCATCAGAACCTATGTAGCTCTTTCTTGCCGGCATTGTCTTTCTGAAGCGCGATTGACCTCGGGATAGCACCGCTGACGCAACCCCGGATTGAGTATCTTGGGAGTCGGCAACTTCAGGCTGATATTCTCCCTCGTCGGAGTCATCATCATCGGCGCCACCACGCTTGCGTTTGCGTGGCTTAGGGATCACGATATCAGGGAAGGGGTCATCCAGAACGTCGTCCATGATTTCGTCTTCTTCTCCTTCCGAGTCGAGTTTGGCAAACGTCTTCTTCTTCGGCTTCGGTCCTGGCTTGCGCCCTCGCTTCTTCCCTGGTTTGGGACCGGGCTTCTTTCGAATCTTTTCTCCATTCTCTGCAGTAGCGGCCTCTTCCTTGGCTTTGCGTCGTTTCTTCTCGGCTTTCTCTTCTTGCAAGAGCTTCTTAGTCAAATTAGGGAAGTTTTCGCCGTAATGGAAGAATAGTTCTTCGCCAGCCTTGATATCTCGCAAGGAAGTGAACTTGATGCGGTACTCGCCATTCACATACATGATCCTGGGAGTGACGTTGCAATTAGAGCCCTGGTGATTGATGTATCGACTCAGGTTGCCATAGATTGCGGCGTCGACCCAGATACCTTCATTCTCCAGCAGAGTGAAGAGGTAAGACGAGTTTGACGTCTCATCAAATACGTCTCCCCGCCGTGCCTCACGGCGGACACCTTCGTCTTGACTGATGAGTTCCCCAACGTATTCGATGACGAACTCGTCTTGAGCAATGTCCTCGGTTGTGAAGAGGCCATACCCGGCAATCTTGGACTTTCCAAGAACAACCGACTTCGACTTTCCTCGCTGAAGAGGGCAATTCTGGCACCCGGTGGCATGCAGCACGTCGTTCTCGGCATTACCCGGCATCGCCCTGTCGAGTGCACCGCAGCTGCCACACAGGGCTGGGTCGCATTCACGATTGAGCTGTAGACATATGCAAGGCCGATCTTTCTGCTTAGAGAGGCAGGTCTTTCCGAGCGAGTGACATGCACATCCCGTGAATTTGTTGGCGCAGGTCTCCGATGTGCAGCGGCAGAAACGCTCACACATGATGTTATTCTGAATGCAAGGACAGTTCCTGTCGCAAGGCCCATCATGATGGCACGGATCGAAGTGGTCCTTCCGCTGATGCTCGTGGGTATTTGTATGCTCTTGCCAGTCCCCTACAAGCATCTTCCTCTTCCGGTCATACCAAGGCAGCGGCTTGACCGGGATAGGTGGAGCCTGGGTTACTTTTGGGAGAGACAGCTCGAGCTTATCCATCTGTCTCTGGACGTCCCAGCAAGGCCTACCGGTAGCAGCAGCAGTTGCACATTGCACAAGTACGCTGGTTCCGTAGAATATCGAGTAGAATGTTTTAAGAAGCATGACCTCGGTGTCGTTCCATGCACGAGCACGAGTTCCTGGTTTTCCATTGAGAAAGCACTCGTCACTGCAAGGTCGAGCCGCCGGCCTTTCACCATTGGAGACCTTGGACCTCTGTGCCAGTTGCTGACGGAGCATAGGTGACAGGCCGCCAACTACCTCGACAGAAAACCGCTTTCTTTCGTTGTCAACACCGTACTCTCCGTGCTCGCAGGAGTTGCTGGTGCACACCAAGCAGCCGAGCAGAGCATGAGTTTCCAAGAAGGCTTCAACTGTCATCTGCTCCTCGGTAGGTTTAGCCTGGCTTGGAGTATCCTTCATCCACTTCTTCGGATCGACAATGGTATCCACGGATCTGTCTAGCAGTAAGACGTCGCGTAAGGGCACGGCATGTTCGCGCAAAGCGTGAGAGTTGAAAACTCGATCAAATGCTTCCGTGAACATCCTCACTGCCTTTGCCGACCTTGGGGAGCCAGACTCATCGTTGTATGAGTTCAAGATGCTCGACTTCTGCTGCGGTGTTACTGCGTCACTCTGAGTGGCCATGTTACGAATCAGTGTAGACTTGGTGCAGTTCTCAATACCAAGCCTGTCAAGCCAGGTGTCCAGATGCTCGAGAAGCATGGTGGCACGCTCCTTTTGTATGGTCTTTACCACCTTTTCATGCCTGCTCAAGGTAGCAAAGCCAGAGGTCTTGTCCATAGCCTCTAGGTTTTCGAGCCATCGACGGTAGACAGCTTCCTCCTTATCAACCAGATCTCGTAGATGCGGCACATACGTGAGCATGGTGTTGGGTGAGAGGATATTCTTTCGGATCTCCACGTGATGGAAGCTGTACGGTGGCGTGGGCTCCTGGTTTGTCTTGATGCATACCACACGAAAGTGTTCCCGCTTCTCTTGCTTGCCCGATCTGCCTTGACCGACCTGCTACACACATCGTTAGCACCCCGATGATATGACTGCCAATTCCGTGACCTGGCCTGTTCTAGATAACTTGATATTGACTGTACCTTTGTCTTGATGCGCATGGTGTCGGATGATTTGGTGCCGCCTTCCACGGGCTCGAGCTTAACACCGGCAAACCAATCTTTCTTGCTGACGAACCGCGGCTCTGGCGCGTCCCTCTTCCATGATTTATGCAAGAGACGAGCAGTAAGGCTGGCCGCAACGGTGCCGATCTCTCGAGAAAACCCTCGTAGCGACTCTTCTACCTTGTCGGTAGCCCAGTCGAGTCTTTTAGGGGTCTGGTTCTTCGGGGTCCTATAACTTATCGCATCTTGGCTATGGGAAGGGCCAGCAGAGGATCTAGGCTGATAGGAAGCCGCCTTCCCATCATAACTAGTGAACCTCTGTGCCGACGCTCGACCAGGCTTTGGAGGTGTCGCAGCATTGACTGACACGGAATGCCCACGTGCAGAGGCTGAAAGCGGGCGATTTGATGGTGATGGGGCAGGCTGAGGTCGAGGCTGAGACTGTCTGTGCGGTAGCGGCGCTTTAGCAACGGGGCCAGGATCGTCAGAGTCAGACTTGACGGAGGTTAAATCCATTTCTTCTCTCGCCATCCTGTCTGCTCGCGCCGAGTCCTGTGGGGTTGAGTAGTCGAGGTCTAAATAGAATAATTTGATACCTAGTCCTCCGAAGCTACTGATGACTCGGGCATCCATCATACGCCCGGCATTGACTGCGGTAGATTCAAGATGCGAATGAAAGAGTAAGGTGTGCCAAAAGAGCGTGAAATCGGCCATGCAGTTATCGTGGAAGGTTCGATGGATCTGATGCATCTGTGGCTCAAGGCTGGCAGACGTAGGTGGGACTGGTACAGCCGAACGCGTGCCCATCACATGCAGGTGCGGCCTGTCCAAGCGCCTTCTCGGTGTCTGTAGAGAAGAATCAGCTCAAGTAAAAGATGCAGACTTCGGGGGATGACTTGTTACAGAGTATTACACAAGCCTGGGGAATGCTTGAGGCCGGTTGCGCTCGACTCACCCTTTGGAAGTGATATTCAAATTGAGCCTCAGTCCTCAACGCGCCGCGATGATGGATGCCCCCAAATGATCGACTGGATGAGATGAGCCGGAGCCTGCCGTGGCTGGTGGGCCGTGGCTGGTGGGTCGTGGCTGGTGGGCCGTGATGTGGCGTGTTCCTTGCTGTGGCGGTGCAATAATTCTCCTCCATCCAGCCAGATGTCAATGCATCCAAATTGCTACCCCCTGCATCATCCCGATTGAGGTGTGACGACCGGAACGGGACTGCATATTACAATCTTCTCGAGCGGTACGTAATGAAATGGGAACATTGAAATAGTTATTACACTCATGCTTCACTATGCCGCTTCTTTGCTAACCCCCTATGCGGTAGCCGGAGTATCCAGCCTCCTGCTGGCACTCGGACACCTGATAGATTATGTTTGTCCATAGATCCAAACTACAATTCGAGAAAGGATAATCTAGAAGTGATAGAAAGGTTTGCTGTCCTCGAGGCCGCCAGTACTGGACGCTTGATGATTCATCTCTGCAGTTTGAAACTCGACACCATCATGACAACAATCAAGCCTTGATTGTATGCTCACTTTGACCAACAAACTAGACGTGTTTTCAGCTCACGGGATCTACGGATGTCAGTGCTAGTAGCAAGATGTCATCATACTCGCCTTTCATACTAAGGTCATCTAATTCCACCAGGCTGCACCCAACAAGGACCACGGCAGTCGTCGGGAGTAATGGTGAGGTCAGACCAGAAACACCATCTTGTGTTGCTTCTTTGTTGTTCTGGACCAGCCGAGACTAGCAACAATAAGGCCTGCCGGAATCAGCATAGCTCGACTCATAACCTGCAATGGGCAAATAATGAAATAATAAATACCGGTTTGTTGATGATGCCGTGTCGCTGTCGAGTTGTGGTGACTTTTGGGCTACCCGCCCGCTCGAGACCGCTCCTGAGCAAGCGCCGTTAGAGGAGTCGCTGATTGGCTGTATGTAAATATTGTAGTGGCTGCCCAGCGACCACAGTCCCCACCCCTGAAGCACCCCCTGTTGTCCGCCGAATCGGGACTAAGAGGGGACACTATTTGGCCCCTATGACGTCGCTGCAATGACCGGGCTGCTCCCCCAGGTGCCCCCCATTCCTCCCATCACAGCTCTCCATTCTCCATTCCTTTATTACTTCACCGTGAGACGATCACCCACCTACCCTCCTCCACATCTACATACCGCAAACACCAAACATCCCACGTCCCAATTACTACGATTCCCGTTCGCATCGCATCGCATCGCATCGCATCGCATCGCATCGCAACCAAACCCTCCATAACCCTATCGCGTGAAAGAGGAACGTCATTCCTACAGCGCCAGTGTCGCAAAGCGAAACCACCAACGTCCACCCAACAACAGGAACAACAGGTAGCTGAACTTCTCTACCAACATGCATCGAACCTATTCTATGCGCCAGAGCAGGGCGCCGACTGCTTCGCAGATCCAGGTAAGTAGCCTTATGCCGTCCTACTTCATCTGTCGCATCGCACACAATGAGCCAGTCTACTGACAACGGCGCAAACAGAGCCCCCCTCCTCCTCCTTCGTCTACCAAAAGTGGTCGACTATTCGGGAAAGGCGGCTTCGGTAAGTTGCCTAGAAACAGGCCCACGCTCGACTAAGAGTGGTGACCCTCCGGAAACAGCCTGCTAACAACCCTACAGGCCATGCGCTTCGCAGGAATGCCGCTGGCGCCTTCGGGCCCGACCTCGCTAAGAAGCTGACCCAACTCGTTAAGATGGAGAAAAACGTGATGCGAAGTCTTGAGCTTGTTGCCAAGGAGCGCATGGAGGTCGCAGTGAGTAGCACATACGGTGCAGGTTCTGATGTGATGCTGACAGCCTTGTCTAGTCCCAACTTTCCACCTGGGGCGAGGGTGGTGATGAAGATGTCTCCGATGTCACTGACAAACTTGGTGTCTTGCTCTACGAAATTGGCGAACTCGAGGACCAATACGTTGATCGCTACGACCAGTACCGCGTGACAATGAAGAGCATTCGAAACATTGAGGCATCTGTGCAGCCCAGCAGAGATCGTGAGTATCACCACAGTGCGGCCATCTGTTTCACAAGCTGACGCCATTCTAGGCAAGCAGAAGATCGCCGACCAGATTGCTCAGCTCAAGTACAAAGAACCCAACTCGCCCAAGATCGTCGTCCTCGAACAAGAACTCGTCCGAGCCGAAGCCGAATCCCTCGTGGCCGAAGCACAGCTGTCGAACATCACCCGTGAGAAGATAAAAGCTGCCTACACGTACCAGTTCGATGCCCTGCGCGAGCATAGCGAGAAGGTAGCCATCATTGCAGGTTTCGGAAAGCACCTACTCGAGCTGATCGACGATACTCCTGTTACCCCTGGCGAGACCCGTGCCGCATATGACGGCTACGAGGCCAGCAAGGCCATCATCCAGGATTGCGAGGATGCGCTCACCAACTGGGTCACGTCGAACGCTGCTGTAAGCTCGAAGCTTTCCACCCGGGCGCGGACGCTGTCGACGAGACGTCGCAACAACATCAAGGCGCGATCGGAGGGCATGGATCTATCTGGACAGGATGCGCCTCTGAACGATCGGGACTCTTGGGTCGCAGCCGGCGAGCATAAGGGCCGCGAATACGACGACGAAGATGAGCTTGATGACCGAGCCCACTCCATCTCGGATTCAGATGGCGGTCTGGCCACTGAACACCGTGGCAGGGCACCTGAAATGACCGCTTAGTCGACGAGCTTTGCAGGGTAATAGCTATCGGTATAATGTCTAATTCGGCGCGAGCTTTCGTACATGTGCAGACTCAAGGGTCAAAAGCACTATATGGTGTTTGGGTTCAGGAGCACTCGCTGTTGGCTGGTCTGGAACGGAAGGGATGCGGATTGGTACAAGGGTGAGACCTGGGCTGGGTAGTGGACTCTATATGAGCTTTTGTAAACGTGCTCTTCCCTTTCTCTGATCAACTGAGTAATAGTGTTTTGCTGTACTTTTATGGAATGATATCCGGAAAATGCTGCCAAAAAATAATGTGGTTGAACTATGGGATCTATCTAGACCTGACTGTGCTTGAACAAGCTAACATATCCTTGCGTACCCCTATCACAACCCAAACCCTCTTTCTACCCCTCCACCAACTACCCCAGGGGGAATAAGGGAGTCTTGACAGCTTCGACCATTCCGGTGTTGTCAAGCTGCTGACCCCTGAAACCAGGCTTCTACGGTCCAGGTCTGTCAAAAAACCAACCCTCTTCAACACAAAAGCAAAAGCCGCCATCGCACGATGCGGCGTAGCTTCCCAGCTCAAGAGGATCACAAACTTCCGGTCCGCAGTCGTCGACTGTTTTGCATGGATGCAAGGGCTTGTCGGCGCCGAAGGCCGCGGCAATGGCTGAGGCAGCGGCGGCGGCAGCGGAAGCTGGGTCCTGGTCGTCTCACTTGGCTCCAGCTTGCGGCGGGGTGGTGGTGGTGGTAGCGGAAGGGTTCGCGCTGGTGGTGAGAGGGTATGGGTTTACGGTTGCGGTTCTGGTTATAGTGGTATCGGTCCCCGTGTCCTCGTCCTCGTCGTCAGGACACCGGGGCTCAGCAGGCGCGGGTTCGGGTGTCGGAATTCCTTCTTTATTGTTTGCTGCTCGATGCCGGTGCCGATGCCGATGCCGAAGTCGATGTCAATGCCGGTGCCGCAGTCACGGTCGTAAGCCCACTGCTAGTGATAGTCGTAGTAGTCGTCCCCTCTAGCAAGGTGGTCGTCTCTTCCGGAACCTTCGCCGGGTTGATGACCGACGACATCGTTTGCTCGACCGCCGCGGTGTCGGTCGAGGTCGAGGTCTGGGTTGTGAGGGTGCTGACGGGCTGGATTGTCATGCTGCCGTCGGGCGCCGCGAAGGAACACGAGCCGACGGTTTCGATGCCTGAATATACCACCACGGCGATGTTGGAGCCAGGGTGAGTGTGGTGAGGTAGCTGGCACCGGGGTAGTCGGATGTGGCTGGGGCATCGATGATGATGGCTACCTTCGTCGTGAAGGGGGTACTGGCGCTGGTGCTGGTGCTGGTGTCGTTGCTGTTGCTGTCGCTGGAGGTAGAAGTGGAGGCCGTGCTGATGGGTGCAGATTCCTGGGTCGGCTCGTCTCGGCCTGCGCGGTTTGGGGCGGCGGTGGTGGACTCGACGTCGGTGTGGCCCTGGCTGGGTCGGGAGGGCAGGAAGAATGCGTCGCTGGGTAGGACCAGGAGCCCGAAGATGAGCAGCTTGGCTAGGGTGGCGGCCATGGTTGTGTCTGGGCGTTATTGTTGGGGAGTTTGGGTGGATATGGGGGTTGATGCCGTACTGACTTGAGAAGCGTCGGTGATGGCTTATATGGGCGGTTCCAAAGCAATACGTCTTCCGATTCGAGTCCTCCTCTGGTGGTGTAGCCTGTGAGTCAGGGGTTTGTAGATGTCATGGTTCTTTGTCCCTTCATCCTAATATCTTTTCTGTATCACACCTCGGTGACTCGCGGCGTTGCGAAGAGTTTCAGACTTATCCTGTGAGTGGGAAACCAGCAAAGTCACGGCATCGAGGTGCCGTGGGCTGCTACGTGATTCGTTTGCCAACCTTTGGTTGGTTATCTAGAAGCGTCTCGAGGGATAGGGGCAACCCCCATTATCAATTATATCATCAGGGGCTAAACACAGTCTTATGAAGGAATAGCTGTGGTACTCCCTACACGCCGTTCAAGGAGCGAACAAACGTGACCAATGCAGTTACCAAAACTGTGCCCCTTCTCGTGGACACTTGAAGGCATGCCTGCATTTCTGAATAACACACATCTCAGTGTTATAAATTCCAAGATCCCTCTTCGCAGGTCAAGTGGCACGGGCCTTAGTGCAGTCTGAATCAACAAGAAACTCTGGGGTCAGTTTACGCTGCGCTGCCTTTATAGTTGTCTCTTCCGCCTCCGTTGTTGAATCCGTCTCCAGTACCGGCTCGGGCGTCGTCGTGCTTGTGGTCGTAAAAGCCGAACAATCCGTATGCTCTGTGCTCTATGCTGGTTAAAGTCCCCGAAGAGATTATAACTACAGTGTGGTATCTAAAGTCACTGTGTTCGTCGTGTTCATTATTAGGCTTGGTCAAGATGTTGTGCCTGTAGACCTGAGTGTGATTCGACTCTAGGCATTGACCGTCTGCTACGAGATGTTGGCGGTGATATCGGGACTGAACCCGTGCTGCCACACCGGGCCGCGGCTGCTGCGAAGGGGTAGTCTGGGTAATAGCACTGCCGCTCTCTGCGCAGTAAAACCAGCTCATCCCGGCTTCGACACAAGTCGTGGCGATGATATCCGATACAGTACCGAAGCTAATTCGGACGGTTGGACCTTTTGGTGATAACGACGTCCCCAGCGTCATCCCCGAATATGGCCAATCCAGCCGCGGCAGCAGGATGTATGCTGTGTGCTATGAGTGCGTAGAAGGTGATCATAGGGGCATTGGTCATGATCAAGGAGGCAGACCTGCAGGATGTTACCGTAGTCATATACTCGGTCGTCGTGACATCTCTCTCTTCTAATATCGGAGTCTCAATGTCGTTCGGGTTCTCATGTGTGCAGCGTCAGGTGGTGTTGGCTCGCAGGCTACTTGAAGTCGCGGTGGCATCACTCATGGACTAAAAGCTTGGTCATTTCATGCAGTATCCATAACCGATCGAGCAGTATCGTATCCTTGGGTTCTACGCTGCAATTATGTACGCGCGCAGGCTGGTGATGATCATCATGGCGAAGGAGCTGTGTCACCGTTGTGTCATGTAGGTTCCGTTTTCTCCGCCCAATATCATGGGCAGAGGCGAGGAAGGTATGCCCGTATATTGAAAAACACTCAGAACCCAGTTGGTGATATATACAGAAATCGTAAAGGTGAGTGACACGACTTGCGTGCCCTGACATTGCGTATCGAATGGTGACTGCGTTAGGATGTGTGCAATGGTCACTTGGCTCAGGGGCACAAGCCACGCCTGCAGATAGTATTGGAAGATATCTCCAGCCTCCGAGTGGTTATTGTGATGCTACCTGTTCCAACAGCTTTGATCATATACTTCAGTCGTCGGATCTCATCGCCTCTATGCCGTCAAATAATCGATTCCAATCACGAAGCGTCCAGGACATCCAACATCATTTCATCCGCCGCATACTTGACAAGGTCGATATCGAGGAAAGGCTTGTTCTTGCGCTTCAAAAGCTCAATCATGACGGCACCAGAGGCAGTCTCTGCCGCTGGATCGAGCAGTACGGATATTATTTCGATGACATGTTTCTCCAAAGACACCGGGCCTGGCATGAGATGAGCTGCAAAGTCAAGAATGCAGAAGTCCGCAGATACGTGAGTCGCAGCCACAGCTGGTTTCTGGGCAGCGTCAAGGTACTTCCCGGCGATATCTGGCCTCGATTGGCTCGTGATCAAGACGACGACTCCGTGTTTCTGCGGGTCCCGTCGGGCGATGTGCAACAGGGCGCGAGCATAACCTGTGCTTTGCGTCGAGGCCAGCTCCAATGCCATAAATGGGTAGCTCTGAGGGGGGAAGATCCCGGCGAGAAAGAACTCGTCAGGCAGTTTGATGTTGCCGACCGCAAGGGCTGTGCTTGAACCCGCCTTGTTTCCAATGAGCTGAGCGCGTCGGATGTAGAATGCTCTGCCTGCTACCTCTTCCCACGTCGACCTGGGAACGAGTATGGGGATCTGCATCGTCATGCGAGCATAATCGGTATCCGCAGCCTCGCCAGCGTGACGCCCGATTGATACCAGGGGTACCGCGATGAGGCGGTAGTCCTCCTTATGTGCACCGGTGGAGATTCCGCAGTTCAAAATACAGTATTCGTACCCGTCCACACCTTTACAGGTAGGGAGATTAATGCCCAGTCCGCGCTTGGCCATGACAAACGCGTCGCTGGGTCTCTCAGGGGCGCGCTGTCTCACATCTGAGGAATCAAGGCAGTCCCCTGGGGAGGCCGCGAGCGCCGTATACACAGTCGTGTAAGGGATGGACTCATATATCTGCTCTTCCGAGGGCCGCGCTAGTCGGTAGCCCGAGGCGATGATCGACTGGTCCCTCGACTTCCGCATGATCTCTTCTTGCAGCCTTTCAAAAGCACGTCCTCCCTCGCCGTAGAGCATAGGCATATTGACTCCGAACAGTCCGAGCAGACATTACGCCATGTCCTCCTTCCTCGTCGTAGACCGCCCCGCAGCCCAGGACATCCGCTCGGCCACGCTGGCCAGGCGGACGTATATCCTGCCGCTCTGAGACAGGTATTTCTCAGAGATGACCCGTGCTGGACTCGACAACCTGCGCCAGGTCGTCTCTGTACCCGACAAGATTCCAATCCTGGTCAAGTAACTGGAGCGACGTGGGTGCCAGCAATTCCTGCAGCGTCCAACCTCGAGTAAACCAACGGCTCTTCCTGAACTTGGAATCCGGCCTATGGGCATCCTGACCGGCTGGGACGTCGGCAAGGTAGGCGTAGCACACCTCTGAGTTCCCGTACCAGTCATACATGGAGTTGATAGCTTCCTGCAGCTCAGTGCTGCTCGTGCTGTCGATGCAGCAGGTGTCAACCCACACCCATTCCAGGCCGTCTCGGATGGCCTCTTGGCAGCATCCCCGTATCTTCCTGTACCCGCCCTTAGCTTTGTACCGAGCCTCGAAAGCCGGAGAGTGTGCCGCAAGCTCTGCCTCAGTGTTTGGTGTGCCACGGGCAATACCCCGGGTTCATGTCCTGGAACTTCACCTCGTCGTCCAGCCAGGTGTGCGAGAGGATCGCGTATTCCGGGATCTGGTCATCGAAGAACTCGTGTAGTTTCTCAGTTTTTGCGTGTAAAAGGCGCATGGTGGTTATGTAGACAATGCAGGCAAAATCATGTTGTGCTGAGCAGAAGGCGGAGTCGGGCTGCATGGATTCCGTCAGCAGCCCCCCTCAACTCAGCCCGATGCCCAATCTGACTGTCTCGTTTCTCCCGAGTAGTAACAACTGGTTGTCTCGACTATGCGAACATAGCCTGCAATACAACAACGCGAAATGTGTACCGGCATAATCTCATAGAAAGTCATCGTAGCCCCAACACCTACAACTCATCATGTCGTCCATGAACCTTATTCACCCCATGATTCCCATTCGCGACCGTCCGTCCCTCAAGCAGAGCCCTCAGACTCTCCTCCCCCAGCGGATTGTCCTCTCTGCCTCCCGCGCCCTTGACCTTAGCCTTCAGCCGTCCCAACAACCTGCCCGCCTTTCCATTGCCCTTCCCATTGTCCTTTGCCTCCATCCCAAACGCCTTCCCCATGTACGGCCCCTCGGGCGTGAACGCGACGCGCTGAACGCGAGCGCGGCGGTTCTCCCACCCGTCCGTCGGGCGGTCCGTTGCATGGTACACCGCGACGACCTGTCCGTCGCCGAGGTCGAGAAAACTGCCGTGGCCCGGGCCGAAGGGTCCCCTGCCGCCCTCGGCGGTCTCGATCAGGGGCGCCGCGCTCTTGCGCCAGGATGCGGGCGCCAGCGGGTCGCCGCCCAGGAACTGCAGTGACGCCATTTTGTATTCGTGCGTCCAGGAACCGGCACACGAGTAGACGAGGCCCCTCCATGAGGCTGTGGTGGTCCCACTCACATTCGCACTCCCATTCCCATCGAGGATCCTGATGCCCCCCTTGCCATTGTGGTATACATCGAGAATCCCATCGGCAATCCCATTCCCATGCCCATGCCCATTCCTGCTCCCGTTCCCACCGTCACCGAGGCCAGATGGGGAACACAGGAACTGCGGGCCCTCATTAATTCCATGCTCACCCTTGTCATCGCGCGAGATTTCCCAGTCGCGATCGGACCGCGAGATCAGGACCGGTGCGCTGTCCGCTCTCGTCGGGTCTTTCAGGCGCACGATGAATAATTGCTGCACGAGGTCCGATTCGCGCCCAGAGTCCTCGAGCGGCCACCCCGAGTACGCCATGTACAGGTTGCCGTCGATCTCGAACACCGTGCCGTCAATCGCCCACTGCCCGTCTGGCGTGCCGGAAATACGGCCCAGGAACTCCCACTGGCCCTGGCATGGATCTTCGTCGGCCGGCGGCCCGCCCAGCACGTACATGCGATGGCTGGCATTACCGCGCTCCGGGTGCGCGGCCGCGTAGTAGATGTACCAACGCCCGCGAACGGCGTGAAGCTCAGGCGCCCAGAGGTCCGCGCTGGCCTCGGTGTCGGTGAAGGGTGAAGGGGTCCTGGTCACAGCAACGTCAATGGGATGATTTAGGAATACAGGGGATAGTAGGTGGACATTGCGATGCAAGGTAAGGTAAGTGGGAGATATATTGTGTGGGTGCAAAAGCTACGCACCAGATCACATGTCGCGTAGCGGCACTCTCAATATCGGCCAGGGATCGCGAGGACCATATCTCGATCCTGTTGCCGGTGGTAAAGGTCTGGATTTCGCAAGACGTCAGCCACCCTATCGCATCATCATTTCCAGCAGGGAAAGTGCGATGCACGAAATGTATCAACACGTCAACTCACAAAGTAGAAAAGCCCACCAGCCCGGGTCACGAAAGGGTCGGGCGTGCCGATCGAAGTCAGCGTGAGGGTCGAGTCGTCATACTGTTGCTGGTGGTGGTGGTGGCTATGCATCGTGTCTGCTGCTGCTTGTGGTGATATGTGTCCTTGGAACGAGAGTGCCCTCGTCCATGCGCGGGAGACAGCGCCGGTTGATATAGCCATCTTCCCCAAATACCCCAGATTTAGTCAGACGTGCTTTGTTTCGGTTGTCCGCCGGACGCTCGGTGCGTCGTGGCTGTGAGTTAAGGTTTCGTGGAGGTTTGGAAGTCAGCGTGCGTGAGATGGGCCTCGGCCGGTGCGAGAAGTGGACGGACGTGACTATGCGGACGGTGGTGAGGAAGTCCGGATGGGTTTCGGGTGTGTCGCGATAGAGAGGGGGGAAAGGTGTGAGTTGGGTGCGTGTGTAGATGGCTCTTGCCTAGGTACTAGGAGGCTGCCTGCCTGGGCGATGCGGTCAAATGGTGCGGGAGTCGCGACTCTCGTATTTTCATCGCTTTGGCAGGTGACGTGGTAGGGAGACGCAGCAGTTGCGATCCCGCACCACAAGCCCAACTGCATCGGGGACATTCACACCACATGTGGCTTGAGCTTGGCCTTCGTGTGTTGCACAGACTCAGCAAACGATCACGAGATCTCGTCTCTTGTGGGACCAGACTATATTGTCTAAGTCTAGTCTGCAGAGAACCCATGAGGTTCAGGTATCTTGAAGCCTTCGGGCTTTATCTGTAAATATTGTTCCCACCAGAGACCATGGAGGGAATCAAGAAAAACCACTATGCTATGCACCAACCTCAGACACCCAACCAACGCCTTCGCTATACATGAACCGCCTGGATATCGCCAAAACTACGAATAGAAGTCGCCAGCATATGCGTGCTCCGCTTCCCACTTAAGGAAGTCGCCTAGATCGTGGCCGAGGTTGTATCCCATGGGGACGACGTCCACGTCGTTGCCGTCCGCGCTGTGTATGACGGCCATGTCCAACATGGGGCTCTGCGGGAGGCTGGCGAAGCTGTCCCGGCTGACGCTGCTGACGCATTGCTTCTCCTCGACGATGTCGGGTGTCTTCTCTTTGCGCACTAGGTGCGCCATGGCATTGTGGTCCGACAGCACGCGCCGATGTGACGAGCCCCCCAGGCCACCAGCCTGGCTGGCTTGTTGCGGATTTGCTTTGGGTTGCTGTTGCTGTTCCTGCCACGAGTGGAGCGGGCTGTAGGGGTTGTCGGTTTCGATCTCGCCGTACGATAGATCTGAAAATGCCTCTCCTGAAGTAGTGGACGTTGGGCTCGGGGCTTCGACATCGTCCTCCGTGACGAGCCGGCCGAGATCGAGACCCCAGCCGTCCCACCATTCGCCGAGCTCGTCAATCTCCTCCTCCTCGCGACGGCGGATAGTGTCGTCGCTGTCTGAGAACCAGTCGCCGGCACCACCGAGGATCGCCATCTGGAACGCTGTCCAGTCCAGGCCATCCTCGCCCCCGAGCTTGACGTCGGGCACCAACTCGGATTTAAGAAAGCGGATAGGCCCATGCCGGAAACCCGGTACGTTCATGGTGCATGGAGGGGATTGGAGGTATATGTAGTTCGAGTCGGCGACGCTGTCCTCCTGGTCGAGAAAACTACTATCACCAACACTATCATCGTCGAGGAACAGTTCGTCATCTGCCATGGAAGTGCGGGAAGTGCGGCTGGTTTCGGGGATGCTCGGAAGCGCCGACTTCTGCCTACGAGGAGGGACCCGTTGCGTTGGCTTTAGGGACGGTATAGGAGACGTGTTGGTCTTCTGAATCGTCGGACGTGGTTCGGAAGAACTATCAAGTAGCGCATAGTTGTCAAGATTGTCATCTTTCCTCTCCACGGAGAAATCTCGTCGCACCACAGGGCGCGACAACAACGAGGCGCGGGGTGTATCATCAGCGGATGTATCTGCGCTGACTCTGACGCCCGCCGAACCTATCCGAAAGGGGAGATCATCAAGATGGAAGGGCTCGATCGGGGTGTCGCTGGACTCATTACCCAGAGATTCAGTCGATTGTTTTGCCTGTAGGATCGACTTGCGGAGCCGATATGCTTCAACCTGGCTGGGTGTGATTAGCTCGTCGGCCTCGATCTTGTGGAACATGTTCCCATTGAGCAGGTCCGTGACATTTTCCGTCAGCGTCCGTCTCCCGCCACTTTTGGCCGCTGGCTTGGATGCCGCGGCCTTCCGTTGCGCTTTCATCGCCCTCGGTTTTCTCGACTTCTTGGACTTTTTTCGTGTGACTCCAGTGTTGGCTGTTGCACGCAAAGGTGAGGCGACCTGCGTGGTGATAGCTCCAAGTTGTGTTCGCGGAATGTGGCTGTTTGGTGATGTTGGTGTCGATGCTTTCAGTGGGGGTGTTGGTCTGAAAACGGTGGGTATATCACGAGTCGCGAGCCTGCGTGAGTCACGGTAGGAAAGTTCTATGAGTTTCACCTCGTCTAGAGTGCTACTGACAGCTCTGAAGGCCTCGTTTGTTTCGTGTATGAGTTGCCGGACGTTCTCTGGAAAGCCGAGGCTGAGGTCCTCGTGGTGATGCTCGGCTGAGCTTATGGCTTGGTCCTCGGTCTGCACAGACAAAGCTCCCATGAGATGGTGCTTTGAGGGTGAAGAAGTGTAATCGGATGGCAAGGCATATGGCTTGGGTGGTGGTGGTGGTGGTGGGTAATCCTCCCCTTCGTAGGTGGTGGCGCTGGACAGCTGAAGGGAATCCTCGCTTAGGTGGCCCTTTGACGATACCGAACAAAGCGGCGACCTCCTGCCCCAGTTGTCGGAATGATGCCCCTCACAGCTGCACAGCGAACTAGCCGAGGAACGCGGGGTGTCGTCTGGAAACGGAACCGATACTGGAAGCGGTGGCAGAGGCCTCGATGTGTCGTAAAAGTCGTGGTGACTCTGGTAACTCTGGTGAGGCACTGGGCTCGAGATTATGATTTGAGGTCTTTTGGTGCTGTTGGAGCGTCTCTTTGCCAACCACGGCTGTTTGTAGTTGCGCCCCTCTTTGTCGGTGAGTTTGTCCTCCAGCTGCCTGTAGCCACCGAGGCCATCATTCCAAGTCTGGTCGCCATGACTGCCATTTCTGCTCTCGGGTCGCCGTTGCGAGATTAGCCTCCGAATGCTCAGGCGCGGATTGGAAAGCATGGTGGGGATGACGCAAGGGAGGCTCGAGCAAAGCAAACAAAATAGAGGACTCGGGGAGAGGCATTCCATATAAGTTATGACATGACTGGGGAGCTACCTACATGACACATGTATGTCCCCGTGGGTGGCACAATGATCGACATACCATTGTCACTTGTAGTACAGTAGGAAGAAGTGCCACAATGAAGTCAGAAGGAGCATCCATTGGCGCATTCTGGCAACCGGCCCCTGCTGCTGGACCGCGAGCTACATCTCTCACGTACATCTCACATCTCACACGGAGTGCAGAGTGGCTCGGTGATGCAGGCCGGCCGGGGGGTGGTATGGTAGGTCCAGGATTAGGCAGGGGGGCTCGCTGGGGTCTCTAGTTATTTTTATCGCCTATTGGTCCATTTGTCCATTTCGAGCGCAACTGATTGCGAAGCTTGGCGTAGATCACCAGGGCGGCCACGCAGGAGTGCCAGGGCTGGAGGTTGATCCAACGTCTCCCATCTCCCGTCTCCCATCTCCCGTCTCCCATCTCCCGTCTCCCATCTGCCCATCCGGTTCCCACGGACTGGCACACTGGTTTCTCCAATAGCAGTACGGCATGGAGGATCACATCTGGCCCGGTCCAAGGACCAGAATCTCGGCCGATGATACCGTCCACTCGAAAGCACTATATGTCCCCTCAACAAATCGGGGAATAAGTACACAGGTCGGATTCCGTCCCCCGTGCCACTGGTGGTACATGTAAACTGAAGAATCAATGCGCAACATGAAGATCTCTTGGTAGAACGGAATGCTGCAGCTGCAGCGCGCAATCGTCGGCTGCCCGTGCTCTGATTGATTGCGTACGGTACTTTTCTATTGCGTGCGACGACGGCGGGCATAATTTCCGGAGAAGTTCCTCGCAGGCATCGGATCCCCATAGCGACGGAATCGCTGTCCGTCGTCATAGCCTCATAGGTCACTCCACAGAAGCTAGCCTGTAGGCACTGGGCAGTGGGCAGTCAGCGAGAGCGGGCATTCAATCCATCCTTCGCTCTCGGAGACAGACCTCACTATTGAATTGGGATTGCGCAAAACGTCACCGACGGATTTGACGAATCCTCAAAGTTAGTACCGACAGCGGCGGTGCCTCATACCTGTAGTTAGTAGATGCCCTAAAATGAGCATATCCATCCATCCATCATCCATCCACCACCCACAACTTACAAGCCATGGCTTGAAGTGGGCTAAAGCCGGGCTCCGAGTGTGCCTGCGAACATCAGTTCTGCAAGGTGTTCCCAGGGCCAGCCAGCGGAGGGCTCAAATGCAGGCCTTCAGGGCTTCAGGGCTTCATGCTTCAGCATATGCAACGGCGGCCAAGTCAAACGGAGACACACTCGGAGCAGATGCCGCCTCCAAATGTGCACTCCAACACCCCTTCAGGCGATTGAGAACAGGCAGGCTTGAAGGCCCCAAGGGCCCCCGATTCCACTCGAAACCAAGGTAACCCACCATCAGCAGCCTGACACTCGGTCCCGGTGGCGAGCGCAGAGGGCAGAGGGCCACATGGAGGAAGGATTCCCAAGGTGCATGTCATATGCAGGTGATGGGAAGGGGAGGATGCAGCAAAGTGCAGTACAGTATGCGGGCAACAGGAGGAGGATTCGCCAAGAAATGAGCACATACCGGATACAGGTGAGCATGAAGGGCCTTGAACCCGGGAACCGTTGAAGAGGTGGGGGAAGATGGGGCACCGTTGAGATGCCTATCCGCTTGATCCCGAGACGGCATAGGTAATTCCACAATCGCCCGTATACTATTGATATAATGAGCCGTTATTAGGCACGTTCGCGTGAAGGTTACCTGAAAGGGACTGGAGGCAGACCCCAAATAGACCCCAGCATTCAAGTTGGCCCAGCCTCATTCAATTGGACCTCGAAGTTGTCCGCATTAGCGACCTCTCCCTGACCCTCGGCTAGCCCCCAACACCGCAACGGACGAGTCGTCAGTCATATGATCGGTGCATAGGTACGTGCAGTGCCCATGCACATGCACGTATGTACTCCGCCTATGTATGGTACTACCTTATGTATGTTGGTCGAGGCTCACGAGGCGATGCATGCGGGGGCTTGGGAAATAACTGTAATAGATATTTCAGATTGGACCTATGGAGCTAAGATGTAACTTGTAGACCCTTGAACTCTAGACGGGAGTCTCTTGACCACTGACCTTCACCCGTCGACTCTCGAGGACATACCTCTACCTCGCTTATAGTTCTGGGGACGAAGACGAATACAGACTAGGCAGAGTATACTCGCGAACTTTATTATTATTAGCGGGCCCATCGACGATCCACAACGTGGCCAGACTGGGGAGATGGAGATCACACCCCCAATCCGGCGTGATAGGAACAGGGACAGGAATGCGAACCGGGTCCGTGCTCCATCGCGCTTAACCCGAGCGGTCCGTGGTTACGCATTTGACATGCCACGCTTCCGTTATCCAACTCCAGTCTCCCAGGAGCCGGGACCGGATGCTTTCGTATCTCACCAGGGGACACAGAGGGACATGGAGTCAACCATGTGGCAAACCTCAAAAACAGAGGCCCTGCCGCCATGTCAAGCTTGCTGGCTTGGTAGCGTGGGAACAGCCGCCCTTCACTGCTTTTGTGGGCTGGCACACCACGTGGGTTGAAAGGGCTTTATTGCCCCCATTTCTGCTGTCACCACACCTGCAGTAGACCAGCAAACACCTTGACGGTTTGATAAGGTTGCTACGAACACAGTGCGGACGGATACTCCCTTACGAGTCCCAGCTTGGTGGTCAGGGCCACTCACACACACACCCAGTTGCCAGACAGCCAGAACAGTCTGCGCAGAAACCCATCTCGACGAACAACCTGTCTCTTGCCCTGGACTCTGGAGGGCTCAGGGAACCGATGATACGGCTCATTACCACGGGGTTATGCATGAATCCCACAATCAAAGAACCTGGCAGCCCCTGATCTGACCGATTTCCGTTGTCTGATTCAACTCATGTTGCTGAAGAGAAAGAGACAATCGTGTTGCCGTCGTGTCGACCCAGCCGGCTGGGTTGACCGAAACGAACGGGGAATATGGAGTAGCTCCAGCAGAGATGTCCCGCCTTATTAGCCACGTGTCAGATAAACGCCTCCCAAAGTAGGAAGACCGTTGACGTCCCCGCGTCCCCTCTATTCAACACTTGAACCGCCAAAGGGGTGTTTGATAGTGCGCCTATCTCCATAGTCCATGTCATGCAGCTGGAGGACGTCGCTGGTCGGGTCGACGACCTCACCTGGTCTGTCATTGCTGCCTAAACCGCTAAAAGGGTACGCCGTCCTCATCAAGGACATCCTCTCGCGCGTCTAGAAGTACCATGCATACAGCACGTCCCTTGGACCGTAAGCAGTCAGCCCTGCGCCAGGAGCCAGACGCCAGAGCACGAGGTCCAGAGGCCGAATCTCACTGTGACACAGCATGAGCAGGAGGCGCCGTGACATTCGCACGAAAGCAGCATGATTCAACTTGCAGCTGACGAGGACCATTCTCTTACTGTCGCACCAGCGCGGTTATGTTGCTCTCGCTCTCGCTCTCAATGTCACTCTCACTCTCACTCGTGGCCTAAAATCACGCCTTCCTAAAATCGCCGGAGAGGCACCAAGTGGCTGGCGACACTGTTTCAGAGCTCGCAGCATCACATTCGCCTACGCGAAACGTCGTCGTCTATTAGACGACCGCTTGATCTGCCTGAGAAACACCATCACTCTGTTCTCAGGCAACACAGAGCGAGCCTGCCGAGCCTGCCTTACACATTTGACACTCTCACTTGATACTGAAGGAATCTGACGGGCCAGCATATTGTCATCATTCTCTTATTCGTCGCTGGCGTACCAGCCTGCGCGTAAATCGCCACGCCGAAGTCTCTGAGTCCTTGTGCTGACCTCCCAAGTATTATGCAGTCGATGGAAACCCGGTCGACAAAGAGCCAAGGGTCTGCCGCCAAAGCCTCCATTTGCCTCCCTCAAACATAGAACGTGACACCTCGGCCCGAATCCGAACGACGTCCATTCAGAGCCACCAGGACGCCACCATATTTCCAGTAGCCCATTACGACGTGTCTCCCACACTCCCCGAGACACCCACGATGGATGACCAAAGTAAAGACACCCAAGACTAACTCCCCATGGGCCGTATAGAGGCTAGGCGCCGCGATATAAACTCCCAAGACCCCAGACTCCCAGCTTCCACAGCGACTAGTCTGCCAATCCACGGCTGCCACCTCATGCCAATCAGTGAAGACCAAGAGACGATGGGCCTGCGGTATGCGAGTCACACGGCGGCGGCAAAAGCGCTTCGATGTTCGTCAGAGTCACCAGCGCCTCGGCTCGGCCCCCTTTCGTGTGAAACCCCAAGCCCCCAAACACAAACCCCAACACCCAACACCCAACACCCAGCGCCCCGAAACCCCCAAATCATCTCGCTCGTTCGCCTCGACTTCTCCATGTAACCGTCTCAAGCGGCACAGATGCAGCGCGAGAGCCGCAGCACACACTCCTTTCTGCCGAGTCTTTCCCAGCGAAGGCAGATATCCAGCACCGCCCCCCTTCACTCGCTTCCAACCCAACTCGAAGAAGCTTGCGCACTTAGTTACAAGACCTCGTTCGCCGCCCGCATGTTGTACGGCGTCGCCGTGCGCAGGAAGGACTGTGCGGCGTGCTGCGGCGCGTAGGGCGAGCCGGGCTGGGACTGGTTGTCCTGCGCCGTGGGGCTGGTCAGGTGCTCCTCGTCGTGGGACGACGAGGCTCGGGAGGACTGGAAGAGCTGCGCGAAGAGCGACTGCACGCGGCTGAAGAGGCTCGTGGTCGGCTCGTCGTCGTGGTTTGTGAGGCCGCGCATCTTGTGTGTGTGTGTGTGTGTTGGGTTTGTGTTTGGTTGTTGGGTTGGATTAGGTTTGTGTTGATATGTTAGAGCCTCAAGGTGTATGCCGTAGGAGTCTGGGACGTTTGTTGGTATAGATGGACGAGAGTACAGGATGGAAGACGAACGGTAGGTGCGAATGTAGGCAGAAGAAAAGGGCCTGTGGAAGTCCAAGAGATATGGTGCTTATGCGGGAGACAAAGGTTGCCCCACGCAAGGGATTGATGGTCTCGCTGTCTTGGGACCGTACAACAAATAGATAACCAAACAAAGGATAGCCAGCCTATAGCCGACTAGCTGGTCACCGTCAATACTGAAATTGATCTCTTTCTTGATATCGTACGACAAAAGAACCCCGGAAACACAGCTCCGCTCACTCACCAAAGTCACCCACCTATCAAGCGGCATGACAGACAACGAACGCTCGCGGCTGAGGCTAACAAATACTTAGACTTAGGTATGTACTGCGTTATGTCCCAATAACACCCTTCGGACACCGCTTCGTTCGCCTCATCGTCGCTTGTCTTGTCCGAATCAGGCGTGTCTAAGACAAGACAGACGAACCACGAGCATCGACCAAGCGAGGCCACCTCCCCCTGTTCCCCCCATTGGTAGCGGTAGCGTAGCACACCCAGCCCAGGGTTTGTATCTAGATCCAGATCCAGACCCGAACCCAGACCCAGACCCAGAGCTGTAGGTAAATAAAAGCATAGGTAGGGAAGTGAACTGACGATGCCCGAAAAGATGCCAAGTCCGGCGGCGGCGGCGGCGGCGCAACGCGCGGCGACGCAGATACCGAATGGGCTGTTAGGGCCGTAACGGCGCGCGAGTCATGCCATGCCATGCCATACCAGACGACGGCGACGCCACGGGACCCAGCCCGGTGGTCTACCTAGTGGCTTGCTAGCTAGCGGCGACCCTTGATTGTTAAGAACGGAGGGGTTCGGTTCGATAGGAGACGATGCTGATGTGTGAACTACATACACCGCTTGAAGAGATATATACCGCCTACCCCTAACTAAATAAGTAGATATGAGTTTCCTTCAGCTATCGCGTCTACATACATACATACCTAGGTAGTCGAACGGTCGCTTCGAGGTCGTCTAGCATGCCTTATACTACCTATCCAAACCCATCATCAGTCTAGAGAAACACCGACATATCATCTGGGCGAAGAGGAGGAAGAGGACCCAATGGAATCAACGGTCGTGAAAAGGAGTAAGGCTGGCCAAGGCAAGTCGTGGCGAATCTCCCCAGCCATCCCCGATAGTGCGTTCTGGACTCGACGCTATAGGGCTGGACTAGCTGCAACGGGTCGACGACAGACTGCTCCTGTGTGGGGATGTGGATGTCGAGTTTGACAGCTGAGCAACCATAATCACTGGTGTTGGTCGTGGCGGTGGCGACTCGTTGCCTAGATGTAGGTATTGCGTGTGAATGCCTACCTACCAGCCTACCTACTTTGGCACCGCTTTAGTGAGGCGCGGTGTTTTGCACCAAGCTTCGGGCTTAGCCCTGTCCTGCTACACCGCCGTTTATGGCACTTCGAGAGTAGACTAGGAAGGAGATTATTGAAGTTTGTTTGTCTTGGCGGTCAGTTTGTATCAACGAATCTTTTTGCCATTGCGTCTATCAGTACAAGAGTTGAAGCCAGGGGAGCGAGCCACATCGACCAAGGAACTATCGCACATAGTCCACAGGAACTTGCCCCAGCACAGCCGCAAGTAAGACTTGCTTCAATCGATAATCGACATCCTTGGGGATAAGCTCGGAAACTCGTAGGTGGTCCATCTCATATGCGGTGGCGGTGGCGGTTCAATCGTCCTCATCTTCTGCAGTCTCGGATTCGTCGTCCTCCTGGGTAATGTATGGGACAAACCGGAAATCCAGGAAGGACACAGAGCCACCTTCGACTTCCACCATGAATTGAAGGCTGAGGACGCCCTGACCATCCCCGCGGAAGCTGACCTTGTTAGCTATACGCATGGCCTCACTTGCTGATTTAACCAGGTCAAATTTGAAGCCCTGCGTCCATCGCTCGCGAACTGAGAAGGTCTCAAGAAGGTCTCGACTGTTCGAGAAGTCGACACTCGCACTGCCGAGTGCTCCACCACTTGATAGTCTCAAGTAGGGCGCATTAGTCAGCGCCGAGATAGTGATGCGCTTCGGATCCATAGGCGCTAGTTCAGACAGGCAGTCCAATAGCCACCGAGCTTGCATGATGATCTTGAAGGTAAGGTCTTCTCGGTCAAAGGGTATGGAGTCGGGGGATTCGGGTGTGTAAGTGGTCATGTTGCATTTGGTCTTGACTCCGGACTCCTCTAGAACGACGCTCAGTGCCTCCCCATCTGCTTCATACATCAGACAACATGTACCCGGCATGCCGAGAGTCTGATGGCTAAAGGCATCTGGACGGTAGTTGCGAAGATTGCTCCGGTAAGGATCGGCGTCCGTCTTGGCAGCTCGTGCTGCGGCATCCGTAGCTCCAAAGATCTGCAGGGCTTCTAGGAGGGCCGGTAGATTCATCTGAAATTGTGGCTGAGTTCTCGAATCCTCAGGCAAGTTTAGAGTGTATGTGGTGAAAAGAGATTGGTCCAAGAAGGCCACGCCTATCATATGTCGTCAGCGTTCCAGTCGTTGATGACTAACAAATACTCAATCCTTACCTTGCATCACCCGTGAATGCTCCGCCGTGAACCGCATGCCATCATGTGTGAGCTGTACGTGGACTTTGGGGGAGAAGCTGATGCATTTCAAGAGTTGATAGATCTGTCGTGTAGAGCTTGCCACGGCCCGAAACAGTGGCTGCTCAGGCGGGACGGAACCGACAGTGGAGGCCATGATGGATGATGATGGAACTTGAGCTGGTGGTATTCGTGAACGGTGAACGGTGGTTGGAGGTGGTATCGCAACTCGAAAGGTAGGGTAGTCGATGTCAATCACTATCGTACACTCGCTAACGATGGTGATGAAATATTTTTGCGCCTCAATTCATCTATGATACAAGGCGACGCTTTCCCTGTTCGCTAGTACTTCTTGGGGGGTATCTTCTTCTTCCTCTAGACGTAGACTCCGACCGCGCAGAACATGTAGACGGTGCCGAACCTGATGTCATTGTTAGAAAGGTGATCGAGTAGGTTGTAGTGGAGAGGAACGTACGCTATTGCTAGCGACGCTGGGATGCCGAGGGCCGGAAGGGTAACGAGAGATCGGTCTGCGCAAGGGCATAAGCATTAGCAACACAAACTTTTTGGAGGTGGTGAAATTGGCTGAGCACATACTGAAGGCGAAGGCACCAGTGAGAGAGAGACCAAGTAGCAGCAAGGCGAAACCGACGAGGAATTGGCTGCCCTTTCCGACGGTGGGGAGGAACGGACTGCCTGGTGCAGTCTGCCAGATCTCATGCAGTGAAGAATCCATGAAGAGGGACGCTGTGATGGTAGACTCGGGCCGTAGTGACTGAACAGACTGGAGTTCTGGACCTGGGCACAAGAGTGGAAAGGAGAGGATTCGTAGGAGAGGCAGACGAAGATGCTGTCGCCAATTGATGCTGTGCTGGTGGTGATGTCGGGCGTAACTTCGTAAGAGCATGGACTCTGGAGAGCTCCCTCCCACTAAACACGTTGCCAGCAGGAGCGGCCTAGCCTAAAGTGGTTAGACTCGGTCCCTGTCGCCCGTTGTTCCTTGCAGCCACTTTGCCTTATGTAAGCCGCGATTGCTGTGCAACCTGGCAAGGTACAGAGTGGGTCAGCCTCACGACTCCACCTCCACGTCCACGTCCGCACGTCAGATCCGGTCCAATACGTGCTTATCATCCACCCCATTCCCTATCTCCAGCTGTCTATCGTCTATCGTCAACCTTGCGGGCACCGCCATTCCGTTCGAGCCGTCGACGCCCACCCGCATCGTCGCACACCTTGATGTCGTCATGGCGAAGGACGAAAGTAAGTCTTGGCATTGCAAGTCTGCTATAGCCACCGCTGCTGACACGCTTCTTCCACTGCAGATGGCAAGCGCAAGGCCAGCGAGGAACCTCCGTCGCAGGTCGCCACTAAGCGCGCGAAACACAGCGACTCGGCCGATCCTGGCAAGAAGCCGGCCATGGAGCCAATCCCCTTCCCAGAGAAGGTAGATACACCATTCTTCCGTTCGTAATGGACAGAAACGCGGCAGCTCTGCTAACACGCGACCTTCCCAGCCCGCCGTCATCGAAGAGCGAACCGGCGAGATCGAGTTCCGCGTAGTGAACAACGACAACGAGCGCGAATCCCTCATCATTCTCACCGGTCTCAAATGTATCTTTCAGAAACAGTTGCCCAAGATGCCCAAGGACTATATAGCCCGACTTGTCTACGACCGGACTCATCTGTCGATAGCGATCGTCAAGAAGCCGCTCGAAGTCGTCGGCGGCATCACGTACCGCCCCTTCAAGGGCCGCCAGTTCGCCGAGATCGTCTTTTGTGCGATTAGCAGCGACCAACAAGTCAAGGGGTACGGCGCGCACCTGATGTCGCATCTGAAGGATTATGTCAAGGCCACGAGCGACGTCATGCACTTCCTCACATACGCCGATAATTACGCGATAGGCTATTTCAAGAAACAAGGATTTACAAAGGATATATCGCTGCCGAGGTCAGTGTGGATGGGTTATATCAAGGACTACGAGGGCGGCACCATAATGCAGTGCTCCATGCTCCCGCGAGTCAGATACCTGGAGATGGGTCGCATGCTTCTTAAGCAGAAGGAATGTGTACACGCCAAGATACGCGCCTTCTCCAAGTCGCATATCATTCACCAGCCGCCTAAGCAGTGGAAAAGCGGTGTGACGGCCATCGACCCTCTCTCCATCGAAGCGATTCGCGCATCAGGCTGGTCGCCGGACATGGATGAGCTGGCGCGGCAGCCGCGGCATGGCCCCAACTACAACCAGCTGCTACATCTGCTCAACGACCTGCAAAACCACCAGTCGGCTTGGCCTTTCCTTCACCCGGTGAACAAGGACGACGTAGCGGATTATTATGAAGTCATCAAGGAGCCAATGGACCTCAGCACGATGGAGACCAAGCTGGAAGCAGATCAGTACGGCACACCAGAGGAATTCATCAGAGATGCCAAGCTCATTTTCGACAACTGCCGCAAGTACAATAACGAAACTACGCCGTATGCCAAGTCTGCCAATAAGCTTGAGAAGTACATGTGGGCGCAGATCAAAGGCATACCCGAGTGGTCACACCTCGACCCCTAGGTGAAAGAACAGGAAGCCCTCGCAAATGCCGAGCGCAACATGAAGACACAAGAGCAAAAGCAGGAGAAGACAAAGAAGCAGAAGCAGGAGAAGAGGATGACAGGCAAGGTTTCGGCCCCTAAAGTGATCACGGACAGCGACACCCCGCCTGCTTACAGTACAAGGAGCACACGGAGCACAAGAAGGAACGTGACGAGCACAGGGAACATGACGACGAAATGAGGTGGACTGTTGTCTGCTTTTCAAGAAGGGTTGGACGTATGGGCATTTTTATCATACGATATGCATGTACGAGGGCATTCGTACAAGATTCCTTTGGTTGTGTGTTCAATGCTAGGCGTTGGGGCTGATTCTTGCAGGGTTGGTTATATCCCTCCTTTCGACAAGGAGAAGGGAGCAAGCAAGCAGGCACAGGCTTCCCTATAGGACATTGTGTATTCGCCAAGCCAGTGCTCGGTGCGCTGCTCATCTGGGCTCATCTGCCACAGATCGCTGCGGTAGTGGCTTTATTAACAATGATATCCGTTGGCTTCTGAATTTTCGGTTCGGGACTTCCTTGACGGTCATGTTGTATGGTTTACCGGTTTATCCACGCACAGGACGGCTTTCATTGTTTGGGTCTCGGTTTGGATATTATGTGACAAGGTAAACTGGAAGATGACGAACATCGGATGCATGTTTCCCACGCTCTACGTCCTTGCTCATGCTTCAACCTCTCATCTCTACTGCTCGCCTCAACAGCGGCCGAAATAGCTTGGGCCATTGATGTCTGATTGCGTGTTGTTGCATTTGCAGCCCGGTGCGCGCCTCACTGTGTATGTCAGGTGGCCTACAGTGAGACAATCCAGTCATCGGCAGCTGGTCATAGATCATGTTGCACGCGTATTCGCAGAGGGGGTAGTCGGACCGCCAAGCGGGAGCTCGACTCTCGCGATCTATGCCCTCGTCCACGCTGGACGACTCGGAGCCACACAGACTGGAGGTAGTCTCTACAGGCTACAGAAGCAACAAACGCGGCAATGCCGTCCTCCTCTATATGTCTTACTTAGATGGGAGCCTGGGCCGATTCGGAGCAGTCACCTGCAAAGATGGTTCGAGTTATTACTAGCTACCTAACCTATGGCGGCTCATCAGGGTTTGCGAGCATGGAACGAACAGATGCCAGTATGACTGGCCATGCTGACCTCGTCGCTGGTCACTGGTCACTGGTAAGTACCCATCACGAGACGACATGCCCAGCTCAAGGATCCGAAGCACGTCGTTGATCGAAAATCCTGGGACGGCGGCCGCTTAGCCGGAATCCTCGTCCAATGTGGCGGTGCGAAAGTCTAGCACGGGATGTCCCAACTCCTCAAAGGTATGTTGACGGATAATGTCTGAGCCTCGCCCCAAGCGGTGTGCCAGAGTGAGGAAGATGGCATGTCATCCATCTGATGTTCAAGCACCTTTTCAACACAACATCCACTGCCCCCTTCTACCCCAGGCTATGCCAACAGCGTCGACACATCATCACACTATGGTGGGTATCCGCTTCGCCCTGAGCGCAAGCAATCTGCGGAATACGCCCAGCCGATATGAAGCAAGCGACGCTGCTGCAAGAGCTGCAAGGCTAAGGTTTAGTATGACAGGGGAAAAGAGGGAAAAGCAGTGAAATTAGAGTGATGACAGTGATGACGCGAAAGGATCCCTGTCCGCATTATCGGTCATGCTGGCGGGCTGGTGGGAAGCCAATAATGTTGCAGTGCCCTGGCTCCCGCCCCCCACGACGGGAAACGGGAACTTTGATGCGTTGGCCAACCAGGGAATTGGATAGTTTCAGCTTGCATTAATCGTGCTTCGTCATACGGGCCGCCTTGAAATCACAGGCCTTTGTTTGTTTGGGGCCGTGATGCCCCTTGACAGCTCGAGGTCTGTTGATAGAGAAGCCAGCGTGGATGAAGGACTGTGGTCATCTGTGCCAAGGCACATTGCCCTGATTGCCAAGCTGATACCCGTCTCGGCAAATGCTTGACAAACTTGGCAAACACGAGACCAACCTGCACTGCATGCGTGCCTGCAGGCTGCAGCCATCCAGCCATCATGGTCTCCGACATCATGTGCCAAGGAAGTTTAATAAGACGCTCTCGTCTCACTTGTTCCTGGTTATACCCGATACCTGTCAGAACTCATGTCAGTTCAGAGTGGGCAGGTTGCCTCTAGCCTGTCTCGGGTGACGGGTGATGGAGCTGCACTATCAGTCTATCAGCTGGTCCGCGCGTCTCCCCGCCAACCGGATTAGGAAGGTCGACCGCGCCGTTCCGTCCGATCATATCGCTAGCTCCATGCGGAGATGAGCAGCGATCGTAACTGCCGTATCGCCGGTCTGATGACGGGAACCTGGTTCAGTTCAGTATCCTCTCGCCCTCTCCTTCTGATCTGGACTCGGAACCTCGGCCATCTTGTTGAGGATGCAGTCGATCGGCAGAGCAGAAGCCGTGGGTGTCCTTGTCCTCAGACGGCAGACCTGTTGCAACGTTGCGTGCAAGAGACTCAGAGGATGACGATGTGTTTCATGCAATCCGATCCCTCCTGTTTGTTCTGAACAGTGGGCCAGGTCAAGACACCGGTCTCGAAACAAGCGCCAGAGGTCGCCGCCAGGGTGGTTATATTTAGTTAATGCCGTTATCTTCAGAGACAGATACCTTCCGCACCATCCATTGGACGAGACACCGATACGACCACGCGTTGTTGAACGTCATATTATCATACCGGCTGCTAAGATGAATACGTCACGGAATCTCCTTGAATCTCCTTGAGCACAAAATCCTGTTTCCCACCCACGCCTTTGCTTCGGATATCGCAAATAGCGAACGGCAGTTGGATGCAGGGGCACAAGGAGACAAAGAAGCTGCCGTGGGGATGATCATCATGCAACCCGGCATGCCGACCTGGAGGCGAGTGGGCGGGCAAGCGAGCGGGCACGCGCACCCCACGCCTGGACAACGACTGGCCGTCGAGCTTGCATGAACACACCCCAGACGCAAGTATAGCCACGAGGGCGACTCACCATCAGGTGGTGTGCGCTCTGCGGCGAGTGCTCTCCCCAGATGACGTTCTGTTGGTTTCAGTTGCCTCTCGCTTGCGACCAACAGGTTTGCTACCAACACGTCTCTCGCATATATGAACCAGCTATCAGTCCGCCCGAATCCATCTTTCCTATCCATATCACATCTTGCGCAAACCAAGACCCTCGATATTCGAACAACAGACTACAATAACCACCGACCTACCCAATATGGCCAGCAACTTGAAGAACCTCACCCGCCAGCCGCTGATCCGCAGCTCGCACATCAAGCCCAATGGCCTGAAGAGCTACGTCAGCGCCATGCGCAGATGTAAGTCAACACGCTCTGGCAGCCTGGCTCCTACAGAGAAAAGACAGCGCTGACACTGGCGGAACCGCAGACAACTTCACCCCTACCGTCGACGGCCCATACACCTACGTCAAGCATGTCGAGTCGCAAGGCCAGCAAGCCCTCTTCAAGAAGACCGGCAGTAGAGTCGGCGGCAAAACCCGCGTGACTGGACATGTGCTGGCGAAGAAGGACCCCTCGACCGGCCAGACTGGTACCGTACCTGTAAGTTATCCCACGCTCTCTCTGCCCCATCCGCAAGCGGTCGCTAACTTCTCGCAGGCAACAGACGTGGAGTCCGGCTCCGAGTACCTTTGCCCAGTAGAGATCGGAACTCCAGCCCAGACCCTCAAACTCGACTTCGATACGGGTTCCGCCGATCTCTGGGTCTTCAGCACCGAATTGCCGTCCGCTCAGCAGACTTCCGCGCATACGGTCTTCGATCCGTCCAAGAGCTCCACCTGGAATGAGTCGTCTGGTAGCACCTGGCAGATTTCCTACGGCGACGGCAGCAGCGCCAGTGGCGATGTCGGCACCGATACTGTGAACCTCGGCGGCATCAGCATTGAAAACCAGTCCGTCGAGTTGGCCAAGACACTGAGCAGCGAGTTCGCTTCTGGCGAGGGTGATGGGTTGCTCGGTCTTGCCTTTGGCTCCATCAACACCGTGCAGCCCACGGCCGCCGCAACTCCAGTTGAGAACATGATCAGCCAGAAGGACATACCAGCCTCGGCCGAGCTCTTCACCGCCTGGCTTGGCGACAGTACCGAGACCAGCTTCTACACCTTTGGCTTCATCGACCAAGACTCCCTCGGCGGCGCTACGCCCTCATACGTCGACGTTGACAGCTCCCAAGGCTTCTGGATGTTCGACTCGACCTCTGCGTCGGTCAACGGCAAGACCATCGACCGTTCGAGCAACACCGCCATTGCCGACACGGGCACCACGCTAGCTCTCGTCGGCGACGATGTCTGCGAGGCCTTCTACGGCGCCATCAAGGGCGCCAAGCAAGACTCGCAACAGCAGGGCTGGGTCTACCCCTCCTCCGTGTCCACCGCCGACCTTCCCGCTGTCGAGTTCGCCGTCGGCAGCACCCTCTTCAAGGTCAACCCCGAGGACGTCGCCTTCCAGGACCTCGGCAATGGCTTCATCTACGGCGGTATCCAGTCCCGCGGTAGCCAGGACTTCGATATCTTTGGTGATGTCTTCTTGCGCTCGGTATACGCCGTCTTCGATCTCAATGATGGCAAGCCGCGCTTCGGTGCCGTCCAGCGCGCTCCGTCTTCCGGTAGCTCGTCCTAGAGTATCTCAGTATCTCTGGACGATGCAGATGGGTTATTAGAGCGGGACTACGTGGTTCCGGGAACATATCCGAGATATGCAGGTGCCGCCCGGCAAGAAGGGAGAGCAGATGATTAGACGGAGGCATTCGAAGTAGTCAGGTGTTACTGGGTTGATACTAGGTAGGTGCACCTGCATGTATACATAGCAGGCAGACGGCGTTCAGGAGGTGATGTCCGGTACGAGAGAACTGCAATACGATCAGAACTGAACACAAGTCTTCAGGCCCTTGGCATATGTTCTTATTGAGCTGCCCAGCCTTCCCAAGCCGCAGGTTTTAGGATCCGACTTAATACCCTTACAGTTCCCCACGATATCAAGTACTTGCAGTGTAACTTGGGACCTTACTTCTCATTGCCCTATCTCGTTACTTTCTCGTTACTCTAAAAAGACCTCCAGTCCTGAGCAGCGCCCCTTTTCCCTTACCTATTTCCAACTTGCTTTTATTGAGCCATAACTTCACGTCTAGTAGATCGACTCCCGAGCAGAATGCTCTACGTGAACCGCAGCTTGCACGCAGACCCCGTGTATCGAACCGAGCCATCTACATATATGATATGGCACCGAGAAGTTTCGACTTCGGCCTCCCACCCACTTGGTCGCCCCGCACGTGAGCAACGGCCTGACTACCTACCTGCGGCTGGGGACACGTAGGTCACGCAAAGGAAGGCGCCGCCGGGCTTGAGGATGTGCTAACGTTACACCTTTCGTAGATGGAGGCCCGTAAGTAATTGCGGATCGTGTCGTCGGCGGGTGGGCTTCACGGGAATCATGGCGTCGAGGCTGCTGCCTTTGTCAAAGACGAGATCATGTTGGTCGAGACGTAGGGCTCGAGCCTGCCTGTGTGATGCGCGTCCGTCAGCGTCAGCCCCGACTGGACAATGCCGTTGAGATCCGGGTCGGCGAGGCGCTGGCGCTGGCGCTGTTAGTACAGAGAGTCAGTGATCATGTAACTTACTTCTCTCGAGCTACCTATGGCTGTGAAGGCATCCATCCTGACTAGCCAGACCGAACCGTCCATCCTGCCCCCGAGGGAAAGGGTTAGGGTTATCACCCCGTCGTGCCTGAGTTGTTTCGATGAGGGAATCGTACAGCTCGTTCCACCGTACACCGATATCGTCGCTGTCCTCGGGCCGCGATGGGTGCTGTGCGGTGATGCTCTGCCGACGTGCAAGAACACCAGGCCGGCGCTCGGGAGCTTTGTCGGGCGGCCCGGGAAGGTGTTGGTGGTATCGGGGACATTCGGTCACCTCCATGAAGAAGGGCTTACATAGCCTGGGCCATCATCTGCTGCCGCTATTGCCCAGACGACGAGAAGACGGGCTCGTCGTTGTACGTCTATTCGAGCCTCGTCCAGCAGTCGGTGCTACAAAGCCCCAAGCCCAGGTTTCAGTCCGACTGGTGGTGCGGCGGCGGCGGCCGAAGTGTGCGACATCCACGCTCCGACTCACTCGAGACTCCAGACTCGACGCTACTCGAGTATTTCCTTTTCCGAATCTGTCAAGACCTTGGAGCGGACATTGCACTCTTGCTGAACGGCCTCAACGAGTGCGACGACAAGTCTCGCGAAGAGCTGGCAACCAGCCTCAAGCAGAACTCCCTCGCAATAACGAACTCCGGGTGTGCATGTCCGCCCGCCCAATATCCGCCTGAGATCCGACCCCCAGTCGAAAGGGCAGTCGGCCATCCATTCGACGCCAGTCTAAACCACACGGCGATGTTGTCAAGCCGTGTATGGGATATCTTCCCTTGAGCGATTCGGAAGACGAAGATCTGTGATGGTCTAGGGAGCCAGGCGTTCGCACAGACGCTCCTGGAGGTACCCCAGGCTGAGCAAAGGGCATAATTTAATGACGGCGATGATTGTTGCGGAGAACCGTGGAGGGCGCGTGGAGTGGATGAAAGGGCCCCTGTCGTGAAAGGCTACCGTACCCCCTACCGGTATGCGAACGTTGAAGGTCACAACGGCGCAAGGGGAAGAGAGTTTACCCCGTATACCCGTAGGATAATGCCAGGAGGACTGTTCATTGTGAGGGAGATGCTGGAGCTCAAAGTTACAGGAAGAGCTTTCGCTTGCTCGAATTTGATAAGGGGAAGAGAAAGGGGGGAGCCCCTGCCATGTCATCGGCACCTACCAGTGAGCCTTCGGTGCAGCAAACAGCCTACCTTAATCCACGACGTCGAACACCCTTCCTTAGACGCTCAAAGTCGAGCACATCATATAATCGCCTACAAGCAGCGGCAGTCCTGGGATTCGTAGACCATGTCACAAGACACATTAGATGAGCCAAACGGCAAGCTCTCGTTGCCATCACTGTAGAGCGGTCACGGTGAAACGTGAACTTGAGTACGGCATATGCATGTGGTAAATTCATGTGGTAAAGTACGATATCTGCCGCTTCGCTCAAGGAATCGGCTTGCGCTACCTACGGCATTTTGCTGAAAATATGATAGAATGCATCGTGGTTAACTCCTCATTAGATGGACCAGACAGACCGCTCGAGAAACTCTCCCGCCCAGTTCCCTTCATTTCATCCGAATTTCGTCAAGACATATCAGCCCCTCCTCCAGAAAGGCCCTGCGTAAATAAACATCATGACGCGCAAAGTGTGGATATCGGCTTGAGCGTCGTGAGTGAATTTGACGTGAATTTGAACCAACGCTCGCACGTCCCAAACCTAGGACGTTCAATTCACTGCATCCTCTCGGGGGCAAAGCATCGACGCGTCGGTGGCCAGCATACTATGGGGAAATGAATCGCTCATCAAGAAGTAGTGGCCATCAAGACCGAGGTCGCGATCGCGGTGCGGATGTGAAATGTCTGTTGACGAAGTGCCCGGACCGTAACGCCTCGAAAAAGGGGGGAATGCCCTCAACAATACTGAGCGGGACAACCTGACTGGTTTAGATTTTCCCGTGAGTGCACCGAGTGCAATTCTTGAAGCCACATGCACTCGAAAACCGCCCAAGCAAGGGTGATGGTGTCGCCCTCCATGCAATCCAGGGCCATATCCCGACGCGGGCGTTCTGCAGAACAAGCCCGAGGTCGCCGGACTAAGGACGTATGTTCGCCACTATGCACCAGGTTGGGCGGTACGCTGGAGTCGTACCTCGGAAGTGACATTGCTGCTTGCTTCGGCTACCGGAAGGCGAAGATTGGAGTAGGTGCGACGCCAGTTGCCAATCCTGCTCATGATGCTCTCGATCGACGTCGACGAGCGAGTTTCAGACGGTTCCGAACCCGACAATGCCAAGCTCCTATTGACTGCTTCGCGTTCTAGGATTTGGCGGAGCATGCCATGGAAAATGTCTGGGATTTCCTGCCAGTGGCCCGCTCTGGCCGCGCTGAGCATACGCGGCGGAAACAGGGCCTGGGGGATAAGGTGCGCATCGCTCGACTGTTCCAAAACCTCGTCCGTGAGGAAAGGGAACTGGCCGGAATCTATAGCGGTCTTCAGCCACTGCTCCCATTCCTCGTCGAGCGGTTCGGACGTATCGCCAGCCTCGTGGCGTGCTGCTCGCTCAAAGAGTTGCTCGTTCAGGGGAACGCCGATACTCGTCAGCTCTTCCTCGCTATCATCTTCGCCTTCCATATTTTCGTCGGCCGAGTCTTCTGTCGGTTGAGGTCTGTCCTCGGGTTCGACCCAATCTGGTATGCCATCTGCTGCCGTGTCCCGAATGATGACACCCGAATCTCGCTCGAACCGCTCTTTCGCCCACTTGGTGCCCTCCCACTTGGTCAATCCTGCAATCTCGGAGTTGGTGAGGCGCAAACCGTCGAATGCCCGAAAGAGACGTCGGTGCCATGGCCAGCGGCTGAGTCTGATGCGGTGGATGCGGTGACAGTAGTCCAAGCCAGGGTACTTGGCTTCCTGGGTGTCGAGATGTCCGTAGAAGGCATGGACTTCCTGACGAACTTCGAGGATAAGGTGTCGGTGGAGGAGAGTCTGGAAGTTTTGCGGGTCGCTCGTCCGTGGCTTGGGGAACATGAACTCGTAGACGAGCTCGTCAATCGCGCGGCCCTTCATCGTGGCAGATTCGCAGTCTGACTCCCCAGTAGAGTGGCTTCGAGTTTGGAGGAGTGAGGGCCCCGGTACGATTGATATTGCCGCGAAGTGTCCTCAGGGGCCGTCCGGACTCCGGTGGCTGGTCTAACGGAGAATGGGCGCGCTCTGACCGTATTCGGTAGGCTGCAGAAGGCTTCGGGCTTGGGTTCGAAGAGGTAGGAGTGGCGGGACACTAAGGACGTGCTCGGACGAAGAGGTTGTACGCGCCTCGCTGAATCAACGAGGTAGATTCGGGGCTCAAGTCGAGCAATTGTGATGAATCAATATTGACGCTCGGAAGGGAGAGGAGAGAGGCCCGAAAGGAGGATACAAGGCTGTTTGTGAGGGCTGATGTGGCCAACAACAGCCGCACAAGGGAAGTCCTTGAAGTGGGAAGTACGGAGGGCGGCTAGTCGCGATTCTACTAATAAGTGAATGAGGGGATCCGTGCTCCCTTTGAGGACACAAACCGAAGAGCCAGAAGGCTGGCTGCAGGCGAGATGTGACTGACAAGTACGGGGTAACAAGACAAGAGAGGGAAAGACTTTGAAGCTGGGTGGCTGTGGTGGTGAGGTGAGATCGGGAATGGACCGAATCACAAAGTGCAGACCGAGACACGGCGTTGAGCTGAGAGATGGATTCAATGCCCAATGCCCAATGCCCGATATGGGATGCCACTGCCCACTCCCACTTCGTACCGTACCTTCCTCATGCAAGGTGCTCGGGCTGATTACTTACTAAGTACTATCGCATGAAGGGTCCAGAAGGGCGGTGACTGCTGTCGCTATTTTCTCACCATCCTTGTCCCTGTCTTGGTGTTTATGTAAGCCGATAAGATCGCTTCTCTATGAGTCGCCTCCCTTTGCCTGCCCACCTCTAACATACCGATTATTGTACTGAAATCAGGGCCGTCTCTCGTTGGAACGGATGGAACTGGCAGCACATATTCGGCGGAACTGCAAGCACCCAGAGCCTTTGAGGCGGAGGGCCTGCTTCCCGTCTTGCGTCACATTGATTACCGTGTGTGACCCAAGTCTTATTAGCTTTTGTTACAGCTCACCCACAATGGCTGCGTCTATCAACGGACTCCCAAGCATGATGCAGAGCAAGATGTGTTCCATTGACTTGGTGGGTTGACTTCCTCCCGGCGATGCTGTAGCACTATCTGCACGACTACCAACTAGCAACTTGGGATGCAATCGTACCTGCCATGTTCAGATTTGCCATGTTCAGATCTGCCGTCTTCTTCGCCTGTGCAGCGCTCAAAACCGCCTTATACGGCTTTGTGCCCATGGCGTCGGCTCTTCTGCGTTTCATGTTGACTTCTGGTCGAAGAGCTGCCATCCATTCCTTTTCGAATGGCCCCGACCCTTTGCCAAGATCTTTGAACATGGCAATGGTCACGACAATCTCGTTCTTGATCATCTCGATGGTCACTCCGCTGTTGCTGCAGCATCCCTTGCAACCCCACGCCTTGTGGCTTTGGCCAAATTGGCTATCCCATCTGATCTTGGTGGAGTCTATACCAGGTGTCAGATAAACATACAACATGGTCGCCCTGACGAGCCCTGCCGTGTCTATCATCGTGTACCCGAGAAATTGAACGCGATGATGTGGGCACAACTCAAAACCCCATTTGTTTTTTGGGAGAGGCCCACGGTTCTCGGGGAGTACGCACAGCACGTGATGCTCACGCCCCAGGATACGATGTCGATTCTTCACTCCGAAGCTGAAGCTGATCCTCTGTTGCAGGTGGAACGATCCTTCACGGTAGAAGGGCATCATGGTGTACTTCAACTCTGGACGGTTGATGCCAGTTCCGTGACATGCCAGCTCTTGGAGTCTTGACTCCTCGGTCGAGTTCTCTTGCGGTGTCCGAACCCATTCGAGATGGTAGTAAGCCAGGGCATATGGGATGGACTCGTGGGGAGAGTCGAGGGGGACCACGCTCGCAAGCTCCAGGGGATCCTTAACCCAGATGGGCTCTTTCCGCCAAGCGACTGTCGAAGCCGGAACCCGATGTTTGGAGCGTGACTTGAGGATGCTCCTGAAGTATCCCGGTATGTCCTTGTCGGAGGGAAGGCGATTGTTGTAGGTGATGGAAAGCTTGTCTGGATTGTGGATAGAGCATCCCTGGTTGGGCCCAAGCTGCGTGTACGTTAACACCCTGCCTTTAAACCCGTATGACTAAATTATAGATGAAGAAGGAAAGGGAACAGCAAAGCTTGTTCCCGAATACAAGGCCCAGGGTCTTGTGATGGGATGTTCTTATACGTACCACGCAAGGCAGGTTGCCTGGGCACATGCCTGGCGGGGCCAACGAGAAGTCGGCCATGGTGGTGGAAGAGCTGGAAGATGCCGCCAGCTTCTCATTGTCGAAGTCGGCATCGTCCGTGAAGGGATTCGACGTCATCTTGGCTTTGCAGAGAAGAGTCAAGGGAGGAGCTCCTGTGGTCGAGTAGCTGAAGATGTCAGTTTGGATGTTGCGGATCAAGCTGATACTACCTACTGATTGTTCGCCTTGGTCTGCTCCGCTAGCCACTCTACTACGTGGTGCTTCGCAAATCCAAGGTCCGTGCTGGCTAGACTTCCTGGCACCTTCGACCTTCGTGGGACGTGTCTTGGGACCGATGCTTCAGCTCGGTTAGGTAGGATAGGGAATACTGATAACATTACCGTGAGGATGATGAATGATGAATGTTGAAAAGGCATCGAGTTGGTTGTTCGGGGGAGGGAGGAGGGAGCTCAGGCCGCTACGTGCAATGCGAGGCACCAAACCCTCATGTGGCCGGCTCGCACCTGCCACGTCTTCTTTTTGCGACGAATGTGCTCTATGGCTGCCTTCCTACTCTATAGCGTCGCGCCACCACTGCAGTGAGAAGGTTAAATCAATCTGCGGATTGTGTTCATCACGAGGCCATACCGAGGTTGGTTTATCATAACATGCGGCGGTTAGTTCTCCACCAGCCAATGACCCCTCTCGCGTTGCCGACTTCTACCTCGGGTAAGGTAGCTAGGTAAGAAGTCCAGCTGATACTGTCTATAATGTCAATCGAAGGACAAACGACTGTCCCCTATGCCGAGTGTCCGGCTGTGTGCCAATGCCTGCCCATCTCGTCACGCTCTGGATCGAGACTATCATTCGACGATGAAATTCGAACACCGCCGACTCTATTTCACATGTGAGAGATGGCACAGGCAAGCGATCGGAAGCAAGATTCTCCATTACGTCAAGTAAGAACAGCACCAAGTCTATATGCTACCTATCCTTTCAAAATCAACCGCCCCTATTCCCGCAAGACAACGCAACCCAACAGCCCATTTGACGCCCCTATCTAAGCCTTCTTGACATCCTCGTGGTCAGTGGACGTGATGGTAGGTTCCCACTCCCTGATGAGCGCCTCCGTCCGCGCCATCTTGGCCTTGACATCCCGGACACAATCGGGTCCCAACAGCAGCCGGATCGGGAACTCCTTGCCCGCCGCCACGCCAGTCCCCGTCAGCACATCGACGATGATCCTGGCAGCCTTGACTACGTCGCCGGGCTGGTTGCGGTTCGCCTGGCCGAGGAAGTCCATCACGCCCGCAACCCCCGTGCCCGTGTACTCGTCGCGCATCTCGTTCCGCGGGCTCCGGCAGTTGCCACCGCCCTCGTTCAGGAAGCCCGTCCGGAAGTATCCCGGCTCGATGACCGTCGCCCTGATGCCGAACTCCTTGACCTCCTCGTGCAGCGACTCGGTGAACCCGGACACGGCCCACTTGGCCGCCGCGTAGTGCGCGAAGGCCGCGCCGCCGTACCACGACCCGACGCTGCCGAAGTTGGCGATGACGCCCCCGGCGCGCCGCGGCCGCAGGTACGCCACCTGGTTGCGGCTCATGTTCATGACGCCCAACACGTTGTTGTTGAAGCTGTCGAACGCCTCCTGCGCCGATATCGCCTCGATCGCCCCCGTCAGGATGTAGCCGGCCGCGTTGACAAAGTGCGTGATGGCGCCGTGCTTGTCGCCGGCGGCCTGGAACGCCACTTGGATTGTCGCGTCGTCGCTCGTCACATCTAGGTCTAGCAGCAGTGCGCCTGCGGCCTCGAGGTCCTTGAGCGTCGTGCCCTTCCTCGAAGTCGCGATCACCGCGTCGCCCCGCGAGAGCGCTTCTTGTGCGATGTGCTTGCCGAAGCCGCTGCTGGCGCCGCTGATGAACCATACGTTGCCGCCCATCTTGTGTGATGTGAATGTAGTTTGGTGCTGGTAGTCCGAATGTTGTCACGTCGGATGAGTCGTCGATCCAGAGTATGTCTTGAATGTGGTTCAACTGAATAGAGTGCCTGTGGTCTTCCGATGATCTCGCCAAGCCTTCTCCCCAATCCCATTGCTACATCTTGTCCTTTTATACTCTTCCCTCTTGGAAGTCTTTCGAGTGTTTCCAAGGCAGCAGCCGTAGATATCACTTAAGTCCGCTGTGACTGCAAGAGTCGTAAGAGCTGTCGATTTTGGCATTGAAACCCCTGTTCCGGTTGCGGATGCGGTTCTAATCACCGATAAATATGCGGCGTTCGGATGAGCAGCCCCGTGGTGGTAGGTTCCAGCTTAACGCCGTTCTTATACTGTACTAGACCCCGCCGTTGTTAGGAGAGCAGTACACGATCAGTGCGGACCAGTTATGATCGGCTGGTGGACTTGCCTACCCCTGACGACGGTGAGCCTTGGATGCTTATACGACCTCGGCGTTTGGCGTTTGGCGTTTGGCTGACAACGTCGATGCCAAGTCATCATGTCCGCTCTCACAACCTAAACTTACCTACAGTCGCATAGACGGGCCAACGACCGACGAGACTCCACCCCGCACGGCGTATAGGGTGCCTTCACGTGCTGCAGATGAGGTCTTCGTATAGAATATGCATTCTCACATCAGCTGTCGTGATTCTACGTGGCGAGTGTCGACTATAGGCACCCGTGCTGTCGTTACGAGAGCGGCATCGCTCCTATCCGGGAAGCTCCAAGTCAAAGGATCAACGTCTGATTCACCCAGGGTTTGGACCAGCCGAGAATTCTATCACAGGCGGGGCGAGAACGAAGCTGAACACCCTACTGAAAGCTCTCGTGGGCGTCCTCGCCATGAAAGCGACCTGCTTGGGCATATACACTGAGCCTCCAAGTAATGCCCCTGAAGTTAATATCATTATAGCCGGAGGTTCTTCCCCGCGTCGGACATTTCGAAATCATGAATTAGCTAGGAACCGATAGCATGATGTGATGCCCTCGTGCCTCTCGCGAGTAGACGCTGTCGACAACCCCGACATATCTTGCCACGTTGCGCCCTACGGCGTTCCCTCCTCCTCCTCAGGCTCGATCTAGGGGTCGTAGATGCTGCGACGCGCCTCCGTCGTAGCCCCTTTTGTGTTGGTGGAGGTGCCAATGCCTGACCCATCTCTCTTCCAGCTCGAGCTGCTCCCCACCACGCGTATACGCCGTGCCGAGCGGTGCTAGCACTGGTTCGTTGCCAATGATCCTCTGATAGTTTGGCATGCTTGATGCTCGGGATGGAAACAAAGACCCGACTTGTCTGTTGTTGTTGAATAGCGAAGGGGCAACCGCCAGGTCAGACGTGCCAGTGGCGCGAGGATCCACGTCGGAGCCAGGACGACGTCTTTTGGCGGGGGGGGTGGGGGAGGGTGAGTCTTGAACAAGCACGCGACGCCTTGAACCAAAGTGGAAATGCATGGGCGGCAAGAATTCCTCTCTAGGACATTGACGATATCTTGGATGGGCTCAGGGCTGGGTTAGCCGCTACGGCTGTGGTATGGGGAGTGCCAGTCGGCATCATGGCGTTCCACGACGTGGAGGCCGGACGATGTTTCGTAGCTGAGGATAAGTCGGCCGCGGGTCCATGGGGTCTCGAGCTAGAAGCCCGTACCATCGTTGCATCTCCGGTGACTACGACATGGTGGTGAGTGCGGGCGGACGATCATGACACTGGGGTGCTCCCTGGCAACGACTGCCCTCGTGAGTGAACCCTGCTTGGCGTTTCGACTCCCTCTTCATGGCGTAGAGCATCCCGGCAGGGGTCAGTCTCCGCGGAGCTCGTCCTTGCGCAAAACTGGGACTTGAGGGGTTTCGGCTCATCGAATCTGGTATATGTCAAAATGTAAGTGGTTATGGCTCGGCACACTATGGTCTGTTGGCGAGTGTGCTGAGGGGACGGGCTGGATCGGACCTCATCGCCATTCGGGCCGTACCGCATGATTGCCGGGCTGAGTGGCGGACGGTGATGATAGCTGTGACGAGGTATTGTTCTTCGCGGGTGACCAGGCCCGACAAGGATTGTGTCTGGCCTCTGACGTGGATGCGGCTGATCTGCGATAGCGAACAAGGCTATATCACGCGGCTGGCCTCGAACTGGACATGGTGAAATCGAGGGATCGCAGGCAGCATGTAGACGTACACCAGGTCGTCGGTCGCGCCGAACCTCGAGCTGATGCTGCTTCCGAGGTTGTTACTGCCGTCCCAGGTGGTCGGGATTTGGGAACAGAGATATGGGCGTGCAATAGAGATTGACAGTGGTGGGGATCATGGCGCTGCAGGTTGGTGCCAAGGGCATCAAGCACGACTTTCTGAGAAGATGTGAGATTTTGTTGTTAAATGGGTGTTTGTGCGTTCCAGCAGTGGGTTGGCAGGAACGGCCGGGGGGTGGAGGGGATGTGTGAAGTGAGAAGTGGGAAGGTGCAACGACTTTCAATCTCGATTCTCGAGGAAGGTGTGGTGGTGAACATTGCCACCTGTAGGCAGCGGCAGCGACTTCCCCCCAAAACATCAATGAGAGAACCGAGCAAATTTTCTTTCGAGCACAAACACCTGTCCTCTCCCCACCCTCACCAGGCAACTCATTGTCTGCAGCGATTATCCCCTCCACATCAACAGCTATCATCACCCAGGCGCTCGATCCAGTTCATGCTTGAGCACACCGATTCCCTGTTCGTCACTGTTCTCTACACCGAGACCTGTCCGTAAGTCTCTGTCGCCTCCAATTCATCTATCCCCGCACCGGCTATGTCTAACGTGATCAAGCTGGTGCCCAGGAACTTTCACACCATGGATTACACTCTGGATGCACTGCCATCTGCGCCGGATTGATTACCTGCCGACACCGCAGGCCCCATACGTGACCGAGAGCATGAGAGAATACCTGCAGGCTCTAGACACAGGCACAATGGCTGATGTATGCCATCTTGTGTTGGAGCACGCCCGTCGGCTATCATCCCAACCGCGCAACGCCCCCTCCTACGCTATCACGCTTCTGGAGGACGAAAAGACGATGTCGTGTTCCACGGCGCTGGTGCAATGTTTGCCGGTGAAGCTTGCCCGAGCCATGGTCCTCGGAGTCGTAGCGGCCCAGACCAAAATCGACGTCGAGGATCCGCGCCTCATCATGCCGGACATATAAGCTTCTCCCGGACCTGGCACGTGTGTAGCTTCGGTTGCGGTCAAGGGCAGGAACGGAATGGGGTGTACAGGCAGCGAGCTGAACAGCCTCGTGAGCGGCTTGACCAAGTACCTCGAGGCATACGAGTTTACCAAAGGCTTTGTGATTGGACAGGACACGAAGACAGACGACGAGGGAGACGCCGCCTCATTCGCCTCCGAGGTCGACATGATGTTTTCCTCTTCCAACTACCCCAAGACCGCATTCATTGATACCGACGAGAAACGAGACAAGGTGGACGCCATGAGGCTCACCCTGCAGAAGATGGCTCAGGGAGCCGAGCCCGACGTTGCGTTAGCTCAGCTTCTCGGCTACTTCGAATGTGACAGAGAAATGGCCGGACATGGAAGTCTAGATTTACTTGACCATCGGTGGACTCCCGACAAGGGCAACTACGCTCAATGGTTGTTGATGAGCATTATGAAGTCGAGCAACATCGAGCCAGACCTCGTGGTGACCGTCGTGATCCGTACCTGGGCTCCAGGTCAGCTCCCTAGCTTAGAAATCATCGGCACGGTGTTGGGGATAGGAGGGTCTCTGGGGGAGGAGGCGGGTCTGAACGTGACCTGGCCGGGCGAGACACGCGACGAGGTCGACCGAGACTTCAGCCAGGATGAGCGGGACGCGACTTGCCTTCGAAAACACTTAAGGGGCAACGTCGATGCGTCCCGAGAGATGTTGGAGCGGCGGCAGGCGGCAGGCGGCCTTGGACTATCTCGATACGTTCAATGTGGACGCGGAAACCAAAGCGATCAGTGACGACATCAACAAGCTTGATGAGCTTTATCGCAGAATGAAGCCCGAGGCAGAGAAACTGATGGCCGAGATGGAGGAAGAGAGTAAGACCATCGCCCTGCAAATGGAGAGACAGAAGAAGCACTACGCCGAGCTTCTTGAGATTATACGGTTGGCCGATATGATACTGGGTTGATGAAGGACGCACTCGACACTGTATTGCACCATCCCGACAAGACCTTTGTGGTCGATAAGACGAATGCCTTTGCGGCTGGCGATGATACTTTGGCGATGATGTCTCCAGATCGGGCAGACGTCTTGGCATGAACGAAGTCGAGTTGCAGTTTCGGGAGGAGGTGAACCCGAGGCCGAAGCAGACGACCCACGTCGGGTAGGTAGCTGGTCCGTGGAGACACCTTCAGCTTGCACACCTTCTAGTAGCTAGCTCCCAATCATAATTGTCTTGCCGTGCTATGATCGATTCCAGTCTTCTCTATGTTTAATCCACGTCGTCGCCGACAATATTGATTCTACCGGTACGTGAAAATTGACGTGCTCGATGCTGTAGCGTGTGTGGCGAACCAGTGAACCAACCCCTCCTAACGGGAAAGCAGAATAACAGGAGACAAGTGATCCGTTGTGGCATGCCTACCTAGATAGCTTGTGCGTCGATTGTCCTTAAACTGCCAGACAGGAGCCAGCGAGGCCTTGCGAAACGATTTTGGCAAGAAGTGAGGTCAAAAATCCATGGCGAAGGAGTAGAAGCTCATCGATCAGGCACATAGTGGGAGTTTTACGCCTGATGCATGGCGCCAGAAGACAATGATGATTCTGATTGTACATACCAACGGACTCGGCCAAGCCAGGCGCAAACGATTCGAAGCTGGAAAGATGCATGCGGAAGCTCTATGCCGTCTCCATAAGACCCTCTTCCGCGCCGTGAGACCCAACAAGGCCCAGTCCCAGGGCGACGGCTGACCTTCCTCACGATAGCCGCAAAGTTGAGCTCAGTCACTTACGGACTGGATCATTCACTGGGCCATTCATCACGCTTTTACTGAGGACTCCTTCATTTGACCCCCGAATCACCTGATACACTGCTGTAACCCGTATCTACCTCACTTTCTCACATCATCAGGGGGCAGCTTAGCACACAAACAGAACCCGTTGTGCAAACCCTTCTCAAAGTATTTTACTAACTCTAGGTAACTCAAGACCTCATCCATAGGACTCCAGACCTGTTGAAGGTAGCTGGAACTCATCTGGAACGTGGGACCCAACCAAAGCTACAGAGCTGACTTCACTCCCGGTTCACATGAGCCGGCTGGTCCCCCATCCACCCGCCAGGTCGTTGCCTACACTGCCACTCTGACAGCGGCATGAAACCTGCCGGGCTCGCCCATCTAGGTGATCACGCGGCTAGTCTGCGAGACGATTGATTAGCCCCTGCTCAGGACAGGCACCCGGGAATAATTAGGCCGGTATGGCCGCTCAACTTACAAGCTCCCGATGGCACAGCTGTGGCAGCAGCCCGAATATTCGTCAGCGATTAATTACTCTTTCACGGACAAAAACACGCGTCGGGACGTGCATGTGGGATTGGACTTACCCGGCGATGGGCAGGTAGCAGTTGGTGCCCTGCTGCTTGATAGAGACGCCGCCGGCGCAGTTGACGTTGCAGAAGGTCTGCAGGCCCACTGGTGGCGACGCGGAAACGGGGTTAGTCGATGTTGTTCACAGACATGTATGGGGCTCGCACTTGGTGCGTCGAGGAAGGACGAGTTTTTGGGTGGTGGGAGGAGGTGGAGGAGGGAAAAAAAGAGAAACGCACGAGACCCGCCGTTGGAGAAGAAGACGTCGATCTCGACCCGGTTCCAGTTTATGCCTGTCGGGGCGCTGTAGCAGTTGTTCGGAGCGCCTTGGCCGCTGTCATAGTTATCGCTCTGTCAGCAAGTAGTGCGATATCACACTAGCTGGTGGTCACCCCTTCGAAGCTCAACTAGTTGGAATGGGGAATAGGGGGTGGGTGGGGGACATTGCGGCGGGGACCCGTTCGACGGCCAGGTGTCACCGGGGTTGGAGTTATGGTCGCAGCCGTTGTTGTCGTCTAATTTATCTTGCAGTCAGTCTTCAGATATTCCAATTCCCCCCAGTTGGCTAGCCAGCTGAGATGTTTGCGGTGCCGCTTACAGAATCGGTACTGGAAGGTAGCCCGTTTCTCGAGGAGAGTGACGTTTGCCTCTTCAGCAAAATTATAATTCAGCCCATAATTGAATCTCGGTGTCACAGGGGATGCTGCCGTGATGGAGAAGGCGGCAAGCGCCATGATCATGGGTGCGTAGAGCCTGGCGAACATCCTGGAACTGGTGTGATGTGATGGCAAGTGAATGGGGCTGTCTGTACTTTGCTTGGGTGAAGGAAACGAGTTGAGACGGTGTCCTTGGGGGTTCCTCGAGGTTTAAAAAAGCTTCTGCGAAGCTCGCTCCGGGCTGCCTTGCGCGCAGCCTAGAGAGTGGGGGCCAAGGCATATTGCTGTGCAGTGATGCGCCTTGCCTTAATGGGCGGTAGGCTACGATGAGGAACGAGGGGGGAACAAGGTGTTTCAAGCAGGCTCTGGGCTTATGGGCAAGACTTTGCGCGCATGCGGCTCGTTGTGTAACGCATCTGTCTGAGCCTATGGACGCCATGTTCAAGGTTTTCGTAGACGCGCATGGGTTGTGGTGATGGGAGACGAGGAGAAGGGGAGAGGTATAGTGCGTGTCTGCGTGGCCGGTCTACAAGTTTACAAACGCGAACTCAGGGGTTTCAAAAATCATGACTCGTGGCTGGAAGCACTGGACCTGTCTTCTCTCGTTATAGATCAATCATCAATATCGCCTAGGAATTAGCTATCTCTTGGAATGCGACGAGTGTGGTGCTCTTGTCACGCTGATGTATCATGTCAGCTCAGTCGACTGAGTTCTTGCGTGCCACCGATATTCAAACCGCTTGGTGTATGCTTTGAGTCGTATTCGTGAAATACTGAAGGTCGATCGTGCCTGGGACGAAGTCGACTTCACCACTCCCGCAGTAGGCGACCACCAACAGTGGCCGACTCGACGTCCTCCGTCTTCTAGCTGTTCGCAGGTGCGGACTCGGGATTAGGCGGTACAACAGGACGTATCCTCCATTGCCGCGGCCTGCTGGCCTCGAAGCTCCTTCACGCGCTTCCATCTCCTCACAGCGTCCTAACTCTTCTTGTTATAAATATGCTTGTCGACTAGTGCCTTCGCATCTTCGCAGTCTTGCTCTGTGACGTTAGCAAACCAATCGAGCGCGGTCAACTCCTCGAGCGAAGGACGGTGTTTAGGGTTCGGAGCCAGGCACTGTATAATCAGGTTGCGTACGTCCTGTTCTAAATTCGGCGCGTTCGCCTGGTTGACGATCCAAGTGCGATCCCGATCTGAGTCAGTGTCCAACACCTTATTTCGTAGCATTTCTACCATTGCCTACAGGTGGCGACGATTTGGTAAGCTGTTTGCCGGCTGGAAGGGTGAAAAGGGGGCGTTCAGGATGACCGACCAAGGCTAAGTCTCGTATGTTTCTTTCTATTCCGCTGCTACGTTTCTCTGGACCCTTTTTGGCAGCAGCATCGGCACTGAAATTCATCGTCAGCATTGCAAGCGACGGGGGGCATGAAGAATAAAAAATAAAGAGCATGACTTGCAGTTCCGCCAGTTTATGTGTTTTTGTATACTCCTCTCGTGTTTTCCGCCGGTCGGCAGAGACATATTCCGCATCGTCTTTCTCATCGACCTCAGTATAATCTCTTGCTTGGCCAAAATCTATAAGCTTCAGTATGGGCCAAGGGTCATGTTCAGCACTCCCCGGCTCTACATCGCCGAACATTACTGCATACTGTTAGCTGATGAATAACTAGTACGTGTAGGGTCAAGCCTTGGTTTGACTGACAATTGTTCCATCTAATATCCATATGGGCGAGTTCTGTCGGCCTGACATCAGGGTCAGCAGGGATGTCGTGTCCATCCGTATCCGGGTAGGCAAGCTCGGTCACTATTCGAACGAGGCAGAGAAACACGGAGCGGATGAAGCTTCCTGGAAGGTTCCCGATTCCAATAGCCTGAGCAAGTTCCTTGAGTGTGCCGTGTGGAATGTGCTCTAAAACGAGCATGGATGGTGGTCCCTGAGGCTGTCCCTCGGGACGCACAACTGAATGCAGCTTCATGAGACTATGATAGAGTAGGTAAGCATATCATATCCACTCGCATGTCTGTAGTTGCACCGCTTACTGGCTCTTATACCCTTTGCTTCTCTGTATAGAGTCAGTCCAGCATATAACTTATTATACTTAAAGTGAAAAGTGACAAGCCGCACCTGAAGACTCGTCATCTCTCTTCCCAAATCGTCGGCATCAGCAACCTCGCCACTCTCCGCCAAAAGTGCCGCATTGGCAGCAGATAATGCGGGTTTTTTGCTTGCCTTGACAACCACCTTCTCCTTTTCGTCACCGCTGTTCTGATCAATTTTTGCGTATAGTCTATTAAAGTTGTTGGAACCCTCCCCAAGATACTTCAGGTACTTGTAGCTTGATCTTCAGCTCCGATGGTATTTGATCGCTTGCCATTATCTAAGCAAATTTCGTTGTAATGATACAGTAACACTATCAACATTGACGCCTGGCCTCGACGATGACATTGGCTTACACTGTTCTGTCATACACAAGCCTATGTCAAAGAGTGTGGCATCACAAAGAGTTTCGCGAACAGGATAGCTGGTCAGGAGAAGTGAGTTGTGAACAAAGGGAAATACAATAGAAATATGTTCAGTACTAGAAAGCAATTCAAAGGGTTCAACTTGCACAGTGCTCTTTGCGGCTTCGTTTCTAGACTAGGCCGATGGGAGAGATAGATGATCGTGCCAAAAACACTGTCCCTTCTTTGGGCCGGAAACATCTCCGGGGGCCGTGATCCGAGAGAATGGTGGAATGCGCCCGATGTCGTTCGGAAGATGCCTTCCCGTAGCCAGGCTGCAGTCATGTTGTCCAGTATGTAGACGGCATCCGGCCAGCACAAGCCAGATCGGAATACATCATTGATACACTCAGCCCTCATAAGTCTGCGTTCGCGTACGCTGATAGAAATTCAGATTACCAGCAGGAAAAGGTTAAAAGACTGGAATAAGCAAGCAGGAATAAGCAGCTCCGGTTTGATACGCCTCTCCTGATGCTTATCCCAGTGCGCTTATTATAATTACGATGAATGCGAGCTGAGTGGTGTATGCGAGACTTAGGAGGGTCCATTGTAGCTTCAAGCGTGACCGCAGCATCTTGCCCAAGCTCGACTTGCTCCTAGCAGTATATCAAGCCACCAGTGGCAGCGCGACGGAAGACCCGCGGGGGTGACTGGCGCACGGTAGCCAGATATCGAGTATCGTAATGTACATGTACGCACGCAACACACCGGCAGTTCCTCTTTGGATTCAACGCCGGCGCGTCAATGTAGTGCTTGAATCATTCCAGTGTCCACGTCAGAGAAAGCAGATGAGCTCTCTCTCCAGGACACAACCTCGAGCCCCTTGGCATCACTTTTCAGTTCCATTGGCCAGAGACGTAGGCCCCGCCATGGATACCCTTGACCGTGAAGTGCTGCTGCTGCCTGACGCAGCAAAACTGCCGCGGAGACTCGATGAGCTTCACTAGAAGATAAGCACAGAGAAGCATTCATGGCGCCCATCTGCCGGAACACCGTGTGTCACCACTTGGACAGCTGTTTTCCACACGGGTGCTCGTGTTCATGGGTCATGGCAGCGGTTCGAGACTGCGGCTGCGAAGTTGACGACAGACAGTGCCAGGCTCGCAGAGACTAGGACCTGTGCAGGCAGAAGGCGGGGATCTGATGTCGTGCCTGGTCCCGGTGACTCGGGATGAAAATACACGGTGTCCATGTCGAGTACCGCAAGCCAGTCGTCTGGGCTCCGGAACGGGTTTGTTGGCTTCCTGATCCGCCGGTCGCACCGCGCCCGAGACGATGAATGATCCCCAGAAGCTGGCGACGAGGTGTTGTTGTGTGTAGACAGGTTGATGAATTTCATGGCACTTGCATCCGATTGTGCTCACTTGAACGCGTTTGGCGGGTACCCCGGCGACAGGATGGCTTGCCTGGGGCAGAGCAGCAAGTCACCCACGTAGGGTATATGTACCCTAGAAAAAGCTATTCTGACATATACGACCATAGGATCAGGAGAACTTGGCATCCCGTCCGCTCTGCTTTAAATAAGCTTAATGCTACCGGATTAGTAGTTGGGTCGGTGACGACCAGCGAATCTACGGTGTTGTATGATTTGCATCTTTAATATCCTTACCTTCTTCGCCTTTCACGTTGAAGATATCGCTTTAACTCCCTTCATGGAAGATAGCCCGAGATGAGTGGGTTCATTCCTTTTGATCCAACTGACGTCTGTCGGCGCCACATGGTGAGAGGTTGATGCGGCGTGGATGTGGTGATGGCATACAGCACTCGTCGCGCAACTATTTTTGACCTTCAGAGACAGTCACGGCTGGATTGACAGTGCCAAACTCACCCTGCTGATCAGCGACCGCACAATAGAAAGATCGGGTCTGCCGGTGTTCTGGTGATCTGGGCTTGCTTGTCGGCTATCAAAAATAGGAGGTTGCTATATCAGGAACATGATGCCTCCCCTTGCTGTCAGCCAGTGGAGACATAGCGGTCACTATCGCCACCTCACGCCTCGACTTAACTCCTTCGTCCTTCCCAATCCATGACATCGATCCAACGGGGGATTCCTCGTACTATTCCTGTCGATGACGCGGCGCAGTACAGGTATATCCAAAGTTGAGTCTCGCTGTCAGTTTGACACCAAATTTCTGCACACCTCCTCATGCTGCAACCGCGAACATAACATCGAACCCTCGTATCAGACAACTGTCTCACTACCGGTACAATGCGTGGACAAAAGTCTCCGCCCGATCCCCAATTTTACCCCTTCCATCTACTATACCCTCCAACTCAATTGAACCATAACGCATCCAATTCTGGTGATAGAATTCTCAAATAAATTGTATTTAATAACTAAGTCAATAGTGTGTATACCAACCACCGGCACGCCTCACTGCAGCTATTCGGTCCTCCAGTGACTCCATCAAGGCCCGAACCTGCTCCGGATCGATCTCTGACCACGCCTGCTCAATTAACTCGTGTGCATAGCGATAATGGGGGATATTATCCTTCAATTCAGAAAATTCAGGCTCGATTTCACGTATGTTCTTCTTCAGAAGTCGCCAAACATGCTTGATTGGGTTCATATCGGGGCTGTGAGGAGGCCAGTCGATACAGTGGATGCCGTGCTCCTCCATCCACTCCGGAACACCGCTATGAGGTGAATTTTCGCGTTATCTTGAACAAAAGGATCTCCAGCCTCGTTGAACGGAAGCAGGCCTTCCTCAAGAACCCATTTGTATGACTCTGCGGATACTCCTCCGCGCGGAGCATCCGGATCGAGTGGGCAGAAGACCAACTTGCCTAGTCCTCCTTCTCCGCCGCGTAGCCAGATCATAGACCACACCATTATCAAAATACGAGATTTGCCGTGATCCGTCTCGTTCACGAGATCATAACGGTACCGCTCTGAAGAGAATCGGATGGCCCAATCGCCTGGATTATCGGATGAGTTTTGGACCGTACATTCGTCTGAGAACATAGCTCGCAACAACTCCTCCAGGCGCTCTGGTGTGCTATAATAATTAGCAAAAGCGAGCCTCTTCTGAGCGTCCTCATCTGTGAGCTTGATTCGCTTCGCTGCGCGCCACTTCTGGAGGCCGTGTGCGTGACATATCCTCTTGATAGTCTTGGGAGAACACGAAACGCAGGCTTCGTTTCGAATCTTCTGCCACGTCGCCCTGGGGAGCTCTCTCGCCTTTTCGATCACATGAGCGCGTTCGCGAGTATTCAAAACGGGTGGGCGACTGCTCCTTGGGGCAGATTTCAGTGTAGAAGTGGCCTCAAAGTTGGTGGTAATATCGGAGATGGTTTTCAGGCGCTTCGTTTTAAACGCGGTTGCAACATCCCTACGCGTTCTGCCGTCGATTCGCGCCGCCACGATTGCCGAGCGAGCTTCTGAAGTGAATTCGCCGTTAGCGACGCGATTACCGCTTAATTCGTCCCCAAAAGATCGTAAATCCATTATCAATTGCGGTGTTGAGAGAGTGGTGAAGTCGAAGGGTGATTGACGCGTTGTTTTGATCTGAAGGAGATTGTGGTGGGTCGGGCGGAGACTTTTGTCCACCCAGTTTATCATCAGCGACACACCATCACGATGCAGTTCACCACCTCCTTCATCCTCGCCGCGACGCTCTTCGCAGCTGTCCACGCAGCCCCGCTGACGCACTCGTCGCGACAGGCGGCGACCGATGTCCAACAATTTTACGACCATGTGGGTGAAGAGTGGCATGATTTGACGCACCCATTCTGAAGTTCGGATGACCGACAATAAAAAAAGCGCAGAAGCAGCTGTATGCTGCTGGCGGCGACGTTTCGAGGAGGTCCGGATTTTGATGTGAGACGTGGACGGGAGGCTGTGGAGATCGAATGAACGCCCACCTGGTAGACAAAGGAGACGTGGGGAGACGACGTGAAAATGGATGTATAGCTTCTCTTCTTTCCTGTCAATATGCAAGTTGCATGTCTCCGCCCTGGTCTTCACATCAAGGGCCGAGGAAATGCGCGGGGCTCTAACCATCGAGGCATCAACGGTGCATTGGAACAACCTTCATGATGGATGTCATCGCATCCAGCAACAGGTGCCGCCGTCTTGCGATGACGAAGGCAAACATAGACCGTTCTGTAACACGAAGACTTATTCAAGCCGCCTTTCCCTTGCACGTTGAAGTCTGGAGCTGAGCCCAAGCTCGGTTCATCCAGCCTGTCAGCTCCAAAGTCAAGTATAATCAGTGGATCGGGGAATAGATGTCTTGACTCCGGTGTCGATCCTGAGCTTCCCACCGCGGACGGGGTCGATGATCGGAAATCATACTTTGTTCAACGGGTTGGGACGCTCGCCTCGAAGCTGAACTGTCCGCAACCCGTCCCCGAGCGTAGCAACCAACTTGTTCAGAGGCCTGGAAGCACTAGCAACAGACGAATCAGCCCATAACCAGAACTTTGACAGGCGTGTCGGTATGCCGTCCGGCTACATCCACATTTCTTTCCCTGCCTAGCCGGAGCCTGCTGACTGGTAGCAACATGAGTAGTTGGAGGATCTGGCAGGCGTCCATGTGTCGTGCTTTTCTGGCCATTACGCTGATCTGGCCATTACGCTGATCTGTCCACCTGGCATCCGCGACTCGCATATCTTTGGCGCGAGTACATGAAAGAGTCAATAGTCTCGCATCCTCGTCGATGTAGGTGTGCTCTGGCATCCTCGCCACGGGACATAATCATATTCGCAGCAGCGGAAGGGAGTCGTTCGAGCGGAGACCGGATGAGGTCCCTGGACTTTCACGTCGACTACCGACGGGCAACTCCGGCTTCACCGATCCGTCTGGCCGCAGCCGCCGCCGACGACGAGTCCATCGACAGCATCGAATATCTGACACTGGGCCACCAGTCATTGGATCATGATTGGCGAGGGCGGTTTTCTGACAGGTGCCGAATATGTATTTATCTGTGGAATGGTGGCGTCTCGCACAAGGTTAATACCTGTTCGAAGAGCAAGGGGATCCCAACTCAATGACTATGACGACGCCGTTTGTTAGTCGAAACTACGGCTTGTGTATCGTGATAACACCACCAGTACATCCTGGAGAGTAGAGAGCGTGGATATGAAGACGATATTGACGCCGAAACCGCTCGACAGGCGCAAGCACGGCCACACCTCATTCTTGTCTTATCTGTAGAGCCATTTGCTGTGCAGCTCAGATTTGCAGATGAAACCAGACGAGGCTATCTGTCGCACATTTAGGTGGTTATTAGGTTAGCCTAGGCGGGATGGCTGGCTAGGGGACCTGGATGGCGAATGTTTGTCGCGCATTTGTGCTTATTTTATGTTGGAGGTTTGGGGTGGGGGAAGAAGGCAACGGCATCGGCGGTCGTCCTGCGTATCCGTGAGACCCTGTTAGCGTTGATCGCGCTCCAGGTGATCGGGACTCCAAACTTCCAAAGTCACTCGACTAACTGATGGCTCATTGGCCACTGGGTGCCATATTATCGTGATGGCTGGAGGGGAGGCACGAGAATAGACCATACAGTATCACTCGTATCAGTCCCACCGCCACCACCACCACAGGGAAGCACCTGCATAGCCGACGAGCCCATCATCTGCAGCCAACCCTCCAGAGCTTTCTGGAGCAGCAGAATACGAGAAGCGGTGGTGTGGCATGTGGGCGACACGAGACGATGGGCGATAATCCGCTTTCCCCGCAGGGCATCTGGCCACCATCATCGAACACGAAGACTCGCGCCATAAAAATGCAGAGGTAAGGTGAAACGAGTTTGAGTTGCGATTGGCACTCGGCGATAGCAAAGTCTCAATATTGGGGACCGCCTGCCAGTCATCTTATGTACTTCAGATGATGGGCCGCTGTCGCAAGCTGTCGTTGACACTCTTGTTATTAGCATTGGGAAGTATGCTGTGCCAGCTGTGCGTTGTGTTCCGGTTCCGGTGCAAGTATCCGCCTCACGAGGACGTGGATGATGGATGAATTATTAGGATGGAGGCCGTGGAGGATGGAGGAGGAGGAGCACAAGAGGAGGCTCTAAGACAGAGACCAGGGTCTCGCCGGCATATCCCAGTCGGGAGTAGGCGTGAAGCGAAGATCTCAAATTTGTAAGATCCGGGATGCGAGAGCACAGCAGTCCACCAACATGGATTGATAGCACTGTACTGTACAAGTTGCCGCTGTTGTCGCCCAAGTCGTTTTATCGCCACAAGCCGAGCGCCCGTTGATGCTGCTAGGTGAAAGAAGACGAACTATGGCCAGGTAGTCGGCCAGACAGACCGACAGAACAGGCGAGCCATGTCTTATGCGGGTAGAGGTTGAAGCAGTCGTGATGGTGTTTGCCCGCTTGTCCACATTCACGGGTTGAGGGGGACTAAGTTCCAACGCTAGGAGACAGCCAATGAGCGGTCTGGACCGGGTCGAGCTTCGGCGCTGTGGCCGCTGCAGAGTCCACTGCAGTCTACTGGAGTCGCCTGTACGCTAGCGCTGCCGCCGCCGGTACTAGAGTTATCTAGCCCCTGCCACAGCTGATATCAAATTGAAATTGGCCAATAAGATTCTCGAGGCCAAACTGTGGTTGGAGATGTCGACCGTAACCACATCAGGAGGGAGAGCTCCTTTTCCCGCCACGACTCTTTTATTACGAAGACTCGAAGAGATGCCACTCGCGGAAATAAACACAGTATGAAGTACGAGGCAAGACGAGGCAAGGTCCCTTGTGCCCCGTGCTTCTCGTCTTTCATGAAGTCAATATGTAGGTCCCCGGGTCCCTTCGCTTCTCCCGGAGCTTCTCTCTTGATTCTGTTCATTCACGTTCGCCTGTCTCTCTGCATCTTCCTCATTTGCCATCTGGTTCTCTCGCTTAGACCAGTCAATTGAGTTTATGGACTTTTCTTCTTCGTGCTCCCCTTCGTTTGGACATAATCTATCTATCTAATCATACGCTATTCTAATACACCATCGTCCGCGCTGTTGTCACCACAAACACACCCGTTTGCCTGTCTGTGATATCATACGCCCTCCACCCGAACAATAACATCCATATTATCCCAAGATGCTCTCGCTCCGAACTCTCCTGGCTGCGGTCGCCATCTTTGTCTCGTCCGTCCAAGCAGACTACGTCATTGACCCCAACAGCGTGTCCCTGACCACAAGGAGTATGTCCGCCCCGTTGACTTGGAAGTCCTTTCTACGATGAAATATCTTCTCACCTCCAACGCAGCATCATGGTGTGACTCGGAAAAGGCCACCTGCCCCCTCATCTGCGAGCAAACCCCTCCCGGAGGCTACCAGGTCAACTCGTGCGATCCCGTATGTGCCCTGCCCTGATTCTGCCTGTCACGATCAAACAGACAGACAGACCGACTGACTCACCGAGCAGACAACCCTGACCTACGGCTGCGTGTGCGCCAACGGCCTGCAACCCAACATCTCCGAATATTCTTTGACGCTGCCGTACTTTACCTGCCAGGAATGGGGCAACCAGTGCGTGACAGCTTGCGGATCGGACAGCGCCTGCGCGAGCGCCTGCCGTCAAGACCACCCCTGTGGCGCCCAGAACCCGACGAAAGCCAACACGACCAGCAGCTCGACCGCGTCGGCGACGGCGAGCGGCGCCTCGGCCACCGACTCGAACCAAATCTACACTGGCCTCGCGGGCTCTTCGGCGACATCGACGCCCGGCTCCGGTGCTGCGCGGATGGATATGATGTACGGCAGCCTGTCGTTTGGGCTGCTACTCGGTAGCCTGTTCTGCGTGGGAGGTATGCTGCTATAATAGTACGCCCAATGGGGCGTTGGTAGTTGAAATATCCCCAACAGGGGGCAGATATCTGTGATGGACGTGTCCTAGACATGCTTATTCTATCGATTGAATTGCTTGAATCGAACTTGGCGAGATCGGACGACACTCGGCCACCCAGATTGCCCTGCGAAGTTGGCATACGCACTTGCTGATGCTGGAACCACCGCTGTCATTTTCAAGCGCAGGGAGTTTGATTTAGCGAATATATCGAGATTATAATGGGATTCAGACCACGGGGTTCTTAGTGGTGGGCTGTAACCATCATGCTTTCGAAGCATGCAACGGTCAACAAGACGGTAGCAGATATCCCAGCACGGGAAGATAGAGCGCACGTTCAACGTGCTATTAATCAACACCCACAACAACAAGAGATGCGTTGCCTTGTATCCAGTTGTAGTGCAAAGAAGACTTTCCCTCAGCCTTGCGTGGCGTGGTAGTCATTGGCTGTGGAACTGTGCTATTATCCAATGTTGGTTATACAGCTGGACAGCAGCTGTAAGACGACTGACTGGGGTTTCACATGTCAAGGCTGTCGTGGGATCACTTGTGGCATCCTGTGCTTCCACAAGCTGCATTCCATTGGTCCCTGGCCAGCAGGCGTCCTGCTACAGAACTGGGTAGCTGCAGGGAGTCGGAGCTCGTCAAGTATGGTACTTATGGAAATAGCAGTGGAGGGAATAAAATGAGTCAATTCCCTGGAACAGATGCATCTGATTTGCAGCAACCTTGCCATCCGTCAAGCCCACGGTTTCGAACCTCAGTTTGATCTCTGCTGCCTCATCCAAATTGTCTGTAGATATTCGCACATTTCTGCAGTTCATGATGGGGTTGCATCCAATGTTGCCGAGCGTTGTCCAGACTGCAATCCAGTCTTGTAAGCGGAATTGTAAAGGGGAAGTAGGTACTGTAGAGGAGGGTCCAGCGGTCCAGACCGCCAGAATTTTCAGGGGTCTGGGTATCAACCTTTTGCGGTGGAACCTTACAACCCGAGCAGCTTCCCCACCACGACTTCAATGTTCTTTCTCCCACTTTCGACAACTTCTACTCCGACTGCCGAATATACGCCTGCCACTTGTTGGTATTCGGGGAAGATCCACGGTCGTCCACGTCTGCCATGATGTATCGTCGTTGAAATCAACCACATCCGTCCCACGACGACAACACAATAGTCTCAGAGAGGTAGCTTTAGACATTGCGCCCGACTACCGGTAGCTACGACGACGAACGCGTACCCCCCCGGCCTCTTCTACCGCCCCTTTCCAGCACGCAGGTCTTCCGAACTCTACTGCCGAGTCTATCGTGGTGCGAACCTGTATCTGCCATCTACGCAGACAGGCAAGCCGGAGTCATGGCTCCCAACAATGACAGTAAGAGGTCTTTCCTCCTGCGTCTGTGTCTGTGTCCAGCGCGCCGAGGGCACACCCGACTCTAACCGGGGCTTGATGCCGCACAGAAACGGCCGTTGCTGAATGCATCTCGGACGACGCCCTCATCCACCTGCGATCCTACAAGTATTCGGCCGTCGACAAGTCGCCCGTCTCGCAATACATCCTCCGACCATACGTACGTTCCCACCCCGGCCGCGCCCTCCCTATGCTGTGGGATATCGAGCGGATGAGTAACTGAAAGACGTGTGGTAGTGGAATGCGTGCGTTGAGCTATTGCCGCTATGGCTGGCGCCCAACATGGTCACCCTTCTGGGGTTCCTCTGCATATTGGCGAACATCGGGTTGCTGGTCATACTCATGCCAGATCTAGTCGGACCGGTACGGAAGACCCCCCTGCGATCTCCCTAGGAATACAGGAACTTCGAGCTGACCTGTGTTCGAACATCAGGGCCCCTCATGGATGTACCTGAGCTTCGCATTCGGTCTGTTCATGTACCAGACTATGGACAACATCGACGGCAAGCAGGCGAGGCGGACAGGTACATCGAGCGGTCTAGGCGAGCTATTCGACCACGGCATCGACTCCCTAAACTGCACCCTTGCGAGTCTACTGGAGACGGCAGCGATGGCACTGGGGACATCGAAATCAGGCGTCTTCACCGCCCTGTGTCCATGCCTGCCCATGTTCTTCTCAACCTGGGAGACATACCACACCCACACCCTATACCTGGGCTATTTCAACGGACCTACGGAAGGCCTCTTGATCGCCTGTAGTGTCATGGCCATTTCGGGGATTTGCGGTCCGGGAATCTGGACAGAGCGTATCGTGGATATCGTGGGCGAGAAGAACCTCCTCGGCTATACCGAGCTCGTCGGCGACCACTCGATCCGCGACATCTGGATCCTCATCATTGTCGGCTCGCTCGTGCTCGGCCACATGCCCTTCTGCGTGCTGAACGTCGTCAAGGCCCGGCGGAGAAACAAGCTGCCAGTGCTGCCTGTGTTCCTCGAGTGGATCCCCATGGCCGTCTACACCCTCTCGATCGGCGCGTGGCTGTACTCGCCGTACTCGACACTGAGGCGCGAGAACCACCTCGTCCTCTTCTGTCTGACCATGTCCTTCGTGTTCGGCCGCCTGACGACCAAGATCATCCTCGCGCACCTGACGCGCCAGCCGTTCCCCTTCTGGACCGTCATGCTGGTGCCGCTCGTCGGCGGCGCCGTGTTGGGCAACCTGCCGCGGTTCAGGCTCCCTGCCATCTCGGCGCAACTCGAGCACTACTACCTCTGGGCGTACTTCCTGTTCTCCCTGGTTGTCTACTTCCGGTGGGCCTTCCTGGTCACGACGAGTATATGCAACTTCCTCGGCATCAACTGTCTCACGATCCCTCGCGAGAAGCATCTCGAGAACAAGCGGAAGCTGTTGGAGGCCAAAACTGCCGCAAATGGGAAGAAATCGCAGTAGGAACTCTATACATCCCTGTTGTGTCTAGTGGCCAATTTTGTCGTCCTTCCATGGGTATTGTGGCTACTGGCCGTCTTCTTACTTTCTTCCACGAATACAGACGATTCCTCACGCCAGGAGAGGAAACTCCTTCTAGAAATACATCCGGTGGCACGACACATAGCCGGAGCCATAGACGTTCATCGTTGACCTTGTACCACGTTGTAATTATGATGAGTGGAGGAAAAGAGGCATTGAGCGAGCGTAGCCTGTTTTCATACATTGGCTTACACATAGAGTGATAGAGAACGGCATATTGCGAGCGGCCTCGCTGAGGGAACTTTGAATATACATAGAGCAGCGGTGGCGTTGTAGGGAATGGAAAAGGGGTCTTTGTTAAGCAGCATATTCTCCTGAGTAAGGCTATGCAATAGCGTGTGAATTCGAATTGCAATTATTCTTCAAGGGATATGGAGTCGACTGTGCTCTCACTTGACCATGCAAGACAAGACATCTCGTCCAAGTAGGATCAGTATGCCGAAGTTCTCCTTTTGTACAGGCTCTTTTGTCTACTCCTTTTGATCCATCAGTCATGTCTCTATTTGCCATCAGCCATGGATTTGTTCGCTACGCATAGCACCAGCAGAGCAGCTAAGATCAACAGCCCGCCCATCTCTGAGTAATAACCTCGATCGACACCTGTCAGGCCCATCTGACCTCCTCTCCGGGAGAAAGAGGATGATATCTAGGTAAATGGTCCGGTCCTCGCAAGTCGGAAATCAATCACCTCTCCCCCGCCAGACGTCGGCTCTGCACCTCGCCCAGGGCCTTGGTGCCGCTCAGGAAGGTGGCGGCGCCCACGACGCCGATGACGGGCAGCGTCTGGAACAGGTTCCAGCTGGCATAGTACATGTAGAAGACGCCCTCCATGGCGACGATGGAGCCGAAGAAGACGCCGTGCGCGAGGGGCGCGGCGTTGATGGCCTTGGAGAGGTGCGAGACGTTGGCGCCGAGGGTGAGCCACTGTTTCGGGGTGTCAGTCAGTCAGTCGGTCGGTTATTCTATGGGGTCTTGGGTCTTGTCTGGGCTCTGGGACGGATGGGTAGGGTGTATAGGGTATAGGGTGTAGACGTACGCCAATGAACAGCGCCGGCACCGTAGCCAGCACGGCCAGCACGAAGACGAGCGAGATCACCTTGGGCGGGCTCTTGGGATCGGCGCGGAACTCGTGGTGAATATCGTCGAGCTTGCCGTAGCGCATTGGCTTCTCGGCGACGATGGGCGTCGCGTTTGGTTCAGTCGCGACGTCGATGTCGAAGATGGGCTTGTTGATACCCTCGGCGGCGCCGAATGAGGCGAGGATTAGGGAGGCCTTGAGCGGGGTCGTGGAGGCTGCGAGTTGGGTCGGGAGGTCGCTGTGTTTCTGCGGTAGAGGGGGGACCGTTAGTTGGGTGTGCTGAGACTCGGATGGATGGACGGTAGACGTGTAGGGTGCTGGGGAGTATGACGTACAATCTCGACGACGGCCTTGCCATTGTCCTTGACCGTCAGCGGGAACGGCGCCTCGAGCCCGGTGGTTGGCTCCTGGAGCATGACGAAGGCCTGGTGAGGCCGCTTGCCTTTGCCGCCCTCTTTGGCCGTCAAGAGGATCTTCAGCGAGTCTGAGCTACCGAGGACGATGGACTGCGGCAGGGGCGCCTTCTCGTTGAACCTGCGCGGAACGCCGTTAGCCATTAAATATCCAAGTGTAGTATTCTCCCGATCCAAGGTCTTGAGGTTCGTACTTTTCCTTGGCACCAGCACCCTTCTTAGAGCTCACCGAGACCGTGGCGTCGTCGAATCCCCACGTCGAAGCTGCCTGGGCTGCACCAGCAGCCAGGAAAAGGAGGGAGTGTAGGAACCGCATGGCTGTTCGTTGTCGATCGTCGAGGGTGTCGTACGGCAGCTTGCGAATGGGAGGTTGTCGAGCTTCGATGTTGCTGCTGCGGGAGCTTCAATTGAACAGAACACATGTTCCACTTTTTCGGGTTCAAGCTTGAGGCTGACGTGGTTCGATGCAGGGGCTCACAGTGCTTATTATGCAAATACGGACTACCCGCACTGTCCAGGCGACTCTGCCCCTTTTCGATCGCAAGTCCACTCCTATGGGCTGCAAGGCACTCGCTGAATACCTATACAGCGAGCGCTCCTCCAGAAAGAAATATGGAACTCAGTCTGCGCCGGGTAGGTCCAATATCTCGGGACATGACTGCGCTGCGCAGGTCTCCATACAACTCAATGGCGCTGGGGTTGTTGAAATCATCGTGAGAAATGCAGCCAGGCAGTGAATACATCACCGCCGAGCCATCAATCGGCTGTCATAACTGCAACAGAATAACTTCATAGGATCTTAGGCCTCACTATCGCAACCATTCCCTTCTCATGCTCAAATCATCACACCTGACGCGTTGATACAATGGCGTCTGGGTGCTGGACGAAGGGTTTGGCATCTTCCTCTCTCTTTCGTCTCTAGATATATATACCTGCTTCAAAAGAGTTGGTAGGCCTCGAGGGTTCCAAGACGAACGGGGAGCTGGCCCTCGTGCCGTGGATCGACACCGTCGCCTACATATGCCGCACATCGCTGGGCGAGACCCCTTCGCGTGCTTCCCAACGCGGCCGCCTGGCAGGGGTGCATGGTGTTGCGTGCATCCTGAACGAGGACTGTGGAGGGCCGTGCCGGCCTCATGGAGGGACAGGGCCTGCTGCAGAACGGGTTGCCGGAGCCTGTGAGCAACAGGGAGGAGTGCCAGGCTAAGGTCAGGGCGGATGTGAAGAGGCTACTGCTACTGCTACTGGGGAGTAGGCGGGACGAGGTTGGTGGCCATTGCCCTGGCGCCTTTTCAGCATTTGGTTTCGTAGAAGGTGTCCAGTGACATGAAGCATTCGTGACTGAGGTTCAACGATGGACTAGGGAGGCTTGCGATGGTTGCTCGTCGGCAGAGTCATCGTCATGGTTACATCTGAAACTGCATGCTTCGAGACCTGAGCCTATAGCTCTGAATAGGTTAACCTTCTTGTTGACGAAGGATAGTCGAGAAACTGCAGAAGTGTCTTGGCGGACCACAATACTCTTGCTTCACGCATCCCAGTCCCTTGCTATTCTGAATAGAGTACCACAACGATCGAGACTGATTCGAAGCCCTGAGTGTGACATACTGTTCAACAGACGGTATCGGAAGGTTTCATATGAAGACCAAGTCTTGTAGCAGCTGGTCTATAGTTCCGTCCTGTCTCTAATCGCCTGCTTCTCCGTGGACGGATTCAACTGGCTCACAAACTCATCCAACTCCAACCACTCCGCCGCGAACGCCGTCACGATCTTAGCCCAGTCAGCCACCGTGCCCGGATCTAGGTGTTCGGCATTATCGTCCATGGTGTGCCATACGAGCGGAAACGGAGTCGGAATAATATGCAATACATCAACCCCTCGCATCATGAAGGGGACGTGGTCATCCTGGACAAACGCGCCCCTAAATTGATCTGCCGTTTTCTCGCTGTCTGGCAGAAAAGCATTCTTGGGGTTCGAAACCAGCAGTCCAAGCTTCCGCATCCTTGCTTCAATCTTGGCTATGCCCTGATAGGCCCAGTGCGTGGTCGAGAAATACGACGGCACGTGCGGGTCTGCCGTTCCCAACAGATCGAGCAGCAGGAAGAGGTTGATGGAGTCGAGCGGTGTCCGGTACGTCGAGAGCGGCGGATGTACCTCGGATTCCCAGGTCTCGGCAAGTGCCCTGTAACCCGTCAGCCCAAGTCCCCTTTTCGAACTCCCTTATTGTCGTACCTAGCTCCATAGATGGAATCAGTGGCTGTCCAGCTCACCCAGGCCTCCTCCCCGTCCAGAAAGATGATCTGTACGCCCTTTTCCTCCTCCAGTCCCATCCCCGCATCTCCCGACGCCTCCATAGCCTCCCATTTCTGCGTCAGCGCCTCGTCTACACCGCGTGCAACCTGCATCAGCATGGCGCACGGCGCCGCGCTGTCCGTCGCGCCGATGAAGCCCTCGGGGCGGTAGAGGCTATCGTAGTGCGCAACGAGTGCCAGACGCCCGACGTCGCCAATCTGTGCCCACAGCGGGTCTCGCGTAAGAATCAAGTTCGTAAAATGTACGTCCGTGTCGCCCGTCGCCGGCGTCTTGGACGTCGAATTGTGCCACTCTACCCGCCATCCCGGCAGCTCCCTTACGAAGAAATCGACGAAGTGGTGCTGCACGGCCGCCGAGCCGGGTGTACCGGGGACGCGCGGGATCAGGATCGGCGCGAGCAGCGAGCCGGTCTTCGGGTCGAGGTCGGGGGCGCCGCTGGGGATGTTGCGTAGGGCTTTGTCGGAGAGCTCTGCGTAGGCGTGTGCGGGGTTCAAGAGGCCGAGGACGAGGACGAGCGCGAAGACAAGGTAGGACAGGGCATTGAACCTAGGACGCTTCCATCGTATGGAGTGAGTCATGACGCCGCCCATTGCGCTTTGCAATTGGGATGGCACCTGCACATGGCGATGTTTCTCTTCCACAACATGACGGACGCGTGCCTGCCCGTGGGCCGTCACTCGGAGGTTCGTCTGAGGGAAGGTCCGAGGTGACATCTGTCAAGTTTCAACTGCGCCTGCCAAGATCCGGGGTCTTCTAACCCCTGTCGATCTCAGATGCTAGTGGCCCCGAGAGTCTGGCACTCATCCCTATATCCGATATCGCCGACGAGAGTAAGGAGTAAACTCCGACAGTCCCCCCTATCGCTTCAGCAGACAACAGCAAAGGTGTAGAACACTCCAAACAGAGAAGCTCAATCGCAGCTCATCAATTAGCCACTGGTGGTTTGTGTTGTGAATAAGTCGTACGGGTCACCGCGCCGAGCCAACCTCGACGGAGGAGCTGCTGGGCAGTGGGCTACGGCCAGGACTAGACTCCGACTTTGACATATTCTTACCATGAGGAGAGCAGCCGTCCGTTCGCGTCAGTGCACACCTCGCGTACGTTCAGGTCCCACCGGAGGTTTTGATCGACTTTGACACCTGCTGCTGCTGCTGCTGCTGCTGCTGCCGCCGCTTCCTCCAGCCTCTAGGCCGCCGTGGCCTCCCCATCCCGCGATGAGCCAACACCGCGGCCGCAGACCTCGCCGACACCGCGAGCGCAGACACGATCACGGTCACCAACCCAAGTTCTGTGTCGTCGCCTTTGGCACCGGCGGCAGCAGCAATACCAGTGCGAGTGGGCCGGGCCCAGTTGACGAGGCCGGCGAAGCCTTTGCACACGGCGAACTCGTCGACCTCGGTTTCGGGACAGACGCGTGTGCGACCCCAACGATGGCTGCCGCAGCAGTGGCGAGGAGACAGCGGGTTCAGTCGTCAGCAGCGGCGGGACGCGGGGCTCGCATCGCCAACTTCGTCACCGCGTGGGGCCGGATGGTCGCCCGGGCTGCCCGGGAACTCAATCGCGGCCTTCCCACCCCCGCTGACGGCTTGCACGGTTACTCGTCGAGCAAGTGATCAAGCGAGCGTCGTAGGTTTATCTCGAAAACACCTTGGTATATACATCGGCATCAATGGTTCGCTTTGCAAGAACACCCCGACTTGCAAGGCGTGTCAAAAAGCGACCGCCGACGCAATACGTTATCCGCTTTTTCCCCTGTAAGAACAAAGGTCCGAGAACGTCCAGTAAGGCACAAATTGTGAAAAAGTCGCATCTGTTGGAAATGCGAATGTCCCGAAGCCACCGGCGCGTATATGCAGTCAACTACGAACTCACAACCGCCAAAACTCGAGACAGTTACTAGCTTTTCACCGACGCGCCGACAAAGATGACAGCCTGCATCATAGTCATCGCTAATTAGATCCTACCACGGATATTAGTTGACTGGACGCCGTCGGGCTGCCTCCACGAACATGAGCACAACCAAATACCGACGTACCTCGATTGCACCGGACAGATTTCTGCGAGGTTCGGCAGCATGGATCTTCTCATGCTTGATCGCAAAATGACATTCACTGGTCTCTGGATCGGTCACAACCACACCATTAACGACAAGCAGGTCTACTCCATCATGAATACACAGCATCATGACAGACGTTCCAGCCCTTCTCAGCCGTCAACTACTGCCTCAAAAAGGATGATGAGGACTTCAGTCAGTTGCCCGCTTCGGTGTAAAGGCGTCATCGTGATTCCTACGCTAGCCATGTCGCACAAAGGGGGAGACGTTAAGGCAGGCCGTCTGCGAGAGTGTTGTGTCTTCACCCGCGACTGTACATGTTGACATGTCCGTTGCCAGGAAACATCCAAGTATGACAACGGTAGGTCACCGACTGCTCTCTGTATACGGGATACCAGAGTATGAAAGGGGTGCGTCGCCGACCTAGATGACGCCAACAGCTACACATCTGACCCCTAACCCTGCTAGCTTCTGCATCTTGCATCCCCTACCTTGCGTCATCGGCGATCGCGTTTGACATTTCGCCGCATCCAATCAACGTCACCTGATAATGCCTTGGCAAAAATAGCATCCCAGAGGACTCAGGACCCTTCTCGAGGAGCCCCTGGTATAACATCATATTTGATCCTTTGCCAACAACCACCCCAACAGAGCCCCAATCGCCTTTAGGAATCCGGCGATCTCGGGCACTTCAAACAGGACATCCGACAGCATTGCGTAGCCGCGGAGGGCACACTAGCCGTGGCCAGTCAAGATGAACGTCGGGACTTCCGCAAGGTGATCGCTCCCCGGCATGCCGGGCCTCGTCTAATCGGTCCCTTCCCGGCGGGTTGCCCTCAATCAACCAGATTATATTTCAAGAAACGATGTCATTGTCGGCGCCGCTTACCACCGATCTGAATCAAGCGGTTCAGCTCTTATCTGCCATCATCCATGGCCGGAGCAGTAGTTTCCTATGCATTGCAATGGGAAGGGTCAAACCCGCGGGACGTGATCCCTGGTCTCAGCGAAGACATAACCTTTCGAGATTTATCAGTGGATGAGTCGCGGTCATCCGATGAAAACACCAGATCTCCAAAGGCCCTAAAAGATGTTCCTACGGTTGATCTTATTAGATCCAAGGTAGGTTGCAAACTGTCTATATCAAGTCTATGTTTCCCTGGTCTGTTCTAAATTTTCAGTTCTTCCATTCATCTTCTTGTTCAAGCCTCCTCCAATATGTTCCCACTCTCTCTGCCACTCACTGCTTTCTTCGCTGCTTCAGCACTCTCGTCTCCCTTAGGGAATGGGGGTCCAACATCCCGGGATCAAGCACAATCGCAGACATGCTCTTTCATACACGGCCCTTTCCTGGCACCTAACTTCCCCGATCCCTGTGAGTCTCCCCCTACATCCTCCCCCATGAACCAACCTTACTGACCTCATCTTCAGCTCTTTTGAAGGTGGGCAACACTTATTACTCCTTCGCCACACACCCAGGCAAAGACGTGCAAATGGCCAAGTCCACAGACTTCTCCTCCAAATGGGACCGAGTGTCAGAGCCCCAGATCCTTGAGATCGACCAAGCGCCATGGGCCGGAAAGGCCAAGTCCGGCTCCTACGAGATCTGGGCTCCCGACGTCGGGCAACAACAGCACGGCAGCAAGAAATACATCATGTATTTCGCCGCCCTCGACAAAGAAAATACGGAAAACCACTGCATCGGCGCCGCAACATCATCCTCCATCACCGGGCCCTACACACCCTCCACCACACCACTAGACTGCGACCGCAAACAAGCCGGCGTCATGGACCCAGCCTTTTTCCGCGACCCGGGTACCAAGAAGACGTATCTTGTGTACAAGACCGAAATTCCCGCAGAATACAACAGCCTTTCCATCCGCGAACTCTCCTCCGCGGATGACGGGAGCGAGGGTTTGGAGTGGCCGGACCGCTCGGCTGCCACGCAGTTGGTCAAGGTCAACAGCCCCGCTGGATTTTCGGATGGGAATAACATCGAAGACCCCTTCCTGTTCAAGCACAAGGATACGTACTTCCTTCTGTTCAGCACTCATTTTACCGGCGACGGCACCTACAACGTCGAGTACGCCCACTCCTCCACAGTAGATGGCGACTACACCCGAGTCAAGGACCCGCTATTCTCGACGGGCATGATGGGCTGCGACAACATTATTGGTCCCGGAGGGGCGAGTTTTGTGGTCGATGGAGATAGTGTGAGGGTTATTTTCCACTCGTTGACCGCGGAGAAGACCATAAGTAAGCGCGTGGCGTATACGGCGACTGTGAAGGTCGATGGGAATACGCTCAGTGTTGATACGAGTGGATGAGGGTGGGAAGGCGAGATCTTGTGCGGCTCCTTTGCTTGTCTATATAATCTTGGCTTTTGCGTACGAGCGTTTGTTGGCATGAAATATGTTTTCACAAGCGAATCGAATGGTGATGGGTCTGGCCAAGTGAAGTATATCTCGCTCTGTCGATGCCACGGCACTAGACAGCCCCACACGAGCAACCCCTATATATACCGGATCATGTCTTCTAGCTAGCTTCATAGTTTCTTTCCTTCTTCACGTACATAATCAACCGTCATTTTGAAGTCACCAGCAGTCGAACCGTGACAGTCGGCGTTGGCGAACGCAGGGAGGCAGAGAGTTTGGGCAAGCGTGTTCATACCGCTCATTACCAGAGACTGGCGGAGTGGGATCTGTTTCGCTGATGGCTGTCTAGAGGAAGAAATCGTGTTTACCTGGAGCTTTGACAGGGAGAAGAGGATGGCGCAAGGGGAAGCCAAGCACGACGTTAAAGAGATGCAGAGGATAGATGAGGTTCACGCACGAGGAGATGTTATGGGTCGTTTCTATCACCGTCATGTGACTCATGTCCATCGCAGCCTACACCGCCGGACCGGCCCCGATATAAACCCTATAACTCCTAAATGGCCCCCTCCTCCTATCAACATTCCGATACTGATTCGCCGGCCTCAACTCCAGCTGATTCGTACAGAAGTACAGATACCCATCCGGCATGATGGCCGCGCTATCAGCATGCTGAATCAACCCACTCCTCACAAGACTCTTGACCACATAATTCTCCGGGGGCGCCGGCCCACTCCCGCCCGGCGGAATGCCGTTGACTTCTTCCGTAACCTGCGACTGCTGCGTGTCGACGTAGTAAATCGCATTCTGCTCCGAGGCCAGCATGTACAGCCTCCCGTTGTCGTCGGCCGTGAAACCAGCCTGTTCGGATCCCAACTGCCCCGGATCAACGACGCCGTCTTCGACCTCGGCGTCCGAGAGCGAGAAATCGGCCAGCACAGACTGCGGGATGTAGTAGAACCGCCTGCTCGCCAGGGCGCCCCAGTACATGTTCCCGCTCGCCAGGGCTATGCCGTCGGCGCCGGTGGTGAGGTAGCCCTTCTTCGTGCCGTTCCACGCATACAGCGGCGCGCCGTCGAATGACCCTACATACTTAGGATCGGCTTTTACGGCTGTCGTGTTTCCGAGCCGTTTGACCCACGTGTTCGTTGCGAGGTCGCCCGCCAGCACGGAGCCGTACGGGGACTCGTCGGTGATGAATGCGAAGCCGGCGGTGCCGAGGGTGTTGTTTATGCGGACGTCGTTCGCGTTGGTGCCGTTCGCCAGGAGGTCCGCGGGGATGGGGTACGTCGCGATCAGCTGCCGCGTGGTGGTGTTGAAGGACATGATCTTGGCGCCCCCGGGCAAGGCGTCACCGGAGCCCATCTGCGAGGACGGGATGCCCGAGTCCACGATCCACATCTGGCCTATGGAGTCTAGGACGACGTTTTGGACGTTGAGGAAACATGTCGATACGTCCTGCCCGGCGGTGCAGTTCTGGATTGACGCGGAGGGCCAGGGCGATTCCGAGGTGAAGTTGTCGGCGATGACGACGTTGGACGGTGTTTGCCCGCTGTTGCGCGGGTAGGTGAGGTAGATGTTGTAGTCGTTGTCCAGGGCGAGGCCGGTTGGCGGTTGCACGCTCTCGTGGACGGCTTGGAGGGCTGGGCCGATGATGGTGAAGTCGGTGGGCGATGTGCCGAGGGGACCGGTGTTGTTGTCCGAGCATGTCGGTGCGCCTAAGAAGTCAGGGCACATGGCATATTGGGGTAGGCATCGTGCAGCTGCAGTCGTAGCAGTAGCAAGCAGGATGAAGAGCTTCATGATGAGTGCCCATGGAGACGAGGTAATGTCGTGAAGAGTGAAGAGTGAAGAGCAACATTTGAACCTAAGGTACGGACCAAGTTTCCAAAGTATCGACCTCGCTAATGTACCTCGGTATATAAGGTATCTGCGCGTAGGCGCGTCTTCCGGATGCTGTCATGGTTCCCCGCGAATGTCGATGGTTTCAATACATGTGATGACGACAGACTACAGTCGGGTATGCGCCGGCACTTGTATCTCCTCACTGCGCATCTTGTCCCGTGTGTAAGCGACGCCGTGCACGTGTTGACGATACCAATCACAAGTCACATTGCCGCTGTCAAGACGAGGACACTCGGCCTGGCCGTCATATCAAGTTCGGCATCCTTGGCTAAAAACCGATTGCCAAGCATGAGGCCGACCAGCTGATGGTTTCCGATGTAGCCATAAGCCGGACGTTGGACTGTGAGATTTACTGTTGGCTTCCACATGTGCGATGCGCTCTCATCATCAGCGACTTTCCTCGGCGGAGACGTTGAGCTCGTCTTTGACTCTTTGGCGGCACTGACACTATCATGTACGATCGCGCGGCCCTCGTATATTTCGTGGTACAGAACAGAGACTGGATCGCTGACGCGTAATCACCAGACTAGCCACCGCGATACAACTACTGGGCCGCGTCTCTGACCGGCCTGTGATTCAATATCATGACAGCAGCGGCACGGGCAGACAACAGGACCGAGGATGTCTGGTCAAGATCAAAATGGGGCCGGATGATCTAGGCGGTCACCTGGAAAGACTCGTGGCCAAGTGTCTTGAGGACTACCAACGGGAGCTGGACATGGACGTTATGGCTGAAACGGTCACAGCTCAATACCAGATACCACACTCTAGGCCAACCCCTAAAGCAAGTAGCTCGTTGTCGGGAGATTCCACCTCTTCGGCTTGGGACTATAGCGAGAACTTTGATTTCGATGCTTTCATGGCCCCTGGCCAGCACGACGACTTCCAGGGCCTAGACCAGGGCTCCTTCTGGGACACCAACCAGGAAGGTCTCTGGGACCCCAGCTACCTCGCTGACGAGATGAACTGCCTCGATGACATGCCTGTCATTGGACCGGAGTTCGACTTCAACCTCGACACTAGCCTACCGCTGCTGCCTGAATGGTCACTACGCGTTCGGCGTTGACCAGGACTCGCCACAGCCCGTACATACGGATTCCAATACCATCCTAACCGCGCTTCCCATGTGCTCGATAACCCTTCGTCTTTTATAGCCGAAAGGCTTGTCGATTATGGGGTGGCGGTGCCTTATACCCCTCCAAATGAGCTTGCCGTGAACGGTCCTCAACTCACTCCCTGCGGTTCTTCGTTGATAGGGTCATCGTGCCCTAACTATGAGCTGTCCATGGCTGGTTCACAGTTCCATCCATCATGAAATACGCACGAGCGCAACCTGCGAGGACTCGGGAGATCTCCTGTACAGCTTTACCCGGACGGATGTGTTTTTTGCTGGCAGTTGCGCAACTGGAGACTGTTTCAGCTTTCAAGATTTTCACGCGGGGTCAATATTACATCAGAGCGTCTCTTCAAACGAAGGGTATGGATATGCCCTGGGGATGTTGGGGCCGCGTGGTATAAAATGTAAGGAGGGAAAAACTCGGTTTCTTGAGATAGAGTACATTGACTGAAGTCACGCGCTGCCCAATCTGAATTCATGTGCCTGACCTCCCATACATATTCTAGCTGTTCAAGCCATGGATTGTTTTATCCTTAATTGAGGGGTGGTGTAAGCAGTTGCGAACAACGTGGAACTATATGCGAGGTGACTCCCTGGCTCCCTAGACCAGATTTCTCTCGCAATGGCTAACAGAGGTTCCAATGTGCCGTGTGGTCATGTCTCATCCATGGCTTTATAGCGTACCCTCGGCCCCAACGTCGATATGTGCGCTGGCACCAAGTCCGCTCCTCAGGATGAATATCGACCATATTCGCACTTATGAACCGGGAGCGAGCTACAAGCTCTTGGTGAAGGTAAATCGTCACAAGTCATCTGAAGAAAAAGCTCGCACCTCATGTTACTCAGATGTGACGGAAAGGGCCGAGTGTCAAAGGCTACTGTTGGCACTGATGCTCTGATTCGATTATAAACCGAGTAGCTTGGGACTGTCAGAAGGCGCCGCCCCTGACCGGGACAGTACAAGAGCCGGGCAATAATTTAGAACCAGCCAAGGCCTGTCGATGGGTAATATTGACACTGACAGCAACAACCCTCACAGGAACAGATATATAGGGGGGATCACGCCGACATACTGACATGATCAAGCAATGCGAGGTCAATACACAGGCATTGATTAAAGGGTCTCGAGCAATATCCATCGTCTCTGAAATTGTTCACCGTGCGAAACGTACAAGACAAGAGGCTCATCCCCAGCGGCACTCCTTCTTCCCACGTCTAGATTCCCAGGCCCTCTCGCGATGGGTGCCCCGCAATTGCGAATAACCTTTCCCGATTCTTCAAAAGGGTGTCATCGAACCGCGCGTCGAACATGTTCATGCAAGCCATGAAGTACGCGACGTCAGCGCCATCAAATTTCATGTCGTAGTAGCACTTCTTGTGGGAGTCCAAAACGGCGACCGCCTTGTTGATGAGCTTGATTCGCTCCTAGGCCCGGTCGTGGTCTTTGCCGTCGTTCATGATGAACTTGCCGGGTTTCTGGAGGTCTGACTGCTTGATTCATGCGGCCCCGAGGTCGTATTTATCAAATGGGTTTATACCGAGGATCTCATAGTGGGTGCCGGATATGAAGCTTGCGTGCTCGGCTTCTGTCCACAACTTCGGGGCGTCGTCCTTGGTGGGGATAGAGAGGTCGCCAGCTTGAATTCCAGGCAGGGCCAGGAGGGCGACGAAAGGGATCGCGCGGAGAAGAGCGAGTTGCACCATGATGGATGTCGTTTTCGTGTTGGGTCAGCAACTAAGAGGAGGTGAGTTAGTTACTGGAACGCGTTGGATCGGAGACGGTAAATCGTTGGGTTAGATGGGAGTCTAGATCCGGATCATGCAGGCCTCTACGCTCTATTAAATGTAGACGGCTTTGTTTACGTCCATTTGTGGCATTCCCTTCGCGGCCTGCGAACACGGTGCATTGTCTGGTCATACCAAGCCGGACAAAGAATCCGCAAAGAGCAGTTGGTGAACGTGGGGTTTGAATTTCTTTCCACGAGGCAGTGCTGTTGACTGACGAAGTATTTCAGCGAGCATTGTCTGCTCCATCAGAATGGAAATATACTGAAAGGTAAAGGCCCTAGCTTGACACCGGTCCAGGGGCCGAGGCCTAAGTGAGAAACATCTCAACGACGAGGAGCTTTACTCACTCCAACCGGATTAGGCTTAGCAAAAGCCCACACAATGACCGTTCCTTATTCGGGCGGACGAGTAGGCGAGAAGAGTAGCCCAGAGGGTCAAACATGGAAGAGCATTGAGTAACACTGAACCAAGACGACGACGACATCGGGACCTCAAGACACTCCAAAAAATTATTGTCATTCAATGACTGACCAGATGATAACTTATCCCAGCTACACCCTGTGTACTACCAATCCTCCCCGGTAGATACCCGCATCACCATCATCCCCTGGTGACCATCATCCCCTTATGCCCCTTATGCCCCTTATGCCCCTTATGCCCCTTATGCCCCTTATGACCCCCGTGCCCCCGGTGCTCCCCGTGCCCCCGGTGCTCCCTGTGCTCCCGGTGCTCTCTGCGCTGCCGTTAGTCCCTGCGGTCCCGGTGATACTGTGTGGCCTCCGGTCCCACGAACCACTCAACAATATTGTCCGGTCTCCTCGGCATTTTCGTATGTTGGCTCCCTGGGCTTTTTGTTAGGATATTTAGTAGGCTCGCTCGCAACGTTTTATGGATGTTATAGTGTGGTGTAGTGTGGTAAACTGTGTTTGGTATATTTGGTTCTTAAGGCCAATGGTGTAGAGAGCAACAGCAAGAAGACCAGCTTGTGGGGGCCATTATATAGTCAATTCAGGAGTCAGGGCGACGCCAGCTAGGTCATATGAGATATCACAGAATGTAAAGATGCGTCGACAGCATGATTCTATTATACGACCGTAAAAGGTACGAAGCGTGAATCAAGTGGTGTTCCCTCCCAACGAATGACATGGGTTCATCACCTGACCATACCCCAGTTCTCCATCACGATAGGGGTACCGTGCTTCCAACCCTGACCACCAGTGACTATTCCCGCTAAGTCTTCTTGGGCTCGTCGACTTTGGCGCCGCTCGACTTAGCCGCAGTCTGCTTCAGCTTCATGTTCTCTGCTTTCGGGGCCTTCATCTTCTTCTTCAACGCATGTCGCTTCTCTTTGTCGGACTGCCGTTTCTGATCTCGTCGTCGCTTCTCCGCAAAAAAATCCGGTGCTTGCGGGTCCCACCTCCCAAAAAAATTAAAGAAAGAATCAACCGTATTCGAGGACATTTTCGTATGCTGGCTCTTGCGGGTTATGCCAATGGTCTATCGTGATGTGCGCTGAGTTTCTGTTGAGCTTCCGAGAGGCTATGTCGATGATATACTGTGATGTGTGCCGAGTTTCTGCTGAGCTTCCGAGAGGCTATGTCGATGGTATGCCGCGATGTGTGCTGTATGCCGTGTGCTGTGTTTCTGTTGATTTTCTGAGAGCTGTGTCGATGGTTTATCGTGATGTGGTGTTGTGTTTGCGTGGAGTGCGTGACGGTGATACTGTGCTTGAGAGATTTGTCGAAAGCCGATGCTGTGGAAAGCAACAGCAAGAAGACCAGCTTGTGAGGGCCATGATATAGACAATATTGGAGGCCGGGGCGATACCAGTTGGGTCATATGCGATGTCATTGAATGAAAAGATGTGGCATGACTGCTCGAACCTACCATACCAACGTAGGGGATATGACGTTTTGATGCATGCGGGAGTCTTAGTGAATGATCCGGGTTCATCACCGATAATCAGTTCGCATTTGCTTCCTGAGGGCGACGTTCACATGAGAATCTGACTCCTCAACGCTGACTTCGAAATTCATGAGTCCGGAATGGTCTGGTACATCAGCCGGGATCGCATGTATCGTTCGCTGTCAATACGAGGCACAGCGAATGTAGCCCAGAAACTTGGGTCTTCAACAGGTGAGCGTGTGATCGTCTGCGATGTTGATAGAAGCTCAATCATGAATGGAACATTCGCAACCATCGTCATCTGCTACTATTGAGGCCAGAGCTTGGAGACTTCTACCACCAGGCAGAGGGAAGGGTTGACACTCGAGTAGCTGCCAGGCAGGTACACTGACCCGCCATAAGTCTCCGAGCATCCCCGCATTTACACCAAAATGCCCTATTTTTACGCTTTTATAACTAAAGACTCAAAGCTTTTTAAAATGAGATATTATAAGAAACTAATATTTGAAAATACTGAAGTTTTCGTAACTAATTTCTAAATATTTATTTTCTTAGCGACTAAAATATTAAGAAATAGATATATAAAAGTAAAATTTAAAATCTTAAATCTTAAATCTTAATAAAGCTATTAAAAATGTTTAAAAAATCGTATAAGTCGTAATAAAGTTATATAATATTAAATGACATGTAATAGACGTATAAGACGAAAACCTTATGTGATAGATTTTTTAAAAAATAGATATGTTAGAAAGTTATTTTTATCGAAAATTTTACCTTTAATAAAGTAACATTTACGACCTTTATTTTTATGATGTCAAAGTTTTTAAATAAACCATTTTAATATTCCAGTAAATTTAACTATATGTACTATAAGTACTTAAGTTGTATCTATTTTGCTCGATTTATCACGATCGCGTAAAGTTGGGGTGTTTTGGTGTAAAACAGGGATGCTCGGAGACTTATGGCCGGGGAGTGTAGCATGGTGGGCGTTTGGGTGTACGTACCTCTGGCAGACTCGCGCAAAGGTGAATGCCCCGGTGGACGCAAGCATTCCATACTCAACGCTACGTAGCTCAGGTGCAGAGTCAGACTAGCCATTGGAAGTGGTGAAGACAAGACCACCCTCTTCCCCAATAGTAGGTCCGAGGCTGCTCTGGATCGAGAACATCCACGAATTGTGGCTCAGCAACGAAATAGTTGCGGAGGCCCTCGGCCAGCTGCGCTCTAGACATCCTAGACTTGGGATCGAGGATTGTTGGTTTGACGGTGCTCATGACCCAGAACCAGTCATCGAAAGGGAGCCAGTAAGGTCGAGGCTACGGTCTGTTGGCTTCTCAGCATCGGAGGTCCCTTGTAGCACGGTCGGGGCGATCGGACAGACCCAAGAATGTCATCGATAGTAGGGTGTGGGTGATGGATGACATCTACCGAACCAGTGAATGAGAGTCTGAGATCAGTGTCAAGGGTATGTCGAGGGGATGTCGAGGGGATGTCGAGGGGATGTCAAGGAGTTGGAAGACGTTGGAGATGAAGCGGATGGAGGGCTGCTAGCCCCCTTCCACCATGAGCTCTCCACCTCGGACTGAACGAGGGAAGCTTTCGGAGGTGCAGTTGACGGGATGTTGACATGCTCCCAGCCTGCGCTGGCTTTGGAGGCACTCTGCATCTACTCAGCTTGTTGCGGCTTCTGTACTCCAGTCGGGGACCCAGCTGGGTGCGTCGAACAGCGGGGAGCTGCTCACGTCGGTCAAGAGATCGAGCAGCGCCACTCACCATCGCAGCAGATCTGTGGCCAGTCCTCGGGATACTTGGCCAGTCGGTGTCGCGTGGACGGGTTCCTGTCTGGTCAATTTCGATGCTGTCCAGGACTCTGTACAAAGCGAATGACCTGTCTCTCCAGTGGCCTTGATCACTCCCTCCAAGGAGATATCGACCGACCGTAGAGACTATCCCCAGAGTCACCAGAGAACTCCACGGAAGTTGATACTGCGCGGCTCCCCATCAACTCCTGCTCCAGATACACGACAGAAAAAAACTTGCCGGGGATCGAGAAGTGGCTCGCCAAGGTCTCCAGCGAACTGACAACGATGGTGAGGAGGGCGTTCTCATGAACATAGATGGCGGAGTCAAGCCGGTAGCGGCGGGAATGAAATTAGTAATGAGCACGAGGAGGAAGCACCTCGTAGACACGGGCACAGAGTATCCGATGAAAGACGCCGCCAAAAGGATGTACATCAAATCCGGCCTGGATGGGACGATTCTGTCTCTGGCTTTCCCTTGGCTCGCACAGTCTTGACTTCACGCCAGGGCTGCTACGTGGTCGCGGTTGCGGTTGCGGTGTTCTAGCCTCTCGATACTCAACTGCGACTATGGCAGTGGGCGATGGCGACTTTCTTCGAGATAGCTGGGTCGCACGCCAAGCTATACGCAATTATGGACCGCCCGGCCCTGCGCCACTGTGAACAAATCGAGCCGAACACGATAACGACTTCGGTAGCGAGCATCAGCTCTCAAACATCCAGACTCTCTGGAACCTCGCACCTGAACAGATCCTCCAGCTCATCGGAGCAGAAGATTCGATCGACGCGTAAGAATCCTTGCCTATACGAGCTGATAGCGGTGACCTTTACAGCCACCAGCACTCCTTCGAGGACAGGTGACGAGGAGCCATCTTGCTGTCGTAGAGCTGGAGGCGCATCCCGGCAGTCAATCGTGATCTTGGGGCTAGCCTGGGGTTCGTGACCACCGGGTTACTGGGATAGAAAGCATCACTTGGAGATGTATGGAACGCCAGACATAGGATACTGCCGCCAACTCGTGAACAGTCCAACAAGTCGAACTACCCTCACCGGGCGCATAGAGGGCGGCCCGTGTCGAATTCTTGGACGGAAGAGCAGGGAGACCCGGGAGCTTGACACTTCCCTGCAGCCAGCACCGGGAGGCTTACGCAGCTAGACAGGAATCGCTCTGCCCTGTTTCCAACGGACATATCAGTCACCTCAACATATTACCTACTGCATGCGGTGTCCCAAGTGCAACCAGTCCAGTCGCCAAGTGACGCCGGCCACATCAGAGCTCCCACGGGAAGTTTGAAACCAAGTCCGCTGAGACCGTCGTCCCTGGAAAGCAAGACACTCTGCGTTGTCGTAAAGCTGGTGACTATGTCGGTATACTGTGGCTTGATGCGAAAGAACGAGTCCACGGATTTGGGAGACGGCTCTGTCCCTTTTCAATGGGAGAGACTTGGAGTTGTTGGTCACAGTGACCGTCGACCTTGGCATGTCGTTGCGAAACCCCGTTCATGTACCTAGATGGATAAGCGCATATCTCTTCAGCACGTGGTCAGTGCGTTCTCGACCATGCTCATCATTTAAGTGGGTCTCACCTCGAGGTTCGGGTAGGTCCGCCTTCAAATCAGAGGCGCAATCATCAATTCCATTTCTTCGACATCTTGCGCCCTCAATCACCCATCGTCGAGATCTCTTCATGGATCTTGGTCTATTCTCGCGCATCTCTCCAGCTTACCACGAAGATTCCAATCGATCGAAATACTGGGCTCCACCGCTTCGAGCCGCTCTCGCGCATACGGTGCCGTCCAAAGTCCCTCACACCCACTATAAAAGTCCGAAACATCGAACCGCATTCCCGGTCCTCCACAACCGCATCTGTCTCACCCGCGCATGGATTTATGGCTTCAGCTGCAGAGCCCCAGCTTCTGCGCAGCAGCGACATCAAGAGCGGCGGAGGAGGAGGCCTGAACGGCGGCGCGTACAGCAGGGAACCGCCAACAATGCCGACACCACAGCCGCCGCCCTCGCCACCCGCGACCGAGACAGACATCGAAACCGACTCGGAAGCCCCGAATGCGCCGCCTGTGCAGCGCGGCCCCGAGGCCAACGACGGCCTGAGACTGCGGATCGACGACATGCGCGACGCAAATACCGCACACGAGCGCACGAGCGACTCGCCAGTGACGTCGCCGGTGACATCCCCGCCGTACTGGACGCACAACCCCCCGAGCCACGCGCGAACAGTCTCCAGCACGTCGGCCGACTCGATACCGAGGGGCGGCATCACGCTCATGGACAACGAGACGAGCAGCATTGACGAGCGGGGCAACGCGTGCTGGGCGCGGAGCGTCCAGGTCACGGACTACGTGATCGTCAATGGGAGTACGACGAATATCGGGGCTTTCGTGGTGTGGAACATAAGGGTCGAAACGCTGACTGTGAGTACCGCCCTGATGTCATCTGCTGGAGGAACGTCGCGGGGATCCAGGCTAATGGGAGGTGTGTTCAAGGGGAGCTTCATGAACATTCGCAAGCGGTACTCGGAATTCGACGACTTTCGGTGGCGGCTAATGCGCACGTTTCCCGGCTTCGAGGCTGCCGTGCCGGGACTGCCGCCGAAGAGCCTGATATCGAAGTTTAGACCGCGGTTCCTGGAGAAGCGGAGGAGTGGCATCCAATACTTTCTCAAGTAGGTATCCTTCCTACGAAGGATTACGACTGTCTTGGAGGATCTGGCTGACGCTCTGCAGCTGTATACTTTTGAACCCTGAGTTCTCAGGCTCGCCTGTGCTGAAGGAGTTCCTATTCTCATGAACTTTGAGTACTGGCCGGCCCATTTGGGGCCTTGTTGGATATACCCCTATGCCGAGCAGAGAGGCGCGATATGACCTCGACGTACTATTACGAATATAATGCTAATCATGTATGATCACAATCGCTTGAAGATAATGCGCAGTGCCAAAGAGCATTGCAGTCACGCTGGGGAAACTGAGGATTCGTTGGAAGCGACCTGACCGGATAGCTTTGTTTTCAGGAGACCTCCTCGATGGTGGGATCTGTACAGACTACGATATTGCGTTCACATGCCGGACGAGATTGGTCCAGTCTCTTCTTTTCGCTGTCTATATAGCAACATAACGTCAAACAAATACACAAACAAACGGAAAATGAAGCTTGGGTCGTCCAGCCGCGGATATGAAGAACAGGAGAACACGCTCGTCATGGAACGCCGTCATAATGCATCCGCCAGCCCTGATAATATGCCCCAGAGACCTTGAGATCCGAAAATACCGTAGGTCCTCGACCCATGGCAACGCCAGTGCAACGCTCTCATCTCCTCTCCTCTTTTCCGACCATGCCACGCCACGCCCGAGCATGCATCCATCCATCCACCGAACCCCTTCCTCCTCCGGCGAGTCTCACCATCAAGCAAACCCCCTCCCTTACTTCTGGCTATTCACCATGCTCAAGTAGCAGTTCCAGCCAATACTGACAAGATTAACCACGAGCACGCGGTGGTCGAGCGGGACGAACTTGAAGTTGACCATCTGCACGAAAGGCCAGACCAGATAATTGGTCTGCAGGGCGGGCGCGTAGCTTTTTCGTAGCTTGTCTTTCGGAGACGAGCCCTCCATGACCGCCATGGAAGACAGGAAGACGCCGATGAAGACGGGCGCGAAGAGGAGCTGGTCGGCCGCTACGCGCGCCATCATTTCGGCGTTCTTGTTGCGCAGCACGATGCGCTTCTGTAGGATGCCGTACCACTTTGTTGCGGCGGGGCCGAAGACGGCTGCGTGGGTGGGCGTGTCAGTCAGTGATTCCTCGCTCGAGGGTGAGGTTGAGAATGACAGTGTGTATATGAAGAGAGTGAGAGACTGGAGTGAGGGTGAATGAAGGTACTCACCACCACCGTACAGGAACATGCGTCCCGTGCGCGAAAACTCGTGCTTGTCAAGGCCCTTCTTCTCGACGATCTGCTGCGCTGTCACGTCGCCCACGCCAAACAGCACCGCTGTCGTGACGGCCTGCGTCAGCAGCGGCCGCGATGCGAGCTTGCGCGAGTACCTGCATTAGAACGCCGTCAGCCTTCCACTTCACAACGTATGCAGTCTTGGGAATTCTCGGTCTCGCATGCATTCTTCCGCTGCCAGCAGCCATTTGGGGCAGCGACGGTGAGACCGGGTGAGGTCATTCTTCAGGTTACTTACCAGCGGAGCATGATGGCGGGCGGTGCGGTCTCGAGTCGGAGGTCTGGATTGACTTTAGGTAGGCGCGCAATTGACTTTGGAGGAGGGAAGATGTCTTCGTCAATTGCTGGACCCCTAAAATTTCGGACTGTAGATAGAGTTGAAGCTGGTGCAGGAACCGGGAGGACTGTCAAGTAGGTACTCTTCGAGTTTTGAAACTTTTGAGCCTCCATGCGCTGTGATCTCATAAAGTGGGGAAGTGGGAACGGCCCAGGAATTGGGATTTTTAGGGGATCATCAGGGGGCCAGGGGGGACGATTCCCGGCTGGCTATTGTCTCGCGGCGGTGTAACGAGTCAGACGGCAGATAATGGTAGGTTACTCACTCACTCACTGACTCGTGATAGTATAATGTAATATTAGGGGAAGGCTACCAGCTCATTGTGTCACTCACTCTCCCGTGTTATCGTGACTGACTGACTCGAACATCGAAAGCTCGTCTTGATGGTGATCTCGCCCGGAAGCTATGATCGCTCTCCGCTCAGAGCGTTGTTTGCTACCCCGGTGTCAGTTGCATTTCCCGTGGGGCAAGGAGCACTTGAACGTGGGGGTGCTCATTTCATTCCCCAGCCCCTGACCGACACCGGGGCTGGCCGGTCTGGGCGTGCTGGGGAGATTTATTATTAGACGTGACATCCAACGGACTCCTTTGAATGGACGGATGTCTCCCCTCTCCACCCTCGTGAACCTCACAGCAAACACAATATGTCTCGGTGTCACTCGTCGCAGCGTGGCCTGTGGTCAGTAAAAACCGAAAGTCTGTTTTCGAAAATCGAGTCTTTTCCCAGCCCCCAACAGAAGCAAGGAATAAACCGTGAACCAATAACTCCATATTACCAAGGCCCCCTATCTACACTCGTCGCCTCCTTCCACACGAGAGAAGGCCCATATGATGGTGCCCATGCCAGATGTGGTCCTTTCCTACTGTGAAGGTGAATCTGGAGCGCGGTGCTGTAGGCAGCGACAATGTCGGAGCCGGGAATTGTTCTGCAGGTCAAACGCCGTTGTGGTGGTTAACAGCCAGATTCGACAGAACCATAAGAGTGAAGTCGGGAGTGACCGAGCTGGTCGAGCCGAAAGCCCGGGAAGAATCGCTATATCCGGTGAAGAGGGCTTCAGACACGACTTCATCCTCCTCTTCACTGGCTTCATCTTCATCCTCATGGTCCAACTGATGAGCGGGTACTGTCTGGTCAACATAAATCCCTCTGATCCAATCCTTCAGCTCAGCGATCGGTAGCCAGTCGGGGCCAGGTATTCCCCAAGCACTGTCTTCGCCATGGCTTGTAGACATTTTATTCTCTTTGAATGCTCTAGAAGGCTTCTCCCTGAAGTGTACACGCCGAAGTTGAGCGGCAGCGTTGTAGCGTGCACCGTAGATCTTGCTTTCTCTACAGGCCTTACACTTCTCCAGAGGGTTCACGATCCTGATACCCCTTTAACCTCTTGGAGACCCAGACCCATTTCCCTACCCAAGGTCGGTGCTTCGCGTCCTTGTGTCGGAGAGGTTCGTGTTCGCCCTGGAATCCCAGCGTGTGCTCTTCGCACCCGTCGCTGGGCATTTCGGGCTGAGGCTGTGCGAGGATGCTGCCGGTAGGCTCTGAACTGCCGTAACCAGAGTCTGTGGAACTATTGGAAATCTTGAAGACGCTCGGAACCCGTGGGGGAGCGCCCAAATATCTTGTTTAGGTTCGCGATTTTCCGAGCAGGTCCCAGTTACCGTCATCTGGTAGTAGGCCAGGATAATCAAAAGTCCTCGGTCCTGCTACAGGAGCCATAGTACCAGCATCGATAACGTTGGTCTCTAGCGGGAGGCAGACCCTATCGGCGAGGAGATGTGTCTCGATGTCAAGGGGTGTAGGGGCCAGAGGCATAACATATGTTTCGCCAAACATGTCGATAGACACTACGTGACCATACACGTTCCTTGTAAGTTCGTGTATAACCCATGATCCAGAGTCTCCGGCTTGGAGGCCTAGTCGACTGTTAGATTCCGAAATGTCGCTGAAAAGGTGCGGAGCATACTCACAAAAGCCCTCATCTGCAATGAAGTCATAGGTATCCACGAACTCTTCGCTTGGTGCAACCAGGAGGCATGAACTGCTTGAAGCCACTGTCCCTCGCTGGAAGCCGCGGGCAGTCATAACGGCGACATTCATTCTCAGGTTCGTGGGGTTTTCAGTTGCCCGTCGCAAGAGGACTGCTGAACACTGCAGGGCAAGGGTGACAACGTGGGATTTGAATTTGACGAGTGCCCAGTCATGGTTTATCGAGGACGAGACTGACTGGAACGAATGCTCTGTGATGGTGCCTATTTCCGGTGCTGCCGCAGAAATGGTAGCCTGGGTCTGAGCGACAACGCCGTCTTCGTCGGTGTTGGCAATCTCGTCATACTCATCGTCGTCGGAAGAATCGGAGAACGCATCGATATTATCTTCGATTGCACTCGCTGACTGCGAGATGAGACGGCTCACGGCATGTCCTGCAGTCAGACCATACGTAGAAGTGTGGCCAGCCCTTGTGACAGCAATCAGGCCGCCCAGTGTGGCCATGCTCGAGCCCTGATCACTTTCAATCTTTATTCTCATGCCACATAATGTGCGCTGCGTAGTATGATCGCCATACACCTTCAACTCGGACGTTGCCAGTTGCCGAAGTCCTGGAGCCACGTGGATTTGAAAGTCTCCGAGTGCCTCTTGTACATGACTCTGATCGAAGAACTTCTTTACTTTCTTCACAATGCGCTTGTCGCACTGTACGACGATGTACGGAGTTCTATCAGGATCAGTACACTTAGGCTTCAGCGAGATATCTTGCTTGGAAGAGACGGCATTAAGTAGGGCCTTGCCGAATAACAACCGTACGTCACAGAACCGATCTTGTACATCTTTTGGGACTGGATCTGTTGAAAATTTGACCTTCGGTATGCCGACTTTGGTGGTGCCTGAGTCTGTTGAAAATGACCCGTATCCCGAGTCTTGTTCGCTCTGGATTGTCTTGCGAGCGTCTTCGATTGCTTGGAGCACAGTAGGAGATGTAGCATCGACCGTCTTCTCACCCCGGTGGAAGGCTTTGGGAAACCTTCGGAGCTTTGGGGATTTGAACTCGAAGCCAAAAAGAGAAGGCTTTGCCGGAGTCCTGTTGTCATCTCCCACTTTTGTCACCGTATGGGACGGCATGGCTCATGTTGTTGATTACAACTTGCAGATTCTGGGACTGTGAAGTAGATCGGAGATTTTTGAGTCGGGGTAGGTGTGATGTATGCAAGTGGCAAACAGTCGAGCGGTGAGTAGCAGACTGAAAACTACCGGTACTGTGCGTGTTTCTGCCTGCCTGAACGCCTCAGCTGTATAGGACTGCTCAGCCACCCTGCGATATCACCCTGTATTGTCCGCCAAGACACACACCTTCACAACGAGATCAGGCTATGGGAGGCCGTCGTGCCCAGGGATCGCATGTCTTCTCCGAAATGTATTGTCACCCAGCTTCGAATTGTGACAAAACACCTTCCTCTTGGCGGCTAGGAGAACCAGGAGCTCGCATGAGAGCACTTTAACGCCATGGCGGGCCTACCAATCCACGACTTTGCGGACGACGTCTCACTGCTTCTTGGTGAGGTACTATGGTCCTGGGAATATTGTGATGGTTGTAAATCGAAGCAACTATGCAACATGGTCTCATGTCCACCACGAAAGATAAGCCGGGCAAAGCGATACTTCCGTTACTATGAAGCTCTCGTTCTCGACTACCACGAAGGGATGCCACACGATGTCCATGTTCTTAGTACTCATGGGGACATCTTCGCGGCCATCTCGCGCCTCAGGGCGGATCCAGACACGACTCGTGCAGGACTCGCCGGTCTCATCGCTTCCAGAATACCATCACCGGCTAGACCTGGTGACTTGGCGAACGCCATAACACTGATCGTGAAGATAGTGACAATGACCGACTGCTCAACCCTGTACGAGTCCCCAGACAGACTGGAGAAAGGCACCTCCAAGCCCTGCTGGGGGGACGACGTGCCGTTCAGGGAATATCTGCAGGACCTTTTCAAGACACAGGACCACCCGATATGGTCAAGCAGACACGGCGGCAACGAGCTCGTTCTCTCGAGGATATCCGAATTGAAGGCGACGAAGCTCAAGAAACATTTGAAGCTGGGCCTTCGGCCGACGCATGACATTAGGAACCACCTTCGTCTGGACCTCCGCCGCAACGAGCTGGAGGTATTCCATTACGCATCCTTCATCAAACAACAGCTGCGAGCAACAAGAGGTGCTCACATGCCCTTGTCTACCATGGGCTTCGTACCAGTGTGAGCATTGCAAGCTTGACATACCTCGATACCAATGAGCTAATTGCTAACTTCCGTAGAGATGTACTACCACGGCAGCTGCTCCTCGAAACTCTGGACTCGATGCAACGGATCCTATTTCCCCTACACGACGCGAAGTCCAAGTTGCTCTTGAGTTCTCTCGTCGATAGCCCCGACTACGCGTTCGATCCCGAGACTCTAAAACTCGAGTTCGGCTCGATATGCACCCCGGAGGAGGAGAATGTCTCGTATGTTTACCTTGCGGACCGCCTTGAAGAGCTGTACCAGGAAACGAAGACTCCTCGACCGCGGACGTGGTTGGATAAGCAGCTGCAGCGACGGAGTGGTGCTAGGTACAGTGAGTACTCCCAGAAATGTTCAGTGCCCGGTCATACCTCGTGCTTCATGTAATGGCGCGATCGAGGTGGCTTATACATGACTGGAACAACCGAACTGACCGAGCAATCGACAGTGATGCTAGCCACCCTCATCGGGGTGGTATTCGCTGTCTTCCTAGGTATTCTGTCGTTGGCTGTAAGCTCGTTCCAGACGTGGATTGCTTATCAGGCATGGAAGCATCCAGTCTCCGTTGTTGCGTAGCTGCAGTACCTATTCATATTTCTTCAGAAGAGTGTTGAATGGAAGTGGGCTGTTGGGCCTCGTGAACGACAGAAATATAGGGGCAAGGTACACAGGAGTAGACAGCACGCCGACCAATAGGCCACGAAGCATGTAGGCTTGGGTACGAACGCATCTCTTTCCCATTAAGCTCTTCAGAGCAGTAGTGTCTCTGTTGACGCCGCGCGCACCAGAGCCACTGAGAATGGGCCCGAGGCTCGATCGCATCGATTCCGCGTCACGAAGGATGCTCTTGGTTGTTCGCGGGAACGGGAAGAGCGACGGCAAGATCAGGCTCATCGACCAAAGCCAATCGCTGGAACGTAGCTCACCACTCACGCGAGTAAGCACCTCGTGAGGAATGTCCAACACCTCTCTTTTCCTCCTGTAGGTCAACCATGGCCTCATTTTCTGCTGCAACATTGCCCACTCTTACTTTTTGATCCTAGTGTGACGGCGAGACCGATATCTGTAGTGGATCATCGATCACTTCCTCTATCCCTTAGACAGCCTTGGCGTAGAGGCCCGCAGGGCGTGTTCCCGAGGAGAGGACTAGATATATCACGGGAGGAAGTGGCACAGTGACTGCTAGAGTAATGTGGAGGACTCAGAAGTAGGACCAAAGTAGAACCAACGATGAGTCGATGACAACTTCGCACACTGGACGGGCCCACGTGTACGGAGGTCGGGAGGCACCAAGACCAGCGAGACACGAAAAGAAGGATGTAATTAGTTGACACCAATGGTAAAGTACATAACGAACATTGTTCATGATGTCCGGGTGTACTCACTCGCCTCCACCCAAGCCCCTTTTCCAGCCGTACCCGGGCACCTCATTCAATCTGTCTCAACTTTCCATCATCGGACCACTTCCCACCACAGAACCAGACGATTCACCGCAGGACTCCATCACCTTACAAGGCAGCGGCGAGAAGCGCCGCACCGCCAACGAGAACACCTCTCCACTCCGAGACCATGGTCGGGCCAGCAGCCGCGCCTGAGCTGGGGCTCGCAGTCTTGCTCGCGGTACCAGAAGTGGCAGTCGTGGTCGTCGTGACTGACGAATCGCTGGCGGTGGAAGTCGTCGTAGCAGACGTATCAGTAGCGGTAGTGGTCGTAGCCGACGAATCAGTGGCGGTGGTCGTCGAGACCGAGGAGTCGGTAGCCGTGGTGGTGGTAGCGGACGAGGCTGTGGTAGTGGTAGTAAATACCACGCCGATCGACTGCAGCGCCGCGCTCTGGACGCTCCCGAGTGAGGACTCTGTGAAGGAGAGTCCGGACTGTAGGCTATTTTGTATGGCCTGGAGTGCGGTGCCCGAGGCGGTGGCCGGCGCCGCCGTTAGTTGCGAAGCCTCCGCCGACCTCGCGCTGCTCAGCTGCGACTGGTAGGCCGCAACGATAGAGGCGGACGCGGCCGCATCGACTGTGGTCGTGGTAGTGCTCTGGGCCTAGGTTCCAACCTCATTAGTCCGTTGAGTCATTCAAGATGGTGTTTCGGCCCGCCCTGGAGGACAGGACAGGACAGGACAGGACAGGTTGGGGCGGCATGCATGAAATACAGGAAACCTACAGCAATCAGCGAAGCCGCGGAGACGAGAATGAAGAGTTTCGACAGCATAATGAAGGCTACTGATGCTTGGCTCTCAGGGCGAAGGTCGTATCAACTCGTTCAAGATGGCGTGTCTAAGAGGCCGTACTAGGGGGGGATCGTAATGCAAGAAAGGGAGGCAGGCTGAAAAGGACTTCCAAGTCAGCTGCCACCCATGGGGACGGGAAGACCCTTTATTGAGCATAGTCGCAGGTGTTTGCCATCACTTCGGGTTTGCTCAAGGTCGGCGATCCGTTCACGACGCATGACAAGCACTCGTATCCCAATCCCGATGCCACGCCACGGATACGAAGTCGTACATTGCGGGGGGACCAATCAGGCCGCGAAGACCATGTCAAGTTCCCGACGCTGCCACACGTGCGTGCCGCGTAAGCGCCTTTCTTTCGGTCAATGGAAAGCAAACATGTTCTCAGACGTACCGGTAAGTTAAGGGCGAACTTGGGAATCGCCGTCGTAACCGTGGCAGGCTACAGTGAAACTCGACGTGACGATATAGCCAATACGCTCGTTGCTTCTTGTTTCATGTTGATGGGCGGGCTGATGTCGTGCCTTGCCACCTTGCAGTCAGCACGTAGGTAATGACCACGATGGCTGAGAGCAGTCTCATCGGCTGCAGTAGCGTAGTGATGGTTCCGAGCTCTCCTCCTGGCCGGTATGGACAGCGGCTCTGCTTCAGCACAAGCCAGGTACCGACAGGAGTGATCTCGAACTGCAGTCATGCAAATCGTTCCCAGTCGCCTCTCGGGCGGTGCTCCCTCGTAGCCTGCATGAAGTAACCCTGCTATCCCGTCAACAGCTGCATGCGCTGCCACCGCGGTCCCACAACCTTCTCCGTCGCATAGGACAGTTACGGCCTTGACGCCGGCTACAGTCGCGTTTGCTCGGGCAGCGGCCGGGGTTCGGACCCAGCTGGCCAGTTACACCATCCGCTGCGCCGCCGGCATGTCCCGTGAATGAGGCTCTCGAGAAGTTCCATTGCCAGGCCAGTAGGGGGAACGTGACACATCCCTCACGGCGAAGCGCGGACGCTCAAGGGATGCCGGATGCGGGGTGAAGATTCCAGCCCCGAGGAAATAAAGGCGACCACCAACGAGTTACGAGGAAGCTCAAGATCGACCGTCGACCAGGCAAGGCGCAATCAGTTGAGGCTCCTTCTTTGGAACGCACAAGCATGAGCGCCGGAAACTCATCGCCAACTCATCCTCCCTACCGGGCGAGGATAACGACGAGAGCGACGAGAGTGACGAGGCGCTGATGCCTCGTCTTCGACAATTAAAATTTCCACATGGACGCGCATTTCGAACTGGGAATACACAGCGCAGCCGCAGCTATCCCAATGCTTAGTCCAAGCCGTGGCTCCCGGACATCGCCAACCTCGGCGGCGCCTCTAGTGAGAGACATTGACCTCAGCACTCCACCACAATGCCAGCGCGATCTAAAGATTGGGACCCCTTCGACCCTGGGATATTTCCGACGTATCGTGAGCCGTTATGGCTTGCGAGTATTTGCCTGCGATAGATGTGACGTCAGTCAGAAGGATTGCTCTGTAGATCCTACCGACGACCCTAGGTCTAGATCCAAGCAACTCCTTCACCCACCGACAACTATAAATAAATCTCGCCACCATGCTACTCCTCCGTGGCCCGTAGGAAATCCTGGGTAAATCGCTTTGCTGCTACCTGTATTGACAACTCTCTCTTTCTTGGCACCTTTGCTCATCAATCATGGGCTTCTCCAAGATCAGCTTCTCGCTTCTCGCAGCAGCAGTAAGTCTCTGAACCATCGCCGTGATTGAGGTTCCGTGTGAGCTAACAAACATTTAGGCCAGTACGGTTGTTGCTGTCGACCCATGCATATCAACAACCTCCTGGAATGACTCTCGACTTGATCTGTTCCCACTTGCGTCAGATGGTTCCATCGCGCACAAGTTCTGGACATGGCTGGACTGGGAACCCGTGGACAAGTTCGAGCCTTTCCCATCGCAAGCACGCAGCTGCCCCTCCGTCTCGACCTGGGGAGAAGGTCGTCTCGATGTTGTCTACATCAACAGCTCCAGGGTCAACAGTTCCGGGGGTAATGTACTGCACAAGTACTTCAGTGGCGGTAGCTGGGGACCCTCGTGGGAAAACGCGGAGGACCTAGGTGGTAACGTTGATTATCTGTCCTCTGCCTCATGGGGAGCAAACAGGCTTGATATCGTGGCCAAGGCTAAGAATGGCTCCTATGTCCACAAGGCATGGACTGGAGATGGCTGGTTCCCGGGGAAAGCCGAGTGGGAGCACCTCGGTTGTGGATTCTTCAGCAGTCCAGCCATCGTGTCATGGGGCATTGGACGCCTCGACATCGTCGGTCTCGATTCGGGTAATGCTTCTCTCCAGCATAAGTACTACCAGGACGGCTGTTATGACGGCTGGTCTGGATGGGAAGACCTTGGAGGTGGTCCTTTCATCGGCAACCCAGTAGCGACATCTTGGGGTGAGGGACGACTTGACTTCTGGGCAATCAACTCAGCCGGAGAACTGAACCACATCTACTGGGATGGTCATAAGTATTCGGAATGGGAGAACCTGGGCGGCGAGTTCACCGATACGCCCAAGGTGGTACACTGGAAACCATCCCGTATCGACATCGTTGGGAAGGGCCTAGATGACGACCAGTATTACGGAAAGTCTTATGATGGCTCGGAATGGCACCCATCAGGGAACGAATGGCACAAGCTGGCAGGCCCCTTCAATTCAGAACCTGCTCTGGTAGCCAAGCACGACACAAGTGAGTAGACGCGCAGAAACCTCTCTCCTTACACATCGAGGCTTCAGCTAACAGCACAACTGACTTTCTCTACGTCTTCGGCGTGGACGAGGATGACGCTGTTCAAATGAAGATCTGGTCAGGCAGTTACTGGCAGCCCGAGTCCGAAAAGACATGGCTAATGGGGCATTTGTCTTCTGCCCACCAAGCGAACCTCTTCCAAGATGACGAGGGCCAGTCAGTTCTCGAGATGTCAGGTCTCTAGACTTTTGATATATCCGTGCCAAGTAGCTAGACGGTTGACAGGTTAACCGGTTCGTTGGTGATGGTCAACGAGCCCGGTGGAGTACGAGCAGAGCTGGTCTCTGTGGGTAGACCTTAGAATATATCAATTGATATCACGGTGTGATGTAGTGTGGCGACGGTGCAAATGTCGTGAAACCACCATCGACGTAGGTACATCGACGTAGGTATTGGTGAGAGGCGGTGCCAGGCCAGGCTGCTGCCAATCGAATGCGACCAGATGTTGACGACTACCAGTTGCTGGCGCCTAGGCGGCCTTCTTCGCGCGGCCTTGGAGTTAGCTCCTGAAGCAATCTTTCCCGACCTAGATGGTGGAAGTAGAGATGGTCGCCGTCTGGTGCACGCATATGTGGGATGGACTGGCGTGCACACGGGAGCCGGCCGAGCAAATGTGCCCACGAGAATTACAGCGATTGCCGCCGCCCTGTGCCACGTGACACTGGAGCAAACGAACTCTTCGTGCAAACTCAGGTACCAAGCAAAAAATCGAGAGAGAAAATACCTGTCCGCCAATTCAAATCACGCATGCGAAGGAACAATTGCCAAAAAAAGAAATGTATTCTCTCGATCGGGGAATCGAACCCCGGCCATCCGCGCTTCGAACTTGTCTATGACAAGCGGATATCCTCACCACTAGACCAATCGAGATACTAGTTGTTTCATAGATTATTTGCTCGTTATTGCGCTACCTGTCCCTATGCGCAAATTCGATCTTTTCCCGAATGCCCATTGGCCAAATCCACCGGAGTGCCTCCACAGTGCAGCCAAAGCTTCAATTGCTACTTACGTATCTGCATCGTACACAAGTGTTTTCAACACAGCTTCAACTGCAGCATCTGTCTCCAATCCATCATTCGGCGCATATGTCGCGGCCGTCTTGTTCATCACCGCGTTCTGCGCTGTCTCCAGCATTTCCGCCAGGGTCGGGCGTAGTCTCGCATCAACCGCCACACACCGCGCCAGCAAGTCCCTGAGATCATCATCAAGCGTTGGATATGGGATCGCCCCATTCCCTTGGGGCAGGACTAGGGTTGCCGTTGTTTCGACGCCTTTGTGGATAGAGCGCTGATAATCGAATATGTCGAATATGACCTGGCGCGTTATTGTCTCTATCATTAGCTTGACGACATCTGAAACGTTCTGCTCGACGCCCGTGGCCTCTACTGCCAACCCGAAGTCGATGATCTTCAGACCTGGAATCAAGCTGTGCTCGGCGAAGTCGCCCATTCCTCCAACCATCACTATGTGATATCAGTCAGATGCAGTCCTCGCTGCTGAGATGAGTCTGGACTGGGAGAGCTTACCGTTGCCCATGTGCAAGTCGCCATGTTCCAACGTCCCCGGCGGTGTTCCATCAGTAGGTATTGTCTCTAGCTTTGGTGCAGCGCCGATGCCTCTAATCTGCGGGTATGCCATACCTACAACAGCCCGAATCACTGGCCGTCAACCATCAGCAGGCTACTAATCGATTCTCTGAGTCGCTGTGAAGATTTAACTCACGGCATAGGAAGAATCCCCACAGCACTCTGTTCGGCAAGAGCTGGTTGTGCCGAAACGCGCGCTCTCGCAACCGTGACAGATCCCCGTTTTCGAGATATTCCATCACCAGAACCAGTCCCCCGAGTCCAACAAGGAACGACGACTTGTTTCGTGTCAACCTCGCGAGCCTGCGTCTCAGAGTCCTCCCGCCCCTCGTCGGAGGTCGCGGGTCGTCGCTGGTGCCAACAACGCGGACGATGTGCACCGCGCCGCCGAGTGTCTATCCAAACGTCCGACCATCAGCGGAATCTCCAACGACCAAACAAGTCACCTGCAGCAATCCGGCCTACCTCCAGCCACCTGATTTCATTCCTGAGGTCGTCCGCGGACGCGGCCTGTAGGGCCCTCTTGACCGCCAACCGACGAGACCTCCCCCACGCTTGCCTCTCGAGAATGCGAACGGCCACGCCGAAACTTCCGCGTCCCAGCACCGTCTCGAACTTGAAGCGCCATTGCGCATCGAAGTGCGTCCTTAGCTCGGCGATGCGCTGCTCCGTCAGCTCTGCGCTCGCCTGCATGCAATTGCGCAGCGAACTCATGTCGACCGCTATGGCGACGGGTAAGCTTAGGTTGCGGCTTTTGCGACATGCGCGTCCGCGTCTTCGGTCTCTCTGCTTTGCTTGACATTAAACGAAGCCTCAAAGCTTGGCTAGTTCTTTGTCTAGATGCCAGGTAGCCCTCATTTCTGTATTCACCAAGGTGAACCAACCCATTGTCACCTGCAACCACCCTTCCGGATGCTTTTGGCGAACAAAGAGCGCGCGAAGTGGCGCATCGTGTGCTTGCATATCAAAATCGGCAGCGACAAAACGCCAACGTGGAAAAGTCTACGTGGCAAGCATCGTCTTCTACCTCTTGTGTATCCCCTCCTGCTTTTCACGTATATGGGCAGGGACTCGGATAGCTGGGTGTCTGGCGCATTCAGCGATCTTGGGCCTCATCACTCCAACCTCGGGCGCCGCCAGCCCGTTGCGAGCCCGGGATTTGTGGCCGTTTGAAATTTCATCTGGCCCGACCGCCGAGCATCTCGCTTACGTCCCGCGCGGTTGGTCTAGTGAAAACCTACTACGATATCAATGGGTTGCGCAATAGGGTTGCGCTGACTCTTGATTCGATGTTCAGCGACAAAGGACAAGTGGAATCAGGCCTACCTTTCGAATTGACTGCGCTCACGAATTGAGTAGTACCGGGCTTACGTCGATCTAACCACGTAGAGGAACTTTTAAATGTTCTCACTGGGCTAGGAGGGTACAGTTGCCGACTTGGTATGCTCCGCACGTTCGAGGCACAGTTGCAGGTCCTCGAGCCTGATGTCCCGCAGGTGGGAATCATCGGGGGAGTACTGTCAGGCTTCATCGCATACTACTCGCACTTGGAGCAGGATGTGACAGAGACTGCAGAAAGGTCGGCTCACGCCAGAAGACAGTCGAAAGATCTTACACCCGCAGAGACAGCAAGACGCGGCAACCTGCTTGAGAGCATGCTCCACCAAGCCAATCTCGCCGTCAGCTGTCGACGAGAAGATTTGGGATGGCAGCAAGGAGGAAGCGCAGCGTGAGGAAGAACCCAGTCTGGCGAAGGAGCGAAGGATCAAGACAGTCACATGACCAGCACACTTAGCCAATTTCTTAGCAAGCAGTTGTTTGGGATCCCTCCCTTCCAGCTTCGTCTCACAATTTAGCCTCATTTTAGTGTCTTCTTCTCCAGAACCATCCGTCCGGCCTGAAAGTGCGTCAAGACTTATACTTATTGAACTCTTGCCCTCACAGCGTGCATTTTTGCTTTCCTATACGGCAAACACCATGGCGACTCGGACCGATTTGTTGTCACGGCTGCCCGCAGAGCTGGTTGAGCAGATCGCGCAGCGTCTGGAAACCAACGATATATGCAATCTTCGCCTGGCTAACACCGTGCTCGCCAATAAATCCCAGGACATCTTCAAGACATGCATGACCAACAAAAGAATCAAGCTCGAGCCGAAGCCTGTCGAGACCTTCTGCGCAATGATGAGACCAGGATACCCAGGGCTGCTACTCCAAAACCTGACCATCGTCGGTGTCGCGGGAGTGAGATTCGACCAGGACTCCGGGGTGCCTGAGACGCTTGCCAGGGGACTCCAGGAATGGCAATCACACTCTGGAAACAGCATCCTATCTTCGTTGACCCTTGACATGGTATACCGTAAAACCGACGGAGACACCCCAATCGAGCGCGAGCTACGCCCAGACGACATGGCCTGGGCAGCCATCGGCCGCACATTCAACACGACCGCATCAGCTCTCGCCACAAGCAGACTCCCCATACGCAAGCTCGACCTCTTCAGCAACCTCAAAACGAACGCCCTGGGCCTCAACTACGTCGCCGCCGCCACCGCAGCATACGACCTATCGCCCTCGCTCCGCCATGTCGAGCGCCTCGCGCTACGCGTATCGATCCGCTACAACGCCCGGCAAGGCGAGCAGCGATACCTGCTCATGCGCTTCAAGTACTCCGACTGGGACCCCAGTCTCGCTCCCCAACTCCAAGCCGACCGCGACGGTCTCAAGACGCTAGTCGGCCTGTGCCCTTCGGTGCAGGACCTCGAGCTGCAGGTGTCTCAGACGTGCTTCCAAGACGACGGATGCGACTACGCGCGCGACGAACGACCGTTCAGTAACGTCGTGGCGGCGCTCAGGCCGGGCCAGCTGCGACGCTTGGTTCTGGGGGGTCTGCGTGTCACTGAGACCGAGCTGCTCGGTTTCGTCGCTAGCCATCCGTTGGAGTACGTGGTGTTTGACTGCGTGTTTTTGCACCAGTACTTGCGTAGGCCGATGGGTCGTGGAGATGCGGTGCATCCGCCGGGGCAGTTTAGGCGTATCTTTGACTGCTTGACGAGGGACGAGAGTCCGCTCAAGCGGATCGACATGCATAATCTGTGGGAGCGGTATAAGCTCGTTCATCCTCCGTCGTCATCTGGGAGGCAGCGGATCGAGTATGGATTAGATGAAACTCAGGAGATGAGCGAGGATATTATGGCGAGGCCATATCGGACGGGCAGGGAACCGGGGAGGGACTATGACCCGGGACACTTGCGGAAGAAGTGAGAGTGCACTGCTGCCGTGAAAGGCAGGACAGAAGAGGGTACGAGCATCTATGGACTTGGAGGCGCGAAGCCCGGACTCAGTGATGAATTCTGGCTTTCTTTCTATACCGCAAAACACTTCTGTACGATGCAGCAGCGCCATAAAAGCCGGTGGTACTCGTCCCTGGCACGCAAGACGCATGTGGTGTGAGTTTGGCATGGCGTATACCACGGGCGTGGGCGTGACCTTCACCAGTACCAACTGGGTACCTAGGTAACAGCAGCAGAAATGCCATCCATTGAACGGCGAACTGCGTATTTATTCCTGGCGTTCGTTGCATGTAGTGTACCTAAGTGGAGGAAGACTGGTAGCCACATGTCGGCGAGGAGACTCTTTTCAGTCTACATGGCAGCTGCCTGTAGTGACAGGTGGTGGGACCACTGACGTTATCCGTACTTTCTTTCCATGATCCTACGTACACATGCGCTGGTGTGCCGCCTTCATGACTTGATGGAAGCGGCGGCCACAGTCGAGGGAGCACCTTTCGGGCATGACGGTGTCGATAGCGCGGGATAGCATAACTTGGACAGCTCTTATCTCAGCTAAGCTCAGACGGTGATTCGGGGGCCGAAGCGAAACGAGGGTCTGCGTTTAACGAAGATAAGACAGCTCCGATAAGGCTGCTCCCAACCTCTCCCTACCCCTACCCTATTCTCTCTACCAAGTTCCCACACCTATGAACGTTACCTTACGAGCGCCAAGCACCGGCTACCTAACTGAGCATCACTCGTCTACTTATAAGTTATAGATCAGTATCACGATGACCGACGAACACCGCCCACTTCTCCCACTTCTCCCGTCAGATCAGATAACGTTAGCTCACACGCGCCATGTCATGTCTTCAGCTGTCACCACGGCCCGCCGCCAAACCAAGCATTTCCTAACATCCAAGATCGGCCACTACAGCGTCTTGGCATTAGTCTCGATCGACGTGACTGCCATCTTCATTGATCTGATACTGCAGCTCGAGACATGTGAAGGTCGCCTCAGGCCAGAGGAGGGCGACAAGGCGCAGGAAGTGCTGGGGGATCTTAGCTTGATCTTCTCGTGCTTGTTCATGGTCGAGTTGCTCGCCAGCATATGGGCTTTCGGCTGGCAGTACGTTCTAACTTCTCTTCTTTTGCGAGAGCATGTGACGACGCGATGTGCTGACGGTGCGGCAAGGTACTTCAAGTCATGGTTTCACTGGCTCGACGCTACAGTCATCCTGGCCGGCTTTGTGCTGGACGTTTTGCTCAAGGGCGTACTCGAGGAAGTCGGCTCTCTGGTCGTGGTACTACGTCTGTGGCGTGTCTTCAAGATCATCGAGGAGCTCAGTGCTGGCGCTGAAGAGCAAATGGAGCCTTTGCAAGAAAAGATAGGGGATCTGGAGAAACAGTGCGGCGAGCTGAGAAGGCAAGTCGAGCAACTGAAGTCCCAGCGAAGTTTGCCAATGGGGACGGAAGCTGTCTAAATCCCACAAGCAACGATGGCCTTGACAGCCAATCGCAATCAATGACAGCTCACTCTTGCCTGCCATCTTGTGAAGGCACTCCGATGGAAGCCGTGCAGATGAGTGAGCCATAGCGCGAGCACTCGGCTTCGAGGCCTGCGAACTGCAAGCCCAATCCTCCAAGCCCGGTCCACACAGTGACTCAAGCCTCAACTGTGGACGTCCACGTCCATGCGGTCGACTTCATGACGTTTCGCAGGCTCCGTGGGCATCAATTCTCTAGCGCTGTTATTACAATTTACGGGTAGCTGAGCTCACGCTCACACGTACCTGGTGGCCAGTACGTACATACAAACCCACGTAAACACATACCGGTACCTGCACGCCCTGCCGTGCCAATATGTATACACGCCACGTGCAGCTCTATCACGAAGCAAAATAAAACCCCACTCAACGCCATGCCATCAATGAACGGGCTATCCCAGAGAGGCAGCTTCGTCTCGTCGCGCGCGGGCGTGGGCGCAGGCGGAGTGGCATGACGCCCCAGCTGGAAACTAATCGTTCTTGTCTGCCGTATCGATTCATCATCAATCATCGACGCAAGTGAGTGAGGTAAGTGAGCTTGTAAGTGCTGTTGCCCATCCCTACCTGACCAGGGCAAGCAAGAGGTAGACAGTGAGTCAGTCAGTATATAGCCGTTTACCGTTGATGCCTCCTCTCCTTTCACCTCACCTGTGTCAGACAGCAACCGCTGCTGAGAGAACTGGATTAATCGAGCATGGCCCAAAAAGAAAAGATTCACAACACCATGTACTCGTGCAGGACGCGACAGGTGGTAGAACTTATTGTAAATCGCCGCCGGCGGAATGACGTGGTATCATGCGTATATATCTCTCGTGTATCAAGGAACCCCAACAAGGCAGACGCTGATCTTATTGTACAAGAGACAACTCGCCATCTCAGCCCGACGTGGTCTCATTTCAAAAAGGGCTTCCCAATGCTACCGCAGAACGCCTAGCCCCGTGTTCGATAACTCTGTAGCTCACCCCCGCCCCCCGGTACCGCTGTTGTGTTACTCTCCGTTTTACCCTTAACCCGAGGCTCCAGTCGTACTCATCCCGAAGTCCAGTCGTACTCGTCCCGAAGACCCTCGTTCGGTTTTGTGTATTCCCTTTCGTCACCTACTTTACAAGTCATTGCACGCGCGCCGCCTTTTCGTCCTCTGTTCATCTAGCCTCCGGTCGTACCCGATCCGTCGATTTTCCCATCATCATCCCTGTTGTACATGTGAAAGAAGATAAGAGAAAGAACACCTGTGCAGATTCGTTAAGATAAGAGTGATGTATCAGCGAGACGGGAAAGCGTAATTCGACTAATTCTGTAGGTGGACATTGACTTGTTGCATGGCTGGTTCATGAGTCGCATCGATGCCGATCATTCGTTACAAACATAGAAGGTGGCATCTGCCTGGACATGTGTGTGTCATCGTGGACAGCTCAGCGTCGCTTATTCATTGTTTCAGCTATCGAATTGCCGCTGTCGTAATCCCAATGTCGTTTGATGCCACCGGATTCGTAGACGCTGGCCACCGATTCTTGCCACATGGCAGGCGTGACAAAGGTCTGCATAGGCGGCGCCGAATATTGCGGGGGAGGCATTGACGGCTGTCCCGACGAGAGTGAGGCCGTGGCAATCTGGATGTCCTGGCTGGTAGGAACTTCTGGGGCACCTGAAGATGAGGCAACACTTAGAGAACTGGAATGTGGAACCACCGAAGTTGACGGGGGTTGAGGTTGTTGCGTACCGAATGTGGTATTCCACTGGCTGTAGGGGTCGTATCAGCAAGGCATGAACTTTTGTGCGGACATCGCGGTGACTTACTCAAATATCCTAGACGGGTTCCACGATGTATGCTCTCCCATCGACATACCGTGTGGAAGTGGCGCCGACTGAGAGCTCTGGCCATGAGCCATCATGGCGTCACTCTTGTGCTCCCTAGGTCCAGCAGAAATGGGCGTAATGGGGTGGTTGGCATAACTGACTTGGGAGTGTGCGCCAGTCTGGGAGTCCAGGTTCGGATCCAAAGAGGTTGTCCGTAACATTGGAGGTTTGAATGTGTTCGTCCGGGGCGGACTTGAACTGTTACTGGGATGTGGACTTCCGTAGGGAAAACTCGGCTTCAGAACAAAAGGTTTCCTAGTGTCAGCAGAGAAGGCCTCGCGCACAGCATCGATTTGTTTCAACATCTCAGGCAGTGGCCAAGACGTCATGGTCTTTTCCAGTATCCGCATATGCCGCGTGAAATAGTCTCGAGCGTCCGTGTTGATATCTGGATCCGGAGAAGTCAATGCCACCTGCGGTATCGTCAGTCTTGCCCGTCTGTGAAGAATAGAAATCAACGCACAAGGTGAAGAACAATGCATGAGAGAACTGCATAGATGGTGAAGCTGATGCCTCTCTGCATGCACTGTAGCCCGCTCAGTCCGAAAGACTGCAGCATAGATTCCTGGAGACGGCACAAGGCCTTCGCAGATGAGTAGCCGACCATCATGTGGGATTTCCACTGGCCATCTACACCCATGGGCTCCAGGAACGTCAACTGCGGCCGATGAAGCAAGATCACAGCCAGATGGTAATATGAATGCAGGTTTCCAATGAAGTGCGAAGGCAACCACGGAGGTGTTCCGCCCGGAGGGTACGTGACACTCATGTCGGCCGGGGCGTCGTTCATCCAGGAAGACAACGCTGGATTGAGCTGGACAAACTCGGGATCGAGGCCCCAGTCCTTCTTCCTCTTGATCTTGGCGTATATCAAGTTCATCTGATGGACGGTGCGAACGATGCGGGCGAAATAGGTGAAATTGCGGGTGGTGTGATACTCCGAGTCGTCAACACCCGGCAAGGGTCTGGGAATGCTGAAATCGAGACTTTCCAAATCCACAGAGAGATCGTCTCGACCTAGACGCTGTTAGTATCTTTGAAGCCCAACTGGAAGAGCCCAACAGAGCTGGTCACTGGTGGCCTACCTTGAGGCGCGGCAATCATGGTCTCGCAGACAAAGATGGTCTGCCATATCCGACTTTTCGTCAAACACTCAAGCGGTGTTGACCCGCATGGTTTCCCAGCCTTGTGGTCTTCGTAATGGTCATCGAGCCCGAGGTCCTTGGCCATGGCCACACAATATACAATCGACATCCAGGAACGGTAGTAATAACCTCGTTTCGGCACAGCCTCCCTTGCCTTGAGAATGATCAGGAGTGCCTGAAGAGTACTTAGTCGTGGCACGTCCATGAAGGAATCGGCGTGTTCTGCAACTTGTTAGTCTTGTCTTTGACACGCTCAAAGACTGCTTGGAGTCTTACTTGAGGCGAGCGCGATCCATTGCTGTCCTTGAGCTGGTTCATCGGCAAGGCGTCCGGCCACTGCAAATATCGCCTCAAGCAATAGCGGCGATATCGACTCGCGGTTGGTCTGCCACTGCTGAAACAATTGAGCCTTGTTGAGTACCGGGACATATGGATGGACGTTTGCAAAGTACAGGTCGAAATAGTGCAGGATGGTCTCATCGTCAGGCATGAGTTCCGGCGGTATTCGTATTTTCAGTCCTGGACCTGAGAGCATGGGCGGCAGGACGTTCTTGAAATCATCCGCATCCTCCACTGCCGGTTCCTCTTCTTGCCCTGCAGCCAGGGCCAACTTGTTGTTGAGATACGGTGCTTTAAAGTCTTAGTACTTCCACGGATATCCTACAGTCTCTCATATAGGAGTGCGGAGGGGCGACATACCGGTGCCTCTCTCGTTCACTTTCAGAGACCCCAAGAGGTCGGCCAGATCATGTTGGCCGTACTGGTCTTGGTGATAAGATTCGGGGGATGATTCGGAATGCGGGGCCGAAGACTGGTGCATTGGAGGAGTCGGGAAGACGCTCGCCGGAGCGTAGGACTGGTCCATCACCCCTACTTGGGGCACTGAATACTGCATGTGATGATGCGCCGTCGGCGAATCCCCGTACTGGACCGGGGGATAGACGCCTTGGTGGTCTGAATAGCCACCCGGTGATGGGTACATGCCGGGCTTCGCTTGACCAGCCATCATATTCTGTTGTGTCTGCTGCATCTGCATTTGTCTGAAACTCTCCTGCCCAGCCTCGTATTCCGCTCTCGTCGGCTCGTAGGGCTGTGTGTCCGTCGGCGACCCTTCGTACTGCCCATTGGGACGGACGCAGTGAAGCTTCAGCCGGATACAGGCCGAACATGGCCAGGTGTTTGTCGTCGCAGCGTCGCATTTGATCTTTCTTCTCCGGCAACCCTCGCAGGCTCTCATTACTGATGTTTTGCACTTCCGTCAGCTGCGTTCGCCAACATGCGTGTTAGTAGAGCAAGTCCGTACCCTTCAGCCGCTTGTGTCGGTTGTGTTCGTCGACGAAGACGTAGTCTGCGACAACATCGTTAGAACCACCACCCCAAAAGCGTATTCGGGCAGCGCACTCTTTTGGGTTTCCCTAGCGGGTTGATACGTCTGCGGCGCAAACGAGAAAGAGTTCAGATGCGAGCTCTGCGGCAACAGCCTTCGAACGGACGGGTCGTTGTTCGACATGGCTGCCTCCTTTCCAGTGGGTGCGAAACCCTCGATGCCCAACCTCGGCCGCAATCCTCATTAATCTCTGCTGGTCCGTTCGTCTCGGCGACAGGTCGACTCTGCTCGCAACGACTTCGCTCGTCGGCAGTATTATTCCGGCAGGGTATGGACTCGCGGGATGTCCAGGCTGGCGAGCTGGAGGGAGGCAGTCAGAGGAAGAGAGCAGGAGTCGTCTGATGTTCCGGCAGTGGGCGCGCGCCACAGTTAACTAGCAGACACTACTACTACCTTACTAAAGGTACTTGGTACTGTGCGCGCGTGGGATTTCTGCAGCTCTAGCTCGACGGGACATATGACATATGATAGGGACAGGCACGAAGGGTCATGTACGGACAGACGGGACGGACGTCAGACACAAACCGCTTTTTCCAGCACCAGGAGCAGAGACCCGACACTCAGGTAGATGAGGGGGATAGTAGGCTCTTGTTGTGAGTGGAGGGATGCCAGACAAAACCACCGGGGCCAGGCTGCCAGGGCTGCCAGGACTGGAGAGGGGCGTGGAGGGCGTGGAGGGCGTGCCGGGGCGTCCCAGGCTTGCATTGGCGTCGACAGTGGAGGTGCGCCGTGACGCCGTCCTCCCTGGAAGTTCCTGGAAGTCCCCTGTCATTGGCCCACGCCGTGTCCGCGCTGTACCTCTGCTTCTTCTAGATGGCCTAGAAGCAGCCAAGATAAAACAACGGTTTAGGGTTCGTGAAGTGGTGTGATTTCCTGGGACCTTGATTTTCGTAGTCCGCCTGCACCTAACTTGATAGATCGGTAAGCTAGAGTCTAGGTTCCGTCTCGTTCTGGATATGAGATGAGTATCGGCAAGTGACGCTGACGAGATCCGGTTACTTACCTCTGGTCATTACAGTAGAGGCATCAATGGTGGTGATGGTTGGTGCTTTGCGGCACATCCAGCGCGGCGGTACCTATGAAAAGCCGGTCGTTGCCCCGTCCATACCCAACATATCATTTGACGCTCTATTCTCCTGATTCAACCTCGTACGCACCTCGCATTGACCCAAGGACATGACGGTTAGAGTCTTTGAAGTTCCGGGAGTCTTGTCGATCGAAGTTTTTTAGTTTGAGACATGAAACCAAGCAGTTGCTTCTTCGACAATTCCCTCAATCAAGATACGAGGCAATCCATGAGAGATGATGGACGATAACCTGCCCCTAACGTTATGGGATAGACGAGATTCTGTGGACATTTGCCGACTTGTCTACACATGCTTCTATCCTCTGCTGCAACCTGGACAGTCGTCGTAACTTGCCAGTTATGATACTAGGGGCGGCCTGGGCAAACACGAACTCGCGTGGATAATTAATATGGCTGTTATAGACTGAAACGACCAAGGAACAGTCAGGTACGCTCGTACTCAAATGAGATTTCGCGGCCTATCATCAATCAGCTGAAGGGGGAGGTGTGATATGATCGATTCTCAGATCCAGTATGGGTGGTGGTACATGTACCTGCTCCGTGTTCAATGTTGGAACTGTGCCTGTGTATGCATGGGTTGCATCGTCGACTGCATCAAGGCTAGAAATGCGGCTATGTCGTTGCGCACGTGTCTTTGATCCTGCATTCTGGAAACCAAGATGAGAATGGCTCGTCTGGGTCATTGTGTGAAGTTGTCAAGCTGTCAAGCTGTCAAGCTGTCAAGCTGTCAAGCTGTCAAGTTTCAAGCTTCAGGCTTCAAGCTGCCAAGCTGCCAAGCTCCCATCTAGTCGTTGCAACCACTGAACGCCACTTGCAATGCGAATGGGGCCAACGTCTGGCTTGAAGTTTTGGATGAGCATGATCAGCCGATGAGGCGTCATAACAGCAGGCTGAGGCAGCAGCTTTGTTGTTACGGGCACGGTGACAAAGTCGTTTCCACCCGCTCGGTACCCTGTCGCATTCTTCGGCAACAGGGAGCTTCCTTCTTCTAGGATGTAGGTACCTCATTACCAGATGGCCCGGATGACTGGCCCATCTGCCGCCGCTGGGCCTGCGTGGCATGGATGCATGTCACACAGTCACAACGGTCCTGACGCCTTGAGTTTAGGTTGGTAGACTAAGGGATTAGCGGTCAACGCATGCATGCAATAACCTAGCACGACTGCACGGGTCAACTTGCGCCTCGAACCCATTTCAGGGGTGTCATGCTCCTTCTCGTTACCCGTTATGTGGGTGACCTCGGTTACTAGCCTTGCTACTCGGATCGGGCGGGAATGTACTGTGTACTGTGTAAGCGAGCCAAGTACCATGGTACTGTATCATGCAAGCACCCTGCTCCCTGGTATCGAGAACAAGCCTCTTTATTAGTAATCAGTGCGCTTGGAGGAGATAGGCAAGCTTATCGCAGGGTGTTATAGAAATGGAATAGTCGGTAAGTTGTAACGGCAGGACTTCCGACTTGTTGTTGTTCTTGGTTGGGATTCATTTCCGGGGTATGTGGTACATTTTGGATCGGGAGACTCCGGTCCCATCTGCACATGTTGATCACTCGTCACCTCGTGGTCGTGGTCGTGGTCGTTTGTGGTGACTCTCGTTCGTGCCCTACGAGATGACCGATGAGGCAACTGGTGTTGTTTGAGATAAAGCCCGCAAGCTACCCTACCATTGTCAGTACAGTATCTGCGAGGGAGTCGGGGACCTCTCTTCTTCACCCTGCCACGCGAGCCACACGTTTTCACGATGCCCACTGCGGCTGTAGGTAGTACTGTACGAGGTGCGAACGGACCTTGCCGTGTGAGTGGTCCCGCGGTCTTACTAGGACGATACTTATCTTGCCGCCCATAACAAAGGTCCCTGCAGTCTCACCTCTGTGGAAGATGCCTGGGTCAGCCATATGAATGATTTCCTCCAGGACTGTCCACCTACATCGGTGTGCGGCTGAAGGCGGCAAACGCCCAGAAGCCCGACCACACAGACCATCTGCCCCTCGCCTTCTCGGTCTGCGGATTCGGAAGACGGCGGATTTCCCAGCGACGAGACTGCCACGGCCTGGTAGACCGTGCACTCGCCATCGTAGGATTCGATGCGGTTCCCCGACATGAACACTCACCGCCTAGACGAGTCTCGCGACAATTCGGCCTTGGTACGCCCCTGAATGTCTGTTGTCATATCGCCAGGTCGTGTCCACCACCCAGAAAGGTATTCGGAATGCTTCGCGGCGTATTGCAGCGTTGCATTATCGACTAGAAGATCTGGAGCTACCGGAGTTCGGAAGAGATTGTCGCTCCTTGACATCACTTCGCTCTCCAACGTCGATGGAGTTGACGATCATCACCTGGGTCGGCCAGCCTTGTGCCTCGCACCCGGAGCCTTTCACCGGGCAAGACCGGCGGGGTATCGCAGGAGGGGAGAGGTCTGAGCAGCCTGGCAGCTCACAGGTGTGACCAGCGTCGTGACTGATCGGCTTACCAATCTGCAATGCACAAGTAATGTTCGTTTAACAATTGTGTGTATGTAGGTGACGGCATGAATAGCCGCTGACATTTCGACTGCGACTGGCCGTCACTGGTGGCCCTTTCTCGGTTGCTTTGCATTCGCTCAGCGTGTGGTACTGGTAACCTGTCACAGTTGCAGGTCAGAGCCATTTGTGCGACACTTTCGAACCGCAAGACTGTAAACTGCAAGACCTCGAGTGTTGCACTTTGGTGTCTGCAGACTGCAGGTCAGTCTGCATTGGCTCGTGGGGACGTACATGCAGTCCCCTGACCTCCAGCGGCATCGCATCCTTGTCAGCGGCTCCTACATCCCCCACCACGGAAGCTCGAGGTGAGTGCAAGGCTTACCGCATGAAGATCAGAAGTGGCTGAAGTCTCATCATATCATGTATCTCGGCATATCAATTGCGATATCGTAACTAACCAGAGACTGGCAGGACGATGAAGATATTCTGGAGTCCGGGCTTGCATTGACGGTGATCTTGATTGGAAAAGAAGCCGAGGAAGCTCACCGTCGCCCTTGACTGTTGCCAATAGTCCCCTGCGCACTTGACGATGAGCAAGCTGGTTGGTGGACTTATTACTTTGAACCATGTGACCCTTGAACGCAATGCGATCCTTCGCAATTAGTCAAGGGACTATTAGCGTACGCGTCCATACTGGCTCTGTCGGGATGTCCTTGGCATACCGGCATTTGCATATCCGTTATGTCTCCCTGAGGGATAACCGAGTATCATCACGACGGTCACGTTCCCCAAGACACGTCCGCCAAGGACTCTAGGATGTGGCTGGTATATGCCTGCGCAAGACGAGTCAGTATAACAGCTTCGCAAGCAAAACTATCGACAGTAGTACATTTATTATGCGCTCATTGTCCCGATGAACGTCAATCTGCGAGTCTCGTGTATGGATAGCATCGGGTACCTGGCAGGAACCACTGTGAAGGCCTCTGCAAGCACGTGCTTATGTGTATTCGACGGCAGATTAGATTGGCAGATGAGATCACTTCCCGGGGGAGATCGAGCAGGTCACCGGATGAAGCTTGAGATCCCATTCGGCATGGCTCTTTTAAGAAAACCGAATACAGGTGAGTAGATTCGGTTCATGCCTGAGCTTGTTGGTCATGGCGACTCTGTCCGGTTCTTGGTCCCCATCCAGCCATAATCTGAAGATCGGGACGGAGAACAGGGCCAGATCGAGGAGGTTTCCGTTCTCTACAGCCGCCTTACCACCATTCAAGATCACATGAAGTTCGACCATGCTTCCATGCAGGGATCATGGAATGCAGCTCTGAGTCTTGACTGAAGCTTTAAGGGTTGTACTGATCTTGTTGAACGACTTGCTCAACGCAACACCAGACACTTCATGCAGCCTGACATACCGTAGGTCGAGCAGGAGCAGCTTCCGTGGGGGTGGTCGCATCGTATCAGTGACCGCCCTCAATGTACCTGGGTAGGTGTAGCAAATAACTCGAGGGACCAGTGATGATCTACCGATAAGCAGGTCCCTGCAAACGTGGTAGAACGTGTTGCTTGATTCAGAAGATCGACTTTCGCGACTGCAGAACTCGAAACCGGCTGGGTGCGACCTAATCCTAGCGAAGACGGTCCTGTTGAGATTGGGTAGCACTAACAACACACTCACTCCTCGTGCTCACCTGGACTGAAGGAGAATCGGGATGACAAATGATCGTGGTCAATAGGGACAACGGACTCGGTAAAGATGCCCATGGAGATTCTGTCATGCTGCCGTGAACGGAAGCGTTGACTGAGGATTGAACGAGCATGATGGATCATGACAACTTGCAAGATCAGTCTGGTTGGTGTGTAGTTAAATATCTACAATGTAACGGCGGGGAAGCTCTCGAGCTCTATGTTCCTCAAGACTGGAGGGGTTGGTGGCAGCTGGTCGGCACCTGGGCAGCTGGCCGAGCACGGGCTACAGCTGGCCTACAGTTGGCCGGCACGGAAAAGTCCAGCGCCGAATTGTCCCTCCCGAGATCGGCCCCACGATAGCCAGATTAATGCAAATTACCTAAGTACCTCCACTGCTCATTGCTCCTTAACCTCATTCAAATAAACCTACGTGGCAACGATAGTACGACATCAAGCAGCATCTTGATCCGTCACTCTCCAAGGCGCGACGCGATGTTCGTTGACCGCATCACCGACGGAATACCACACTCATCACCCCTGCAGGCACAGACGATCCACTGAGCTACTGCGCCTCGGCATCTCGACTGTCAATCTTCAAGAATCAAGATGGACAAAGACAACGCCAACCCCACCATCCTCAACACTTCCCAGCTCCCCACGAGGCAGAACAGGAAGAATGGATCAGCCCTAAATGGACCATTTACAAATTCCAGTGCCCTTGTGCATAAGCTCGGGTACACGTCCAGCCCTCCTTGGGAGATCTCAGAGTCCGATGGCACGGATAGTGACGCTGAGGGCGACATGGAGCTTATCGATGAGCAGGATATTTATGGTAAGTTTGCTTCAACGTCGCTCTGGCATTCCACCTTTCGTATCGTTACATCGGATGCCCTGTGTCACTGCGACAGAACGTCGTGCATATTCTCCGCCTGTGCACATCGGTGTAACGAAGCTTCGTGTTTCACCGACATCGTCGTCATCGTCGCCAGTGCGGCACATCGCCCAGCCCAACCCACCGCCGTCACCCAAACTTCTGTTTTGGGCCAACATCAGACCACTGACCAGTCACAGACCTGATTTCGAACATTTCCGACCCGGAACACCCGCTGTCCCTTGGTCAACTGGCGGTGGTGAATCTCCCCGACATTGACATCACCCCGTCTCCTTTGGTGGCGGCAGATCCCAACACCCTGACACAAGTACTTGTCAAGATTACTCCTACCATTACCCACTGCTCTCTTGCGACTGTCATTGGTCTGGGGGTGAGGGTACGTCTCGAGAAGGTGCTGCCACCCAATTATCGCGTGGACGTCATGATCAAGGAGGGTACCCACAGTCAAGACGATCAGGTCAACAAGCAGTTGGCCGACAAGGAGAGAGTGGCGGCAGCCCTAGAGAATGACACTTTAAGGGGCGTTTTGGACAAGATGCTGGAGAAATGTGCCTGAAGTAGCCACCTACCTACTGTGTGCGACCTCACGGGAGTACCTTGCATGTCGGCTCTACATACCAGCTTTGATACCCTGGGAAGGGGTCTTCAGACTTATCTAGCGGAACTTCCCAACAAATCACAGTCGTCCACCTCGACGGAAGTCTCCCAGAAGATCACTCGGACTCCAAGCTTTTTCATGCACATCACCAGCCAGCCGGGTTTATACACAGTCAGGGTTGCAGCCCGGAAGCCTAGATCTCCTGAACAGTTCTGGCGGACAAGGGGCAGCCAAAGGACCCCCCACGGTGGCTAAGTACCAACTAGGAACTGACCGTCTCAAGCTGTCAAGGTGGGGAGGTGGAAGCATAGCCACGAGAGTTGAGACCATGGCTGCTGAAGAGCGCATGAAGTCCACTTCACGTTACGACGACTACTCTGGGAATAGATGGGGTTCTCCTGCAACTTACCAGGGAGACGATCGTTCAGTTCTATAACAAATTCCCATTTGGAGAACGGCACTGTCTCATCAGCCACGGACTTCTATGACCTCCATACACAGTCATCCCAACGAAGTCGTTACCGGTTCCTGTTGCACACGGCTCGCAGCTAGCTATTATCATTTCAAAATTCTGTCACAGAAACGCTTCCTACAAGCGGCGCCTTCACTTGCCTCGAATAGAAGAAACGGACACCGCACATATCTATCTTCATCTGCGCTAGTGGTTGGCACGTCGGCGGTACATCGGCCGGCCTATCAAGTTTTGGCAGCGGACGGACCTCTTGTAAGGCATCGCACTTAGCAAGATATTCTTATGATCATCGCTGGATTGACAAAAGTCTTCGATTTTACTCCCATTTACAGACAACCAAACACAGATCATTGTCAGACAACCTAACGAAGATCATTGCCATGCCTTACAAGTGCGTGTCCATGCAGCTCGTAAATGATACCCTCTTCAGGGGTTCATCAATGACTGTGATGTCTTCAACCACATGCTCCAGTCTGTAGATTATGCAAGTGATTCTTCTGCCTCTGGCAATGGACCGCATACGCCGTACACGTGCGCCCAGGTGTCTTCAACCAGGTACACTGTATCATGAACCCGGTATTGGCGAGCTGCCTTACCATGGCTCCTCCCCTATATCATTTCCCCTATATACTGATACCAAGCATGCAACTTACCGCACGCGGGTCACCAGCCCTCCAGCCAGCTAGCAGGACGAATCTATGCTCCTACATATACCGATAAGTTCTTTTCCAACTGAACGATGCCTCTCGTCTTGTTATTCTCTAGAAGTGGTAACACCTCTCATAAGTCAGCACGAGGACGGCTGCGCTTGGGGCACGACGTTGAGACCAAACGAGTCGAGACCGAACAAGTTGGTGTAACTCCACTTGCCGTCCGTCGTTCGAGAACATCTGCCGAAGCCCAGCCCGACCAAACCCAGCCGCTGGGCCGGGTCTGTCTGTCTGCTGGCTCTTCCGTCGTTCCAGAAGCATTCGGCAAGACTTGTTCTTCTTGCGCCATCACATCACATCACATGCGTTTCGTCGTGTCTTGACTCCCCGTCGGTGTCCGTGCTCACTTGAGCTGCTTTCAGTGTTCACGGACTCTGATCTGATCTGATCGAGTGTCTGCTTATCACACGCACGCACGCGAAGTAACCTAACTAACTAAGGTGCGTAGATAGACGTACAGATGTCTCTGCATATATGATTAAATCACCACGACACAGGTGTCGGCAGCGAGCAAGACAACACCACGCGGCCCCATATGCCAAGTCCAGCCCCATCCACAGCGTTACATCCCATCCCCACCGTACCTGCCAATGTGAACGAACGAAGTGACAAGTCCAGAGGTTTCAGGGGGTGTGGTGGATGGGTGGGTGCGAGAGCCCCATCCATTGTTACGATGGGGTCTAGATGTGTACCGGAATCCGGCAGATGCCGCCCACACGCCTCGCCTCGCCTCGACCTCCCCAGCGAGGAACTGGGTGACATCAAACTGTGGTACTGCAGCTACTCGTGCGCCCCCGTTACTGATGAGTGACGCATACACAGCGATCTAGGTTATTATTATACGTTTTTGATTTAATTCACAATGCAGCAGGCCTTCAACCAATCAGGACTGCAGAAAGGGGAAATTCCGCCTGTCAGAATGAATCCAGGCTGCGTTATTCGTCATTGCTCTTCTGTTCGGTTGTGATTATCTCGATTGGTATCTCATCACTACCTAAATTCCCGTCGACGTCTTTTGCAATGGCAAGTCACAAATGGCTATCCTGACATTCAGAGACCGACTGTGATGTTCTAACTCTCATAGACCGATAGTAAGTGGTGTTTGATCCGTAGCCATTGTACTATCAGCATAGAAATCCATGTAGACCCATGCGCCATGCCATCTGTACGCCTTGGCAATCAAGCAACAGCCAACATCCGTGAGAACGCATATCCGTAGATTCGAACCGTTTCGTCCTGGCTGGAGCTGCCGGCAGATGCAATAGTAACACCTCCTGATGTCTTCTGCAGTGTGCCAACAGAGTCGAAGGCAAGCCCAGGCTCACTGAACGAGCTACGCTTCGATGCGAATGCTGTACAGGAGCTGAATCTGTCTACGACGCAGGAGAACTCGAGATGGCGTGTCCCGAGCCACGCCAAGGAGATACACATTCTCCTGCGTCCTTCTGCTTCGAGGCACCGGCTCGTAGACACCCTGCTCATCCTCAAGGGCTCCCGAGCGTGCCGCTCTCCATGAGACTCTGGTAGAACTCGGGCTCGAGGAACTTCGCCACGCTAACGTCCTCACTGAGACCCTTGCGCCGCCTGGTCTTGAGCACAAAGTCGCGTGCAGTAGCCTGAGCGTCAGCTGCCTGCAGGGGTCGCAACACCACATCCTTATCGAGAGGGTCGCCTGGTACCTTTTGCCACTTGTCGAAGACGAGACTGACCATGGCGAGACCCTGAGTGTGGATGCGTACGTCCGTCTCGAAGCCAAACGAGTCGATTACTGGGATCAGGCCGTCGACGCGGTAAAGTGGCGTCCCCGCTACCGGCCCGTCGGTCAACACGTGTCCACGCCGACGTGCCAGAACGTTGTACAGCACAGGGACGGCGTCTTGGGGTCCCGTCATGGAGCATGCGTATAGAGGTTCCATGAGGCGTGGCGACGCCATTAGGAAGGAGCTATAGCACGCGCGACGTGCGGTGGGGATAATTTGACCACCTCCTCTGAAGATAGCCTCTTGTGCCAAGGAAGCATCCATGATACGGAACTTGGTATTGCGGATCGCTACAGAGAAAAGCGCGTGTTAGTGTAACTTCCTATGCAACATAAAAATACGATATCATCACTCGATCGTGCTCGCAGGCTACCTGGTAATTCGACTGCTGGAAGGGGAGACGTGGCAGACGGATGGAGTAACGGGACAGGACAAAATGCAACTACTAGTAGTATCTCAACGGTTTTGCGCATGTGGGAGCGTCACTAGGCCCTGGTGAGGAAAGCACCGCAGATCATGGTGTTTGCAGGGCATGCTTCCAAACAGGGGTGGATGAGACTGCGTGAAGCTTCATGCGTCATCTGCATGCTGGTCCACGACTTCGCAGGGCGTGTATACCACCGTCGGACTTCGCTGGATGACTGACAGGTAGCACCAAGCACTGTAACATAAAGGAATGCAGGCATGCACTCGTATGCAGAACGACTGCAGAGCGACGGGTCCCAGTCGCACTGACAGTTTGTCGCGTGGCCGACGAACATGGGTCACAGATATGTCTGCCGCTTTAAGCCAGCCAGCCGAGCCGATACGCATGATGCCCTGTTCGCCGTTAAAGCTCCCGGGAGCCTGGTCTCTGCGCAGGAAGATCGCGATGGAGGGACGCTGGAGACGAATATGACGATGCGCAGGCTATGTTCGGCCAAAGACGTGGAAGGTTGGATTCCAGGACGTGCTGCACACTAGGGAACTGCCCTGGCTGTGCAGCCAATCCGGGACAGATGGACATATCTTCGAACTGCTGGGTGGGAGCCTAGATGAGATCCTGGCCAGGAGCACTTGGTCCATGCAAGGTGGGTGGGATGAAAGATATCAAAATGTGACGGAATGCAGGTACTTACGTTCTTCACACAGCGGACCCTCACGAGTTGCCCAACTGAAACCTTGGCGGATGGTTTCCCGCACACTCCGTAGAAGCGTCTTATCAACCTGCCAAAAACATTAGGTGACATTCGAAGAGACACAAGATTCTAGAATTTGAGGCTGAAACTGGCGAAGACATTGCCGCATGCGGACACACGAGGCAGCCCTCCACTCGGAACGACATGGCTGGTGTAGTAAGACGCGGGGCGCTTGAGTGGGGGATGGGAACTCGGAGATGGAAGAGTTTGTGAGAAGGCAAATTTTGACGTACCTCTGCGAGTGTGTCGTCCTGTAAGATGTTAGGCCCCATCTCATCCGGTCCGAAAGCCCAGATGCTCCTGGCGGCCAGTAAATCCCAGCCATACTTTTCTTGGAAGAACTTTCCGACTTTGCGTGCGCCGTCTCGCATCTTGACCTGCCCGCTCTCGATGTCTTCTGCGATGCCATCATCCAAGGGCTCTGCGACCATGGTGATTTTGTTCTTCTTGTTTGGCGTGATAGCGTAACATTTGGTGGCGGACACCTCATCTACCGTCTCACAGAAACGGGTTACAGGATCGGAAACCTTGATCTCCATGTCCGCGTATAGCCGTCGGAGGTCGTGGAGGACGCAGTCCATGTACAGCTCGCCGGTGCCTAGCACAACGTGTTCGCCCGACTCTTCCACCTTCGTAGTGATGAGGGGGTAGCTCTTGTTGATCTTCCTCAGGCCGTCGAGCATCTTCGGCAGCTCCGAAGGGTTTATGGGCTCGACGGCTACCTTGAGAACTGACTCCGTGAAATGTGTGACTGGCTTGAAGATGTATGCCTCCTCGTCGTCTTCCAGTTTCGGGGGCACAATTGTCGCCGACTTGACGATCGAGTTGTCAACACCACTGAGCAACACCCAGTTTCCAGCGGGAACGCCGTCCGTCTCGACGTTATACCGCGTCTCGGCAATGTAGACGTTATTGATAGTGGCCATTGCCATGTCTTCCTCGTCATCAATCGAGTAACCCTCTCCTAGAACACGTACAGACATCCCAGGCCGAGCAATACCGCTCATCACGCGGCCAAAGGAAGAGAAGCTCTTTGCGTCAGCTGAGTTGAACAGCTTGGTGACGTGAATCACTAAAGGTCCATCCTGATCGCACTTCTTCATGGCTTCCGCCACTTTCGTGTCCAGGGGGCCAGTGTAGTATCTTTCCAGCTTGTGCTCGGCTGCCTCCAATGGCGATGGGACATGCTTGACAATCATGTCCACAAAGCCTGTAGACGGCCCGAAGAACTGCTCGCAGACCAGCTTGAGTAAGATCTTGGCATCGGTTTTGTACTGTGACGGTTTGAGATGTATTCCCAGTGAGGCTAGTATCGCCTTGAGCTCGTTGGGGTTCGTGCTGATGGTATGGGAGAAGACCTTGTAGATGGGCTCGAGAACGAAGTTCAGGAAGGATCTCTTTGCGCCGTCTTCGCCAGGCAGGGGTTTCCTGCTAAACGTCCGCTTCTTGGGGTTGAAGTAGATATCGCCCCAAAGTCGCTTTGCGAATTCCTCAGTGTTGACCCCGGGGAAGCTGTCGGCGTACATCTTTGCGAATGACTGGAGATTGAAGCACCAGCCCATATCGCTGCACGCGAACAGGACGTTCCCCTTCTCTGGACTTAATCGCTTCTTCTCCCCCATCCCCGGCCGTGTGTTTTCGATTATGGTGTTGACCTCCTCGATGACATGCTTCAACTTGAAGTAAGCATCACTGGGAGGTAACCTCAACTCCACTATTAATCTGTCCATCTTGTTGACAATTAAAGTCATCGGGATATCCTCGAGCACACAATGCTTGATGATCTGCTCGGTGTTGACCTGGACGCCTTCCACTACATCCACCACCAGCGCAACGCCATCCACCAACCTGAGGGCGGCTGCAACCTCGTCGACGAAGTTGACATGGCCTGGGGTATCAATCATGTTGAAGAGATGGGATTTGCCCTTGGTGCTCTGGAGGATCAAGCTCATCGGCGCTGCCTTGACCGAGACTCCTCGTTCTCTCTCCAGGATGTGTGTGTCGGTATACCGCAGCTGTTCGTCTCTCTTCTTCCCGGTCCGCTTCTCTAGCCTGTCGACAATATCGTGTGTCTCGAGGACAAGCATGTCCATGAAAGCAGTCTTGCCATGATGTAGGTGCCCGGCGAAGGCGATATTCCGTATTTGATCGGGGAAGTTCATGAGATCCGTCATGAAACTGCGGTCGAAGAAGACGGGCGGAAGGTCGGCCTCCTCAACGGAGAACTTCTTTACGTCAACGGGGGCGATGATGGGTTGTGAAAGCGGTTGCGCATCCTCTTCCTGCACCATGGTCTCGACATCTTCACCATAGACTTGTTGCGCCGAGGGGTAATACTGCTTGTCTTCATGTAATACTACGGCGTTCGAAGGTCCCTCGTCGTCTAACTCCATCAATTCCTGGCCTGTCGCTTCGGGCGCCTCTTCGGGATACTCGTCGTCGAGATACGCGCTCGCATCCACGCCATGCTCGGACTCTTCCTCAGATGCGTCGGCATCCTCCCCAATAAAGTTGCCGAACCTGTTGTGGAAGATGGTTAGTACCAATGCGACGGTCATGCGCAGAGGTCAACGTACTCATCGTAGAGGTCATCCATAGCGTCTGTGTGCTTTGGCGTTGCTCGAGAGAGTGGTCGGGATTGGCGATCAAATCAGAAAGGAAAAGTTATGCTCAGAAGCTCCCATGGCTGATGCATCAAAAACAAGACGAGGCTGATCAGCTTTGACTGTGGCTAGTGCTGTACTGTGCAGTACAGTAGAAAGTGTGGCGCTGTGGCATCGCGCTGGATGCAAGGCTGCAGACTGTACCCACCTTAGCTAGCAGCGTTGGGATCTGTGGGTCGCAGCCGATGAAGGACCGGTTGTCGGGCTGCCCCTCTTACCCGATCAGGATTGACCCCGCGCCACTGATACCGCTCGGGGGTTTTCTACAATGAGCTGACCGCCAACACCGGCCCGCCGCCCAAGGAATCGGGTACCGTAATAATAATAAAAGAATTGCCTTCCCAACATCCCAAGGAGGGGCGGTGAGAAAAAGGGGACCTCGAACTAAACATCTCGGTCGTTGCTAGAGACTCCTTCCATTGGCATTTCTCCCCTTCCGCCCTCAGGCCCGAGACACCGAGACACGACTGATTCATCCATTCATTTTGTCTTCTCGATCCTTAGCCGCCATCATGTCTGGTCTTCCTCCTGTCTACATCGTCTCCGTGGCGAGGACACCCGTTGGGTCGTTCCTTGGGTAGGTCTGGTGGTTGCTTGCCATACGGGCTTCTTTACTTACAGCACTCGAGCTTACCATTGCGTTTGTAGACAACTGTCGAGCCTCAGCGCCACCCAGCTTGGTTCGCATGCCATTAAGTGTACTTACAGCCAACAAACTATTTGGGGCAAAGGAACTGTTCGCTAACACGACGCCTGTAGCTGCCGTCGAGCGAGTCCCCCAGATCAAGCCCGAGGATGTCGAGGAAGTCTTCTTTGGCAATGTGCTGTCAGCAAAGTGAGAACGCCCCTCCTACTCCCAGTCAACCTCTACTCCCTAGAATATGCGTGCTGACCACTGCCTTCCAGCCTCGGACAAGCACCCGCCCGACAATGCGCGATCGGCGCCGGCCTCCCTAACACGGTCGTCTGCACGGGCGTGAACAAGGTGTGCGCGTCGGGCCTCAAGGCCATCATCCTGGGCGCGCAGACCATCATAACGGGCAACGCCTCGATCGTGGTGGCGGGCGGCACCGAGTCCATGTCCAACACGCCGCACTACCTGCCGTCGCTACGAAACGGCGCCAAGTACGGCGACCAGATCATGGTGGACGGCGTGCTCAAGGACGGCCTGACCGACGCCTACAAGAAGGAGCACATGGGCCTGGCGGGCGAGCTGTGCGCCGACGACCACGGCGTGTCGCGCGAGCAGCAGGACGCCTACGCCATCGAGACGTACACGCGCGCGCAAAAGGCCACTGCCGACGGCGTCTTCGCCAAGGAGATCACCCCCGTCGAGGTCAGCGGCGGCCGCGGCAAGCCCGCCGTCAAGATCACGACCGACGAGGAGGTCAAGAACCTCAACCCCGACAAGCTGAAGACGGTGCGGCCCGTCTTCAAGGCGCAGGGCGGCACCGTGACGGCCGCCAACGCGGCGCCCCTCAACGACGGCGCCGCCGCCGTCGTGCTCATGTCCGAGGCCAAGGTCAAGGAGCTGGGCGTGACGCCCATCGCCAAGATCCGCGGCTGGGGCGACGCCGCGCGCGAGCCCGAGCGCTTCACCACGGCGCCCGCGCTGGCCATCCCCAAGGCCATCAAGCACGCCGGCCTGTCCGACTCGGACGTCGAGTTCTACGAGATCAACGAGGCCTTCTCCGTCGTCGCCATCGCCAACATGAAGATCCTCGACCTGCCCAGCGAAAAGGTCAACGTCTTTGGCGGCTCCGTCGCGATCGGCCACCCGCTCGGCTGCTCGGGCGCCCGCATCGTCGCCACCCTGACCACCGTGCTGCGCGAGAAGAAGGCCAAGATTGGCTGCGCCGGTATCTGCAACGGCGGCGGCGGCGCCAGCGCCATCGTCATCGAGAGCCTCGAGTAACCGCTTCCAGACCGACAGAGCACGAAGCTATGTATGGTGGAGGAAACCGGGCTACTGTAGAGACGATATAAATACCGGGCTGGCACAGATGGCATAGCATGGTGGCATGTTGCCGATCCAGTAATAAAAGAGTAAAAATGAAGAGGCTTTCGTTGATAGAGGGCGTTTGATGTGCAACGAGGATGATGAAAGCAGTAGATGAAACCAGTGCTTCTAGCAGACCTAATAGAACCAAGATATACCATTCACCCCAGAGCTTGTATTGATTGTGTCGCGTCTATCCAGGTCCAGGTTGTTGCTTCGCTTGTGCCACCCGCTCTTGACCAGGTACCTCATTCGTAATGGTCCCGATGAACTTCCCAACCTGAGCAGCAAGCCCGAGTTCCATACCCAACCTACCACTTTACGGTGAAGCCGTTCGTCATGGTCGATTATCCGTGTCTTGGGCTGACCAGGCTTGAACGCGGCGAGCAGTCCTATAGTTAGTACGTACATCATCACAAGCAGCCAAAGTCACAAGCATGCAACTGTTGCAGTAGGTGGTGATATTCTCCGGTGGTCGTATAAACTACCTAATCATAGTGTACAGGGGAATCGAAGCGTCGTAAAGCCTCTGGGCACTCAGTCCGCACCGCTTGCTTGGTTGCGCGGATTGAGTCAAGACTGCATCCTTAACTTCCTCCCTTGCTTTCCACTGCATGCGAGCCCTACGGCTGGCACCAGCTTGTGGATATCTCGAGTAGCCGTAGGTGTTGATCCTGCCAGTGGCGACAAAGGAAACCGATCTAGTACACAGGTAATGAAGAGTCGCTATGTCTGGCGGGTATCCCCTTCCTCTCAATGCCTTGAGATATGACGCCTGGCGCCGGCCCCAAATCCATTTCCTCGTTTGTCCTGTATCAAAACCCCGTTGCTCAATGCTGAAAAGATTGCTCTGAAAAATGCGGAACCATATGGGAGTCAAGAAGGCGAGCGAACCCGCTGCATCACTGCATCATCTCCATGTCATCGTCACCTTCTCGGATGTTGGAGGTAGGTGTCACGGCACCAGTCAGCCACTTCTGAAAGCTCTCGTTGACCTTCTGGACGTCATCCTGGCTGAGTCCCCGCATCCACGCGTTATTCATCACCATCTTCTCTCGGAAGCGCTGCTGGCGGTGTTCGGTGACAGCTTGGTTGCGCTCCTCGATCTTGGCTTTCTCTTCACGAGTTTCGGGGTCACTGGCGTATATGAAGAACTCCGATGTGTCCTTCTCCCAGACGATCTTGTCCGAGTTCAGGCAGATGCGCAACACCAGATTCTCATCAAACTTGAGAGGTTTCGGGGCAATGCCATCGTCAGAGTCCGTCTCGTTCGAAGGCAGATTCCGAGCAAGCACGGTCTTCTGGAGACGAGAGCGGGGGATACCTTCGGTAGGCTCGACTCGCATGTACGAGGAGATGTAGTACTGCCATCTCTCACGCAACTCCATTTCGTCCATATAGAACGTCGTCTCGTCTTTCTGTAACCAGCGAACCGTAGCCTCGTGGTTCTGCGGGGACTGTTCAAAAAGTTAGTGATACCACCTTAAACGAGCGGATGTGAACGTACCCAGCAGATGGCAAACATGTCGCCATCCTTGATACATTTCTCCGCAAACTTCCGAGCGGCAATCTCTGTCTGGTAACTGGTCTCCTCCTGACTGCGACTAGTCAAGAACTGTTGGATCAGGTCCGGCGTTTTCTCCTTCGAGTCTGAGCTTGTGCATATCAGAGACAGACGGCACAGGGTCTTGAGCAGATCCGGAATCGTGTACAAGGTCCAGCCCTTCTTGAGATAGTAGTGGCGCAAGACCTCCTGGTAGCGATTTTCCTCAATCTCTCCAGTGATGTAGTCCTCGATGAGGTCCACGGTCCTCGGCCAGAAAGAGTCAGGGTTACTCTCGTCAAAGTAATTCAGCATGTTGACAGCAATGCCCATTTCCTTGGCGGGCAACTTGCTCTTAGCGCGAGTGATCTCATCCAAGACGCTTTGCTGGCTGTCCCGGACGTCTTTCAGGCGCTTGTACAGTATCTGGAAGAGACTGAAGAAGACGTAGATTGTCTGGTTGCAGAAGAAGTTGTACCACGGTCGAGGGAAGAATCCGTCGGCCTTCAACTCCCCGTCGTCATCGAGGAGAGGGTTGGCGCCCTTGACCACTGTCGCTCGAGGAACAATTGGCAGCCATCGCTCATTCGACATGTCGGTGGAGAGAGGGTCTTCAGGTGCGTCACCCATTTCTTCCTCGTTCCCCGATCCGACGTCGGGCGTGGTTTCCTTGCTACCGGAGGCTGCGCTGTCTTCCTTCTGAGTGCGAGCCTTGGTACCATTGCGGCCGGGATCTAGAACGCCTCGCAGGAGATCCGACTTCTTGCCGTTTCGTCGCGATCGGCCGTTGGTAAGCTCTGCCGGGAGTTGATCCTCTGCGTCTTCCTCGCCAGACTCCCGATCAATATCCTTCAGGCGATCCTGAACTTTGTCCTCGGGAAGATCGAAAAACTGCGGGATGAACGACTCGAAGAAATCAACAATCCGTTCCTTCTCCGCAGCACTGTGCTGGCCATTGTTCATGCCGTAGAGGACCATGAAGCGCAGCAGATCAAGGATGACTTCCTGATCACCAAGCTCGTAAGCGAACTGATGACGCGCCACCTTTTTACTAACACTGCGCATTCGTCGCTGCTCCTCATGCTTGGTCTTAATGACATCAACAAGGTGCTTCGCGGAGAGATTTCGCTTGTCGGCCTGCTTGACTTGGATGCCCATGTGATCGAGACTCTTGAGGTGCATAACCTCGGTCTGCGCCAGCCAGACTTTCTCCCATTCTCGCTGGGTGAAGCGCCACTCCTCGTCTTTCTGCTTCAAGCGGGCCAATACCACGGGAACGACGGCGAAGGGGTCGGTGAACATATCGTTGACGACCTCGGCGCCTCTGTCGGCACCATAGATCTTCTTGAGCACACGTTTGTAGATGGAAGTGCTGGAGCCACCAAGTCCTGCTGGCATCTGGAAAGTTTCGCGCTCATGTTGTGCAAGGTTCAGCATTTGCTGAGCGATCGGCTCCAACAGCTGGATGCACTTGTTATTTGCTTCGATGTTGAAGTCGTAGTCGTGCCGTTCTTCCTCAATGCGGTGTAATCCCTCTTCAAAGGCATTCTTGCGGTGGGCAACGAATCCGGAATCTTCGGAGGCCCATGTGGGATGGGACGCCCATTGGTCGTTCAGTACCGCGTTGCACATCTCGTCTCGGCCACCGCAGGGCTTGAGCTCTTCCTGGAGGCCAAGCCGTCAGTAAATAAACAATCGTCTCCCAGCCTCAGGCATCAACCGTCACAGGGTACTTACACGTCTGGGCAAAAGCCGGTAGCTGGGGCCGCTTCCACGACAGTTGCTGAGCGATACTTTCTCGACCGGTGGTCGGGGTCGATTCTCAATGACCTCGTCCGCGCCCTCGAATTGGACAAACTTGGTGAAGTATTCCATGAGCTCGGGATTTCCGCCTATGAACTGGCTGGCCTTGTGGACCAAGTCATTTGTATCGATCAGGCACTGCGAGTACATGTTGCACAGCTTCAGGAACTCGTTCATGGTAGATCTGTTGCCAATGTACTTCTTGACCTTCTCGAAGAAGGCCATCTCCTCGCTAGTTGCATTCGCTGACGATGTAGGCGCCATCGGCTCGGGAAGGACGGGGGTGAGGGTCGGCTCGATGGAGAGGGCGTCGGTAGCGAGTGGCTTGTGGTTGACTTTCGGTCGCTTGCTCATAGGTCCGACACCGGGCATCGCGCGCGACCCTAGAGCAGGGCTGTCGGACATGGTCAGAGCGGACGGCGGTGGTTGTTTCTCGTTACGAGGGCGCTTCTTGCTATCTTTGCTGGCGCTGGCGGGGGGTGCGAAATTGCCCACCGGGGGGAGCCGCTGGCCGTCCTTCGCGGTGTGGGCGGGCTGCGGCGTCGCTTGGGCGAGGCTGGTCATAGCGAGGACGTCCTCAGAACGCGGGCCGTTCTTGTTCGAGGCGGCCGATTCGGGGAGGAATTGCTTGAAGTCTTCGAGAAGGTCTGGGGCGGTGTTGAAGAGGCCGGTGACTTGTGCATATACGTCATGAATAGGTTTTTGCTCGCGCTGGTAGGTTTGGAGGATTTCCAGGAATTGCTTGTAGATTTCGGGTTTATCCTGGAATCGGTTCTGTGTTAGGCCAAAGGTGTAAGTAGGCAGATCAGACGAAGAACATGGTCCAAGTGCTGAGGAGTGGGGGCAGTGAAGGTGGAAAAAATAAACAGTGCTGGTAGTGCAGTTACAATGCTGCGTCGCAAGTTGCGTCGTCGCGAGTTGCAACGTCGCGAGTTGCAACGTCGCGAGTTGCAACGTCGGCGACAGTTGAAAGGTGAAATTAAAGGTAAAGGTGGAATAAAAGCTGCGACTGCACACAACCACCTTACCTTGATTTTGTTGACGTAGCTAATCGCATGGTTGAACTCGACCGGGCCTCGCTTCTCCATGTTTGCTTGCTGGTTGCCACTTCCATTGGCACTGCCCTGCGCGGCGATACCTGGCGTGGGCGTTATTGCGTTGCGTGTCGTGGGAGGGTTTGGTGTAGTCGCAGCATTTGGAGCATGTGAATTGCCGCGCTGCTGCTGCTGCTGCTGCTGCTGCTGCTGCGGCTGTTGGCCACCGCCAGCCGGGCCGTCCAAGGCGGCAGCAGCAGCAACAACAGACGCAGTGGAGCCCTGTCCGGCCCCAAAGAGATTGGCGCCATTCATGGCAGGCACGCTGAAAGCGGCCTCAGGGCTCTCTATGCTGTTGTGCGGCTGCGCCGGTTGCCAGTTACTCGTACTCGACCGGTGGTTAAAGAAAGGCCCGTTCAATGCAGGCTGGCCGTGCGCCGCTTCGCCCTGGTTCCTACTGCCCGTTATGGACTGCACAGTTGTGCCCATGGGTGTCGTGACCCTGATAGTATTGGGGTCACCTCCACCACATTCGATCCTATACCCAGGAGGAAGAAAGGTGTTGAACCCCTGGATGAGGCTGGGGTTTCCGGCAAAGAGCTCCGATACACGGTTGATGACACCAGGCGTGTCGATTCTGCATGCAGGTGTAAGTTTGCATTCAGGACAGGGCCCGTTGTCTATACTCACGTTTGGCTCTTGAAGTCTTTCATAATATCCAAGAACTTGTTATAGACGTCGGGCTGCTCAGAAAATTGCACCTTGACCTGGTCCAGGTAGCTGAGAGCGTCCTGGGAAGACATTATGTCAGTAGGCGCAACAGCGGCTGAAGAGGGAAGCTCGAGGCAAGGTACACTTCGCTGTGCAGGAAGCGCAGCCCAGATGGCAGAAAAGCCCGCCATGGAATCAACAGAAATGAAAGTACTATATCAAGAACGAAGTTGTGACAAGTGTCATAGGTGCTTGAGGGTGAGGGAGCTCCACTTGAGGCGCGAGAGGCGCGACAGAGTTCATGAGACTAATTTCATATGGCAAACTTTATTCCCTCAGGGCTGAGCAACCATAAAAGGAGGTGAACGAGAAAAAATTGAAGTTGTCAACGTTCGACAACACAGGAACAAAGTCGGGGGTGTGCAAGTCAATGACAACAGTACAGCCGGCTTGCGCAAAAGGGGGTAGGGACAGAGCACCAATGACTTACGTTGAGTATAGGTTGCTGGCCTTGTGGTAGGGCACCGCTGCTGCCACTACCACCACCACCACTTGCTGCTCCAGGCATAGGGTGGCCTCCGCCAGGCATCCCACCACCACCTCCTCCACCTGCACCTCCACTACCGCCGCCAAAGGGCATGCCCTGGGTAGGGCGAGGGCCATCTTGTTGCAGCGGGCCCCCGAAGATAGGGCCTAGTCCTCCTGCTGGCACCGATGGCGCAGGGTTGGGACCGCCAGCCAGGGCCCCAAGCATCTGGGACGCATTCTGGGCGCTGTGTTGGGGTGGACGGTTGGAGTCGTTTGGCAGAGGCCCTCCGAATGCGTTGACGGGTCCCGAGGGGGCGCCAAGGGGCATGGGAGGACCCGAGCCGCCGTGGTTCATCAGGAGACCTCCAGGGCTGATAGCACCGGGAAGGCGCGAGGCGACGGGCTGATGGATCTGCAGAGATGCGGTGTTGCTGTGGTGCGGCGTGCCAGTCGGGAACTGATCTCGGTGGTGGCGCTCAGCCGACTCGCGATCCCTATGCGAGATATCGTCCGGATGGGAGTTCATGGCTCTTCAACGGAAAGCGATCCTGATAAAGGCGGATGTCAACGCGAATCCCCTCATATGACGCTCTGCGCGCGAGCTGAAACAGGGTCAAATGCACGTGTCAAGACTCCTGACTGCCAACCGGCAAAGAGCTTGCAAGAGCCACCCGATGACGGAGAACAAGGAGAAAACAGGCTGGGACAAGGGAGATACGCACGCTCTACATGGAAACAAGTGTTTTGGGGGTATCTCGGGATATCGACGAGGAAGACAAGCGACGACAGGGCGGCTTGGTGCGAAAGAAAGGGTTTCGAAGCTGTCGCGCGGGATTAGAGCATCCCAACCAGCAATCAGGATCGCCTTCCAAGGTCGATAAGGGCTACCCGTGTCCACTTGCCAGGGTAGTGATAACCCACGGAAAAGCCACGGGCCGCCCTATGATGTGAGATTTACGTGCTGATAGGCCAGTTATGTCAGGGATCGACGCTGTCACAAAGGGCGGTGACTCCATGCAGAATCTTGTCCCCCCTTTTCCCAATCAGTACCTAGGACAAAGAGTGACGTCGGGTGCTTCCGACTCCGGGCTGAATTTGCTGTTTGCTACCTCCTATCTCCGATGGCGGATGCCTTGACCACTAGCCAAGGTTTACATGCACGAACATACCCTGCTGGCATCCAGAGGGCAATCATTCCTAGAGGTAGTGTTGGCTTGAGTTTGTGGCTTATCGCAAGATACACTTCCTCCTTATGGGGTTATCACAATGCGTGGGAACGGGTGTTGTTCTTTGTCTTCAGTTGACGTGTAGGGAACAAGCAAACACGACGAACCCCACCAAGGTCAACCCGAGAACTGCATATCGAAATATGAGCCGGACGAAAAGGTTTCTGAACAACACACAGTCGTCGGTGATGGTGGACATGCCTTCGTGAGTCATGTCCGTTTAGTGATCACAAGTAGAGAGTGACTGTAGCCACATATGGGGCTCTTCAACGATTCTGAATTCACGCCTCTGGCATGGTGCTAACGTCAAGTGAGGTTGAAGCCAGGCGACTAAACACAGTCGAACATATCACGCCGAGTCAGCGCTTGTCTTCTGGTCGAAGAGCATGCACATGTGTGAATGCCACTTGAAGTGACCGTGCACGTTCATTCAGCGGTTCTAGTACTAGGTTGGTCATGCTTGCTTCGCTTGGTTGCTTGCTTGCTTGCAGTGTTTAACGTCTGCCGGATGCTGCAGTCCTGCCAAAGTCTCAAGGACAATGGGACATGACAAGCGGTCCAGTATCTATCTACGTATGCTAGCTACGTCCATGGTGATAGTGGCTCCCGAAGTCAGTTCAAACCTCCGTCAGGGTGAGGGTATCAGGCCCTCCAGTCCATTCCCTCTAGACCATCAGGTCAGCGGGTTCCTGGTCCATTACCGCTGTATATGCTAGCGTGTGGGATGTGGGTGTCGGTTCCCTCTTAGCAGTGAGGGTTGTGGGTAATGGGTACGCAGCACAAGTTTGCTAGCCCCTGGGCCTGGGCGAGTGCCTAGGTCTCAGGGGTTGGGATTCAGGGTCAGGGTGTCATTAAACCAGTGGAAGTAGAACAAAGGCAACACACAACATCTCAGAAAGAAGCACGACGAGGACCTAGGCCATGGTAAGGAGACCAAAAATATATTCAACTCCACAGAGCGAAGCCCAACTCCCCCCTCTAAATCCAAGCTCTACCATCTACCATCTACCCAGCCGTCGGGTGTACACGAATCGTCCATCCGGGCTCAACATCATCCATCCTACAGGCAAGTATACCCCCCAACAGAATCAACGACACACTTCTGGCCGGTGCCGCAGTACGCAGCCAGCACCCACTTTCCCACCTCGCAAACCTGAACAGTAGCGGTCCCGCTATCCGGGCTGTAACAGTAACAATTAGCTGGTTGCTCGCGAGCCACTATTGCATGTATGACATGGGAAACGGCCAGAAGCAGGGGGTGGACGCTCACTTGTAGCACTGGTAGGTGCCATCGGTGCAGGCAAAGGCCGAGCCGGCCAGGGCCGTGAGGCAGATGGCCATGATCTGGACGGGCTGCATGTCGGCGGCGAGTGGCTATTTCTCAAACTTTTGATTTGATTCTGTGCTTCGCGTCAGTGTTTGGAGCTTCTCGTGGGATACGTCCAGTGGAGTCTGACCGTTGAAGTGTAAGGGGCAGCTTGGTGCTCTGTGCTTGGTGAGATGCTTCTGGGCTGAATCACTCTAATATTCGAGGAGGTCCAAGCCCTTTATAGAGCGTCTCGAGTCATCCGAAGATCGACTCGCCGTCTCAGGATGACCACTCCGCGCGCATAAAAGGTATTCCCCAACACCTAGAAGCGGTCGATGACCGTCCCAGCGGCGGAGCCAACTAGGCGGAGGTTTCGAGACTGGGTGTCTTCAAAAATGATTCTGAGAAGGACGCGTAGTCATCCGAAGAGTCAGAAAGTATGTCACAGTGGTTGGGGACGTGCGAAGACGCTGTCGTATATTAGGTTGAACGATAGGGTGAAGACGCTGTTTCATCTGGTCTTTCCCGGAACGAGTCACGCCTCTTAACGCCACATCCACATAACCCTTCAAGCAGAAATGATGAAGTCCCGAAGTCATTCAGTTTCATATTGAATTATACCGCGGAAGTACTGGCGAACACTGCCAGTGGTCCCATGTCGATCCATGCCAAACCTCGGCATCGACCACAGTATCGATTTCCGAGCAGCACTCAGGAGAGATCTGCAACAATACAGGTCATGATGACGACGCAGTACCTGTCCACCAGCACTGCCTGGTGCCGTCCTGCCGGGTTGGGGTGCGTGAAAACAGACATTCGTTGCATGTATATCGTGTGTGTAGCACATCCGTGGCTCACTAGGCGCCCGCCCATAAACAAATCCGGAATTCAGTCGCGTGTGGTGTAGCTGAGCATACGTCCCTCCTCGTCTTCCAGTGGCTGTCTGTACTCATCCCCCAACGTGACGAACTTCGTCTGGGTCGGTACGTCGAGCTCCTTGACTGGGAACACCGGCGCACCTTGCTTGTCAAAATAGGGCCTCTCATGGTTACGGTATAGAGAACCATGGACCATGCGTTACATGGAGTAGTGGAAGACCGAAATCTTCTATGCGTAGTTCCGGGTTTCCTTCAATATCCACACCTCACCATTGCCAACTCGGCTAGCGATACTCTGGACCTCGATATCGTCGGGTTTTATCTAGCAGGTGTCATTAGGATCTCCCTATCACGCCATATAAGAGTAACTTACCACTTTGACGCCGTCCTTCATCTCCCACCAGATCTCCCGGTCCCCATCCAGTAATGACTTGACCTTCTCCTTCTCGGCCCACGGGCTGGCCGGGACCACATGCGCCTCGACAAATCTCCGCAGGTTCCGCTGTGCCCTGTCTTTGCCATCACCCCCTTCGTACGCATTAGCGCCGAACGCGTCGTATTCCCTGGGGTCCTCCCACGGCTTGCGCGGCAGCCTCTCGACGGCGGAGTTGAGCGGGGCGAGAACGGTGCTGTTCTCCAAGGAGGAGTCGAGACGGCTCGATATCGAAGCTATATCCCGTGTGAAGCTGGCGAATATGTTGATGCTGCGATCGCGGCCCATCACGTCTGATATCAGGACTCGTCCTTGCGGCGGCGGCTGCGACTGCTGAGGATCGGAGGGCTTCGAGGGCGGTAGCGCAGGCATGAGGGGCAATTGGGGATCGGACTCGGATCGGATGCCGTTGGGACGGGTGGCAACGTGGGCAAATGCTGTCGCTGATAGTATCTGAAGGCAACAAACCGCCGAGAGCCTCATCTTGATGTTACTAGGTAAGGTCCTTGTTGAGAGGGAGGTCTGAATGGATAGGTGCCTACCTTGGTGGGCAAGCGTCGAGGCGCCAAGGCGTGAGGCTAATGTTTTAGGTGGTGTGACATCATCGCATTTGGCCGTGACCGGCGACCGCCAGCTGACAAGTTATCTCAGCAAAGCTCAGACCTACTAAGCGAAAAAGACGGTCTGCTTTAAAAGGAGATAAGACTTTGGTAAGGTATCAACATCTTTCGGGGCACCCTTGGACCACCACCTTCGTCGAGTCACGATACGTTGATTGCACAAGCAAGAGTAAGACAAATCCAAGTCATTGGTGTTCGTTCTTCACACCCATTGCATTGCACGCACGATTCGTGGATATTATTATCTCATAAACTGGCAATCATAGCGGAACTGTACTACCTGAAGCATTGCTGAGCCCCTACAGTACAAACTGACGCCGAACGCCAGTTGGTACGGTACCTCAACAACCACGTCCGCAAAAAAAACCCAAGCCCAGCTGACTTGACAGTGCCGAAGCGAACAGCTATAGGCGCCACGACTACTCAACGCAGCATCCCATGGAACCACCCGTAAACAATGTCCCACTCAGCATCCGTCCAGACCATCTTCAAGCAGACAGCCCCAACCAAGGCTCCCACGCCAAAGGCCGCAGGCAGATATGGTCCCGTCCTCGGATCATTCCTCAGGAGTTTAAGAAACTCAAGGCTGGCAACCGTGATTCCCGTAACGAGCGTAGCGGTAGCAATCACACAGCCCCAAGCGTCTCTTTGGGGCAAAGCGGGTGAAGGGTCCATGCTTGGGACGGTTGGCTAGGCGGCTCTGAACGAGATGGGTGAAGCGGAGGGAGAGACTCGTCGATGCAGCGGGCAGTTGCTAGTACGAGAGGTAGAGATCAGGCAGCAGAAGAGTGTGAAGGAGAATTTCGGGACTCCCGCAGGTCCATTTATACGGTACGTACCCCATATACCCCATGGGATTTATAGACAGGGGCGTAGGAAGATGCCTATGCGTAGTTGATCCGAGCTTGGGCTGGGCGTCGGTCAGACCGACCTCGGGACCGACGGTGACGATATGGGGTTGTGCTCCTTCAAGAAATGTGGTGTCTGGTAAGAACAGCACATGGCATATTGGGGCATCCCCACGTGCGCAGTCTGATACAATCCTCAACGTACAATATATCCACTGAATATATCCCACTGATCGTCCGTCGCTTATGTAAATATAGCCTACTTCCATTTGTATAACTGTGACCTACATAAATATCGTAAACCCCTGATCCCATCCTGGTGTTGATCTGTCATCTGTGGCAATACAGGCCCACTAAACATATTCCTTCCAGCTGGTAGGGCAGCTCCGGAATCTTTAATCGGTGTTGGAAGTCTGGGAAGCCGATCCTGTGTCAGCCCGACCTACTGCCTACGTGACCAGTTCTAGACTTCAGCATTTCCCTAGTCTTGGGTGAGTATTGTCACACAGGGTCACTTCCTCCTCGCCACTGAGAACTCCCTGGCCGTAGGTGACGTGACCGGTACCAGGAAGATATTTATGGCCACTGCAATAGCCCACGAGGCGGACGAAAGCTGTTATAAATGAGTTCGGTTACCTCCTGCCCTTCCCTCGACGAGTTTTTTCGATATGTATAGTCCCACTCGACTCCTGAACAATTAAAAAAAAATTTTAAGCAGCATAACACACGTCCGCTCGTACTTCATTCAGTGACATCACATCCATTTCCAGCGCTCTGCTGTTCTACATCCGCCCACTATGAGAGACGTCTACGTCCTCCTCGCCGCGGCCAGCATCTTGAGCGCAGCCAACGGCACACCCATCAACGACCCTGTCCCGCATTCCGCCTCCCTTCCTACCACGACCTCCCTGGCGGTCCGACACGATGACTTGGAGGCGTGGAAAACGGTCCTTCCCGCACCTACCTCGACGGCCCTAGCGGTCCGGCACAACAGTCTATCACCCCGCCTGGGCACCGGGATCGATATAGTACCCGCAGGCGCATGGAAGGTGTTTGGCCAAATCGTCGAAGAACCCCGGTTGATAGCCGCCGCCGTCTTCTCGGTCGGCACCGGCATAGCCGCCTACGAGGTCTGCCGGCTCTGGCTCGGCGATAGGGACAACGGGAAATGCCTCGGCATCGGCCGTCTGATCGTTTCTATCATCGTCTCCATCTTGTCCGGCGTGTGGCTCAGCGAAAGTTTCGGTGTGACAAAGTTGTTGCCCAACGCGCTGAGTCGTCGAAGTGTCACCCTGGCAGGGCGGCTGGAAAGCGACCTGCGCTCCCGCGGCCTTGTCTTTGACAGTATTGATGTCATGTCGTTGGCGAAAAGGGGCGAGGCTGATGATGGGGCTAATGTCTTCAACATCCGCGGGATGACGGCTGGCGACCTTGCTCTCGACACCAGCTTCACCGTGCGGGAAGACGGGAGCGGGCACGCCACGGTAGCACCTCCCGCCCCAGAGGGCAGTCTCGCGGCGCGTGAAGTCACGACCCGTAGCGGCGGTTTCAAGATCGACTACAAGTTTGCCAAAGGCAAGGGCAAAATCGAAAAGGTGGACTTTGACTTCGAAAAGATCGCTGGAGCTATTGGCGACGACTGGGAGTCGAGGGCCGAACAAATAAAAGGGAGAAACTATCTCGCCACCATACACGCCGGCAACGACAATATCTTCAACTTCCTCATTCAGCCGAAAGACAAGGCTTTCGAGGTTAAGTACGAGGAAGTCAAAGACGAGTGGTTCCCCAAGTTCGACGTGGACGACATCGATTGGAAGGAAGGCGACCTGCTCGACAACAAAGAAAGATCCTTCCATCTGGGATCACTTGTTTGATGTATAGGTCACTTCGTTGATGTATGGGTTATGGCTAAGGAGAGTAGCCACAGATGTACAAGAATATGTAGATACCAAATCCGTGCGGGCGCTATAGATTTGTTTTAACTTGGACAACCTCTTGGGAGACGGCGTTTTTGGAACGGGTACACATCTTGTACTATTACTCTCATACAAACCCACAAGGACCAGGCCAGTGTCCCTGAAGCATGAATTCAAATTCATCTCGTTCAACTGACACTCGTGGAGGCGTAGTGACGCAGACCAGGCCGGCAACATCGCCTACTCAACTGCCCATGCAGTCGCGGTGTGAGCGTACTAGCTACACTCAGCCCCCATATGTCTCCGTTCGCGCCATGTTGGAAGAATTCCAGACCACACGTGAGATCTTGGAAATACTGGAATAAGCAGACATGAATAAGCAGCTCGTGGGTATAAAGTCATCTTCAATGCTCGTTCCAGCGTGCTTATTCCATTTATGATGAACGCACTTCGGTTAGTGGATGAGGAGTGTACGGAGACTTATGAGGGCTGAGTGTACCTACTATAGATAGCAAAGGATTTGTGTCTGTTCGAAAGACTCTCCATCTCACACTTCACATGTGTCCCAGCTTGAGTTCGCCTCAAGGGTTCAGACGCAGTGAGACACGTAATTAAGAACGCCGAGGTCAACTCTGCCAACTCCTATCCGCACTCCACACGTCGAACAGCGGCGTTTCCACAACAAGTAAATTCAATATGGACTAAAGAGGCACCTACTCCTACCATCCAACGACCCCTCCCCCACAACGTCACCACTTCAGACATACAGATTCCTCGCCTGGTAGCAACGCCAATGGGTCACAATCATCATGTACAACAGCCTCTCGAAGACAGTATCGCGGGCCAAGCCCGCGTGTCCCGGCGGCCCATCGGCAGCAGTCCACGAGGGGTCCGGCTTCACCGGCCCGTTGGGGTTAAGCCCGAATTCCACATTGGTGCCGAGCTTGCCTCTAGCCCTGTCTTCGGCGTCCTTCCGTGCGCCGGCCATGCGTCGCCGTTCGTCCAGTGAGTCGACGCGCACGGTGGACCCGGGCAGCCGGGGCCTTAGGATGCGCTCGAGGCGGCGGCGGGCTGCCTTCTCCCTATCAGCCGGTGTCTCTGTCTTGGACGATTTCTTTCCTCCGCCGCCCTGTCCGCCGTCACCGCCCTGTCCGCCGTTGTCACCATCGCCTTCTTCGTCGTCTTCTTCATCGCCTCCCTCTTCATACCTCAGCCTCCCCTGGAATCCCTTCTCAAGCTCCGTCCAGGCGCGGATGTTCGCCTTCCGTCGGGCCATGTACCTCGACAACCTCTTTTTGAGGTCCTTTCCAATGTTGGCCCTGTCCGACATGACCTTGTCTCCCGCGTCCCAGGCGCGCTCGTACATGATCCAGTCGGCCAGGCGGTCGCGCAGCGCGTCGCGCATCTCGAGGTCCGTCACGGGGGGCTTCGCGACCACGATCAGGCGCATCTGCAGCGCGCGCAGGTACTTCAGCTTGAACGCCTCGAGCCGCAGCTCCTTGAGCTGCGCGTTGCCCTTCGTCTTCATGAGGTTCCTCACCGCGCGCCGCTGCTTCCTCAGGGCGTCGGCGAGCGGCATGGCGATCAGGTCGCGCTGTTCCTGGTCTTTGGGGGTCGTCTCGGCCTGGTAGTAGTCTACTCGGGCCTCCTTCACGATATTTTCGAGGTCTTTCTTATAGTCTGCCATAGTATCTGGTCGGTTCTTGGTCGTGGGATGCTGGAGTACGGTTTCGTCAGGCCGAGGTCTGTCTTTAGGGTAGGCATCATCATTTAGGTCCTTGAGGTCGGCCCTGGCGTGCTCCAGAGTCATGGTGTAAGGGAAGATAGGACGACCCTTTCTGGGTCCCGGTGGTCCCCCGCCACCGTATCCGCCTCCTGAACCGCCTCCCGACCCGCCTCCTGATGAGCCTCCTTTGGTGGATGGCTTTGCACGGGATGCTGCGATTGCAGCTGTTTCCTCAGCAGAGAGCGGACCCCCGAGTTCCTGCCGAACTCTCACAATGCCCGAACGGGTACCCTTTCCGTAAAGAAACGCGTCGGACCCCGGCATACTATCAATATACATAGGTCGGGTGCTCTCGTTGAAAAACCCGTCTGGTGCGTCGGCGAGATCCTCGGGCAGCATAAGAGCGTCGAAGGCTTCATCGAGCTGGTTTTGCGACCAGCGGATGTAGTTGCGACGGTCGTCGTTACCCCTGAGGGTTGTGTTGTCCCGCGCGGCCATGAATCTCTCGTATACCTCGTCGAAGGACTCCGACCCCCGGAGATCGTCGCCGTCCCAGGCCTGTGCGGCGGGAGGTTGAAAACTGCGAATCAGATGTGCCATGCGGACGAGATGCAGCCCCATGTCGGGGTGGAGGCCAAGGAATGGCGCAGAGGCTAGGTCATCGTAGGCGGCCCTCAACAACCGGAACATGGGTGACACGTCCGCTACCGCGCCTTTTGCGAAGTCCAACATGGGTTGAAGAAGACTTACACCCCGTCGAAAGAGATCATCGACGCCCGCTACGCCACCTTCGACGATGGGGTCCCTGGCGCTGCCACGTAATGTACCGATGATATCGAAGTAGGTTCGTACGAAATATGGCCCTCGCATCCCAAAAGCTTTGGCCGCGAAGTCCCGGAACTCATTGGTAAGTGATGTCTGAAATGTCTCCAAATCTTCCGCATATTTTGCCGCCCTCTGCGCTGGAGTGTACTCCGGAATATCATCCCAATCATCATCCATCTTGAGCTGGTCACAGTTCTCACGCAAAGAACTATGCCGGTATAGAGTGGTGTTTGGTTTTCTCTGCCCAGACAGGACCTTTTAAGTGACGGAAAAATGGAAGATGTGTCGATGGCAAATGGCAGACACATAGCAATGAATAGGGGAGAAGCGTATATACCAGAGGCTCTGGGCTGTAAGCGTACGACTTGCAACAAAGAAACAATGGCAAGACCGGACCGGATCCGGTTCATTGCACCTAGAGTCCGTTTCCAGCACCGTCCGTCTATTCCCAAGTACGATTGGCACAAAGACCTTGTTGTCGAATGCGATGGTACGTGGGCTTCACCACCGGTTGCAGACATGGTTGAAGGAGCCCCTTGGCCTCAAAGCTTCAACATGGCCTCTTTGACCCCTTCGTGGTCTCTTTCGTCTACCAGCCAGGCTTTGCACAAATATACTCTTATCCCATCTTGGATGATAGCCCCTGTAATCTACTAGAGCGTCAGTAAACACCAGCAGTACGACCAACACAATGTTTGACGATGTTCCTATGGGGGGTGTTACGGCGGCAGATGCAGCTTCCGCCGCTAGCATTCACCCCTTCGAGGTAAGAGAGACGGAGACGAAGGGCAAGGGCTGCTTTGCTACCAGGGACATTGAAGCCGGTGAATTGGTCTTGATGGCGCGGCCCGATATCATACGTGACGAGGCCAGGCCCTTTGATGAATTCATAAGACCTACGAAGATCTCGGGCCGGAACAGAAAGCAGCATTTCACCAGCTATCCAGCTATAGGTCCCGCAGGAGGGTCAGGGCAACGGAAAGGAACCTGAGGAAAAGGTCGCTAGGCCTCCGAATATTCACGGAAGAGGAAATCGAGAGATATACTGAGGTGACTCTCGTAAGTCGTTCTGCGAGGCATTCAGCCCCCCTTCGGTTATTCGACTAGAAAAAATACTGACTCGTATCTGTAGATCTACGATTCAAATGATTTTGGTGTAGAGTCGTTGTACCAAGGTGAACCCGTGCCCTTGGACATGAGCTGCGTCTATTTTACGGCTAGCAGATTCAACCACTCATGTGACCCTAACCTTGAGTGGCAAACCTGGGTAGAATCGCCGTGGTTTACTGCAAGGGCATCGCGTAAGATCAGCGCAGGGAACGAGTTGACGGTTTCTTACTTGGGAGGACCGATGTCCAGGGCCCAACGGCAAAGGGATCTGAAATCTGGTTGGGGATTCGACTGCGCTTGCACGAGGTGTACAGCCGCACCGGTCGACTACGATACTCGACTAGAAGAGATCGTTGGTACTCAGCGGCATGCTGCTTCGCAGACTCAGCAGGGTGCTCCTGTCTGGCCCCCGACCGAGGACGAGACAGCCCCCAGACACGCCCGGCGGCTTCAGCTTCTCGAGGTGTTACAGTGGCACGGCGACCTGCATTTTGCGTGAGTATTCGTATCCGGTACGTTGAACGTGCACTACTAACTCTGACCAGTTACTTTACGGCTGCTCACTTCCACTTTGAGCGATACCAGGCCTTGTTAGGGAGCGACAGAGCGAAGGCCATGGAGAATCTCAGACAAGCTGTGATTTACCAGAGAAAATCTTGGGAATCGGGAAAGACTGCTTTTTTTGCTCAAGACCCTTTGGTCGCTCAAGCAGGCTCGCAACTGACAAAATGGGGCGCAGTGTTGGCATCGGAGGAGGCCTAAGAGGGCGCCGGGGTGTGCGGCAGGAGGAGCGGCATAGAGTTGACTTTTCAGTCTTTGTAATTGTAGATAAACAAGTAACTATACATGTTCTTTAGTCAAAGGGTTAAGACGGTGCTTGAGATGGCATACCGCTCATTGAGACGTCGGTCACGTCTGGTGACGACAAGCGTGCTGTCTTCAATTGAGCTGCAACAGGGCTGCGCTGAAAGGCACCATCACTCCGGCAGTTGCCTCGTCGAATGTGATAGTGCCTATTCATAGAGATTCGAAGAAGCGAACATCTTGGAGCCGGTTGTCGAAGCGCTGCTTCTCATTCCCTGCCAGGTAAGTAGTTGGGGGTCCTGGGGTCCTGGGGTCTGGGCAATGGAACTACATGAGGCCGTTCGATCGCCGTCCGGATGCGGCTCTGTGGTGTGCGGTGTAGACTATTGGAAGGTAGAATTGCCACACATGAATAGGAGAGTGGCACTGAGTGGAAATGTCGGATGTGGGAACTCCACCCCCAGCTGGAGGTGCCCAATCCGGGGGCGCTACCCCGGCTTTCACATGCAAATCCACATTCCAGGCTGCCCAGACCCGGTGGTCAGCTGGCAGCGGGCGGCGTGATGCGTGATGCGCGATCATGAGACGCGCGACTCTTCGTGTGGGGAAGCCCCGTTTTTCCTCACCACCTCGTGTCATTCATCATTCGCTTTTGAATTCGTGACTGCTGTCCGGCGGCCATCACATGTGACAGACGAACCACCAGGGCGGCTTGGCGATGGCCTGCCTCATTGGATGATCTGATTCCCCGGAGAACCACCCAAGATCATTACCCCATGGGCAGAAATCCCCACGTACGAGTGCTTGCGTCGTTATTGGGCGGCGTCCTGGCCGCCTGGGTGTCGGAAACATGTTGAGCCGCAGAGGGCCGGGGCCCGGCAGAGCAAGAGACGACGAAAAGAACAGACAAGACAGAAGTCCAATGTGGCGGTCCTAACCGTCGGAGTTAAGCAGTTACAGCTGCAACTTTGCGAGTTGGGGCCTTACCGTTTTCGGCGCAGACCTCGGCATTCTGGCCGGAGTCTCGGCGCCAGTCGGTGACATCACCTTGACCCTTGACCCTTGACCCTTGAGACGATGCCTTTCTCGTGGAATGGACAATGGATGCTCACAGCCGAAGGCGGTCCAACACGCAGCAATGCGGTGGTAGTTGAGTGCCACCGATAGACGGTTCAGAGGACCCTGTATCGTTTGTGCATTGAAATCAACGGCACCGTAGAGGGAGGCGAATAATCGCCATTGTCCATCCCTTCCAGGAGGTTGTTTTGGGTTTGGCTTCGGGGAAGGCTCCATTGCAGTTACAGTGGGCTAGTGTCCCCGGGTGGGCAGGTGGGGGGTGCTGGGAGCTGGAGCCCCACTGGGAGCTCGCAACCCGATCCGCCGAACCGCCGCCGTTATTACAGGTGTTATTACAGGCTTCTAGGGGCTGTTGATTGCTGCTAGGGGGCGTCTACGGTCTAGGATGCCTGCCCCAGCGCCGAGTCCAGCTGAGCCCACTGTAGAAAGCCCACCACCCCGGCCTGTCCGCCTGTCTCGTCGACAGTCGACCTCGGCTCATCCGTTGCACGTTGCAGCTGTGCACGAATCAGCGTGTCAGCATTTCAAGCAACTGTCTGCGGAGATATCAAGCCCGGCATTCCTCTCTTTGAATTATTGACTCTTCGCAACCCTCTACAGTACCTTCTATCTGCTATTCCTTCAGACCTGCTTTCGTTTCACCCCATCATATCGCTTTTCCCTTTCAGCGGCGATTGGCAGTGGTTCCTACGTATTCCACCAAACCAAACCAGACACGATGGCCCCTCGTGTGATCGTTGTTGGCGGTGGCTGTAAGCTTGACCAACCTCTCCGCTCAGTCAATGCCAGCGTCATGCGCTGACAACTCTACGCAGTGTCCGGCCTCAGTGCTGCGCATACTATATATCTTGCCGGTGGCAACGTTGTGGTACTTGACAAGCAAGGTGAGCCGGTCTTGTCCACTGTGACGACCGACCCAGCTGGCTGACAAGCATTCCCAAGGTTTCTTCGGAGGCAACTCGACCAAGGCCACCTCTGGTATCAACGCCGCCTTAACCCGCACTCAAGTCGACCTCAAGATTGCCGACAGCGTCAAGCAGTTCTACGATGACACCCTAAAGTCAGCACGCGACAAGGCGAGACCTGACCTGATCAAAGTCCTCACATACAAGTCTGCCGCCGCGGTCGAGTGGCTACAAGATGTTTTCAACCTTGATTTGACGCTGGTTTCGCGACTTGGGTACGTTCCGGCAGACCCCCTACTGCAATCATCCCTTGCTGACAACTACCTAGTGGACACTCCCAGCCAAGGACACACCGAGGCCACGATGCCAAGTTCCCCGGTATGGCCATCACGTACGCGCTCATGCAACGCCTGGAAGAGCTGTCCGAGAACGAACCCGAACGAGTGCAGATTATCAAGAAGGCTCGCGTGACGAGTCTGAACAAGGAGGGCAACAAGGTCACCGGTGTCCAGTACGAGGCCGGTGGTGAGGTCAGCACCGTTGAGGGCCCGGTCATCTTGGCTACGGGTGGTTATGCTGCAGACTTTGGCGACAGCTCGCTGTTGAAGCAATATAGGCCCGACACTTTTGGGCTCGCCACAACCAACGGCACGCATGCCACTGGTGATGGTCAGAAGATGGTCATGGCCATTGGGGGCAACGGGATCGACATGGACAAGGTCCAGGTCCACCCCACAGGTCTGGTTGACCCCAAGGACCCTGGATCCAAGTGGAAGTTCTTGGCTGCTGAGGCCCTGCGTGGTGAGGGTGGTCTCTTGCTCAACGCAGACGGTGACAGATTCTGCGACGAGCTGGGCCACCGAGATTATGTCTCTGGCATGATGTGGAAGGAGAAGGAGAGTAGCAAATTCCCCGTTCGGCTGATCTTGAATTCCAAGGCATCCAACACCTTGGACTTTCACACTCGCCACTACTCTGGTCGTGGGCTGATGAAGAAGATGACCGGCAAGGAACTCGCCAAGGATATTGGCTGCTCTCCCGACCATCTTCAGAAGACCTTCACCACCTACAATGCCATCGCCGACGGCAAGGAGAAGGACCCGTGGGGCAAGAAGTTCTTCCACAACGGACCTTTGGACATCAATGACGACTTCCACATCTCTGTGATGGAGCCGGTTCTTCACTTCACCATGGGTGGAATCGAGATCAACGACAAAGCCCAGGTTCTCAACCAATCACAGCAACCCTTCGAGGGTTTATACGCTTGCGGTGAGCTGGCTGGTGGTGTTCACGGTGCCAACAGATTAGGAGGATCCTCTCTGTTAGGCTGTGTCGTCTACGGCCGCGTCGCTGGTGACACTGCAAGCAACTACCTTTTCCAACAAGCACTATCCGGCTCTGTTGCAGGCGCTGCTCAACGTCTTGGCCAAATATCTCTGCACATTGACCCATCTCAACCTGGCAAGATCTCTGTTGAATGGGCAAACGGTGCTTCAGGGGATGCCTCCGGCTCTTCAGACTCGTTGCCCTCGAATGGCGTAAGGACAAGTGCGACTGGGCCAACACCAAATGCTGATGGTGGCAAGTCTGGCCAAGCAGCCTCGAAACCGCAAAGTGCCAAGAAGTTCGAGGTGCCAGAGAAAGAGTTCACCATGGAGGAGGTAGCCAAGCACAACAAGAAGGAGGACTTGTGGGTTGTCGTCAAGGGCTGCGTAATGGATCTAACGAACTGGCTGGATGAACACCCTGGCGGTCCTCAGGCGATCATGAACTTCATGGGCCGAGACGCCACGGAGGAGTTCGAGATGCTGCACGACGATGAAGTCATCCCCAAGTATGCGCCCCAGCAGGTCATAGGGCGGGTGAAGGGTCAGGAGATCACGCTTGAGATCTAAGTCACATGTGTATTTCGGGGTGGCGCAAAATCGGGTTGCCATCAGGGTTACCATCATGGTTCGTGCTCCCGGCTGGACTCTTTGAAGTCTGACCAGCCTGTCTTCGCACATTATACATACTCCCTGAAGGTGGTCGAGGGGAAAAGCTGCTGGACTAGGCGCTTATGTTATGTTGCGCGGCACTGTATTATCGATACTTGTTTTTGGATGCATTGAACCTCTAGGCTTATCAGAATATCAATTCTATTTCAACAACACTCATTCTCGTCACGGTTGTGACTCTCCCTATCCCCTGTCCCCCTCCATTCGTCCGCAGCTGTTCCTGGTGCTGCCGCGCCCGAATGCCGTGATTGCGATCCTCTGCGAGGGAACATGCGGTGTCTCGGATACCTGCCTTGGGTAGGTAGGTAAGTAGGTAGGTAAGTAGGTAGGTAAGTAGGTAGGTAAGTAGGTAGGTAAGTAGGTAGGTAAGTAGGTAGGTAAGTAGGTAGGTAAGTAGGTAGGTAAGTAGGTAGGTAGGTGGTCTGGGAATGACCCCCATCTCTGTGCGTGTGCGTGTGTTGCGGAAGGGTAGTTAGTTTGTTGTGGATGGACGGACGGACGGTTGGTAGCATGGCGGGTTGTATGTTATTGAGGACGGGGTCGGTTTGTGGCACGGTGGGATGGTAGGGCCGAGGAGGGGCAGGGAGTGAGTGATTGGTACGTAGGTAGGTGTACACTCTGAATGACTTTCTGGGGGATCTGCTTTGTGTGTCTTTGCCAAGGCGTGTTGGGTGGGGGTGTAGGTCGTGGTTGTGGTTGTTGAATATGGTTTGTGTAAGTGTGTACCAATGTGTGTAGGTAGTAGCTGTATGCTTGTGTACGTGTGTGTATGTTCCACTTGGGGTGTGCAGAGCCTCGGGGGCTGGGGCTGGGGGGTTGGATGGGTGGGGGTCAAGAGAGAGGAAAGGAGTACCGGGGACGGTTTTCTCTTTCATTTCTTTGATGAACATGTCTGCTCTCGCAGATTTTTCACCGAAGCTACGGCTAATGAGATGGAGTGGTCACATAGGTAGTCACAAGGCTCTATTGTTCACTGGATGTTATGAGGGTGGGCAGATGATTGCTCGATACAAGGCGTCCTGTAACACAAAGTACCAAGCCCCTATAAGTAAGATCAAGACCTGTTGCCGTCGTCAGGAGGTAGCGAGCGGGCCCCTGAGAGCATGGATACTTGAGGTTGATAAGACGACCACAAGTCCACACGAATGCTTTCTCAGAGGATGGTGATTGACAGCCTTCTTCTTGTGGTGTAACATGTACTTCATATTGTATGTGGAATTTTCTGTGAGTTAGAGAAAAACTCGGTCATCCCGTTGGGAGCTATCGACACTATATATGCATTGCCCTGTGAAGACTATCCGAGAGTATGATCAGGATGAGGAGGGAACGTGACGGTGCGTGAGCACAAAGACCTCGGACCGTACGTCGGTGTGTTCGCATTTCATCAGCTTCCTGCCCTCATCTGACCCGAGTCTATGGGAACCTTTGTCGTGTTGGAAGGTCCATCGTGTACTCCCCCGTTTCTTCATAGCTCTTCCCCTCCTCATCCCTCCTTCGTCTTCCTCCAAGCCTCCCTTTATAGCTCGAGGCATCTCACGTCTGGGGACCGGCCGTGCTTGAGTGTAGCCATGCTCGCCAGAATGCCACCGATGACTCATAGGCTCGCGACCTCGATGAGTAAAGCCTGGACTCCCTCGCCCAGTTCGAGCCCGAGGGCACCGAGTGGTCCTCTCGCAAACTGGTGTGCAGCGCCCCTGTGTCGTTCAGTCTTTGGCGCGGGAGTTCAGGATCTGAGAGCACCGCTGACTAAGGTGGACTGACTGATACGCTGGCGTCCTGCTTGGGAGGGAAGACATCATCCCTGCCGGTAGACGTCGAGCATCGCCCATGGGCGGGTCGGCGCTGGCCATACGCGAGCGTAGGGCGAAGCTCATGCGAGATGATGCACACAACTTCTCAGGCTGACGTCGTAGCTAGAACCACCTAACTCGAGCCGTCTCTCTGGTCCCTGTGTCGTGGCGACATTGGCGAGACTTGCGAGTGCTGGGATTCGTAGGATTCTGTGGCGGGTGGCGGAGAGGCTGCGCCACCGGCGAGTGCGAATATGCTCCCTTGGCTGCTCTTGTTCCCTCACAATTCCAAGCCTTTGGGTCCCTTTGTAGGGACTCTAGTCCTGAGAAAGGCAATCCTGTGGTCGCTTGCTTATCGGTAGTTACTGAGAAAGGGGCATGGCCGACCCTTTCCAGAAGTACATACACGGGTATTCCCAGACTCTTGACAGCGACGATGGAACATCCAGCGACGTGGGAGATTGCGAAGGCCATTGTATTTTTGAAGGACTCAAGGATATGGCTTCGTGTCGAACATTGTATTTTCCAGTGAACTCAAAGGAGCACTCGGCCGAGTGAAGAGTCGAATGCCAGAGCGCATACTTCGCCTGATGGGGAGAGGAGAGGCCTTTGCCTCGGATCTACACTACGCTGGCGGTTGGTTGTCGTATCACGCGAGGTTGTCTCAGACTTTCATATCTGAACGGATGTGGTACCACAGAAGAAAAGGCGACCACACAATCCTGTTGAAGGCACCCCCAACCCAGACCGGTCCACGGAATATTGCACGCTGGGCCTCGATACAAGCGGCTTGGGTCCTGCAGCAAGGAGGGTGGAAGTCAGCGCAAGTGGTGGCACGGAGTACGAATCCACCAGTGTAAGTAACATAACTACTTCTATGGAGTGAACGTCGAGTCCAAGAAGAGTCATCCAACACCATGGGAGTAGTAGGCGCTGGCTACTACAGAATGGTTTGTGATCTCTCAGCAGTTGGGTTTCGTGCCAGGCTGCGGCGCGAGTGGCGGTTCCATGCAAGACATGGCCACCGAACGATATATTGTCGCTGTTGGAGTCGGTCTCGATCGGAAACAAGCGACTCATTATCGAGGTGAGGCTAGATACTGACTGCATCCTGCGCCTAGCGCCACCAAGGGGAAACGGTCGCTTGTATCTGGTTGGGTGCCAGGGACACTCGCCTGAGCCATTTGGAATACCAAAGGCAAGGGGAACCGCGGAAAGCCGTGAGTATCGAAAATAGCTACGATGCGACATGATCCTTCCTGTGTGACCATCAATTGCTGATGATGACGACGATAAAGGTAAGTAAGCACTGAGTCACGACTCGTGTGTGCGGCCTTGTGAAGTGGTCTTCGTCGCAAGCTTATTACATACATCAAAAGGAATACTCGGATGACAGACGGATCTTCTGGACGAGCTCGAAGGGACTCAACACCTAGGACTGGCAGCCGATGAGGGCGTCAACCTCTAGGCTAGAATAGGCGACAGAGGATTGTCCAAATAGGTGACAAATTCCGTTGACCGCAGGTTCGGGGTCGAGACTTGGGTAGGAGCATGGGTTGTTGTCGAAGTGCAGTGAGTGCGGCACATATTGTAGTAAATGAATCTGTAGCTGGAGGTATTCAGGTTGACGTTGATTGATGATGGTGCGCCGTGGATGGTGCCGGTGCCAGCAGAGTAGTACATCCCAACTGGCAATCGCAAGATGGGACAGCAGGGGCGACCCTCTGCCAGTTCAGTCGTCCCTTCCCCATGGGCCATGGTCACCTCCAGCTAGGTACCTAGGAATGCCATACCTACCCGTTCAGCCCACCTGCACCCAATGTCGTCCGCCTGAATCCAATATCAACAGTCAACATTCAACAATCTACGGTAGGTACCTGTGTAAGTGTTGCGACACTGCCTTCAGTAGTGTGAAGATGCTGGCAAACCCTTTTTCTGTCAGGACATGGTTCTTTTGGCACTGGGCCTGACAGCCTGACAGCCTGACACGCTGATTTGCATCTAGGGCAACAAGGTGAGGTTGCTGTCTAGGACTTCCCCGCAAACCCAGTCAGTTATTCGCCAAGATCAGCACCCTTGCTGGGCTACGATCTGTCGAGGAAGGATGCAAACGGCGGAGCTAATTTCTCCAGGTCGCACTAGATCTAGACCGCTCCCCTAGCTATGATTCGAGATGAGCACCCGACTCAGAGACTCATCAGAGCGAGGCCTCGAGTGATCACTGATGAGCAGAGCGAGGTCGACCGTCGTCGTGGTGGGTTACACCGTCAGCTGAGCATCCGAGACACGCAGCAGCGACATGCCTTTCTGCAGTGCACAAGTCCACGGTCCAACAGTCCACATCAGCTGCGACCTCTGGGCTGCCTGTATCTGGGGTTGTTTCTTGTGTGACAGCTGCGAGAACCCAGGATCCCAGTCATGAACCCAGACCAGTGACCACCAGACGGTGATGCGCTACCACGCTCTGCCTTACCGACCGACTTATCAGCTACAGCTCCGAATGTTACCCTCTTCGCGACTCCGACTCGATAGACCTTAATAATAAGGCTGTCTCCAGGTCTTGTCTTACATAGTCCTAGGTCGGTACCAGACATGCGCCTAGCAGGAGTCATCTGCCCCAATACCTCACCGTCAGACTTGGCGGGCAACGTTGGCGCGCCGTGGCTTTCAGCATTGCTAGATCTTTGATGCTTGCGAGATTGCCTGCTCCAGCGCCGATGAACAGGTTGCATCCCTTCCTGCAAGTGCTAAAGCAAAGGATGGGTTTGGCGACCTGCTTGATACGGCGTTTATTCTTGTCGTGCATCTTGAGTACCGGAAGGATCATCAGATGGCAGGCCTTATGCGCATGTGAAGGATGGAGATTCGGCGATCATCAGTTGTGCGGTTGAAAGGCCATGCTATGTTACGCAGCCTGTGCAGCCCACTCTCACATCCACTGATCCCCCACATTTGTTGGACAACATTCTCTATCGCCCATACCGCTGAGCAGACCATACGACTCGGCAACGACGGTGACTTGAGATTGGGGAATAGAGGGTTGTTTGGTCGGGCTCTTCCTTCGCAAGCCACCTTATTACCTAGATCATTTCGCGTCAGCACGCCCAGTGGCATTCTCATACGATTGCGCTGTGCAGGCACTCAGCGGTGACTGTCAGCCCAGCGGCGGCCAAGGCAAGCCAGGAAAAGCCCAAGCGAAGGCCCAGCAGAGGCTAGCCTGAACGAGGCGCCGGCCGCATACAAGACACTGCCGCGGATCTGGACGGCAGCGAATTGGCATTGGGCAGGCGAGCTGACGGGCGGCGAGACGGGGGATGTAATCCGTCAGTCATCAGTGATCAGTTCACGCAGACTGCAGTCCCAACTCCTCACTTCCAACCCGCCTGCGATCCATCATCACCTGCACTCGCTTAGGCACGCCCACCCTCGCGTCCCCAGACCAATTATCTTGGCCTTTTCAGGGTGCCAGGCTGCTCTCGTGGTCGCCGGCGTCTGCGGTCTGCCTCCCCGGCGAGGTGGTGCTGAATGCTGATCCTGGCCCATCCTGTCCTGTCCACCTTCTTGGCCCCTGTCTGCCAGCACCCGGCCAGCCTGCTGCTGCCCCTGTTCAGTGCTGCCCTTGGCCCCCTGCTGCCCTTGGCCCCCTGCTGCACTGACCCTCCTCTGGTTCCTCCCACAAGTTCCCACCCGCCGTTTCCTCGCTGGCCTTCTCCACATTGCAACTCACCCTCTCTCCCGTATTATTACCTATTACCCACTTCTACTTCCTATCCTATCCTAATCAATGAGAGCCCGCAAATTTCAACGTCCACACTCCTTCAACCTCGACCGAGACGACCATCCCATCAGTAACGCTGGCTTGACGTCGCAACACCATCCACCATGGCGATAGCCATGGGCTGGCACAAACCCGACAATGTCGCCGGCTCCTCCGCCCCGGCCATCATGGTCGGCCTGTTCGTAGCGACCGGTGGTCTGCTGTTTGGATACGACACTGGCACCATCAATGGGATACTCGCCATGGACTCCTTCATCAAACAATTCAACACCGGCTATATCGACGACCAAGGAGACCCGACCCTTTCGCCAGCACAAATATCCATCGTCGTCGCCATATTGAGCGCTGGGACCGTTGCCGGTGCGCTCATCTCTGCGCCCTTCGGGGACTGGATCGGCCGTCGAATATCCATCATCGCTTCAGTCGGCGTTTTCATTGTCGGTGTTATATTCCAGATCTGCGCCGATGCCATTCCGATGTTATTAACGGGCCGGTATGTTGGAGGCGAACCCGGGTATTGTCTGTTGGATTGCAAGTATTGACCTCGCGGTTCAGGTTCTTTGCCGGCATCGGCGTGGGAGCCGTTTCGGTCCTCGTGCCCCTCTACCAGTCTGAAATGGCTCCGAAATGGATTCGAGGTACCTTGGTGTGCGCGTATCAGTTCTCCATCACATGCGGCCTTCTCTCAGCGTCCATAGTCAACCTACTCACAAGCAATTTGCACGGCGCTCCTGCCTACCGCATTCCCATCGGCCTCCAACTTACCTGGGCCTGCGTCCTCTGTCTAGGGCTGTTGATTTTGCCAGAAACTCCACGATACTTGATCAAGCGTGGGGACAAACACGCCGCCGGCCTGGCTCTGAGCCGCCTCCGACGCCTCGACATAACACACCCGGCACTTGTCGAAGAACTCGCCGAGATCGAAGCGAACCACGAATACGAGCTCACCCTGGGCTCTGCATCATACCGCGACGTTTTCACAGGGTCTCCACACCTCGGCCGCCGTATACTCACTGGATGCGGTCTTCAGATGCTGCAACAGCTCAGTGGTATCAACTTCATCATGTATTACGGAACGACCTTCTTCCGGAACGCTGGTGTTTTGAACCCGTTTTTGATCTCCCTCATATTGAACATCATCAATGTGGTCTCGACAGTGCCCGGATTGTTTGTGGTGGAAAGCTGGGGCCGTCGAAAGCTGTTGATGGTTGGGGCGATAGGAATGGCAATTGGTCAATTGATTATTGCCATCTTTGCGTCGGTCGGGGGTCCCAACAATGAAGGGTTGGCAGCGAAGCTCCTCATGATATTTGTGTCTTTGTTTGTGTTCTTCTACGCCGCATCGTGGGGTCCGGTCGCCTGGGTCGTCACCTCCGAGATCTATCCTCTCAAGGTCCGAGCCAAGTCGATGTCGATCTCAACTGCCTCTAACTGGCTATTCAATTTCGGTATCGCCTACGGTACACCATTCCTGGTCGAGGAACGTGCAGGGTATGCATCTCTGGGAACCAGAATCTTCTACATTTGGGGAGCGTTCTGCATCCTTGGTGCTATCTTCGTCTACTGCATGATATACGAAACCAGCAAAATCAGTTTGGAGCAGATCGACGAGATGTACGAGCGTGTTCCGTTTGCGTGGAACAGCAAGAAGTTTGAGCCTAGTTGGAGCTTTCAGCAACTGCGCGATGATGGGTTTGCGGACAGTGGTATCCCGCCACTGGAACACGAGCTGCAACCATCGGTTACAGGTTCGACTACCGACTCGAGCATACAGACGATACATACGGATATCGATCCCCAAGAGAACATGTCCGAAGAGGACAAGGAGTTACATCGATTGGGAATGGGTACCGTCGATTTCAGCTACTGAGCTGCAGACCATTGATTAGCCGTCCGACATGGCTTTCGGTGCTTCGTTCGAATAATCCGGAGTATTTGTCCTTTCGAATTACATATAAGATATACCAGCGCTGGAGTTCGACGTGATGGAGTTCAACGGAACCTGGGATCGGGACCAATGGGGAAACTATTCCTTCCGGACACTTGGAGGCTTGGGCTTGGGCTTGGGCTTGGTTAGGGTCTGGCGATGCAAGGGTCATCATTGGGTATGGTTTGTTTATCACCATTTGGGAGATACTTTCTGGGGGCAAGGCATATACAGGTTCGAGCCTGAACTTACGGACTCATTCGCAGGAAAAAGGCCACTTGCGGCCATGACCCATTGGGCATGCGGGGGTCTTTCAGTAAAGACACCCCTCGCCCAATTGTACAGCATAGCGCTGCAGATCTGCATTACTCTTTTTCGAGGAAGATCATACTACATTTGTATATCAATGACTTGAGTAGATGGCCGGGCATTCCTAGGGGTGCCCAGCCGATCGCAGCTTTGAACAGAAAACATGCATCTCACATCACTTGATACCTATATAAAGGCCTGATTCCTTCAAGGGCATTGCATCGACGCTCAAAGATTCCAGACTGTTGAGCGCAGAACTACGAGTAGCCACCATCCCCAAACCAACACATCCTGGTTGACTTATGATTACCTGTCTAGATAGATCTACACTGAATAATCCATGTCCATGTGTGAACAGCGAGCGACACGCACAGCCAGAACCACGGTAAATCGGCCTCTTCACGGACACAATTAACTACCTAACCTAGCAACCGCCCGGCATCAAGTCACCCGACGACCTCGTCGCTCCGGCGTACCTACCAGCAGGCAAGGCAGCATACTCCCGGCCCCCATAAACAACTGCTCACAACCCACACCCACAACCAGCCGCTTTCTCTCGTATCTATTCCCCCCATCCGTGACCCATCCACGACAGCTCCAGTGCCGGCTCCGTTCGACGAGCGCTTTTCCCCTGTGTGTCCGCCTCGAACATGGCTCTGGACTCTAGCTACAAAAGGGAAAGCAGCAGACGAGGCGCGCTTGCGGGAAGGGAAAGGGGAAAGGACGTGGACCTGCGTTTGCTCGTGGTGGAGTCGGAAAGAAAGCGTGGCCTGAGGGAGGCGGTTGCCAGGACTGGCTGGTCTGGTCTGGTGTGGTCCGGTCTGGTCTGGTCTGGGGAATATGACTGCGACTACCTATGGGAAGAAGTCTCGTCGCCAGAGTTTACTGAGATATACACGGAATGTGGACGGACAGCCTTTCCGAGTCCGAAGCTGGCACTTTGGGTCATTCGTGTTATGCTTGTGCGTCTGCGATTTTGGAAATCATGATCTCTATCCTCCGCTGTCTATCTAGCCCAGCAGGGCAGGGCATCATCAGCCCCGAGTCTGCTCTGGTCCTGACATTGAGCCTACACAAAGTACTACAAGAAACCAGGGGCTAGCGAAGTCGTAAAGATATCCTGCGCACTGTTATGTCTGCATTCAACGCCAGTCTAGAACCCTACTGATGGCATCACCCTCTGCTGCGATCCCGATCCTATAAGTCATAAGGATATCAAGGTATATTATACAGAGCCTCACAGAGCTCGGACGGATAGACATTCCCTGCCTCTGCCTATCCGATGCTATAGCCATCCCAACCCTAACTCCACAAGATTCGAACTCTCTTTTCCCATCCGGCCGGCTAATGCTGATTAAGACTGCTCATGTATCTATATCCAGAGCAAACAGTATTTTCCAACCCTAGACCTAAACTTACAATTACAGCGCGAGACGCGAGAAAACCCTCGAGAAAGTCCGTCTATCCCTGGTACATGAGGTAAGCAAAGAAGAGCAGCACCATCCAGACCACTCGCCAGGTCGTGGTCCATATATCTCGTGTGACCAGACTGAACGTTGTCCGCGGCCGCGTGGCGGGCTTCCAGGTGTCACCGCGACCCTTGCCGTCGTAGTAGCTATCCCTCCTGATCTCAATCCGGGGCCCCCTGTTTTGGCCCCAGCCCCATTTGCCTGGCCCTGGTTTGTCCCTCCGGGGCTTGGGAGATGCATTGCGCGCGTAGGATACAAGCCCATTCGACAGGGATGGACCTCGCGGCCGGGTAGTTGATACTCGAGCTGATGGAACTTTCGACGAGGTGGCGGAGGAGGTAGAAATGAAATCATAGTCATCTCCACCCTCGGCTTCGGTCTTTGCTTTGAAGATAGGGAGAACCGCTGATGGCGCTCGTTGCACGGGGTCCAGAGCGAAGGGTTGCAAATTGAGGACAGGGAGCAGAAATGCCCGTCCCGCCAGAACCAATACGGTCAGCACTCCCAAAATAGCGTAGTTGATGTAAGTAGACAGCTGACGAGGGAGCAAACAAAGATGAGTTTGCAGTGTAGGTCCTGGAGAGCCAGCCAAGGGGTTCCCTTGGTCGTCGATGGGGTTGTACAGGGAAACCATCTGAAAGCCGGGGGACAGTACACCCATAGCCATGCTCACACTCTTGACTGTAACCTCATGGACATTTTCTTTCTGCTCGGAGTGTACCAGTTCACAGTAGTCATGATCATCCCCAGAGAAGGCGTGCTTGACGTTACCAATGCTCTTGATGAGCCTGATGGAATCCTCGTCGCTGAGCACATTCTGGTACTGGTATCCGTTCGATACACTGATTGCATTCCCATGGTCGGGGATTACCGGTGTGTCCTGACCCGCCGGTGGTTTTGCCGGCGGCGAATGCTCTCGCAAGGGACCACATGGCGTTCCTGGATTTCGGTACAGCGGGACGTGTGTCAACAGAATGGTTGGGAAATCAGGCCCGTTCTCTCCCGGATCTATGGTCGGTAATGCGCTGTAATCACCGCTGTCGAGATCCTCAATCTTCTGTTCAAATACGAGCTCCTCCGTCTCGCCTCTCCAGAACCGTAGCTCCCTCTGAACAGCCCTTCTTTTGGTGGCTTTGACCTCATTCAGGAACTGATGCACGGGCTCGTATATGCCGTGCAGGTCGACCTTGTCCTTCATAGACGATGTACCGGCGCTCAATGACACTGTATCCACAGACACGAACGTGTGGTTCCCAATAACGTCTACTCTGTTCGTCTCGCCAAAGTACGCATTGAACCGATGTCGCGCGGGGGGCTTAACCTCGGCTCCAAAGCCCAAGTCGTGGTTTCCAGGTAAGCTCGATATGAGCTTGCGTCCTCTCTGACCTGCGCCAGGGTAGTCTCCTCCCAGCTTGAAACTCTTGTAGAAAAGATCTCCGAATCTAGCGTACTCTTTCAGCCAGTATTCCTGGCCGTACTTCTTATTCCACTGCTTCATTAATTCCTGTTCGTGGGCGGGCCGGTGATCCTTGGCCCAGTCCGGGTCGTCGAAGTTTCCGCGCGCCGTCTTCCACTCTCTACCACCGTCGAATAGATCCCCTAGGAACATGACGGTGTCTGGGTGGAGAACCTCCTGTAGTTGTATATAGGACCTCCGCATGTAATTGTCGGTAATGCGCATCGTTAAGGGGTTCAGCGGCCATGGGCGGCCAGGGTAAGAATGGGGATCGATGATCTGGGGGTCGGCGACGAATATAAGTCGATGCGGAGTTGCACCTGAGGGCTGTCGTGAAGTGAAGGTTAGCCCAATGTCCAGCCAGTTTCCTCTGTGCACGCAACACCAAGCTCAAGCTCCATCTCAGGCTCCAGAGTGCGAACCAGAATCACAACTTACCCAATCTTCCCAATGATCCCAATCGCAGTTTCGTACGCTACTTGCAAACGTCCACCGCTCCCCCCACAGCAAGACCAGCATCCAGAGCGCAACCAGCAGGTGCGGGAAGCTGAAGATGCGGCGGCGCACCAGGTTCCGCCGGAGCTGCTGTCCTCCCTTCATAGTCACACTCCAGGCCGAATGCCGCCCTTGACCCTGCCCATACGCCCAAAGCCGCCGCCAGAAGGTCCGCGCACCGGCCAATATGTCGTCGCAGATGGACTGGAAGTCGCCGTGGTCTCGCGTGCCGTAGTCGTGGTACGAGCTGGAGGTGTAGCTGGGGGGAGCTGGCGAGTTGCCGTAGCCGCTGCTATATGACGGCGCCATGTTGTCCTGAGAGGGCAGCCATATATGCTTGTTGCCGGATGTTGCAATGTTACACAGGGTTGTCAGAACTGGGTCGTCGCGAGCGAGCTGGTCCGGGAAGATGCGCTGTTTTGAGGGTTGCCGTGATTGGGCGGTGCGTGATGTGGAAGGTTAAGGTTGACTGACGTTCGAAGCGTTCCAGCTGGAAACTTTGGAAAGGTCCATGTCAGAAAACACAGTATGGATGAGCCACGCGCGGCTGACTGACACGGTAAAGAAAGGGTGACCAGTGATTGGGTGTAGCGGCCGTCGACGGTGCAAAGGCCCACTGAAAATACAGTGCGTAAACAGAGTTGCACCCTAAGTGGCTTTGTGCGAGCCCCTGGAATTCCGACCCGTCGTGTTAAGTGCACTGTTTACCCCTATTCACACCGTCTAGAGCTCCCCTTGAGCCATCGGGTCAATTCAAGGAAAGCAACTCGCAATCCGTCTTGCGTAGGGTATCTATGGCTTCGATGCTCCTTACCATTTGCCTAAAAGTCCGGTTTGACACCGGATGGCCCGACTTTCTGAATTAGCTGATTCGATGCCACGAGAATCCTTTCGGCTCGACGACCTCTCCAGTTGTGGTCTACCTATAAGTGATATGGGCTTCAGGGGCAGGCTGCGGCAGTGATAGATGATAAGTCTGGCCAAGGCTGTATTTCCAAGGCGTAGCCGGAATTTGTGACCTCAAGTCGATTGAAACGTCTGCCTTGCTTAGACAAGCACACGTACGGATGAAAGACTGTGTAAATTGAACGAGACTTCATCATTGTATTCATGTGCATAATCATCCAGGGACACGTTCCTAGTTGGAGCCTCAGTTGAAGGACTCAACCTTGAGGGATATATCCAAATGGTTCCCTAACCGCCACCGTGTCAACCATCCCAGCGTAGAACACATGCAAAAGGCCGCTAATCCATCAGGCATGAACCACGTACGGGTAAGAATCCCATCAGTGAAATCGTCAATCCGTCCGAAACAATTAACCCTTGGGTCTAGAAGATCCAGGTGAAAGACTCCTTGACCTCGAATGCCGTCGAGTGCCTGATAGATTCGTCGTCAGTCAGCAGCAGTCAAATAGAAAGAACCGTGCGCATGCGTCACAAGCAAGAAGCTAAGAAGGAATAACTCACCTGATATCCATCGCCGACGCGCCCACCAGCACCCTGAACGAGCCCTCCTCCGCGATCCAGCCCGGGATCGAAGTATCATAATACCCCACAGCGTACCTGTCGAGCGCGATCGTGACATGCCTCGTCTCGTCGGGCTCCAGGAACACCTTCTCGAACGCCACCAGCTCCTTCTCGGGTCGGGGCAGCGCCGACTTGTCGTCCCGGACGTAGACCTGGACGGTCTCGGAGCCCGCGACGGCGCCCGTGTTGGTCACGGCCATGACCAGGTGGATGGGCGACGAGGCCGTCAGGACCTTCTGGCTGAGCGACGGCCGCCCGTACTCGAATGTCGTGTATGACAGGCCGTGGCCGAAGGGGAACAGAGGTGGGATTTTGGCGCGGTCGTAGTGCCGGTAGCCGATGTACAGGCCTTCGCCGTAGAGCACGCGCAGGTTCTCGCCGGGCCAGTTGTGGTAAGCGGGCGTGTCTTCTAGCCGCCGAGGGAAAGTCGACTAGAACCGTCAGTATATACGCTGTTGAGGACGTTGCTCATGCAACTATTTACTTACAGGAAGCTTGCCGCTAGGGTTCCGCAGGCCGAACAGAACATCAGCCAGTGCGTGGCCCGCCTCCTGACCCTGGTACCAGGCCTGGAGGATGGCAGGCACCGCGTCGGCCCATGGCATGGTGACAGGGGATCCAGACTGGTTAACGACGACCGTCCGGGGGTTTGCCTTCAGGACCGCCTCGATCAGTCGATCTTGGCTGCCGTCGGAGGGGAGATCCATCGTCTGTCTGTCGTAGCCTTCGGACTCCCACTCGGCATCGAGACCGACAATGACCACGGCGACATCAGCTGCCTTCGCAGCTTCAACGGCTTGATGTAAATAATCGACCTGGTCCTCCTCCTTGAAACCGATGCGGCAACCTCCATATTTATGCGTCATCTTGAACATCTTCTGCTTGGCGATAGGCCGGAGCTCGTTCGTCATCTCGACCCGGAGCTCGACCGGCGTACCGGCTTCCATGTCGATATCAACCATATAGTCAATGGAGCCGTCAAACATCGCCTCGCCCTCCTCTGTCCAGTCCCAAAGATCCAGGGCCAGCTTCCCGTCCACGTACAACCTGCCGGGCCCGACGCTCATGAAGCTGATCGTGTGCTTCCCGGTAGCCGTGGGCGTCAGGTGGGTCGTGGCAATCGCCGACCACTCCGGGCCGAGCTGGTCCAACGGTGCTGAATCCCATAGGAAGAGATCAGTGTTGACTCTGCGTTGCGTCACGACAATATCGCCTTCGAACTTGTCCCCGCTGAACCACTCCAGCGTCACACCCGGCTGCCCGGATTTGTCGGTGCAGAAAGGAGAGGCGACCGGGAGCCATTTGTAGATATGGCAACCCTGAGCGTACGTCACCTCCTGCTGTATGACCTGCTTGATACTATCCAGAGGAAGAGTGTTGTAATATGGATTGAGACTGGCGCTGCCGCCACCGCCGGCGATTGCCCGGTTGGCGTTCGGACCAATGACGGCGACCTTGGTGGTCTTTGGGTTGATAGGCAGGATGCCACCCTCGTTCTTCAAAAGGGCCAGGCCTTCGACTCCAGCCTCGCGAATTAGTGCCCTGGTCTCCTCTCTGTCGTCTTCTCTCTCTGGTTCCTCGGCTGACATGTCGTCTCCTTTCGTACGCTCGACGAGGGTTAGCACATTTTCTGCCGCTATGTCGATGTCATTTTGAGTGAGGTCGCCTTCTTCGATAGCTTTGAGGACCTTCTCGAAACGCCATTTTGTCGAATAAGGGAATTCAATGTCACATCCTGCTTTGATCGACTCTATGGTGGAGTTGATACCGCCCCAGTCCGAGACCACGGTGCTGAATAGGTCATGTCAGATGCCTTCGTTCCTGGAAACAGGACGAGTGAGCTTACCCATCGTATCCCCATTCACCCCGCAGGATGTCCTTCAGGGTATGCATGTGCATATCGGCATGAACACCGTTGACGAGATTATACGACGACATGACAGCCCAGGGGTTTGCCTCTCGCACGGCGATCTCGAACGGCCGAAGATACAACTCCCTCAGCGGCCGTTCCGTCATCATCGAATCTATGGTGAGTCGATGCGTCTCCTGTTCATTGGCCACGAAATCTGAGAGACATTAGCCGAATTGTGTTTATCCGGGTGTATAATAACACCAACGTTTGATTGTGGCAGCAACGCCTTTCGACTGGATGCCTTTGATGTACTGAGAGGCCAGCTTCCCGGTGAGCAAGGGGTCTTCCGAGAAGGACTCGAAGTTCCTGCCGCCTAGAGGGTGGCGGTGCATGCAGACAGTTGGTGCGAGAAGGACCTGAGCTGATCTTGCCCGGACCTCATCGGCCAGGTGCTGGCCGACGGTGTACATCAAGTCCTTGTTCCACGTCGCTGCTAGAGAAATCCCACATGGGAAAAGGGCAGCCTATGTTGGGATAGTCAATGTCAAGCAGTCAAGATACAAGCTTCAACGACCGACCTTTGTACCTCCGACGAAGATACCACCGCGAGCACCATTAGGGCCATCGCTTGTTTTGATGACTGGTATGCCCTTGGAGGGTATTGACTTGGTCCGCCAGAAGTCTGCTGCGGTAAGGAGAGACACCTTGAAAAGTCAGTGTCTCTACAAATCTGTCGGTTTGATGGCAGACACGCACCTTCTCCTCTAGCGTCAATCGTGCCAGCTTGTGTCTCGCAGATGCACGGCTGTTCTCGAGGCCAACATGTCTCGTGACTGGGCTATCAGGGAGTGAGAAACCGCTGCTGGGAGTCGTATGGCTATCGATGGTCTCGAAAGGAGAAGCAATGGGGTACGTCCCATCAAAGTGCTCATCCTCGATATGATCCATGTTTGGAGACAAACTGGCAAGAGGTAGATGATTTACAGCGGTACTGTATAGATCTCTAGATGGCGAAGGACACCGAGACCTCGCAGGTTATATGAACCTACACCCTGGAAGATAGCACAAATGCCAAAAGACGAGTGACTGTGCTACCACAGTTTACTGTTCACAGGAGAAGAAAAATGATTTGATGTCAAACCTGAGATGGAAAGAGAGATATGGGAAACACAATCCAGCATGGGAGCATGGGTCTGATAGGTCGGTACCGAGCTCGATGACTGTCGAGAACCGGTACCAGAGATGGTCATAAGCAGCCAATGACTTATTGACTTGTTCTTGACGCAATGATCGCCCCCGGGATACTATAGTGCTCCGATGATACAATGAGAGCTGAGATAGATACTTGACCAACGGGCTACTTGCGCTGCAAGCTCATGCTTCTGGTAGCCAAGCCGGTTCGAGATCAAGCAAATGTCGACGCACGAAACGTTGGAAGCGGAGATGGATACGCCTCGAGTTCGGGTTCCTTCCTGTACATCGACTTGATGAGCTCATTCCAGTGGCAGCTAGCTATACCGCTGTTTCTTGTCAACGGCAGAAACGGACCGGGAGCGCGTGATGAAGTACATGTGCAAGGAAACAGACAAGAATGGGAATCGACGTTTGCTTGTGCATGAACTGGCGGTGGGGGCTCGTTACCGACAAGCCCAGCCAGTCGGATGGGCGATACGGAAGATCTGACAAACGACGAGTCGGATTATGGGCCAAGGTTCAAGGTTCTATGGAATTTCGAAAGTGCATGTATGGAGCTGACCATAGGAATGATTTTCTGGTCCCTCCACCCTCGAAAAGTGTCGAAATGGTGAATTTCCGCAAACCCTGATTAGCCAGTGTAGAGTGGCTGTAGATTGAGGTCTGTGATGCCCAGCCAGCTTATCACCCGTGACCCTCCTCAACAGTCAACTTGACACGTCGAGTGCCGCAATATCAGTGACCTCCCTCGCATTATGATGCACTCGAAGTCGTTTCGTCGTTTCGTTCCGCAATAGAGTACTAGACTCCGGAGATACATTGACACTGGCGAACGCTAGGTAGGCAGGCTGTGAGTGTCACGTAGGCCCGACTTCCTGGCAAGTGGCAACTGATTCACCGAGACCCCGAATTCTCCGAGTGTCGCGAGACTAACAACGCCCATGTTCAGGATCTTGACGCGGAGGTGCATGGCTGTGTGCTACAATGGTAACCTAGCATTGCGTGCTGGTTATAGGCAAGTGTTCCGACGGACCGAGGATGACAGGTAGGAGCCAAGGTCAGCTGCTGTGCATCAGACGAGCGGCCCAGCCGTAGATGTGTCCCCGGTTGGTGGGTTGAGCACTCATATCCGCAGCTGATAGCCTGTAGGAGAATGTTGAAGTATCCAACGACCAGCGTCGGCGGGGGTGTTCATTGAGGTGCGGAGGTGCAGACATTAATATGGGGCTCCCGATTAGCGATCCGGCTTCACGGCCCGAGATGTTCCCAATCGAGCAAAGCGTCCCGAAGGCTTCCCCTTATTCCCCGGCGGCTTGCATGACGGCGGCGGAGGGTGTCTCTCTACTCACTTGATAAGTTGATCACTGCTAGGTCCAGTCTGATTTCGTACATAGCTACTTGATATCCCGAGTAAGGTACGTTCAAGCATGGTTCGTTGCATCGCGTTGGTTTTCTGGAATGCATGGCCTGTCCGTAAGTATGGCGGGCAATCCTTCGACTTGAGAATGGACACATGTCACCATCGCCACAGGCATTATCAGATCTACTCGTCAGGGCTCTTCACAAGTTCACTCGTAGCGCGCAAGTGGAGCCAGATCGGATGTTCGGCGGACACCGACGGAGCTGAAATACTGCTCGAATGCTCTCCACGTCCGTGTTGAGGCTCATGGGTTTACCTCCGTCGCCACTTCACCGAGTTTTCGGAGGAACATCAAATGCGCTCGAGCAGGCAGCCGAAGCGGAATCAGGAGCAGAAAATGAACATTCTTGCCTCCTCTTATTTAAGCAGGACCTGAAGATGTGCTAGGAGCGAGATATGCAGACCAGCCCTTCGGCCCTGTGATGACTCGAATGTCATTCTCCTCTCAGCCAATCCTGTTTCAGCCAACGCTCGACCTGGCATCGTTACCAATACCGGTGAAGGTAGCGATTCAGCGAGTTGTTGGCAGCAGTCGAGTCAAGTGTACCCCTTCTTATATGTTTTAGCATACCGAAGCTATGCTGATGATGCCAGAACAATGGCAGAGTGTCAGGATTTCTTCCATGCCGAGTTGGTCGTCCTACCACACGTCGCTCTGTATGCGGTTGGTCTTTGTGGAATGCCTTACAACAAACACCCTTCATGGCAGGGTTGTGGCTAAACGACATACCTACTTAGAAAGCCAACCAGGTAGACGAGATTAGAAAATCTCGTACAAGCATTCGAGATATGTGTAAACATGTATTAAAGCCAGCCAACATACTGCTGCGTGCCAGTGTGTCAGCGGACGACCGTGTATATAAGGTTCTCCTTTAAAGCCTGCCACATCACATGCACTGCACTGTGATGTGCAGAACGTCCATACACAGCCACACAGCGCCACCCACCGTCGCAGTGTCGCACAGCAACGTGCGCTATCGGAGATAACATAAGCAGTGCAGATGCTGTTGGTACTCTGACCTTATCTCAGCCCTGGAGAACCTTAGAATGACATAATAACAACACCGCCGTCATCCTCCGAAGTTTGAATTCTCCCTCTGGGGCGAAGGACTTCGAACAACGCGCCTAACGCGGAGCTGGAGATCACAACAGAACCTCTCAGACCTCCAACCCTACCTGTAGCCTGTGGCCGAGCAGAGGTCAGACTTCTTTAGAACCGCATCACACCACCACCCGACACGCCCCCGCCAAGCCTATTCCCTTTGCCTCCCCACGATCCCATTGTCTTTGCTACGATTTACATCCGTTCTTGCACCGAGATCCATGGTCAACCACCACAGGAGTTCGAATGCCTTTCGCAGCGACTAGCTGACTACGCAATCCTTGTCAGAAGCCGACTTCTGGTCTTCGCATTTTCGGGTTTGGATCTGGACTGGGTCTGCACAAAATCTCAACCCAGGTACCGCGCAAGCCTCGATACTGGCCAGCTTCCGGTATTGCTTCCTACAACTCACCAGCAACTGCGTAGGAGGGAAGCAGATTCTTGTAACTACGACCGAACCTCCGAGAGCGAGACAACGATCGAACGAGCATACGAGCCACCGACCAATTCTCACCTACGGTCCATCACGAAACCGACAAGATGGCTTGGTCCAAAACCACCCGCATCAGCATCATGCTGGCCATCGATATCGCCTTCTTCCTTGTGGAGTTAATATCAGGCTTCATGGTCCATTCCCTAGCCTTGATGGCTGATGCATTCCACATGCTGAACGACATCATCTCCCTGATCATTGGCCTGTGGGCAGTGACGGTCGCCAAAAGAGCAACCACCAACAAGTTCTCCTACGGATGGGTGCGCGCTGAGATACTTGGTGCTTTCTTCAATGCCGTATTCTTGATCGCGCTGTGCGTCTCCATCATACTCGAAGCGTTGACTCGGTTCATCGAGCCCCAAGAAGTCTCGAACCCGAAGCTCATCCTCATTGTCGGTTGCTGCGGTTTGGCCTCCAACCTCGCCGGTTTCATGGTCCTGGGAGGCCACGGTCACGACCACGGGCATGATCACGCGCATGGCGATGGCCACGTACACGACCACGTCCCCAAGCATGACAGTATTTCCGCAGCCGAAGAGGGAAGGGCAAACGCTATACAGGCGCTTGCGGACGAGAACGGTCCGATAACAGATATCCTGCCCGAGGTCGTTCTGGCGAGGACACAAGCTAAACCCACCTCGCCCGAGACGGTTCGCCGAATTCAGTTCGATCGGTCCGTGAGTGCACAGAGATCGGAGAATAGCCGAAGATCGACGTCGAAGGGACAAGGGCGACGACGTGCAGGTAGCAACCATAGTCGCCTCGCTAGTATCGACGACCTTAGCATCCACCCTGCTAGTTTTAGACAGGACATCATCGACCACAGCAGATCAAACCGCGACGAAGACGAGACTGACGAGAGTTCTGCCTCGGACGATGCCACCGTCGATACCGTCATTCGCGATGAATCAGATGTGGATGAGAACACGCCTCTGATGGCGAATGGTAACGGAAAGGACAACGGAGCTATCGGTAAGGACAAGCACACTCACTCGAGGTCCCGTCACCGGCGCGACTCTGCAGTTCACGAGGAGCATCACCACAATAGACCCAGCTCCAAGACAGTGAAGAGTCACGGACACAACCACGCTGATATGGGCATGAATGCTATGGTTCTCCACGTCTTGGGCGATGCCTTGGGCAATGTTGGTGTCATCGTAACGGCGCTGATCATTTGGCTTACGGACTGGCCTGGACGTTACTATGCCGATCCTGCTGTGTCTCTGTTCATTACTATGATCATTTTGAAGTCAGCTATCCCCCTCACAAAGGCGACCTCGAAGGTGCTGCTACAGGCCACTCCGGACCATATTGACCTCCAAGACATCAAGGAGGACATACAGAACTTGCCCGGGGTCATCAGCTGCCATCACGTTCACATTTGGCAGCTCTCGGACACGAAGGTGGTGGCTTCGATGCACATCCAAATCACCTTTCCTATCACGGACGAAGGCGGAGTTAAGTACATGAAGCTAGCCAAACAGGCACGTCGATGTCTTCATGCGTACGGCATCCACAGCGCCACAATCCAACCGGAATTCTGTCTAGACCAGGACTGCAACCATAGTCAGGATGCTCCGATGGGACTAGATGGTATAGCATCGCCAAAGAAAATCGGACCCAGTAGCGACAATGGCGATGGATGTCTACTGGAATGCGTGGACGACTGTGTGGGAGAGGGGTGCTGTGCCATCCCGTCCGAGGCTGCCAGCCACGATGGCCACGGTAGCCACGATGGTCACGGTAGCCACGATGGCCACGGTCAAGATGGCCGTGATGACCACGATCATTCACAAGGGCACCACTAGGTGAGGATGATGTTGTCGTCGTCGTCTTTGTCGCCGACCAAGCGACATCAGTTCCTTATAGTGTGTGCTCGGCGTTGGGGACGGCGAATAGACGTCGCATTTGATGGCGGGCGGCACTCTCTCTTTTGTTTGTTTAGTTGGCTCCCAGTGAACAGTTGGCGGTGGGGAGGAACCTGGGCGGCAAAACCACCTACGAGTAGTGTAACATTTACAAATGCATTGGTACATCCTGACCTCCTGTCGTTAGTAGGTCTCTTTCTTTGACGTGAGGTGTGACTTGTGGTTGACTCCAAATACATGAAGATGTCGGAATCACATGAAACTATGAAACCCCCCTTCGGTAACGCTGGACTGAGAGAGCCTGAGCATGCTTCCAAATTACAACGGTAAATGAAATGATTAATGCTCTGTCAAGCAATGTAATAAACGACGACTATTGGGTAGATGAAATTGCAGAAGTGGCAATGCCAAGCTCGTGATATATAGGGAAGTCACAGGTTGCGATGTTCCTGCAGTGAAAAAGCAGCATGTGCACGGGCCTTCGTCGCATGGAGCCATCAACTTTGAATTGGGTCTCAATCCGTGCAATCCCCCGTCTTCCTCAAACTCCCTTTTCACTTCCCCAAAGCTTCATCCAACCTCGAGATAATTGATTAACAGCTTTCTACTCCATACTCGAGGTCGTCGCACGTGTAGGCCGATCCTGTTGTGGCCTCCTTGTCAACAGCGTTACACTTAATTCGTTAGATACCTCCAGATCGCCAGGCCTGGTTCAGTGGTGTCTCAAATTCTCAATCGAGTAACAGGAGGCTGAGAGTGTCCTTCGCAGCAGGGACGGCATGGATCTTGTAACATCAACCGCATTAATGATCTACCGCAAGCATGGCCTTCCACTTCGTTCCCAAACACTTGCGGCCCCTTCCAACCTTGACACAAATAAGCTTCCCTTCACATCGCGGACCGTTGTGCGCCGGCCATCATGCATGCACTCCCAACCTTGGCCGCGCCTTATGCCTCGTCCCAGCCGGCCCATTGCTCAATGCCGACTCCTGAGGCTCGGATGTGAGTTTGACAGATGCCTATGAAACGGGCATCGCAAGTAAATACAGGCCTCAGGTCGCCGGCCATCTGTTGGCCACCACCACCACAACAACCACCACCACCTTTGTGACTGGTCTCATACCTTCTTGACCCCTCTCCGTACCTCCATCTCTCTTGTCGTTCATTTTCCGGCCGTCTTTCTCTTCACTTCACTTCGTCGTCAGCAGCTTCGCGGGTTCGTATCGTCTGCGGTGCTTCAAGAAAAAACCGCTCCAGTCCAGCGGTCTTGTCGTCACCTTCGGGACTTTCTCTCTCTTTCCAAGGTATTATTCGAGTCGCTCTCTACAAATCTTCAGATCCGGTATCACCATGAAGCTCCAAACTACCGCTGCTGTGGCAGCTTCCTTTCTCTTCAGCTATGACCTCGTCTCGGCTGCACCCACGCCCGAGAGAGGAGTACTCGATCCTCTGTTCGCCATCTCAACGCTAGGCGGCATGACGTTCAAGATCAGCCAGGTCCCCAACAGTAAGTTCTACGGTGCCCGAAAGGGAAGAGGTCCAATGGCCATAGCGAGGGCCTATTCGAAATACGGCGCTGCCGTTTCCGACGACCTACTCGCGACCATAGAGCAGATTCTGGAGGAACTGGGGCTCCTGCAGAACCCCGGTGCTGGTAATGACACTACCGCGGCACCTGAAGGTGAGGATTGACTGTCAATGCTAGACTGGAAACCGCTCGCTCACGGATATATAGGAGAGGTTGCTGCTACCCCCGCAATGTTCGACTCCGAGTACCTGTGCCCAGTCCAGATCGGCACGCCACCACAGACGTTGAACCTCGACTTCGATACTGGTTCTTCCGACCTATGGGTCTTCAGTTCCGAGACCCCGGCGAGTCAAGTCGCAGGCCAAACTGTATGGAATATTGGCCAGAGCTCGACTGCGAAGCTGCTGACGGGCCAAACGTGGTCCATCAGCTACGGCGACGGAAGTAGCTCCAACGGAAATGTTTACTCGGAAACAGTCTCAATTGGTGGAGTCACTGTCGTAAACCAAGCGGTCGAATCTGCCAGTAACGTCTCGGTATCATTCACGCAAAGGCCCGACACGGATGGGTTGGTCGGACTGGCGTTCAGTTCCATCAACACGGTCCAGCCGACTCAGCAGAAGACCTTCTTCGACAACGCAATGACAGAGCTTGCGTCCCCGTTGTTTACGGCCAACCTGAAGGCATCAGAGCGTATGTGCACCCCATGATCAAACACGGTCACTATCAGATCTGAGCATCGTACTAACAAGACCTAGCTGGCAACTACAACTTTGGATTCATCGATACATCCGAGTTCACTGGCGCGATCACGTACATAGCTGTGACCACGAGCTCAGGCTTCTGGCAGTTCACCGCGGAAGGGTTCGAGGTTGGAACTTCAGGTGCCGTCTCGGCGTCACATCAAGGCATCGCGGATACGGGTACAACGCTTCTCCTGCTTCCCGACCAGATCGTGGCCGCGTACTACGAGCAAGTGCCTGGTGCTGTTAACGACGCAAGTGCTGGCGGCTACACCTTTCCTTGCACTGCCACGCTGCCCGACTATACAGCCATCATCGGGTCATATTCTGGTGTTATTCCTGGCGAGTTCATCAACTTTGCGCCGGTGGACGGTAACACGTTTGCAGATGCGACAACGTGTTTCGGAGGTATCCAGGCAGCGCCTGCAGGTTTCCCCTTTGCTATTTACGGAGATGTGTTCCTGAAGTCGCAATTCGTCGTCTTCCATGGTGGCAACACGGCGCTTGGGCTGGCTAACAAGCGTTTATGAGTGGTTTGAGAGTTCATATGGTGAAAAGCGAAGGTGTGAGATGGCGGTCGTCCATAGCGATCCTGGATGGAATGATACCGCATGAGTTTTCTGGCGCAGGCCGTGCAACGCAATAAGAGATTAACGATCAGACTACCCATACGATGTAGATACTCTGAAATGTCTAATGTCTACCAGTAACAAGAATCGATGGCAGTGTTCAAGACGTAATGTGCGCAGTATAGCATCTCGCACCACGATGGTGAGACCACATGCTTGAGGGGCTGCCGAAGGGGCGAAAGGCGAGAGCGAAGGGCGAAAGGGCGATGTAGCCGAAGTCGGAGCCGAAGAACTCACTCTTTGCCGGCTCGTGTCGGGGTGAAGCTCCGACCATCCGAAGAACACATCAAAAGACCTCGCCCTACAGCGCCGAGTCTGCCTCCCCATAAATGTGATTCCCGAGGATGCAGATGTTCTTTTGATAAAGCGACCCACTGGGCGCCGCGATTGAATTTACGACTGCATCCGGGCATTTTATCTCGTCCGTCCGACCGACAACGAACCCCCCTGCTTGGTATCTACCCACCTGACCTGCAGATCCTTCGATATGAACTGCAGTAAATGCACGCTTATAATGACGGAAGGAGAGTACTATATACATACTATCGATATCTTGAGACGGGGGAAGGACCGCGGATATATGTTTATCAATAAATGCTCCTATAGCTGATGCTGGAAATTGCTAAATTGACTGTTGCAGTCTTGACTAGTTTACCGCCTCGCATTTAATCAGCTTAGCATCGTCGACATCTCTGTCTCCATCCTGGGCCATCCACAGCACGTATCCACCCACAACGTTTCATCCATCCTATTCACCCAAAACCCCAGACATATTGAGCAGGAGCAACCCCACTCCCGTCCTCACCCTCACGCTCACCCTCAATCTCACTCTCACCATCACAATCAACACACAAAATACCTCACAGCCCAGCAACGACGACGACGACGACCACCACCACCACCACCACCAGCCCACCATGGACCGCCTCCACACCCTCAACGCGGCCTACATCCGCCCACACCAAAAGCCGCTCCTCACAGCCCTCGCCGTGCTCCTCGGCCTCACGCCGATGGTCTCGTACGCCTTGTCCTGCTACCGCGAATGGATGAGCCTCGGCGGCGGCGGGCTGCCGCACTCCCTGCGCGGCTGGCTCATGAACGCCGCGATGCACCTTAGAGCGCGCCGCGACCACCGCGCCGACCCCGCGCCGTACAAAGACGACGACGGCGTCTACGGCGCCGCGGGCGCGGAGTCGTTCTTCACTGCTACGAAAAGCAAGGACGGCGACGACAAGTGGACGTTACCCCCGCGCCAGGGCCCGCGCCCCGACGTCCCGACCTGCGTCGCGCCCCAGCGGCAGACAACACAACAAGCCACCCCGTCAACAGTAGCCGCGCAAACGGCCTTCCTGGCCGCCCTCGGCGCCGACAACCCCAGCCTCTTCGCCACGGCGCCCAGCGCGCTCGAGTCGCCCGCTTATCCGGCATTGTGGCTGGCGGAGAACCAGCCCGTGGCGGAGTGGTTCATGCGCGGCAAGGGGGAATGGGCGCATGTTCATCCTGAGGGTTCTACGCATGTGGTGTTGAGTTTGGTTGATGCGGCGCGGGTGGTGAGGGCGGGTTGGGGGGAAAGGCATAAGCTTAGTGGGGTGAGCGGGTGGTTGCCTTGGGGGTATGTGCTTGTTTATGCGCCGGGGGGGAATGTGGGCGGGCCGGAGTGGGCGGCTTGGAGGGAGATTGTTGTTGCGGGGGCGCGGTTCGTGGCGAGGGCTGCGGGGGCGGAGGGGGAGGTTGTTGTGCAGGCTTAGGGGGTGGATGGGGAGGAGAGGATAGGGGGAGGGGTTTGTTGTGTTAGAGTAGGGGATGGGGAGGAATATGGGTGACGGGAAGGGGTCGGGTGTTGAGGAGGTGAGGAGGTGGTTTGGCTGGGCTTGGGACCAACAAACCAGGAATGTGCACATTACCAGGAAGACATAATGATATTCTCCTGTTCTCATTGGGTATTTTATATCCTGAATACTAATGGGGTACGACAAGAGATCGCCTAAGGTGATCAGGCTTCAAAAGTCCCGAAGAGATGATTAGACGGAGTAGTGACGAGACTGGTGGGTGCTACGTAGATAGAATTGGAGAGGCTGGAAGGTGATCAGAGCGGGAAAGGAGGCGTAACGCACGCGCCGTTTTAGTACTGGTAACATTTTACGATTTCTTGGTACCTTTTACACCATTATTTCAGTCAACGCATCAGTTTTCGTTTTACCACTCCCTGGATCCCTCCCAACACCCGGCGACCTCTCCGAATTCGTCACGCTCCGCGTCCAGCCATGCCATGCGGACGATCCAGTCTAGACCCAGCATCCAGGCCGTGGCGGAACCGGCAGCGATATCTTGGGTATGACCGACAACACGGCGATCACCGAGGTGAGATTGACGCCGTGCAGCCACTCCGGCACGCGGCTCCCGTTGTAGACGGCCGAGAGAACGAACATGCTGATCAGAGCCCCGAGGGCCACGGCGACGCATGCGATCTCGAGCCACCATGATGTAACAACACTACCACCCCCTTGCTGGTCCCGGCGGCGCCGGCGTCTCTGGAGATGGGTTCGTCTATGCCTCGCAGCACGGGGGAGTTCATCACGCTCGATAGACCCGTCTCCCGGTACCGCGTCGCAGGACGATCGGTTTGTCGTCGAATATGGTGGTAGAGCTTGATGCGGCGAGCGGCGAGGGGCGAGGGCGCTGCCGTGGAGGATGCTGGTGATATCGGCAGCAGAGCATGCGCCATCGTCTCTCGTGTTTCCTTCGAGCCGGGTATTTTCGACCAGGCTCTTTCCGATCCATCCTTACATAACGCCATTCCTTCACTGGCATGCCACGGGTCTATCTAAAGCTGCAACTTGTGAATGCGACAGGGTCCGTTGGCTCCGCTTGGCTTTAAGACCCGACACTCGAACAGGTACCTCGTTGTCAGATATGGCAACTCACCCCGCCAGTCGTAGGGTGCTCGTCGAGGAAAGAAGCACACATCGGATAGTGAGCTGAATCCCGTGGTTGAGCAGTCGATGAAGGGCTGTGCGCCCTATTCGAGGCTTGTCATGTCGTAATGATAATGAAGCAACCATATGTACTGGCGCCATCAGATTCTCTCCAGATTGCGATCATTCATCTCATCCCATCCCCACCGTGTCGGTGGTCGTGCCGTAGTTCGGAGGCTCCCAGTACACAGCGAGATCAGATCTCAAGACCTCCGACTCCCGACTCGCTAGGAGTCGCAATCGGAAAATAAGAAGAGCTAGTCCCGTCCCATGCTCCTGGATCCCGCAACCTTGTGAGCCTCGGGATTTTTACCAAATAGAAGACTCTGAATATTAAATACCTCGCGTCATTCGGTTATTGCTCGCCTTGTTTAAAGTTCTGATCGCTTGACGTTCGCGTCCAAGCCAACCCGAGCGGAGGCTGGGTGGTGGTAGTAATACGGCGGCATCCGCTCCTCTCTTATTCGTCAATGTTCAACCTGTTACATGCGCCATCGTCTCTCCGCTTAACCCTAGCGACGCCCTGGATCTCCACCGGCGGCGTTCCGAGCCCACTTCCGTCTGAATTTTGTTTGTGAATATAATACCAAGGTTCTGCCCGATTTCACCATGGATCGAATAGGAACAGGTCGTATTCGACAACCATTGGGCCCGCTTAGCTCAGCGGTAGAGCGCCTCACTAGTAATCGCAATGTGTATACGGTCACAGATATGAGGAGGCAACTGGTTCGACTCCAGTAGTGGGCAATTTAGTATTTTTTAATCTTTTCGCTTGTGGTGCGGTCAAATTGGTTGCCAGACTTGCCCACACGGCCCTTGATTTGGGTGGGTATTTGAGGGTGAGGAGGACATGGCGGCCACTGGGTGAGATGACTAAGACGCCGACGAGAATGTACTGCGGCCCCCGTCTTACACTTGGCTACACGTGGCAGCAACCCGCCCCCCCTTTTTTTCCCTTTTCCTTTTTCTTTTTTTTTGGAGATGACTGAGAGTTCGACTCCGGACCGAGCCCATGCAGCAGCGTCAATAACGAGACAATATTGATGGCAGGAACAGAGCCGCGATGCTCGATTGTGATAACTATCACGACCATCACGACGATTCTAAAGGAGTCGGGCCACCCTTGAAATGAACATCTGATCCGCCTTCTTAACAGTGAGATTCAGGTTGCAGAAGCACTCCGGGGTTGGCTGACGGTATCGAAGTCGCTTTACCGCCTCAGTACAGATGATTGATGGCTATCACCCGAGCATTGCAGCTTCCCCGTCGTTTGGATAGGGGTCACGTCTAGATGCGAGCCGTTAAAGTAAGTCCGAACACGACAGCCTTAGAGAGTCAGATTCTCATCAGGATACTGTATACTCAATCTACGCCTTTCACGTCCGCTGAGATAGACCAGAACCATTTCCTTTATAGCTACCTAGGTACTGACGGACGAGTCCCAGAGGAGAAGAGGGCGGCAGATGACTACGTGATGGTATTAAAGTGATGTTCGACTGGAGTTGGCAAAGGACTACGTCGTGATCTGGCCGGTCCTATTATTACTTCCCGGATCTGAATTGACTACCATCAGTATTCGAGATGACTACATGTTAGAAGTGCGGTTATCGTCCTCAGTCGGAAGGTGATGGGACACAGGTATGACCTCGAGCGTCTCTACCTTGGGATCTATAAATAAACGGCCTCGCAGCCCCAGAAGCGATTACTGTCATGCTTTCCCGAATGCCCTACCACTTTCTATCAGTACATAAGCCTGGACAAGATCAAAACCGCAGCAGTTAGCTATGATAACAGCCCTTCACCGCTATCTCAAGTTCGCCTATCTGGCCATGATGACCTTGAGGTAGACAGGGCACGATAGATCGATCCTGTCCTCGGAAAATAGGAAAGAGGAGAAGGAGAAGTAAAAGAGCAGTCGCATCAAGGTTGTGGTACATCACCATCTGATTCGAACCTGTAGGCTCACTCATTGCACTCGCCTCCGCGACTCAACAACCGGCTACGCCGTCCAGAGTTGTCCTTGCGGCACATGCCCAGGAAAGTACAAGGCAGGCAGGGACGTAGGTAAGACAAGACGGCAAGACGGCAAGGCGGCAAGGCGGCAAGGCACACCACCACACCGGATGGCACCAGCGGCTGAGCCGCATGCGGCCGCGAACTATCCCACTTGAATAGGTAGGAAAGGGACCTGACAGCTAACATGTGTGATCCCACAGGATGACACATACCTATACAGCTCACAACAAGGCTAAATACGCCACTGTTATGATATGGACAGGAACCACAGCGACAGCTGCATGTGTGAGGCTATGCGCGTGGCAGGTGCTGCGACTGTTGGCTGGGGTACATCCATGGGGAGGGAGTTGTGGCACGTACTTCAAGAGTCATTCGCCAGTCGCTTCCTCATTGGTCGCTTGGGTACTGGAAAGGTAAGGTAGGAGGCACACGAGGCTCTGACCTGGTCGTGGTAGCCTAGGTAGTATGTAGGTAGAGTTCAAAATCATATAAAGTTAAACCTCGTTCCCCCGGAGACCGACAAGAAACATCACTCTTCTCCAGGCAGTACTTCGATCATCTCAATAGTTACATCCTCAATCCTCACACGCTCTCTTCCCTCTTCACACCCCAAGTCATCTCTCCCAGCACCCACCATGTCAACCCAAGGGTGGATGCCAGGAGGCGCGCCTCCCGACGAACCCACCCCACTAAACGAGCTTAACGAGGTCTTAGAGCTGGGTGCCCGCCATACCCGCATGGCCCTCCGCAGAGCGCGCCGCGGCCAAAACCGCGATTCAGACTCGGAGGAGCTGTACACCCCCGCGATCGCGGGCGAGTCCGACCCCTCGGCGCCTAAGAACGATAACTAGTTCCTTGAGAATCAGACGATGAAGTGCGAGATCAAGCACCTGGACCGCAAGTACAACGACAAGGGCGAGCTGTACTTCGCCGAGCGCGGCGGCGCCGACGACGACGCGGCCGCCAAGCCGCGGCAGCCCGGCTGGTGGCGGCTGTACGCCTTCTGCGTTGTGCGCCTGTTCGACAGGGCCGGCAAGGTGCTGCCCAAGCACACGCGCCTGTACATCAACCCCACGCCGCTGCGCGCTTTGCTCCGGGACGTCATCGGCAACTACCCGTCGGACCCAATCAATGTGCACGACGTGCAGATCGTGGCGCCGTACTACGCGCTGTTCCACTACCGGAAGGAGCTCGAGTCCGTCGGTCTCAAGCGCTTCGAGGGCGACGGGAAGGAGAAGGACGCAGAAGGAAATTTCGAGTCAGCGGCGCAGCTGCGCATGCTGCTGATGTGGATCGATACGCACTTCGCGCTCGCCATCGAGGCGCACTGGCGGTGCGTCAACCCCGCCGGGGAGGGCATCAAGGCGATCACCTACGAGTACCTGTGGACGCTGTCCCCGCCGCAGCAGCTAATCCACACCAAGGTCCTCGAGCAGCACCGGGTTTACAAGGTCATCAGCAGCAGCTGGTACCAGGACCAGGAGCACGTCAACCCCGGGCTGATGTTCACAGTGACGTACATCGACTACGACGGCGACAGGATGGGCACCCGCCTCGCGAACCTGCTCATCCGGGAATACAAGGGCAGCAAGGAGCTGTGCGAGCTCAACGCGATGCCGCTGGAATTGCTGGACAACGCCGATGATGTGCGCGCGGAGCTGCTGGCGCGCGGACGCCGGTTCGAGGCTTATACTGGGCAGCATTTTGAGAGCTACGACGGTATCGCCGTCAAGACGGACGAAAAGGGGAATCATGCGAAATTCAGCGTCCAAGGTCGTATTGTGAGTCTACCTACCTACCTACCTAGGTCCTCTGCGTGTCACGGAGCCTGTCATGGGGGGCAATAACTGGTAGGAAGTATACTGACTGCATGCCACTTGCTAGATGATCGACTGCAAGACGTACCACCGTCTCGAGCCCAACGACTCCTTCCGCGTCGTGCAGTCGAGCGAGTCAGCTGAGCGCGAAAAGGCACGGCTCAAGGCAAAGGGCAAGACGGGCTTCGCATCCGATAAGCGGATCCACGATCCGCTGTCTGACGAGGAGGCGTGCATGGCGAATGCAACGATACGCGGCTTCTCATTCACAGTGAAGCGATTCCTGGAGTTCTGTAAGTAGTAGTCCGGATCTCTCCTTGACATATCACATCTCTCATCCGAAGTGAAGTTGAATACTGACTTTGGACGCTGCAGTCGTGGACAACGTGTCGCCCATCGAGTGGAACGAGCAGTGCTTCGACGAGTTAGTACTAGACGCCGTCACCAAGTAGACAGTTCAGGCGCTGGTAACGATGCACTACCGAGAGCGCGGCGCCGAAGGGTTCGACGACATCGTCAAAGGCAAGGGTCAGGGTCTAGTCTGCGTGCTCCACGGCCCGCCCGGCGTCGGCAAGACGTTGACGGCAGATTGCGTCGCCGAGCACGTGCGACGTCCGCTGTACGTGGTGTCTTCGGGCAGCCTCGGCGTGTCAAGCCAGTTGCTCGAAGACAAACTGACCAGCATCATGGACATGGCGTCGACGTGGCGCGCGGTCCTGCTCATTGACGAGGCCGACGTGTTCCTGGAGCGGCCCGTGTCGCGCGACATACACCGCAACGCCATGGTGAGCGTGTTCCTGCGCGTTCTGGAGTACTATTCCGGCATCCTGTTCCTGACGACGAACCGGGTGAACAAGTTCGACGATGCCTTCAAGTCGCGCATCCACATCTCCATCCGATACACGGACCTCTCGAAAGCGTCGCGGCTGCAGGTCTGGCGGAACTTCTGCGGCCGCATCCCCGGCGGCGTCGACATAGACGAGCGCGGACTGGCGACGCTGGCCAAGCACGACCTGAACGGCAGACAGACCAATAATGTCGTCAAGGCGGCCGAGAGCCTGCCGGCGTTCCACGGCGCCCGGCTGGACCTGGCCCGGCTGCAGCAGGTCACCACAATCCACGCGACGTTTGAGAAGGACCTGACCAATCCCATGGGAGTCGACTATAGGGTGCCGGGAGAGACCTAGTATGAAGACGCCGACGGGAGCATGTCCGGGTATATCTGAGCCGGGAGCAACAACGCGGATAGTCATGGCTCGGTGGATGGATGACTTATCTTTTTGACCGTCTGGCAGTGGCGGTACACAGCGTGTTTGATGGTTATCTCAGTTTCCTGACCGTCTGGCAGTGGCGGTACTCAGCGTGTAGGTGTGAGACTAGACAGAGCTCAGATCCGATAGAGGTTATTAGATCTGATCAAGTATCAAGCACATTGATGCAAGTATTGGTGTTTTTTGCTACGTGCGATCAGCACCGAAGGGACCTGTATGTGCCTGTCTGGACCGCCGTCAATGACAACGAAGTCCAGCGCGACTCGATAATAGCATCAAAATGATCCGACCGGGGAGCCTGCGATCTGTTCCTTGCCACACCCTGATTTGCTCGGTGACTAATCGGAGACGATGACACACAATTCAATGCTGAAGTCCAGCTTTTGTCACAGCTTTTGTCAGTGAAGAACGGGCAATCTGGGTGCGGCAGCACGTCTGATCTCGAGGCAGGCCAGTCGATGGTAATATCGCAGCAAGCTCATTGTCGTGATCTCAAGAGACAAGATACTCGAGATCTGGCATCCACTCCGCGAGACGGTGGTCGTTCCGCTGTTACATACGAGGCCAGGCTTGGTAAAGCTGACGAGGGAGACAACGGCCAGGAAAGGAACAGAGCTAGCGGGGGATGATTCGCTTGGTGATGCCGTTCTCGATACCCGTTGGCGGGTCGCCCTCGTCACGCAGTCATGGTACAGGGTATAATGATTAATGAGGAGAAAAACAGAAAATAGCAACAAGTCGTCGACAGGGCTGACAGACAGGGGACGGGCGGAAGGCGGTCCCACAAATGGGTCCATGGCGTGCCTGCCTAGGATCAGGATCAGGGCTATCCCCAGCTCGGTCGCTCGGTCGCTCGGTGAGTGCGTGCCGAGGTAGGCGCGTGGGCCGGGGTGTTTCAGTCCCGCGCCTTCTGCCGACCTTCCAGAAGCGGCCGCGATAAGCTCCAGGGAGTCAGGGACCAGAAGCCTGTGACCGAAGGAACGAAGGCAGCGTAGGATGCCCAAGATGAGAGATGAGATATATGGGATGCTGCTACGTTACCTACATAGGCAAGGCAGACCCCGGGCTTTGTTTGCACATCACTGATCAGGTATACAATTCGGTATATCCGGCAAGGTCAGGAGCCGGGGTCCGTGGACCGTATTTGACCGAGGACCATGAATGATGAAGCCCAGCGAATGGATAATCATAAATAATGGGCCCAGCCACCGCGGACGGGTCACGGACGAAGCGGGCAAGGTGAAAATAAACACACAGAAGGAGCTCGGTATGTACATCGTCTTGGTATCAGTGATATCAGTGATAGCAGGTGAAGACGCGCTCGTGGACGCGCTCACTCACTGGAGGCAGGGAGTTGGTATGGTCTGAGAAGAGGATGTAGACGAGCTGAGCCCTCCTAGATGTGCCATGATCCCCAAGGTAGAGATGCACGAATAGTACCGACGATCGTGGCCCTCAGTCCATGTCCTTGGCATCATTGACAAGACAGATTGCAGGAGTGGTGATTGCCGGCTGGACAGATCAGTCAATCCGGGGCTGTAGGTAGTATATGCGAATGATCGAATGACGACCGGTGTTGGATGAGTGAATGGCTAGTTGTGGGTGGATGCGAGGGTACGCGGCGTGGGATCGGGGATGATCCCTCACAGACCGAATGCAGATGCAGTAGCCATGTATCGACTGTGACAGGGTCTGCATGGCAGCACCGTAGCAATGGCAGTCATGGTTGGGATGATGGCGGCAAAGGAAAAGCTTCACGGCATGGATGATGGACGAGGGAGGATAGGATGGCGAGGACGGCAAGATGCGCGATGTGCCGCCTATGGCTCGCAGAGAACGACGTGTCTCGCCTCGTCCTCGCCTCCTGACCGAGGATAGGCCTGGTGTATGGATGTATGTCTGCGCTGGCGATGGAGGTGATTGGCTCTGCGGTGGGAGCAGGACAGGGGCTGTGATTTGATGAAGAAATGAAGAGAGCGATGATCAAATCAGAATGGAGCACCACGTGTTTACTCGACATCCGCCCTAACCTCTGCCAAAAACGAAACCGCCTTGCAGGATTGTACCGCTCTTGTCGATATCGTCATCTTTACGGGAGGATGTTGGGACTTTTAGAAGTATGAGGGTCAAGACCATCTGAAAAAAGCCTAGAGGAATATTTGTGTGGTATCCGGGAATCCCCGCCCCGTCCGGCTCATCTTTCCAGGGCCTTAGAAGCCGATTCTGCATAGCCGGCGCAGGTATATCTTAGCACATTTCTAGCAGTATGTATATTAATATGTTAACGGTAACCCCACGGGCGCTACGGGACGGCTTCCAAGGATTTCGGCCCCGCAACCAGTTTCTTTTTTCAGAACCAGATCCAAATCCTTCTCCCGTCTGATTTATGATGAAGGCGAACAGGGAATACCTGAGTATGTGAGTGGGCGAGTGGGTGAGTGGATGGGTGACCGAGTCTCCTGAATGAGTTACAACCCAGGTACATCGAGCCGGTCTCTCCAGGAAACCACTTACATGATAATAGTAGGTCTTCGTGGCTTACTACCCAATAAACTGCTGCCTACAACGCCCTGTGCAGGCGGTACTATTATCGTACTCCTTCTCGCCCACTCACCTAGGTAGATAGGCACATGCCTGCGGATACCTTACCTACCTACATACACACACACGGTCTGTTCGATACCACGGTAGGTGTCCGGACTGGGGACATGCATACCCAGGGGCCGATAGTGGCTGCTTACGTCTTGCACGTGTACACTATCTCGTCCCGAGTACTGTCTTGCTAGCTCTCCTGCGCCCAAGGTATCATGATCCACATGGACCTTGTTTCTTTTCCACCCCCTCGCGCCATTTATATTATTAGTCGACACCACCTACGTATTGTACTATTTACTTGCACTGCATACCTGACATTTACACTGCCGACCTGACTACTGTACATCATCCTGGGGCTTCTCCACCTCGGACACTTCCTAGATAGAAAGAAGCCCAAAGTCCATTTGTAGCCCGTGTTGCTGAGCGAGCAACTCTATCGCACTTGTTCATTATGAGGTAGTCATACTATCCCGAGAGCGAGCGCCCTACGATATGCATCCCGCTCCCAGCCTGGCGGAATCATTCCCGAAGAACTCCAAACCCGAAGAGCGAGCTCAGCATCATGTCTCTCGCCAGCATGATCAGGACATCCAGCAGCGACAACCGCCGCAACAGGCGGCGCAGGTTGGACATCCTCACTCCATGACACCAGAGAGCCACCACTCCGTCCCTGCCAGCCTGGCTTCACCTCCTATTAGGAAGGGTACGGCTTCCAGCACCTCGACGACTGGTTCCGATGCGACAGTGATCACCAACGCTTCCATCGACACCGATTCGACAGCCTACAGTGCAGAATCGTCACAGTCCATCTTCTCCATCAAAGATGGCACCGAGATCTCGGGCCATCGTCGTGCCAGTCGCCGAAGGACGGGTCCTCTATCAGCCCAGCAGAGGGAGAAAGCAGCCCTGATTCGGAAGCTAGGCGCGTGCGGAGACTGTCGAAGGCGACGGGTTGCTGTAAGTCACCCCCTACTATCCGCATATGATAGTACGAACCCCAAACTCACACGATGGGCCCTCCAAGTGTCACCCAAACCACCATGACATGTCATGGGAAGATGCTGTGCGAAAGTACCGTTCGTCAAGCCCATTACAAGATCTTGCGCCCCTGGCCGATAGGCACCTCAGCCCGGCACCGAGCCACATCAGGGCCCCTTTTGCCCAGGACCCTCAGGAGATGGACATTGACACATCGCCTACCACCCCAAACGCCCAGACAACTCTAAGTCGACCACCACTCGGTGATGCGCGAGTCAGGACGCCGCTACCCTCTGGCCCACGGCTGGACAAACCAATACCCATGGCCCCTTTGATTAGTACATCAGCAGCCTTTACCCCTATACAGAACCTCGATTCCATCAAGGCAGACCTGAACAGCACGGCTTCGAGGATACTGTCCTCGCCGCATCGAAGTCGTTACACCACCGTCTACGTGCTGCTCATCTACTGGCAGGACGACGACGACCCCGGAGTCAGCTCCGCCGTGGACGAACTAGCCGAGGTCTTCGACAAGTACTACCATTACACGTTGGAGGTTTCCAAGATCCCGCCAAACGCCTCGAGTGGATGCGCAAACTCTTGGAGGTGGCTGTCGCGGATTATCAACGACTTCACGGACCACAGTGACACGAGGGACGTCTTAAAGATCGTGTACTACAACGGCTACAGCTTCCTCGACGAAAATAGGGAGATGGTCCTGGCGAGGCAAGTAGATATATATCCATCAAATCATAGCTAATAATACTAACCCCCGCGCAGCTCTCAAGACCGTGATGAGGCCTCGACGATCCGGTGGAGCGGCATCCAGCAGATACTAGAAGAAGCCTGCTCGGACACCCTGATCATCATGGACGCCGCGTACTACCCGTCCACATCCAAGATGGTGCGTCAAAAGGGGGTCCTGGAGCTGATTGCCGCCTCGACGTCCGAAGACTACTTCGCCATCTTCGACCGCGGATGCTTCACCCGGACCCTGGCGGACCAGCTCCGAACGCGCGCCGTCCAGCGTCCACCGCCGAACGCCAGTGCACTGTCGGCAGCCGAGCTGCACGCGAAGCTCCTCTCCATCTACCCCAAACTCGTCCACGACAGACACCCACACCCGCAGAAGGCGGCGGCGGCGGTAATACCGAACCTGCCCTCGCCGCTGCACATGCAGATGTCGGGCAACGCGCGGCTGCCGTCCATCACGTTATCGCCCCGGACCGGGCTCACGAGAGACGACACCGAGATCGGCCACGGCGGCGGCCCGCAGCTGACGCTGTCGATCCGGTTGACCGACGACGCGCTCAGCCTTGAGAACTGGACCGAGTGGTTCCGCATGATGCCCGAGGGCATCAGGGCCGTCAAGGTCGAAGGCCCCTCCTATCTATCATACGTTTAGACGATGACGACGACGCTCCCACCCGTCCCACGCACACCCGCACACACACCCTTACACCCACACACGCACATATTTTCCCCCTCCCCCGGCCTGGCCTTCGGATTACTTCGGACCAGGGGGTATATATATACAGTGAGCGAGCGACTTGTCACGAGACCATGAAGTTAGGAAGCAAGCACAGCAGTCTGTTTTGAAAAGAGCAAGCAAGCATTTGCAATTTGTTTGTTTGTTTGTTGGATTTGGCGAGCGACCGTGATATCCATCCATTTCAGTACTTATAGAATGTCCCTGACTATTAAATTATATTGAGACTTTGATCCATCCCTGTTTCATGCTTTGCCCCTAAGCGCTCTTGAATACGTGGACTATGCTCGTAAAGCCTACCCCAACGCCACTCCGGACTCGCGATCTCCATGCCTCCCCATTATTCCCGATTTCCACGATGGGTGGCGCATTGGCTTGGTAGGTCGCCTCAACCCAACCTCTGCCACGTGTCGGGAAACGGGGTGGGGATGGGAGCAGCTGGCTAGCTGCCTGGAGCTGGCAGCAGATGCGCTGGAAGACTACTTGTACGTGTATGTACTGCCACGGCAGAGAATGGGACTGACTCATGGGTCGTGCGTGCCATGGCCTCTCCGCTCTCTTCTTCGCACTCACGCCCCCACGGCGATAATATAAGCATGCCAATGTTCCCTATTATCGAGTTGCCTCTCGGTCCAGTCCGGTACTCAGCATGTATGAGATGCCAAGTCACGGACCCATAGTTCCACTCCTGTAACGTTATTGCTCTCAGGGAACATGCTCTTCCGAAAATCGTGCCCAATGAAGGCGAACGAGAAAGATGAGCCTGTAATGATAGACGAGCAGGACTAAATCCTATACACAGCGGGCCCTCGCGTCTCTAGCACTACTGGCGAACGAACGCTCACCTCAGAAGGGGAGCTGCTGCCGCTGCCCGTGAGGCACGCTGCACCACGGCGTGAGGCTTGCATAGATCGCACGCAGGTTGCTTACAATTCCATCTATCAAACGCGCGCAGCAGTCGGGTGTGGTCTCGGGGAAGCTGAACTGGAGAAAATACGCCATGTCTCACTTGTGAAGAAGTCGATGGACGCTGTCGACAACCGAATGGAAAAGGAGAGGTTGCACATCGCTAGATCGAATTTCTAACACAAGGTTCGGAGCGGGTGGATGCAATGAATGAAGAAAGAAGGCCTGGATACTACTTGACCTCGAAGATAGTCATGCCATACTCCAGGTGCTGATGGAGCTTCGGAAAGGAGATGTCTGAGACAGAATGCTCGTGACAAGAATGCAGCTTGTTGACATATATAGCCCAGCACGTCACGAGGCTTCAGGTGCAAGGGCAGATACTTATCTCAATCAATCACCCTCTCGGCCGCATCAAAACATAAGCTATGCGATTTGAAATTACTCCATAAAAGATCGTAAATGGATCAAGGGTTCAAAGTGACCTTCAAACTATACGCCAACGACCTTGCCATGCGCTGTTCATGAATCATGAATATCAAAGAACAAAACCCGCGAACCCAACATACCGTTTTCATGATGCAGTGGCCCCTTTTCCAGTCCAGATCCGTCATCCACAATGCATTACCTATATCACCAGAACCAACCCCACAAGCCCAACCACAGCCCAGGCAACTCCAACCTGTCCGCCCACACTCAGGCGCGCACCAGCACCCAGCGCATCCAGCCCGATGATCGCCGTGGGCTCATAGCTCCCAACCGGCGTGCTATCCGTGGTGCCGTTCCAGCAATACCGCGTAAAGCAAGTCTGGCACGCAGCGGGTACATCAGTGCCCGTGCGCTCTAGACTGCGGCTCAGCACCGCGCAAGCGGCGCACGCGGGCCAGTCCTTGTCGACGGTGCCATTACCCATGGTGGCGACGTTGAACCCGTTCGTGATGATGCTATCCCGCAGGTCGTCCGCGTACGACGGCGTGAACGTGCTCACGTTGCTGTCCTGCGTGTAGGGCGCGTTGGGCATGTACACGATCAACGGCGGGATCACTTTGTACGATGAGAATTCGGACGTGTTGCACCCGAAGAAGGTCGGTCGCTTGTTTAAGCCTAGGTTGATGAAGGTCTCGGCGTCGGGCACGGCCGGGAAGGCGGTGCCGTTGGAGATAGGCTCCTTGGTGCGCGCGTACGTGGCGCGCAGAGCTGTGCCGTTGGGCCAGTTGTACGTCGTGTCGGCCGACGAGTCGACGGCGAAGATGACGTCGACGGCGCGCTCGGGCTGGATGAGTGGGTGCAACGGAATGTTCTGCAGGTCGAGCCCGCCGTCGACGAGCGTCAGCTGCGTGGCGCCCGCGTTCTTGTTGGTCGCGTTGTTGTAGCCGTAGAACGGGTTCGGCTCCCACACGGCGATGTCGTTGTCGTCTTCGTCGACGTCGACGAGCACCTTGGTCAGGAGGTCCGTGAAGATCGAGGGAACGTCGTACGACGACAGGTTGGTCTGCAGGAACTCGTTGAACAGCGACGAGGAGGTGCCCATGACGAAGCCGTACTGGTCGAAACCCCGGACGCAGTGCCCGTCGGAGGGGATGCTGCCGCCGCTGAAGTTGGACCCGACGTAGCGCGTCGGCGCAAATCCAAAGACGGTCGGGTCGAACGAGCCCATCTCCCACGGGTTGATCTCGTGCACGGTCGAGTTGGCCGAGACGATGGTGGTGCCGGGAGACCGCTCGTCAGCGACCAGGATGGGCATCGGCGTGTCCGCGGCGGTGAAGTTGCTGTCGTCGGCGATGGACGAGAACGTGTATGCCGGCCCGCCGTCCTGGGCGTTGATCAGCTGATACGACAGGGTGCGACCCCAGGGATCGGTGATGGAGGCAGGGTAGCCGGCATCCTCCTTGTCGTCGATCTGGTCCACCACGTCCTTCCAGTAGTCGGCGGAGTTCAGAAGCGAGATGCCGCTCGACTTGGGCCCCTCGAAGATGGAGTTCGAAAATTGCCACAGCGATGACCCGTCGTACCCGTCGCGCAGGGTCGTGATGCTGGAGAAGTTGTTGGCGAAGATGGAGCCGACCAGCCAGCCGCCGCCGGAAAGGCCGGCGAGGTAGGTGCTAGCCTGGAGCAGGCTGCCGATGCCTCCGGCGTCGGTGGAACCAGCAACGCGGTTGTCGGCGGCAGCGACGAAGCCGGCGCCGTTCATCAGGGCGCGGTAGCCACCGCCGGAAATGGCGATCCCGATGTTGGGGACGACGGAGAAGTTCTTCGAGTTGGAATTGACGAAGCCCACGGCGTCGAAGTTGGCGATGTTGGCGCTTTTGAGGAAGGCTATCATGGGGTCGATTGTCTTGGGTCTGCGGAGCTTCAACCAGTCCGTCTCAGACTGCGACAGCTTGGCGGCGCTCCGGATGGTCGGCCTTTCCGAGGGGCAGTCCACGTTGGCGGGCGCATAGTCTCCAGACGGGCTCTCGGGCGCGGCGCGTGCCAGCACATCTAGAACCACAGCATGGAGGTCGCGGTCGCCGTTGCTGGGGGCCGCAAGCGCGCTTGAAATAAGTGTTAGTAGGGACAACGGAAGAGATACCGAAGAGATGCGCATCTTCGCGGTGGTACGCGCGATGCGATGCGATGCTATGCGATGCGATAGGAAGAAACTTGGAAGAGGTCAGGATAGAAGAGAAAATGGATGAATGAGCAGGACGGATTTGGGAAATGTGGTCGCGTGGCGCCGTCGTGTTATAATAATAACACCGGCGAGACTCAGGAGGAGGATGTGGAATTGTTGCGTCACTGGGGGGCTGGATAGGCTGGAATCTGGATAGGCTGAGTGCTTTGGGCAGTGAGTGGCACCTCGGTGATCAGACGGCCAAGAACTACGAACAAACTAAATAAGGACCAAATAAGGCGATGATCGCTAGAGCTGAGCCGCATCGATGTTCTGCGCCATCGTGAGTCTTCCAATTGGAGGGACGCTGGGCTGAGTAGGTACCAAGTAGGCTGTTCTAGTGCGCCGTGAGATCCGACGGCTGTGATAAATAAATAAACAACCCTCTGATGATATCATAAGCAGGATTTATGACTAGCCTGCCCATAGACTAGGTAATTACACCAGATATCTATCTGATGAATAACTCCCGGCAACGGAGTGGTAGTGAATCACGATGTCCGTATAAAGTACATTCACAGTAGGTGATTATCTGTCAGCAGATACCTTAACCCGCGGGTCTGAATAAGGACTCTTTGACGGAACCTTCGACGGAGGATCATCCCGGGGCTGTGTGCCACTGTCACTGTGCCTTGCAGTAGCGCAGTCACTGCAGTCCAATGGCTTTAAATAATTAAGTCCGAACTTGCCGGCCACCTGCACCTCATCACATTGATCACATAAGCACACCCATTACCTTACTCGTGCACCTGCACCAGGCCGACAACCGAGACGTCGGATACATACCTACCGACACGAAATAATGTAAAATGAAGGGGCCTGGTCAGAGGTACGTGGGGCTTTCTCGACACGTATGGATCTCCAGTTCTTGACGAGGCTCAGCTGGAGCTTGCGTGGTCGGCTTGGCACTATGGCTCGGGTGTCCAACTCCAACTCCAGCTCCGACTGCGAATGCAAACGCGACGGGAGGCTGCCGGTGTCCCTCCCTTCGTATAAAGTCCGGGAACGCGAAGGGCATGGAGCCCGATGTATGAATAGGTAGGTAGTTCCTAGCTACGTGGAACGAGTCAGAGACATTCATCATACATACTGTGATACGGCACACACGGCACCAGCCTGTTCATCAGGGCCCATTCGACCGACCCTATATGCCAAATCACTAATAAGAGGCAGAAGACGTCTACTAACAGTTGGTCACTCCGGATTTGAGGCGTAAATGTGCATTACGTTCCGAGACCGTCGCAGCTCCCGACGCGGCGCGGACCTCCGGAGTACCGGCTGCGGGTTTGACCTCGGAGTCGTCGTCTAAAGTCGGACCGGGGAACACGCAGCAGCTCCTTCCCCGTACTCTTTTTCACCGCCGCACTTTCCTGTTCATCACAGACACATCTTCCATACCTACCGAGGAGTTATCCCAAGCGCGCCGCCGCCCGTTTCTTGTCTTGGTGCAGACCAGACCGGACCAGACCAGACCAGACCAGACCAGACCACAGCGTAGGACGATCCGGCGCAGGACGACCCGGCGCTTCTGTTATCGCATATTGTGAGACATACCCTCTGTCCGTGAGAACCACCTCCTCCTCAGGCTTCATCGATAACAATGGTGTTGGATTTCATCCTCCGCATCTGCGAGTGCATGCCACCCTTGGGGTCAACTACTGCAAACCCCGGCGGGGCATCGTATTGTGTGCACACTTGCACTGGCCAGGGGTGATGAACAGCCAGTCAGCTTTGACACTAGCGCCCTACAGCACCGAACTTTGCTCGATGAATTCGCAAAGAGCCCCATATGTAAAATCGCCAAGAGCCGTTGTCTAGTGGTGTTCCATCGCAGGATCCCAGATCACCACCTCAGTCTGGCGTCGAGGAGAGAGACGGGGATTAACTTACAGCTTGTGGCTCTCGTGGCTCGGAAGTTCACAACGGGCGGTTGAGTCTCGGGAATGCCCCAGGTGAGGCCTTGGAGGACCCCTCCCTCCCTCCCTAGACCATAGATGTCTCGTAGATATACGATCTCTCTCCTCACAGATACGGACCGGCCGGCGCCCGTCTGGTTGGTGCTGTATCATGTCCCTCGGGAGCTGGCTTTTTCCGGGTAACTAACCCGAGAGCAGGTGGCTATTCAGTTTCTGCCAAAACCTATATATATAGATCTTATATATAGTAGCTCCTTCGTGAGGTGGCCAAACCCCTCGAACCCGTCAAGCACGTCAACATCGCACTGAATTAACGACGGCGCACGAACCCGACGTCCCGAGAACCTGCGCACAGCAGCGAAGATACCTGCTCCGCTCCTCGGTGAACAGTGACACTCCCACTTGCAATATTCCCTGTTATCACCGTACCGTATTGTAAACAAAGGAACTAGTTAACTACCTCATAGAGTCTCTACTCGTCATGGGATACTCACTCACTCCACACCACCCACAATAACCACTGTCCCGACTCAGTTTCACAGCAGACAGTTAGGCCCGCGAGCGCGAGACACCCTCCTTGTACGCAGCCGTGAAGCTCATGTGTAGGTAGGACGATGTCTATCTCTGCCCCACTCAACGTGAAAACATCAGAAACATCCATTAGCCGGCCACCGAGAAGATGGGCGCACGAAGGTACACAACAGAAACACCCCCCTTATTCCCATAAGCAGTGACTTCGTATCAGAAGCCCGGCCTTGTCGGTTGTCCTCTGGATATTGGCGCTCACCCATGGCCGGTGGAAGCTTCGCTCATACAAGCTCTCCGGCCCCCACTGCCAATGTTGAAGTTTCTCGAAGATAGTCAATAGTCACTATCATGTTGCTACCAGTAGCAGGTATTCACGTCACGAAATCAGCAACGCCATACGATCCTTAGGGTCTCCAAGTCACCCGTTCGCAATTACTGCTGGTCATGAAGACTGGCTCAATCAATATAGGCAACTCACTGACGATAAAATACACTGTACTTGTTGATTGCCAACCATGACAAGGTATTCCCAACTCCGGATGCCAAATGTCTTTCCTTCATAGTGCTCAGTCGAACACCGAAACATAATGCCACGTTGCCAGATCTCAAATGATCAAGATGTCTATCCTGATCAGTGAAGCACAATGAAGCACGTCCACACAGGGCAACGTGTCCTTATGATCCACAGATATCCTTAACTCCTATCCATGCTTTGCTTGCGAAAACCCATCTTACACTGATGCTGCTACCAGACCGCTCAAAGCCGTCTCAAGACTTTGAATCGGTGACCGGAGTCGGTGCTATTCTTCGTTTCTTCGGTTGGTCACTAGACTCGTCCTTTTCACTCTCGCTCGCTTCTCTCTTGACACCAGCAGCAACGTTATTGCTACTGGGCGTCTCAGGCGGGGTGGTCATCGGTATACCGGTCACCTTTCCGGAGTTAGCGGCTGCGATACTCGGTACATTTCCACCTATGAGAGGCGGGTTGTTCATGAGGGAGCCTGCGGTCGCCACAGAAGAGGTCGAATTCGATCGTGCAGGCGAAGGAGGCCGTGCACTCACGAAGGACGCTGTCGCTGGCGGCGACGGCGCGGGGAATGAGGTGGCAGAGTTGCGTTGTTGATGGCCTAAAAAGGGTGATGGAGGGGCGAAGACCGAGGTTGGCGTAGGTACTGGCGTAGACTGGTTCGATGAAGGACCAGCACCAGCAGCTGATGATGAGTTCTTCGCACTCATGAGCTCGCCCTTGTATTCTTGACCTAGCTCACCCGGTATGAAGGAGAGTGTGGAGCAGAACCCATCAGATGAAGAGATCAACAAAGTAGACCCATCGCTTGACCTGTAGACAAATTAGACGTAGTCCCTTGGTAGAGAAATACACTGAACTTACCAGGTCAGATCGGTGAAAGTAGCCAGATGCAGATTGCTCACGACGCAAATCGGGGTGGTCTGTTGGGTATCGTAGAGAAGAACGGAATCTTGGGTTGCTACTGCATAGACCATGCGGTAAGGCAGAGCAAACAACGGCTTCGGTCCAGGCGTCGATACTCCAGTCTCCAGGTTCGACGGCTTGGACGGCGTGGTAGAATTCTCAGGTTCGGCAGACGCAGAACTTGGTGGCGGGGGTGGATCCATCACCGCCGGAGATGGCTTCGAGATGGGTTCAGGCAGGGCTGGAACCGGATCGTCTGCCAAAGATGTGTCTATGGTGATATGCTTCGTGACAGGAGGGGCCTGCCGGAGGGTGTAAGGTATCGGCGAACACTTGACAGCTACCGACGGCTTTTTATGGCCAGGCAAATGAGCAATGGGAGGCTTGTTGATGCCACCTCTTGTGTATATGTAGACTGTATTTATGACCTCAAAGGAAGATTTGAGTCCATCCGCCTGGTGTTGGACCTGGAATTGGCCGGCGGGCGTGAGGAGCAGACTACCATCGGGCGTAAATGTCAGACGTCGAAAGAAAGACGTGAGGGTCTCATTCGCGTAGAGGTTGGCGTTTTTCGTTCCCAAGCCAGAGGTGTGATTCGGTTTTGGGGATGGCTCCATCGCCATTGGCATAACTGCGGGTAGAGGTAACGATGGAGCTGGCGACGCAGATCTTCGAGAAGAGAAGGACGACCGTCTGCTGTGACTGACGACACTCGGAGGATTCATTGGTAGAGCTACAGACTGGGGTGTTCCCGGGGCTGATGGTGCAGGTGATCCCATCGAGGCCGTTGGAGTGTCGACAGCAGCAACAAGCTGAGCCCGGTGGCCCATGTCAGGCGGTGCTGGACTGCTGGAAGAGATTCGCCTAGGCGGCAAGTCCATCTTAGCATGGCTGGCAACCTTGGGCGTTTCGCCGCCATGACTGGTCAGTACATATTGCCCATCCTTCGTCTTCAGCGAGTATATATGAACCGATCGATCGGAGGACTGGGTTGCGATGTATTCGTTCCAAGGATCCCACGCGACACCCTGGACGTAGTGACTGTGTTCGGCGATTTGACGCACAAGAGAACCTGTAGTGGTAAAGTTTAGCCAGGTGAAATTACTTGTTGGGTTTGGAGAACGACGTACCTGTGGCGGCGTTGTAGATGCGGGCAATATTGTCCATACTGCCAATGATGAAATATGTAGCATCGGGGGACCAAGCCAGATCGTAGATCTCGGAGGTGGACTGGCGGAACATGTGCTTGGTCCGCCATGTCTCCCTGTCGACGATGCCCTCGTTGCCGAATGTGGTGGGGTGGTGCACCTCTGCCGGGACCCAGAGGATGACGTTGCCGTCGTCTCCAGCCGAAGCAAGAGTCTCGCCCTTGGGTGCCCAGCGAACGACGTTGACAGCCTGCGAGTGCTTCACCAGGGTGGAGAGGTACTCGACTCGTCTGTCTTCGCCGTCTGCATCGACCTTCCAGATGCGAACATTATTATCCCCACCGCCCGTAGCTAGTCTTCCCTTGCCGTGCGGCTCGAAGTGGGCAGAGTAGATGGGGGCATTCTTGTCGTGCCAATTGACAATAAGAGGAGTCGACTTCATGGTGACGGCAGCGTGCGAGACGACATGGAATGGCGGGTTCGTAGTTTGAGGGTGGCAGGAAATGGGGGATCGAATTTGTCGGTCGAGGAGACGAGGAGACGAGGACGAGGGTTCTCAGCAGTACCAGTGTTGGATAGGCGAGGCAGCCCTGACTGCCTGTTATGGGATGGATATGGATGGAAAGAAGGAGTGAAGAATCCGACAGGCGGTGGATGCAGGTGGTCACTGGTAAGGCGACAATGAGGCTTTGGGTCAATGCGTCTTCCTGCACGAGAGAGACGAGGCGGCCACCTCCCAAAGCGGCCAAAGTAGATGAAGGTGAGGTTGGAACTCTCAGAGTTGTGGCGCCTGCAAGCCGTTTCACCGGCGATGCGGGACTAATAAAGGTAATAAATTAAGGTATGAGGTAGGTACAACCGTCAACCCTATATCTGCGGAGTAGGGCAGGAGCTCGCCTTCCTCTCTTCAGGTTTTGAATGATTCTTGAATGATCTCGGGCTGTGTGCAGACACTCGTCCAACAGACAGACAAGACAGGCAGACAGACAGACCGTCAATCGCCCGTTTGATGACTTGCCTTTGCTATCTATCAGCTGCTGAATACGGGAAGCTGCAGCTCCCATGGGCCGTCACCCACTTGGCTCCTTCCTCTGAGTCCTTTCTGCGCGGGTCGCGTTTGAGCGCGTTGGGCCAATCACCGTCGCCGTTCTATGGGTTCATCAATCTGCCGCCTCACACCTCACATAATCCCTCCATGTCACTTCGTCGTGTTTTGCATCGGCTTCTCTAATCCGGCTCTCAGATGCTTCTCTCCTACAACATTCGGTCGTGGTACAATCGCGGACCGATTCCTTTCGCACCTGTTGGTAGCACACTCAGAGCCAGAGACACGTACCAGACATACATCTCGAATGGATGACTCTGAGTGTTGTCCCTTTCATCTCTCCGCTCCTGTTCTTCCCCGTATCCCATCTCTGATAAGTGAGGGACCTCTCTTTGACACACTGCCCTACTTTCTCTACTTCCATGCGTCCCACTTGGCGAACTTCAGTTCTTTCATTGTTGGATTGCTGACACGGGGTTGGGCGACGTGCATGACACAAAACACCTAGGTACCTACTGAGGCGGGCCATGACTATTGAGCTGACATCTATGAATCCTGGATATCATAGAACATGGCATACGATACCCGATGCTTTCCCCTACAGGTCCTTCAGCTTGTTTGGTCCTCGGCGTTCTGACGACATCATCATTCGCTGGCGGAGACTCATGAAGGCCCCCAAAGCAAGTCCGCATGGTCCAGTCGCCCAACGGGTACCGTCATCCTCGTCCAACACGGTCTTCATGTCAGCTGACTTAGCCTTTCCTACTTTCGCTGTCAATTTCTGACACAAGATGACTAGCTGTGAGTGTGTCTGGTTGTTTGACCGTTTCTCTCCGCTACCGGATATCCTAGTGATCTGGATTCCTTGATACCCGAAGACGCCCTCTCCTATCCGCGCCAGAGGCCTTCGATCAACTCCATTGCTCAGCCAACGGCTATTGTATGTCTACATGGACCTGGAATTTGCGTGGTTACCATGCACCTCATGCGGCCGCAATTACGACCTTGAACCCTGCGGCTGAACAACGTTCTCCCTTTCCCCGGAAGCATTGTCAGTCCATCCGTCCGCGAGGCGCAGCTTACGCACCTTGTCGATTCCGAATGAATCCATCGCCGCTTCGGGTCCGCAATCCATGTGACTGGCGTCCAACCGCAGTAATAAAGGCGGTGTGATTGATTACTCTGATGAATTGATGAGTATCCAGTTCCAGCCACCTGCAGCCAGGTTGCGGTGCCATGTGAGGTGCAGGGCTGTTGCGTGTCTCGTACCATGTCCATCTGACTCATTGGTTCGTTTAATCGCCTGGACTTGGTGAAAACTTCAATTGGTTACGTGCGACGATTTCGCTAATCTGAACCCCTTCATCAACCATTTCCGAGACACTCAACAGGAAAGGCACTCTCAAAGCTCAGTGATCCGGTTCATGTGTCTACATAGTATGATCGATGCGGGATCAACCACTGGCAAAGCAAATCGACGCTCAGCAGCATGACCCCGCAACACATACATAAGGTATGCACGGGCAGCAGTCCGGGGATGCAGATATTTGGACTTAAAAGAACCCCGTCCGCCGCCAGTTGGAGTCATCGCCTCTGTCCTGATGTCTCTGTCTCTCCAGATTGCTGGTCTTTGCATACCTACCAGGTAGGTACCACTTTCCTACATGTCTTCCCAACGTGAAGCAACATGGTTGACGCAACCGGCAGGATGTTATACTCGGCGGTCACTCCGGATCCGGCCACATCGTTTCTTGCTACCCCGCTTCTTCCCGGTTGGCCAGATGCCACCATATCGGGATGCCCTCTGGGCACGGATGGAGAGGCGATTGTACCGCAAGCTGGGGGGATGCGGATGGCAAGTGCCTCTCCTGATAGCTGTATTCTTAATTTGTTTCAGATAAGCTGACATGAATCTATCACGGTCATGGGCATCTCGTGAGCAAGCCAGTGCTCACCTTGACTTGGTCCACATGGTCCAATACCCTTACGGCGTTACACGCAACGGCGACGGGACCAACGACCTGACATCTGGAAATTCGAATGCACTCCCACGACTAGTGCTGACGGTGCCCCGCTGTGGGGGCCATATAGTACTTGACATGATCGACCATCCTGCATCTGGCATCCGAGTTCTGTGCATCTCACTGTCTTCGTCAATGGGGACCACATTGAACTAAGGTCATGTCGTGGCTCGTGGAAGCCGTTGGCTTACCTGAGCACTGGTATTAATCAATCGACTCATCATGACTGATCTTTGCTTGACGTTGGACTGACGTTGGACTACGCTGATGTGAACTCTAAGACCCTGATACTGCTACGGGTCAGCCCCTTTGGCTTTCCTGCCCTCCGTAATAGAGACACAACAACAACATGCTGTGTATCTATAGGGACGAAGAGGTGGTGGAAGCTCTGTACTAGCAAGCGGCCACACACCGCATGCAGCCTGTACAGCAGCTGCGGACCTTCTGATCCTAGACTTACCTACCATGACAGTTACCTACACCTCATCCCGTACCTCGACCCTGTCTGCCTGCCCACACCACCGACGAGATACAGTCACTTGACTCCCATTGATCTACACTGGCTGGACCGCTCGGACCTTTCTGCTCTGATAGCTTCCCATATCTCGTACGTACACCGCGCTTTACACCGACCATCTTCTGCGATGTCTGCAGTCTGGTCAGACAGGCTACAGCTGGACACTGGACTAACAAAGCCGGCTAAGCGTCACGGCAAGGTACATGCATAGATAGAAAGAGCTTCCTTGTCCCGACGAATCGGAACGACTGGGTAACTCGACTAGTGGTGGAGAAGTGGAAGGAGCTGCAAGCTAGGTCGTTATCAACCGCAATCCACAATCCACAATGCACAATCGGATCGGGTTCGCCTCCAGGAACATCCAAGCCAAGCCACCAACGGCTGGGGCGCAATGAGTCAAACGGCGAGTATACGAGCCTCTTCCATCTAGAAACAATTCTCATCCTTCGACGCCGCTGCAGTGGTAGCCGCATTGCATTGCATTCCATTCCGTTCTCACTGCACCTGCGATAAGTTAACGTCAGTCCGGCTGTCAGGCTGTCAGCAGTAGTCGACGACATCAGGTCTGGGTGTCTGGGTGTCTGGGTCCGTCCTCTTTGTCCTAGACTCCTAGAAATCCTCCGTATCCACTTTCTTCACCTTCTAAGTTCTGTCAGACTGCCAGTCGCATCGCCAGCCTTCATAATTTCAGTGGGTCATCACTTCTACTGAGATTTTCGATTTTTCAACCTACTCTATAAACTTTCGCTGCCATCTTCAACTCTCCTCGCGCCGAACTACATCAACGCTGCGGCTCGACTCGGAGCTTGCGCGTTTCGGAGAGAGCACTTGGAGTCGAACCTCAGAACTCCGAGCCGACTTGCCACCCACGGCATCGTCACTAAATATGTCTGAAAATGCACTGATGCTCGCCACTTCAGCCATTGGCTTGGCCGTCATTGCGATCGCCTCCGTGCCTTCGACCATCAGTCTCATCACTCAGCTGCGCACCCGACACACCAAAGCCGAAGGCTACGAGGATGCGGACGGTAAAAGTTCGCCCGAAGCTGTCAAGGCGTTCAGCGCCAAGCTCCCTAAGGCCTTCATACTCGCCTTCTCGGTGACTGGTTTATGCATATCCATCACACTCGCCGTTCTTTCGACGCTGAGGCCAAGGGGTGTAGGGGACGGGTTGTTTCTAGAGAACTGGTTGGTGGTTCCGGCCTGGGTAAAGACCGTTACACACCGCAACTTTCGGACCAATAGGCTTACATGATTTGACAGGCACTTTTGGTTCTACAGGCAACCTGCATCGCCTCGAGCCGCCACTCGGTGGTCGCTTATGACCTTGGAATCAATTCCATGGTGTCCTGCGTGGTACTTGCTGCTGTCCTAGCCGTGCAGGATCAACAGGTCGCCGCCACGCTCCTGAGACACGACGCTGCCATTTTCTCCATTCGAGCCGTCGAGATCGTCACTATTGTTTGTCTGGCTTTTGCCAGTCTGTCGATCCCACGCCGACCAGATGTATTTCACGGCGGCAAGCTGGTTGACCGCAAGCACACGGTCTCTGCGTGGAGCCGGTTCAACTGGAGCTGGCCGTCCAACGTGCTTGGGTACGCTGCGAAGAAGAAGAACTTGGACTTGATCGACCTTCCGCGGCCTGACCACCTTACGAGATCCAAGGAGGCCGCAGCTGACTGGGAGAGTCGTGGGTTCACCGGCCCACTGTGGCTCTCCATCATCTACGCCCATAAATGGCTTTTCGCTCTGCAGTGGTTCCTGACCTTGATGACTGCCTTGCTCAACTTCGCGCCCCAGTGGGTTGTGCTGCAGCTACTTCATCTGCTGGAACGGAGGCAGACGCACGAACGGCTTGGCTACGATGCATGGATGTGGGTCATCTGGCTCCTGGTAGCCATTATTGCTCAGGGATGGTTCGAGTCGTACGTGTTCTGGATGTCCTTTGGCGAACTTTGTATCCCTATTCGCGCTCAGCTGTCTGCTCTCATCTTCGAGAAGTCGATGAGGCGCAAAGATGTCAAGGAAGCAAGCAAGAAAAGGCCTGCAGCAGAGTCGAGCGAGGCAACCATCATTGGTCCCGCGGGGGAAAGCTCCAATATTGACAAACCCGAGGCCGAAGAAGTTGAAGAAGATGACGCTGACCAAGTGAATAAGAGCAAGCAGAGCACAGTCAACCTGATTGGTGTCGATGCCAAACGTGTATCAGACTTTGCCGCGTTCAACAACTACTTCCCTGGAAGTGTGTTCAAGCTGGTTGTATCTCTTGTCTTCCTGGTAGACCTCTTGGGATGGAAAGCGCTACTTGCTGGGTTCTCGACTATGCTCGCAGTCACGCCTCTCAACATCTACTTCTCGAAGAAGTACTCGGATGCGCAAGACCGGTTGATGAAGGTTCGCGACGAGAAAATGGCAGTCGTATCGGAAGCGCTCCAGGGGATACGTCAGATCAAGTTCTCCGCCTTGGAGCCCCAATGGGAGAAGAAGATTGGCGAGGTCCGAGAAAGGGAACTGCAAAGCATCTGGAAGGCCTTGCTATACGATGTCATGTTGATGGGTTGCTGGATTACAAGTCCGATTATGTTGGCTGCCGCGTCTCTGGCTGTCTATGCTGCAATACACGGTACCCTTCTGCCTTCTGTTGCGTTTGTCAGTCTGGGTGTCTTCAAGGCGCTCGAGGTCACCTTGTCGGTGATTCCAGAGCTGACCACTGATCTACTCGACGCCTGGATTTCTGTCAAACGTATCGACGCCTACCTGCGAGGGGCTGAGATATCAAAGATTACCAAAGATGCGGACGAGGTGTCGTTTGACAATGCATCTATCGCTTGGCCCTCCGACACGGACCCCAACGAAGCTGACGCGGATCCTGACCGCTTCGTCTTGCACGACGTCAACGTTACCTTCCCCAAAGGAGAGCTGTCTGTCATATCAGGTAAGACGGGAAGCGGTAAGAGTCTGATGCTCGCTGCCATCCTCGGCGAGGTCGACATCCTGTCGGGCTCTATCGCTGTACCTCGACCCCCTCCCATGATCGAAAGACATGACAGCAAAGCAAATAAGGACAACTGGATCATCCCGGGCGCTGTGGCCTTTGTCGCCCAAATACCGTGGATTGAGAATGCCACCGTCAAGGAGAACATCTTGTTTGGGTTACCATGTGATCAAACCAGGTACAACAAGACCATTGAAGTCTGCGCCTTGAAGAAGGACATGGAGATGTTCAGCGATGGGGAGGAAACAGAGATTGGGGCTAATGGAATCAATCTGAGTGGTGGCCAGAAATGGCGGATCACGTAAGTCCTCACTACGTTCACTCGCCGAGATCGGCTCTCTGTGCATGTGTCAGATGCTGACTTATCACTGCAGGCTTGCGCGAGCGGTGTACTCTCGCGCCGGTATACTCGTACTCGATGACATTTTCAGTGCTGTGGACGCACATGTTGGTCGGCACATCTTCGAGAAGTGCCTCAATGGCGAGCTCGGAGTCGGGCGGACACGCATTCTTGTCACTCACCATGTGGCGCTGTGTGAACCAAAGACGAAATACCTCGTCGAGCTGGGAGAGGGCCATGTACTAAACGCCGGCTTGATGTCGGACTTGGATGAAACGGGTACCCTGGATCAGATCAAGAGTCACGAGCAAGTCGAGCACGATTCGCAAGAGGAGGAGGATTCAACAGCCGTGAACTCGGAGCAGACGTCTCAAATCGATAGTGAGCAAAATGGAGACCCTCTGGTCAAAACACCGTCCAAGACACCGGAAGCACGCAAGTTCGTCGAGGAAGAGGGCCGAGAGAAGGGAGCCATCAAACGGAAAGTCTACACGACCTATCTCAAGTACAGCGGGTCTTGGACATTCTGGATTGGCGCGGTGGTTCTATTCCTCTTCGTACAAGCACTTACTGTTGGGCGATCGTGGTGGTTGAGGATCTGGACCGGATCATACGAGGAGGAGAGCACCAAGATGCAGGCGGAGTCTTACGCTTACAGGTATCAGCTCACGCTACAGCAGGGCACTATGCACACCATGATGCGTCCCATGGTCGAACCAAAGTTTGCAGGTGGTCTCGGCTTTTACCTGGGCATCTACGTCTGCCTCGCAATATCCACTTCGATCCTTTCTACGTCTCGGTGGTACTACATCTTCACCGGCTCTATTCGCGCGTCTAGACAGCTTTTTGCCAAAGTCAACTTCGTCGTCTTGCGAGCTCCGCTGCGGTGGCTGGACACTGTTCCTGTTGGTCGCATTCTAAACCGCTTCACTTCCGATTTCCATTCTGTAGATACTCACTTGGCTTACGCGGTGGCCTTCGCCTGCAGTGCGCTCCTGAACCTCCTGGGAGTTATCGTTGCCGGGTTGTTCGTATCCCCAGTCATCATTGCTCTAGCAGGAGTGTTGTTGGGGATCAGCGTGGTGATTGCGCTCCGTTACCTCCACGGCGCCAGACCAGTCAAACGACTGGAATCCACGACAAAGTCTCCCGTGTTCGAGCAGTTCGGAGCGTCTCTGACGGGCGTCTTGACGATACGATCGTTTGACAAGAGCCAGGTCTACATCGAGCGCATGTATAAGAAGATCGACGACTGGACCGTCGCGACCTGGCACCTTTGGCTGTTCAACCGCTGGATGGGCTGGCGGATGTCTGCCATTGGTAGCTGCTTTGCTTCGTTTGTGGCAATCTTGATTCTGCTCACTCCGGATATGGACTCGGCACTTGCTGGCTTCGCCCTTGCTTTCGCACTGGAATTCTCGGGCCATGTCATGTGGACGATACGACACTACGCCAATGTGGAACTGGAGATGAACGCCGCGGAGCGCATCGTCGAGTACACGGAATTGCCAACGGAGAGCCTCGAGGGTGTCAGCCCACCGGCCGCTTGGCCCACCGAAGGTCGTGTCGAAGTCAACGATCTCGTCGTGAGCTACGCCGATGACCTTGAACCCGTACTGAAGGGCCTCAACTTCTCCATCAACCGCAACGAGCGCATTGGCGTCGTGGGCCGTACTGGCGCAGGCAAGTCCTCGCTGACTCTCGCTTTTTTTCGTTTCCTCGAGGCGCGGTCGGGCAGCATCCACATCGACGGACTCGACATCTCCAAGATCAAGCTGCACGACCTGCGCAGTCGCCTCGCCATCATCCCACAGGACCCGGTTCTGTTCAGCGGCACTGTGCGCTCGAACCTCGACCCGTTCGACAACCACACGGACGCGGAGCTCTTCGACTCACTCTCCCGCGTCCACCTCATCTCCGAGAACGAGACCTCCCCCAGCACGCCCACGCCCGACAACAACACGCCAACCACCTCAACCGCCAACAACAGGAACAAGAACACCAACATCTTCCGCTCCCTCGCAAGCCCCATCGCCGAAGGCGGCCTAAACCTCTCGCAGGGCCAGCGGCAGCTGCTCTGCCTAGCGCGCGCCATCGTCTCGCGGCCCAAACTCATGGTCCTCGACGAGGCGACCAGCGCCGTCGACATGGCCACCGACGCGCTGATCCAGCGCTCCATCCGCGAGGAGTTCGGCAATGACAGTACTCTGATTGTCATCGCACATCGTCTGAGCACCATTGCCGACTTTGACCGGATCCTTGTGCTTAGTGATGGGCGGGTTGCTGAGTATGGGGCTCCAAGGGAGCTTTGGGATAACAAAGGCGATGGCGAGGAGAGGTGGGGTATGTTCAGGGCTATGTGTGAGCAGAGTGGGGAGACGGACGTGCTCAGGAGAATCGTGTTTGGAGAGGGTGCTTGATGTGAAGTGACGATGGGAAGAAAGGAGTTGAGAATGAAGAAGGAGGAGGGCGAGGACAGACAGTACATATAGACAGACTCAGTGACCCAGCCCCCATGAGGTGGGAGAAAGGGGGTCGGGTCTTTTGCTGCATTTCCACTTGGCGTTTGTCACATGTTGGCGAGTTTGTTTATGTACTGTATTGGGATTATTTGAATGCATCATTTCTTTCCCCATTGCACACGAGGAAAGGGTGGTAGGAAGGTTGGGTCGACTGATGAGGAAGTGTACCTACCGCCAGTTATCCCCATTGGACTCAATGAAAGAACGCATACAACTTGACATGAGAGTAGCCCTACGATCATGCAGCAGCGATATCACAGAAACCAGGCATCGTAAGAAACTCACCCTTTTTGTGCATCTAGCCTGGTCTCTATGTACACAAGGACTAGCTAGTCCAGGCCGACTCAAGAGACCTCACGCCTCAAACGTCGTAGCAACGAGTCCGTGAAACGTACGGTTCCTACCACTTTGGTCTGCTTGCCACTAGCACGCAAGGAGGAAGACATCCAAACGCAGCGCCCTATCCATCCTTCCATCCATCTAGCCAGGGTGAAACCAGATCTCGCGATTAAATCCAGACCAAAGGAATGAGCCCCTTTCACCTCTAGGCTCGTAGTGTAATGTGCAACGCCTTTCATCGGAAGCAGTGCGACTTTGTGTCAGCCCTTGCTTCTTGTCGAAGCATGTTCGGCACGACTAGCTGGGAAGGAAATGATACGCCCGTATCCAGGAGGTTGCTGTACTTGCCTCGAGCCGCATGGGTTCTGACGCCCGACTCATCGCGTCTGTAATCGGGTAGCAAGCCAGCCGATGGCATGTCTCCTGTGCCGTTTTGTTTCTTCGTAGTCCGTGAAGCGATGCAATCGTGTAGATCTCCACCGGTGGCCACTAGTTAGTAGTTACAGTATTTGTTACAGAATCCGACAATTGTGTGACGAGACAAAGAAAAATCATTCGGTTCTCGTGGTGCGCCGACTTGGGCAACCAAGAACATGGAACAATATGTTACGAGCCGTGAGGGAATCGAAGATTGCAGAACCTCGACTTGGTTTGCGCGTTCGGGTACTTGGTGGCCAAACCTGAACGCTTCATTGGTGCCACCGTACCAAAAAAGAAACCGTGTAATGATCCGTGAAGTTAAGGACGGGCGCAAGTGAAGGGAAGTTACGCGTGCCAACCAAGGACCGTGTTGCTAAGTCCGATACCAACGGACGTGATGGGTTGACCCGTATCTGGACTCGAGATGCCATACGGAGTATCGTCGGCTTCGGGTGGATTATCAAAGACCTCGGCTCTTCGTGACGTAGTATACGACGATAGCTGTGATGCAGGCCGCGTAGACAATGCATTCCGAGATGAACAACCCCTTGATTATCTTCCTCTGACTGCGCGTCAGTTGATATACTTCACCTTGAGTGAACCAGGCAAGCGAGTCGTTGAACACTCCTGTCAAAACGAGAAGCGCAAAGAACGGCAGGAATGACAGGACTATCATGACGTAGAACCAGCATTTCCGACGATACCTGGCCTTGTCCGAGATGTAATCGTCTGGTGACACGAACCCAGGTGTTGGGTTGCGCTCCATGTAGTTGCGGATACTTTGATCCGCGTAGTTGCGCTGATTCTGTCTCCGCAGAGGTCGCAGGCGAGGCGACACTTTTCCGTACCATCCATGCTTCTTCACCATGGTTGGAGTGTCTGTGTAGTTCGTGGTAGGAGTCTCTGGCGATCCAAGGACGCTGTCCATTGGCATGGACTGGTCACCGCTAGAGATTGGAGAAATCTCAAGCCTCCTTAGGGGCGTAGGAGTATCTGAGAATATTAACAAGAGCCCACGCTGGATTAAACGACTTGTCTTACCTTGCAATGCATCCCTCAGAGATTGCCAACTGGGAGGTGTGAAGCTTGACGATAGATTGGCACCCAAGCGCTTTCGTCGTACATGGGCTTGCTTCGGTGGTTCGATAGGACTAGACCCCGAGAAGCCACGAGAAGAGTCGTTGCTCTTCGCCCGGTTGATTCTGATCTCGGCTGGCTCGGTCTCGTCAGTCTCGCCACTGTCTCTCTGCTTCTTGTACTTCAGCTGGGCTTGGTCAAGAGGCAGAAGCTCAAACTGGAACTTCGAAGACGCAGAATGAGGCTCTCCATGAAGATCTCCATGAAACAAGCATGGCGATGCAGCCACGAACTCTTTCTGGTCAAGTTCTCTCGGCTGGCGATATTGGTAGTCCCTCGCAACCGGGTCTCGTGGACCACGGCTCTGTCGGTCTAACTGAGAAGTAGCATAAGCATCCTTGAGCGCAGACACCCTGATGGATGGATTTCGCTCAGCCTCGAAATCAGCAGACTCATCGAATCGTGCATCTGTCGTGGACGGGTGGTTGTCATCCCCTAGATCGTCATCGGCCTCAGGAAGCATGGCATGCGTGGCAGTGAACTGGGTTCCGCACGTGGCCTGATTGCTAGCTGCAGCCGGGGCATATTCAGAGGTTGAATCCCGGAAGTCATATTTCGAGGGGCCTTTTCTGTCAAACTTGTAGTTGAAGTTGCTTTTGGCGTCTGCTCGTCTGTAGCTACCCTGTCCAAAGGGGTTTGAAGACCAGTCTTTCGCGAAGGGATCGCGAGCGCTACTCGCCTCGTCTTTGGCGCTGTTCGAATATAGCCGGATCGAGTTCTCTGGAAATGCGTTCGTGCGTCGAGGGAGAAAGACAGGCTGCTTCGTGTCTTTCAATCTTCGTATCTCGTACGCATTGCGTGGCGCCTCACCTGCGGGATGTTGCAGAATATGCTCTCGCGAGCTAAACGGTCCCTGGGGATGGCCGCCGTCGTCGTCAGAGTAGTCTGCAATGCTACTTCCAGTTGCCTTGACGCCTGTTTCGAATGGTTGACGGGGAGGCGCAGCATAGGCACCAAAGCCAACTTCGCTCGTTGCCTCGGTCACCCAGTCTCCATCGCTTGTCATTTCCCGTAGGAACTTTCCGCGCACGACGCGATTGTGCGCGCTGTTGAAATGATTGGGGTCGTCGAATCTGCCATGGTTCATTCCGTCGTCCAATTCCAAGTCTGGCTTGCGACCGATGACCACTTTGATGTCGCGGACTCGTCTGTCGCCCGCCGCGGCAGCCCCAAATGCGGATTCATCAAAGAAGTTGCCCTGGAGGCGCCGACGTGGAGCCGGTGATGCGTCCTCGTCTGAATCGAGACTGTTAGGTGGCGTCTGGTCACCTGCCTTCTCACAAGGACTGCCGTCGGGGCTGACAAATGTTCCCAATGTAGGCACACCAGCTCTGCTCATCCGTCTGAGCGCTTGGCTGATGTCTCGTTCCCCGAGAGGCCCGAGAGGGCGCAGGAAGGTCTGGTAGTCGCCGGCGTCATACTTGAACGGATCATGATTCGTTTCCAGGCTATTGTCGGCATCACCGGGCAAATCATCCTGCTTTCGTTCTTGGCTGACCTGCTGAACCCGGTTGGAGGGAATTCGAAGCGGCATGGGAACGAGCGCATCACAGGCCTCTCGAAGCTCGTTTACTTGAGCGTCTGCGTCGAGCAGATGCTGTGAGTCGGAAACGCTCGACTCAGGGGGGGCCGAGCTGCCCTCAGCCGATTGCCGGGTGGAAACAGCGCCGACAAGAATGGGCGGCGCTGTTGGTAAGGGGCTCTGAGGGGGTTGCGACGAGGATGATTCGGCTTGGAAATAATGCTGAGAATAGTCAGCTTCTGGCCCATCCGGACTGCACTGGTCCAAGATACATACCCCTCGAACTGCGTTCTTGCGGACCTTCATTTGGGGCCCGCGAAGCTCCTCGCCCCGGAAGCCGCATCGCGTGGCCGCGCCCTCGCGAGAGATGGGGTGATAGTTGGGTGGATTATAGGCACCCGAGAAAGTGTAGCCGAAACCCGAGCTACCGAAGCTTGACGAGGGATGATCGAGACTTGTTGAAGCGTACTGATCATAGATCTTCTCCACCGTACTGCCCGAAGTCTCAAGAGGTCGAGCACTGATCTCCGAGAGATGGAGGTCTACGGTTTGATCTAATCTAGCCACATCGACCTTGGGGTGAACCTCATTACGCGGCAGGTCGGTGGACATAGCTCTGGAATCGAACGAAGAGGCACGACGCGTTCTGGCCAACAATGTCCCGGCAGTCGAGGCGGGTCGAGACGGTAGATGGTCGTTCGGTGGCTCAGAGCCCGGGCCGACGATGGGTCTACCGAAGGACGAGCTGCTGAAGTCTCGATTAGAGATGCTAGGAGTCGAGTCGGCCTCATTCGATGCCTTGCGGAAAGGGTTATTGGATCCCAATCGCGAGGTGATCTTTTTGTGTGCCTCGTTCAAATCCGTGAAGAGGGGACCACGAGGTGTCAAACTTCTCGCAGACTTGGACGATGCCGCTTGGGTGACCGTGGGAGGCTCAGCTTGAGGGACGCTAGTCGACGACTCGAAGACGAAAGGGAAGAAGTCCCCATCGTCGCGGGATTGACTACCTGCCATGGTGTATGCCACGGCCCACGGGCGTCCTGCAGAACCGAAGGTGCTATAGCATCCCAATGTCAGTGAACACGAAGGACGGGATGGAAGAAGGATACGTCATTGGTGATGGTGATGATAGTGCGGGTGAAAGCTTGCACGGATGTGGGGAATAGTTACCAGACGTACCTTTCTTAGAAGATCAGACGTGTGTGGCTGGCTGATTGATGGATCGATTGCAGTTGAGCAGGTAGTGGAGAACTGCACTTCATTCGCAGAGTGAGAGGAAAGAAGGAGTAAGATGTATGAGGTGTGTGTCATCCGGAGGTTGGAGAGGCAGTGCTCAATACATGTACCGAAAGGTGCACAAGTGGGAAGAAGGACGAGTATCTAGGTAGGCAGTGTAGAGAAGTAGATGGCAGGGGAGGTGCCGTTGGAGATGTTCAATTGCAGGAGAAACTCGGAAGTTGCAGAGATTGGAAATCCGCATGCATAATTGAAAAAGATCGAGAGGTCCCTTGGCGAAGACCGAGTGCGAGGTGCAAGGTGTGATGTCAGACGTTTTGGGTTGGGCAAGGCCGAGTGCGAGGAGATGGGAAGGTGCGATCTTCTGGGGGAGAAGTGCGGCAGCCTCCTCAGAGACCCGCGCGAGCTGAGATCAAGATCGAGGCCAAGTACGGCGGCGTCGACGTTGATGAAGATGTGGCACGCAGATAGAGGAGGATCCAAAGTGGTGATTTGCAGGCCAGGTTGTGGCAAAAGAGAGGAGCGCACGATTTGGTGATTGCAAAATCAATTGTGGCTCGGTATCCTTGTGGCATAGGAAGTGTGCAGGTGTGCATGAACGCTGATTTTTGCAAGTTGGAGGCGAGTTAGGTGTCTACTATAATCATGTCAGGCATCTACCATTCCGTGGTGTATTTCCTTTATACAACTCACACCAACGCCCGCCCCCTCAAGCTCACTCACCTGTGCATCGTGTTCACGAGTGCCGCACCACCGTCAGCCACAACATTAGGTCAAGTCCTGCAATCCCAGACTATTCATACCATGCTCGCACTCGACTGGATCCCAACTCCAAAAGTTGAAAGCCACATGTTGACGACGCTCAGACCAGTATGGCACGAAGACATGTTCGAGGGTACAGATGTCCTATGCGCATCCGCATCCAAGACTCTTACTACCCGCACCAGGATCCAAAACCCGGCAATCGAGCCAGGCAGTGCTACCAAAACGCATTGCCTCTACCCGTGGTATTGCCCATGCCATCCGTGCCATGAGATGCGGAGTTTTGATACCAAACTCGCTTTAGCCCCCCTTTAGCTGTCATCACTGTACGACACACCCAACTTGTGGCAAACACTACGCCATGATGTAGTCGCGAAATGCCCATCTGCCTGAAATACCGAACCTCACCCAAGGCTCTATCAGAATGTCATGGTCTGGGATGGACTTGGAAGGCCTACCATATACTGTACGTCTTGCATGCCTGTCTTCCTGGGGGCATGCCATCGTGTACCGGTGCAAGAACCACCCTTCTTCCATTGGATACCCTCTCGAGCTCAAGATGGAAGGTTCTGATAAAACACAGGTCAAAGGAGAGTATGTACAACGTATTTGGAGCGGGACTATGAAGGAGGTTTGTGCCCCTTCGAGAGATGGCGACCCACAGCAGCACCCCGTCTTGAGCCGCTTGAACAGCATAAAGTAAGGCTTGATCCATGCCATGATAGGGCAAGGGGTATGTCATGCTAGCATGTTGCGGGATTTGATGCTGGCAAGCTCTGTACTTGTGGTCTTCGGGTGGAGGTTGGAAGGGGGTTCGGATTCCAGCCTACTGTCCGGAGCCGTCGAGCGTGGAGGAAAGAAGGCAGCTTTTCAAGGGCCAGACGCCTGAGCTGGAAACAACGGGCTCTACAAGAAGACCTTTGGTTTCATTGTGAATATCAAGTAACGTGTCGTTACAATTGTACATGACGGAAGTCTCGACATCAAGACGAGGTTCGAATGGGGTGGACGGATTGATGTCTGATGTCGGTCTGGTGGTGTGGTGTCTCAATCGGGCGGGTCCGAGCTCCCGCGACAACAAACGCCACACAAGCCACAGCGCCACACCCTGTCCCGATAGGAGTCTCCACTCTCGACCGAGAACGTGGGGAAGGGCCCCATAATCTTAGCGTGATTGGCACGAATTGTCGATCGCTACTGACCGATAAGCGGAGGGGTCCATGCAGGTGGTCCTACATGTATTCTTGGTCTTCGCTGACGTCGGGTACAACCACCTTTACCTCACACCTACAAGAAGCCTCTCGCTCATTACGCCTTTGCCAAACAGATTGGACCAAGTAGATGTTGGTTTATTAGTATAAGTCACTCGCTCATGCTATAGATATCTATCTACATTCTTTGTTTTCATCGACTGTATCGCGACACCCATCTCCCCCGGATCATGATACTACCCGCATGACAAAGGACCGACCTTCGAACGAATGTGCTCACAGTGACCCAACGCGAGCAGTGGTAGTGTGTTGCATCATGGCGGCCCCAAATCGCCTTCAGTCTTTGCCCGACGAGCTCTTCCTCCAGATCTTATCGTGTACGACCCCTCCTCCTCCGCTTGCTCCTGTTGTGTTGATTCGAGGCCTTGCTGATGTGTTTGGTCTCCAGTCCTCGATACACACGACATAGTCAAACTCCAGCCTCTGTCGAAACATTTCCTACGCCTATGCCGAGATAGTACCGTGTGGCGCCATCGGTGCTTGCTGGCTTCCGCATTGCTCGAACGAGTGCAGCTCTACCGATGGGGTTCGGACTGGGTCGACGAGGGCGGCGCTTCGTTAGTAGGACACGAACCAGAAGGTCACGGCGAGCCCCAATCGACTGTGGTAGAGAACCTCAGTCGGCTCAGCGCTAAGAGAAGAAAGAAAGAACACGTTCGAATCGCTGCCAACTGGGATCCAACCTTCCCCTCTGAGACGACGAACTGGTACGATGAATACATTCAAAGGAACGCTCCGACTGCTGTCAGTTGGTTTCAGAAGCCTCAAGTCTCGAGTGGCTCAGTGAAGGGCGCGGCCGATGTTAGTGGTGTTGCATTGTACAAGCCCTCCGAATCCAATCCTCACGAGCTCTTTGCGGTATCACCGCTAGCCGATGGTTCGGTCTGCCTCTGGGATATCAAAGGCACTTGCTCGAAGAAAGGAACAGGTACCATCTACTCGAGGAGTAGCCCTGGTCTGCTCTGTGCAGACGGCCCCGAAACAGACCTATCGAGGCGATCAAAGATGATTAATACCGGTGTTACCGAATGCGTCAGCGTAGATAGCCAGAGAGACCGGGCATTCTTCACGGTCCAGAGCCGTAAGATCTCCAAGCAGATCGCGTGTGAATCAATGCTGACATTCTAAAAGGCCTTGTCGAAGTCGACCTTCGGACACTGGCTGTCGTTGATGTCCAGCCCTTTGAGTGGTCTATTACCACTCTGTCAGCTGCTGACCCCAGGATCCCACTCACGATAGGCACTGTTAACGGCCTACATCTGCATGATTATAGATCTAGGTATCAGCATCGCCAATATCATGGAGAGCGAACGGACTATGCCGGACACAAGTTTGTTTTTGACTTATCTAGGGTACTAGATCCGAGACCTCTACCACCCTACGCTCCACTCGCGCAGTCGGGACCACAGAGTATTCTCCACCTTGATTGCCCCGGGAACCAAGACCAGACATATGACATATTTGTTGGTGGTCGATTTTCAAACATCCTTCACTACGATCGGCGCATGTTTCCGTCAATCAAGGGGTCGATTCACTCGGGCGCCCGACTTTGCAGCCTTGCCTCTCTCCCCTATCCCTTCTCGAGTATTGACAGTGACCTTCGGCGGCGTCTACAGCTGTCAGAGGAACAGGTCAAGAAGTCTAAGAATGTTCCTGGCGGAAGAACACTGATAGCTTGTGGTGAATACAACACCAAGGGCTCTCTGGAGCTATATGGCTTGTCTCCGGCGGCTGACGATCGCCCCAAAACTGGATCCTCCTGTAACTCGGTTATGAAGAATCGACAGACGGCTTCCAAGTCAAAGCTCCTATCTGTCATCAATCACGGGACCCGGATACTATTTTCTGACGGACAGGGTTATCTGAAATGGGTTGAGCGCGATGGGTTTACTGAAGTCCGGCGGCTCAAGATTGGCAAATCGGAGAAGCTTGTCCAGCGCTCCCTCTTCGCCTCGATGCCGGCATTAGACGAGCTGGCCAGAAAGCTCCTTCCCACCGGAACCGGACAGGATGACGAGGTGCAAGCCAATAACGACGATATTCTGTTCTGGACTGGCGAGAAGTTGGGCCTTGTCAGCTTTACATCGAAGCCAGGATTCTCTGCAGAGGATTTCGAAGACGTCACGAAGACGCCGGAAGAGTTGGCGGCGGAGCACGAGGAGATGCTGTACAGCGAGAGAATGAGGCAAGCGCTCGAACGACAGGCCAACGAAGCCCGGTTTGTGCAGCATCTTGGGGCTGGCAATATTCGCAATGGATTCTAGTCAATGATTGCCAATGAGAGGGAGTTTATGCGGTACTTATTTCACTTCCAGTAACGGTATGCAGCGAGTTTGATTGACCTTTGTTTGGAAAGGGGTCGGTTCTGAGCATGTCGCTGCCAGCGCACGATACCGCGGAACTGGGAGCCGAATAAGCGAGGTTGAATCACGTGCCTGTCCCGATGGTGTAGGTTGCATGTTGAGGCGGGTAGGCTGCATTGCCATGGATATCGCATTGAAAGCATACGGGTTCATTGGCTGGTGTGTGGGATCCTGGGGTTCTTGCGGGATGCACTCCAGCGAGTCTACATCCATAGCGTTTCATTCGAAATGGCCATTGCCAACATTTTGATACACAGGCGGAGCGGCTTGCACTCTTGTGCTCCTATGTTCGGACGCTGATCTATCAAATGGAAATATGTCGGAAACGTACGCCAGACAGAGAGAGATGAAAGTTGTGTGGCCTTGCAGGGATGATGGCACATGCGAGATGCAGCCTCAACAAAAATGCACGTTCGAGGCGCTTCGCCAATCGGGAAGGGTGAGGCAACGAATCAGGGCGGGTTGCCGCGTTGAAGAGGCAATGGCGACCAATCACAAAAATGAGAAACCCCCGTCGGGACAGGGGTGACAGGGGCCCCGGGCCACCCAGAAAAAGAGGGCCCCCAAACCCCCATTTCGGTCGCACCGAATTGAGACCAGTCGATTTCTTGCCGCCTTTCTCTTTTTGCATCGCATTGACGATTTCTCATCTGATGTGAGATCTTCCTCCCTCTTTGGAGTCTTTGCAAAGTCTGGCAGTTCGCTTCGGAGATCACTGGACTGGACTGGAGGGGATCGGCGTAGATCGCTTCCTTTGGTTCTATCCTGCCACATCAGTCCAGGCATATTCCCCGACCTCGCCTGCTCGTACAGCATGGCATCGCCACCCCCTGCACATGCTGACCACGACCAACGCAACGGTGTCCCGTTATTCCCAAACACCAGTCGAGCTGTGCTGCCCACCACGCGGCTCGACGCCCTCGATGGAAACTGGAAACACCCGCTGCGTTTCCGTCCCGCTGGGTCCGGTACTGTAGACGCGACGCAGTCATCAGATGAAGCCCAAGGACGAATGATGTAGCGTTGTGTAGGTAGGTATGGGACGACTGGGACTTCTTCGAGTGCTGTGAGGAAGATGGACGATGATACAAACATCGATGATTCGAGCACAGTACCACCAGAGCGTCACGCCACGCCACGCTGTTTCTATTACTGTATCATTGTGTGTCGTATTGTGCCACCTGTTCCTTGAAACGAGGTATCGTCACTCTCGTGTACCATGCCAACCAACATGCCATGCCTTACCACACACACCGTTCATGTACCATACATATTCTTCATCTGCATACAGTACATACGCCACTGCGCTACTGCAACCGTTCCGCATCGACTAAGCGCCATCACCACTGCATGCATGTGCAGACCAGCATCTCGCATCATCCCCATTCCCTATACTATCCGTGTCCATCCTGCCATCTCACAGTCAGTCTCGTCGCTCTACCCTTGAGCCTTTCACCGCTCCCCCTTTGGACCTTGGATCGTCGAGCACGCTGGCTGGACCCTTGCCTTCTCCACTTATGTCCTTCATTCCCTTCATGCCGGACGGACGGTTCGGCGAGGCGTGGATCCAGACAGAAGAGTCTCCAATGAGTTTCCTGCCACTGCATGAATGGCAGAGTGGGCTGGGTTGTAGCGGTCACGGAGCATCGACGCAGATCCGGATTTCCGGGATTTTCCAGCCGGGAAGCCCTAGACAGCGCGCATCCCTCTACTGTGGGCTTTGTCTATTTGCGGGTTTGCCTCGCCCGAAGCCTGGGGCTCTTAAGACACCCGTCTCTCCCCATTGTCCGTCACCCGTCGCCTGTCACGCATCCAGTCACGCCAGTCCACCACGCGAAGAGCTGGCTACCGTAATAAGGCAAAGTGAGGCTAACGGCTAACACGTTATCTTAGCTGCCGGCGTTAATCTCCGCCAGCTCAAGTCGGCCTGCAGGGGATCCCGTGTATCGTCCAACGTCGGCGGACTTCGCGGCCGAAGTCAAAACCCCTGGCAGACCTGCGGCTGCACATCAAGCGGCTCTGCTCCTTGTGATATTTCGCAATTCTGCCTTTTGCATCTGCTTGCTTTTGGTCTGAACCTGGCCGCCAGTAACGCATCGCCCATTATCCGTTATTGCGATCGAATCTCCTCAAGCATGTATGATGGCCGGCTGGTATGTCGGAGGGTTCGAGATGCAGCGCTCTTGGAGTGACTCTTCGCTTCTCACCGATAGGGATCTTGATTACCGCCGTTATCCCGAGGCCAGGAAACGACGTTTGAGCGACCCCGAATACTTCGATCTACAAGACGACTATGAGCTACTCCCAGAATGGAAGCGTCTTCGACTCGACAGCCCTTTCGACGAGTACGAGAGCGGACACTTCAACCACAATCTCATCCCACCGTTCTTCGTCATCAAGGAAGCTGGAAGGTCACCGCTAGAGAGCGACTCCGGCTTATCCGGAGATGGCCACACGCCGTTCGAGGAGCCCAGCTCAGTCTGGCCCCCGGATTATGCTGAGACCTCAACGAGGCCCGAGCTCCCCTTCCTGTTCTTGAAGGTGCGAGGGCAGGATGACACTCCCGATACAAATCATACGTCACAGACCGAAGATGAGTACCACGATGCAGCGGCTAGACTAGTCGAAAGATACCTCATGGGCAACCGTCAGCGACGCAGGCTCGCCCAACATGAGAGAATCTTGAGGAGCCTTATCTGTCCCAAATCCCACGGAGCAGAGTTCGATATCGACGACGATGCCCTACAGGGCATATTCTTCGCCGTCAACGAGATTTTCTTCCGAGGGAGACTGAAAGGGCGCGTGACTTGGGCTTGGGAGGATCTGCCTAGCAACCTGATAGGCACCACCGCACTGAGGAACGCACCTGATGAGAAAGGGGGTCTCGAGACCTTGATCTTCCTGTCAAAGCAGATCCTCAAGGACAAGAAATACAACAGACGCCTACTCATATCGACCTTCATCCACGAGCTCATCCACAGCTACCTCTTCATACAATGCGGCTTCCACCCCAGCGACTGCGGCGGGCACACGAAGGGCTTCGAGCGCATCGCCGAGCTGATCGACGGATGGGCCGGACACGATCTTCTCCATCTCTGCAATATGGAAGCCGAGCTCAGCAACTTCGAGGTCGGAAAGCCGAGGGAGATTCTTCCACCCGACCACATGTTCAGCGGCTGCCAGGTGCAGTGGCTCGATGACGGATCGCCTGCGTATATCGTCATTATGGAGAGGCCGCGGCCTGTTGCTATACGCTTACCGCACCGGGACTTGCCGTGGGAATAGGGGTCATTCCAGGCGCCACGGTGGCCGGTGTTTTAGACATCTTCACTTACCTGTCTTTTCCCTTTGTCTCTTTGTCTCTTCACAAGGGCATGGCGACGGCGTTGCTATATACCATAGACTGCGGCTGCGACCACTGGATGGGATTGGGATTGATCGTTGTATTAGCCTGACTGAAAAGGATGTCTAGATTATTTGCATGGGCATCAAAATGGTGTTGGCTGGAGTAAGATCACTGTTGTGGTCTTGCCGTGGAGTTATCTCCATTCTCGCTGTGTCGGATCAGGAGGTTCGGGGGTTGCGATTCATTAAGACTGAAGGAGCAATATGATATGATATATCTATTGTCACTAAGCGTTTAGTTTCTTGAAGAGCATCTTGATCGCGGCTTTTGTTTCTAATAACATTTGATTTGAAATTGTGGCAAAACAGCCGCATGCTTGACAATGGCCATAGCATGCTTATATACCGCGCAACAGCAATGAATCCTTGGTTCGGTACCTATGCCTTGAACCCCACTGCTCTCCTCACCCGCTTCCCTGCCAGAGCAGTCCCCTACGATCAGAATATACTAGCAACCATTGGCACTAGGCGGGTGGACTGGTCCAATGTAATCCATCCCAACGAGATCCCACGGATTCATCGTTGCAACTTTCCGGCTTGTTGCAGTGCACGGGAGTTTCGATCCAAATTTGTGCGCAGACGTGGCATTGCGGAAAATAGTCCACTGTGTCCGGGAATCGTAATGGCCAGCGGAATCGCCCAGCAAGATTCCTCACAGAGTTAATACTGTAACATAGTAGCCGCACCCATCATATGCCCATTGTAAAGCGGTGTCGACTTCTTCCGGGAGCAAACATTCTGCCGCCATCCCATTCCGCTCCAAGCGGCATAGGTATCCATTAACAAACCAGAAGTTGACCACCGTTCTTGACCACCGACGACGTTGTAGTATCCGCGCCCCCCGATCTCGTCACGGACTTGGGGGATTGTCCCGCGGTGGGTATGTCGGCGACCGGATATGGATCGCCCAATGGGCGGCGGCTTGGGGTTTGGAGTGTGTAGGTGTCCTTTTTGTAGGTGTAGGTCTTGACAGCATTGTTGTTGTAGTACGCCGTGTCCACGCAACCTATATGGGTGAGAATGTGAGGAATTGAGGTTTCGAATGTTGAGCTATAACGTTACATACCAGCCGCGCGCTCTAGGATGTCCGGGTTTGGTCGGCCGCCGTTTGGGTTCGGAGAGAGAACGTTGATGTGGTGGGCGGTGTAGAGGGGGGGATATGATGAGGCTGGTAAGGTAAGGCCTCCTGATCGTCGAAATGTTGGGTAGTCGTCGGCTAACTCGGATGGACGAGAGGACACAGGGGTGAGGCGCGGGCCATGCGGGCTCCGCTCCGAGGGAGGTGGCGACGGCGACGGCGATATTTGTTAGTTTGCAGGAGGCGGCGGGCCGGGCAGTTGCGGGCGAGGGAAGTCTTTGGCACTGCTGACCCCACCTCCCCCGATTTCGTCATGGAATTAGTGGATTGATTGTTTGATTCGGGTGCGGATCACGTCGGTCAAGGGGGTTGGTCGGTATGTAACGACTTCAAACGTCGTGTCCACATCACAGCATAATGGTGACTCCCATCTACCGAGGGGGGATTTTCATGCCGCGTCTTATCATCACTGCACCAACGGCGTCCACACGTGCCTTATATCCATCTCAGAACGAATCTTCTGAGGTCGGTTCGGAGTCGATCTCCCATTTGGCCATCTCGTGCTGACTGGCTTCGAGGAATGTCGTCCTAGGAGGGATATGATGAGGCTGGTAACTAAGGCCTCCTGCTCGTCGAGTCTTCTCCGGTGTCGGTACCTTCGATCTCCTCAAGGCTGAGGCCGGCAGCTTCTCCCTTGGGAGCTGCTACGCCCCCGGGTTCGTGTTTCTGCTTCGCTAGGCCTGGAAGCCATTTGACATGGAGTTGATCTCGGGTGGAAGGCTTCGGGATCGCCGCGGCGCGCACGAATTTACGTTCATGTTGGCTGGTCGCGGGCTTTTACGGGCAGAGTTGGTTGAGATGGACGCAGGAAGCCTGCCCAGTGGCACAGGTGGGATTACGTACCTGGTAGTTACTAGATGATGGTGGTATGTATATGTTTTGATCAAGCCGTCTAGTTCCGGATCAGCAGGATGGATGGACGTGAGATCTATGCTACGAATCCGTTCCTCGCGGACGTGGGTGTAACGGCTGACTTGTCGGCTTTGTAGTGGTGGGGCCCGATGATGGATGGATAGGGGTATAAGGGGGTACAAGCGTGAGGCGTATTAGACTAATTTATTGACTTTGACACTGACATTGCCGTCTTCGTTGTCTTAGTCCTTGTTGGTTCGCTTGCGCTTATTGGCGACGGAGGGCCACCACGGCTGACGACTTCCTCTCTCAGATCGGCGGAACTGAGTGCAAGCATCTCGCATGCTCTAACGTTCTCCTCTACGCTTCACGAAGACTTGTACGACAGGTGATAGAGTCGTGCAGTGCGCGAGTAGATTGTTAGCGATATTGGGTCCAGTTCTGGCTTGTCTCGTGTCCATGGCGAGTCGGCTGCCGAGTGGTTCTCTCCGGCTGGCTTTCTCGATGCCAATAAGTCTTCGCGAGTAAATCGTCCTTTAGGCTTTGTGTCGGGTACCATCTCGTGATCATCCTCGAGTTCGTGTTCAGCCTTTACATCTTGCACAATAAACATGGCCCGTACCATCCGACCGGCAAATTATGCGTATCTGTGACCGTGTTAACTTGAGCGAAGCAATAGTTATATGATCGCAAATCATGACGAAATCCCCAAGATATTGAATGACGGTCAGCAGGGTAGGTATGGGAACGGGGTCGTTCAAACTCATCGCGGATTGTCGTGGACTCGTGATCGGCAATGTGGCCTATCTCACGGGCAAGTTTTGTAAGGGTCCACTGTCTCGTGTATTCCCCTGGGGGCAACCACACCATAAACATGGCTGTGGACGCCTTCTTCAACGAATCGCTGCATCAGAGACTGCTCAGTAACTGGAGTATAACTCGACAGTGATGATGGTTAAGATGCGGATATCGTGCTTGTCTATTGGGCCAGATACCCAGTGAAAATTTCTCGAAGTGAAATCCAAGTCAGCGCGTTTTTTCGCTATGGGTCACACGGTACTGAGCGGGGGCGCCTGGTCGATCCGGCCGGCAGATGAGCGTAGCTGATGATGCTCTTGATCATGCCACATAGTTACCTGCACCAGTGTGGAAGTCACGGGTGTGACGCCAGTACTAAAGTTATCAGCATATGCGAGTATATAGTCAACCGACGTTAGACTTATGCTAGGTCCATTGTTAAAGGTTTGTCCACGACGAATTTTTTGATCGCGCTCACGAGATGGACGTTGAATTTCTTTTAGACCAGCATAGCGCATCTGGAAAGTGTCCTTGGACATCCCTGACTAAGTCGAAGCGACTTGTAGATGGGGTTCATGATGGCATCTTGGAGCACTGCGGCAACATGGTGGCGTTACCCGAGCCAGGCTCCACCTTCATCATGCATGGGGAACGATGGGTATTGGTTTTCTGAAAATGGTGAGCTGCTCCCGGAAAATAATGGGCTGCCCCCGGAGGGGGCGACCCTTGTACCGGGCAATTGCTGCTCAGACGACGAGTCAATACTGGCAAGACCGGTTGGCCTGATGGCTTAAGCAGCCTTTGAGTTTCTGCTGAGAAGACATAACATATCTCCAGGGATAAATTGAAGCAATGAGCATACGAAAGTGGGTTTTCCTTTAATGTCCATGTATTGTCCACTGTCGAGATGGTGGATGTGAGATAACATCTTGGAGACGTCGGCCGGGTCAGAAGCAAAAGGCCCCGAGGTCAACGGTACTGTGCTCTGCTTGCAGGTTGTTGTAAGTTCTTGGATGGAAGTCTGAGGCTTAGATACGGTAACAGGTTCACGCTCTGTGCTTTATCTCGTGGATGGACCCCAGGTCGACGATTGGCATCTCTCTCGACAAAGCTAAGGTCGGGGACAGGGTCAACCGGTTTAGTGACACCCGTTGATACTGAGTCGACAAGATCTGCACTGCTAAGGTCGGAGACAGGGTTAACTGGTTGATGTTCTATCCGTCGTGGTCCTGCCCAGCACCCTCTGCCGGGTACTTGGCCGCAGCGTCGTCTGCTATGATGACGACTCTGGGCGTGCTGGACTGGCAATCGTAGTTCTTGGAATGTGATCGGGGGATAGAGAGAAGAGAGACAGTTGGCAAGATGGAACAACCTTTGCCTCTCAAACGGCGCAGAATGGCGCTTTGAGCTAGTTAGGGCACCTTGCGCTTGGGCCGCCGTTCTGATCTGGGAGAAACGTCAGGGGGAACGAATGCGTACCGCTCAACACATGTGTGAAACTTCGTTCGGCAGAAATACGGCATCCAGAAGCTCACAATGTCAGTTGTTTTTATTGTCCGCACTCCCTCGAAACGGTCTTGCGTCGTTTGTGTCGATCAGACCGTGGCTTTAGCTATGGGGGTGTGAGCATTCGTATTGCGGAATATTGGTTCATTCGTTCGTGATTAGGTAAGTGATCCGTGACACGAATTCTCACATGGTAGCATCTCGAGGTGGGCTTCGGGTTCGGGCCCGGTCGCTGCAGCGGAGTGCCTTTAAAAACCTCGTTGTAAATTACTGTCCTGCACTTTCCGCTCAGGGAACCAGGCCCGGGTGTAACAGTAGTAGTCGACATGAGGGTTTGTGACATAGTCCTCGTCAACCTTGCGTAGCAGGCGGGCTGCATGATCTCGCAGGTAGCACCATGCCGGGAAGGGTGGGTCGTACTGGAGTCGAGCCCTGCGATGACTTTGATCGCAGCACCGGGGTAAGCTATATGATTATTAGCATGAAGTCTGTGTGGAAGGAAGATGGTTGTGTACCGGGCGGCCTTGGTGGGCTGCATTCATCCCCTGTCCGGGCGCAGGGGAACCGCTGCTTGATCGTGAGCTTC